TCGGTGACAATTTCAAAGCGATCTCCCGCGACTGACATCATCGCGGCGCTCAAATATTGGTAAACATCTATATATATCAATTAAAGAGCCCTCTCGCCCCGGCCGCCACGTGTCATTGAACCCGCGAGCGCCAGCGCGACGGAAGAAACTCGAGACGAAGCCGAAGAAGAAGAAGAAGAAGAAGAAGCAGAAGAAGAAGAAGGAGAAGCGGTGGAGGCGGAGGAGGCTATGGGGGTCAATGGCTAATCTAGCGCTCGCTCTCCGGCAGCGCTAATCGGCCTGATGAGGCTTGATGGGGCCCAGACTCGACAATTGCCGCGTTCGGCTGCGGCCACTTCGCGCGACGCGCCCAATAAAGGCGCGCGCGCATCGCAAGTCAGCTTGGGAAAAGTTCGATCGGCCGCGAGTTCTTCCCGCTCGGTCCTGCCGGTCGACCGAAGAGTACGTGCCGCTTCTTTTCCGACACACTTTAAATAGCTCCCCCGCGCGCGCTGCCCCGTGAAAGAGACGCGCGGACGGGGAAGAGCGATGTTTGCTTAGCGGCGCGAGTCTCGGATGCCGAGTTACTCGTCGAGTTTCGGAGGTGCCTAGGAGGTCTGGCGCACGTGCATCCGAGAGGAATAAATAAAAAAAAAAAGAAGAACGACGACCTCCCGGAGCCGCACAATGGTCGTCGTCGCGCGCAGATGGCAGCGAGCCGCGACGCACATGGGCCGAGAGAGAGAGAGAGAGAGAGAGAGAGAGAGAGAGAGAGAGAGAGAGAGAGAACGAGCGAGCGAGGCGCGCGGGGATGATAGGAAAACGGCCTAACGGCACTGTAGCCCCACGCGCGCGCAGGCGACTCGCCCCCATGCGGCGCGGCATTTGTTTCTACGCCAGCCGTTCTCCGGGGATATACGCGCCGAGGAGCAGCGACGAGGGGCCCCAATTCGGCCGACGCGCAGGTTCAGCTATTCCTTTCCACGGTCGACGCACTTGCGCGTCTCTGCGCCTATGTGGCCGGAGAGGAATCGATTGGCATGCAGTCGACGGGAAAAAAAAAAAGCGACGGAGCGAGGCTGCCCAAGTCCCCGTCGGGGATTCGGATGTATCTCTGTTTTTCCTTGCTAGTTATCCCGCGCTGGCCAAAAGCGCAAAGGGCGGAAGGGGGGGCGGCCGAACAGCTCGTTACCTTTATTTCAACGCCGCTTCGCCTCTGATGAATTTCGCCTCTCCGTTCTACTGCTTTTTTTATTACTAGTTCTCCGTCACCCCTCCCCCTTTTTTCGGTAAACCGATTGATTCTGTTGCAGCGCGTGAAAAATGATGTTCCCCAGCTTCGTTTTCTCTTCGCATGAGCTTGGTGCATTTTTATTAGACATTAGGCATAATTGATCATTGGCTAATCCGACAGTTTCGCTCGTGCAGCTGGAAAAAAAAAGAAACGTCGGATCGATCTTCGTGCAATCGTAACTCAGTTTTTCCGACTACGCAAACTAACGTCGCGAAAAATTTTCCAGTACGATAGAAAAGAGCGAAACGAACGAAACCAGAAAGAAAAATCACAACGGTAGTAGCGCTTCGTGACAAGTGCCGGGTTTTTTCCAAGTAAAAGGCGCCAATGTGCGACTCTCTCTCTCCCTGTTTTTCTTCCGTAAGCACATCATTACTAGCAGAAGAAAGGCCGGCCTGAAACCCGTGAAATCCGTGAGCCCGCGCGCGTCGGCGGATTAGCGACAATCGCGAGGAAGGAGCACGAGAGAGAGAGAGAGAGAGAGAGAGAGAGAGAGCGTCCCAGCGGCGAGAAGCTGCTGTCTCCGATTCATTTCGGTAATACGACACACGGACGCGCGCGCGCGAGCTGGTCATCCGTAAAAAAAAAACGACACAAAACGTTTTTCCGGGTGGTCCTCCTTGTCGGGCGCGTTGCGTTTTCGGTCCGCGCTGTCTGCACAATGGGCCTCTCTCGCTGTCTCTCGCGACGTACTAATACCGTCGTCGTCGCCGCCGCCGCCGTCGCCGCCGAGAAAGAACGAGAGAGGATTACCGAAAAAGAGAGCAAAGCACGGGTTTTTCTTCTCGCCTTCCCCTCGGCATTCCCCAATGTCACGGCTCGTTCGTCCGCGCGGCAGAGTCGCACAGTCATCGGCGAGCGGGTCGGGGCCGAGAGAGGAAAGAAAAATCTCCATAATCAAAGGAGAGAAGAATAAAGGACGGTCGATGATTCTCGAGTGAAAGGGAAGGACACGCCGGGAAGGCGGCCACGAGTGGGATTCGGGGGCGCGGCGCGACGCGATACGCGGAAAAGTCGTTGATGGGTGTGCGAGGGCCGACGTGGGCCCTCTTGTCCCGAGGCAAGAAAAAAGAGAGGAGCGGCGGCACTAATCGTCGGGGCCGATCAGCGCTTCCTGGAGAGAGCGGCCCTGCGGAAATTCTCTCGCGGTCGCCGATCATTTGTCACCGCGCGCAAGCTCGCGACGCCGACGAAGCCGAAAGCCCGCATGCTGCGCGATTACACGACCTGGGAAACTGAGCGAGATACGATTTCTCGATGCTTTCTCGAGAGAGAGAGAGAGGGAGCGGAGAGCGGGCAAGACGAATGAGCGTGGAAAGAGCCGGCCTTCCGAGAAGCAGGAGGGAAAAGCAGGAAAACGCGCGCGCACCCGATGGCGCGGCGTGGCAGTGCCTCGCGCGCCTCGCGCGCCTCGGTAAGCGACACCGCGGACAAAGCCAGCGGCGGCGACGGCGGCAGCAGCTCCGGCAAAAACGACGACGCGGCGATTGCTTTCTTCTCGATTACTGGAGGTGGCGGTGTGGGGCGAAGCCCGGAGGCGAAATCCATCCTCGGGCGATCCGCTGGAATTCAGAGGTGTCCGGTGTCGGGGCGCATGTGCGCAGGCGGCGCGCCGGCCGCTCAGGGGCTTCTCCCGCTTCTCCTCCGGCGCGGCGCAGGTTTTGTTTGCACCTGTAGTCCCCCGGCCTCCCCCGACGGGTCCTCGAGGGCTCCTTCCGCGGCGGGCGCGCCAGAAGGGGGACGGGCGTGCATCGCGGCCCGGCGATCTCTTGCCTCGGTGGGAAAGTTGCTCGGCGTACCTGCGCGCGGGCCTCGCGCGATCCTCTCTCCGTTCGATGGGGACCCGCGCGCACACAACGGCAAGTGCACTCGCGAGGCGCGCGCTTTGTTGCTCGCCCGTGGGGACGCCACGCTGCGCGCACCCCCTGTCACGCGCTGCTTCGCTTCTGCGTAACCTACTCCGCGTGCTCTCCGCCACTTCCCGGTAGCAGGTTGCTGCGGCTTTCCACGGCCGATCGTCGCGCGAAATGCCCTTCTCGGATCCGCGCGGCCAGCTGCGTTTGGCGCGTTAGGACGACGACGACGACGACGACAGCGAGGCCGAGGCGGCTGACGGAGCGCAGGGGGGTGGCTAGGGTGGCGCGCCACGCGGATCGCCCGCTCGGAAGCTGCACGCGGATCATCCGAGGCGCGTGCGAAAGCTAGCGTGCGCGCGTGGGGTGAGCTCGCACGTGCGCGCCGGATAATTGCTTCGATTTCTCACATATGTGCGCGAGAGAGAGAGAGAGAGAGAGATACTAACGAGCGAGTTCCCCCTTCGGCTCGTTGACTGACGACTCGTCGTCGTAGTCGCTGCACCGCACCGCCACTTCCTGCACGCAGCGTGTGTCGCAGCACGAGCCTTGCCCTCTGCCCCTATCTGTGTCAGAGACGCACTTGTGCTCTCTGTCTCTCTCTTTACTGTCAAAATTTATTTTACGCTGTAGATTGCTAATTGCTTTTGCAAGCTACTTGCTAAGCTCGCATTCGGTCGTTTGTCAAAATTCTTGCGTTATATTTACTTACAATTTGGCTATTTACAATCGAGTGAATAACGCATTTGTAAAATTCTATATTACCGCTTTCGTTCTGGTATACTTAGTGCTGTACGGCTCAATTTCTGAAATTTAGCACATATCGTATCATATAGTATCAATCAAATCGCTCATGCTTTCTTTCGTTCTCGTACTCTCGTCGGATGCGCCACCGCTGATCGATCCCTCCTCCCTTGCAGGTGTACCGCCGAAAATAACAAACACCCACGGAATCTTGGGGTTGTTGCGATTCGAACGTTCGTAGTGTACGGCTCGCTTGGTTTTTCTCCGTGGAGAAATCGAGGCGTCAATAATTAATCGCGACGCGATGCGTATACCCCACCCCCCGCCCCCGTCCCAAAAAAAAAACGGCGTGGCGCATCGCTTGCCTGCAGGAAGTCTTACAAAACTGGCGCGTATCGGATACATTATAGGCGTGATCGTTCGCTCGGCCAAAATCATGCGAGACAACTCGTAAAAATGACGCTCTTCGACGAGATTTTCGAACGGGGGGCGAGGGGAGGTCCCCGACATACCCCGGTGTTACTTTCCACACACAGGCGAGAGTTTTGGTGGCCCGCAGATGGTCGGCGAGGCAATTGCGCATATTATGCGCGTGGGTCCGGGGATGCACAGGCGGCAGTAATTCGCCGATAAATTGCGTTACGCGGCATTATACGCGAGTTAACCGCTCGAACGGGGGCTTTTGCAACTTTTATTTATTTTTTTTTTGCTTCTTTGACGGGGGTCTTTGGGTGACGCCGATTTTCTGGTGACGCGTCCGATTAGAAGGGTGAAAATCAGGGGGCCAACACAGCTCTTTATTCTGATGAAAATCAGGGGGCGGACCTGGCGATGCTGGAAAATGATTCTGCCCTTCTCTCTCTCCCTCTCTCGAGAAAACATATTTCAACGCGTAAATACTGTATGGGGTGTCGTTTTTACACGCGATGATCAATCGCTGTACTGTTTCTTTTTACGAGTTTTGTCCGTCTGTTCGTATATTATTTTTTAAAGGACCAGATGCAGTACGCTAGATCGGTTGTTAATTCGCTGTTCATTACACGCCATGCGTGCAAAGTTCGCGACGCGTCGCAAACATCGCTGGAGGAATTCAGGTTCGGCAGTTGTAAGGGCAAAAAGTTTATTGAGAACAGAGGCGATCACGGAAAGTCGGCCGGATCGACGAGCTTGCGGGATTGCAATACAGCCTTCAGCCACGAGGCTGATTTTTTGAAGGTGCGCGTGAGGTTGGCACTGCTGAAGTCGACGTTCACCAGTCCGAAATGGTTCCTAGAAGAGAGAGAGACGAACACCGATGCTTCCGTGGACTCCTTCGGAAAATCATTGGCCAGTGAACTTACGTGAATCCTTTGTCCCACTCGAAACTGTCCAGAAAGCTCCACACGGTGAACGCCTTGACGTTGCATCCGTCCCGTTTGATCGCAATTAGCATCTCCCTCATGTAGGCGTACAGATAATCGATCCTCAAGCGGTCGTTAAGCAGGTCCGCGTCCGACGCCCCGCACTCGGTGACCAACACCTCGGGATTGCCGTACTTGCGTTTGATCTTCCTGAGCAGGTCTCCGAAGCCTCGGGGCACCAGCTGCGCAACAGAAGCAGATCGGCGCGGCGGCTAATCGAGCGATCTAACTCGGGACGATATACGTACGCGCAGCCAATTGCTCTCGGTCGTCCTCCACGCGGGGTCGAACGAGTGGCGCAACCCCTCGTCGTTCGGCCACTGCAGTTGCTCGCTCCTCGGCAGAGACTCCACCACGTGGGACGTGTAATGATTCAGCCCGAAGAAGTCGGACGATCCTCTGAAAGGGCGGAGCGGCCGGGGTTTAGGCACCTTATCTCATTTATTTCTCACCTTATCAGCTCGATCCAGCGGGGCGACAGGTCCGGCAGCAGCGATCGGCTCAGATTCCTCAGCTCGCTCGTCTCTCGTATTCGCTGCTTCATGATTGGCGGAAAGTCGCCCTCGCTGGAGAATATCGGGTTGGCGACCGAGCCGCAGTTGAACTCGAAGGCCACCTCGCTGGCCGCGCTGTCGGCCTCGCTCTTGCCGTAGTAGTAGTAGCACTGCGCGACGATTCCCACTTTGCCCTTGTACCGGCCGCGGAACTCCCTGTCGTAGATGTGGTAGGCCAGCGCGTGGGCCTTGAGCGCGTTCTGGAGGCACAGGTACTTGCCCAGGTCCGAGAGATTGGCGGCTGCGCGAAACGGACAGCGGGCCGTGGCGTCAATTGTCGTTAATCGGCGTTAATCGGCGTTAACCGGCGTCAATCGGCGTTAAGCGAATTACCGGGTGCGTACTCGGCCGCCGCGTATCCGCTTTGGCAGAATATCTGGGGCTCGTTGATGGTGACGAAGACCGGGACTCTGGAGCCGAACTCCCGAAAGACGAATCTGGCGTAGTCGGCGAAGGCTTGAGCCATGTAGCTGTTGGTCCATCCGCCGAGGCGCTCCAGGCGCCGGGGATGATCCCAGTGGTAGAGCGTGACGATCGGCAGGATCGCCTGGCGCTCCAGCTCGTCCAGCACGTCGTGGTAGAAGCGCACGCCCCTGGGGTTCGGCCTGGTTGCCAGCTCGCCGTCGAAGATGCGCGTCCAGCTGATGGAGAAGCGGAAGTGGCCGAGCTGCGGAGCGAGCCGAGAGAAGGCGATGAGAGGGCCGGCGGCGCAGGCGAGAGGCGCGCGGTCGACGACTTACTCCGATCTCTTTCAGCATTTTCGCGTCTCGCGCGTATCGGTGGTAAAAGTCGCAAGCGGTGTCGGCGTTCGAGCCGTCGGCGATGCTCCCCGGGTGATTGTGCGCGAAGTCATCCCAGACGCTCTCGGCCTTGCCTGCAACCAGCCAGCGTTGAGCGTGGCGCGCCGAGTCGGCCGCGAGACTCACCGCTGGCGTTCCACGCTCCTTCCACTTGGTAGGCCGAGCTGGCGGTCCCGACGAGAAACTCGGCGGGCAGTGCGAGGTCGAGCTCGCGCTCGCTCGCGAGCGTCCCGATGCCCGCGGCTATCACGAGCAGCGCGCCGCAGCGCCTCATCGTCGACGCGCCCAGAACAACGGGGAACGCGCGGGGAGCGATGTCGCGCGCGCGGCCAAGTTGGTCCGTCCGAGGCCGCGGCCGAACTAGCCGTTACCGAGCGGACTGTTTTGCGCACCGACGCGCGAGTGGGAGTGCGCGATAATGCGCGGGCGTTCGCGCTCGGACGTCCAGGACGTATCCGTCTCGGTGTTCGCGCGGCGCGACGCGCCGAGAGTGCCGCAATCGCGGCGATAAAGCGAGCCGCGAGGCGCGCAATCTGCTCTTTCCCGGACGTGCCGCTGGACGTATGCCGCGTTTCGGCGCTCGCTCGATAGAAAGAGAGAGAGAGAGAGAGAGAGGGAGAGAGCCGCGCTGGCCCGAGCGAACTCGCGAAATTGCGATCGGCGGATAAGACGCCTCGCGCGCGCGCGCGCGCGTGCGACCGAGTGGATCTCGAGAATTTCCCTCGACGCGGCGCGCGATCAAAGGGCGGCCGCGCGCAAAGAGAGGAGAAATTGGGCGCGTGCCCCCTGGCCGCTGGCCTCTTTGATGTTTCGACGTAGGTGTATCGTAAAACGCGCGCGCGAGAACAAAGCGAAATAAAGATATACAGACGCGCCCGCTCGGCGAGCGGGGGAGGGAGGCGGGGAGTCGTTCGGTTGATCAGGACAGACGCGTTAAAACGGCGGCGGCTCGTTCCCCCCGCGGCCGCGTCCCCCAACGGTGGCTCGCTCGCTCGCTCGGCGCGTTGTGCTTGCATAATGGGCCGTGTAATCAGAGGCGAGTGCGGCGACGACGCGGCAGCGCGTCATTGTTGTTTCGGAGCTCGAGTGTGGAGAAGCAGCGCGACAAAGTGAGCTGCTGCTGCCGCCGCCGCCGCCGCCGCAATACTTTAATGCCCCGCTCGCTCGCGACAGATCTCATCAGCCGGAGTGGCCGCACAAAGCTCTCGCTCTCCGCGAGAGGGAGAGACAACACGACGATGCGCGTCGCGCGCTCTCGGGTCCGCTTCCTACGGTCACCGCGAAGAAAGGGAAGCTTGGGAAAATGACGGCGCGGCTGCGAAGTGCAGCTCCATCTCCCTCGGTCCCTCTGTTCCCGCGCAACCTTCTAAATCATCGCGGCTCGCGGCGACAATGAGCGGCTGCTGGCTCGTTCCCGGGATCGGCGCTCGCGTGAATGCCGACGCCGCGCGCGCCTGTTCTGTTGCCCCGCCGGTGCGAGATTCCCGGGAAACCAGCTGTACTCGGAGCGCGCCGCTTCGCGTTGTAACGCAGAGCGCAGGTCGCAGGTGCGTCCGAGAGTCCGGCAAAGGGCTGTGTGTGTTTTGGGAATTAGCAAGGTTTAAAGGGCGCGAGCGTGTGGGAAGCCGAGCAGCCACAGGTCGGCCTCTTTCGCGCTCCTTTCTCTCGGTGATCGGCAGCTCGACGGCCGGCGAGCCGATCGCGCCCCCTCGTCCTTATCCCGAGGCGGCGAAACGCAAACACACGAGCTTGTCTTGGCGCGCGCAGGTGTACCGCCGCGCCTGAATAACAATCGTGAGAAATCGTCGTCCCGGGCGAGCGAGAAGCGGCGCTCGGTTCCGCAAATCCGCGCCAGCGGTAATCAGCCTCCGACGCCACGGGAAAAGGAAAACCAGAAGCCGTTGCGCAACCGCGCCAGGCGAAAGGAGGGTACAAGCGTCGCGCTTCGTGCGCGGACTATAGACATTGGCGCGCATGCACACCTGCGGGAGAGAGAGAGCGTGCATCGTCGGAGGCCGATAGGTCACGGGAGCTCGCCGCGACGAGAGAGAGAGAGGCGCGCGGGCGGTGGGAGAAGGAAGTCTGGAAGCTGCGACCTGCTGAACCGAAGAGTGCTCGAACGGTATAGCCTCTCTCTCTCTCTCTCTCTCTCTCTCTCTCTCTCGTAGCTGGGTGCGATCGCTCGTTACGTCGAGAACTGCGGGCCTTGGAAGAGCGGTACCGGCGACGGGGAGAGAGAGAGAGAGCCAAAGCCGTTATGCCGAGAGAGGAACGTCGTCCCCCGTGGCGCGGTCGGGCCGCTAGGCGACGAAGTCGTCGACGCGCGGCGAGCGCGCGATCGACGGACCGCGTCGGCGACGCTTTTTCAATTGCGCTCGAGAGCGCCGAACAGCGCGCGCGCGCCACCCTGGTTCTCATGCCTTGCGCGCGCGCGCGCGCGCGTTTGCGGCTCGAGGAGACCGCACGCAACGATCAGCGCGCGAAACGGTGGTGCTTCTCTCGCGCGAAGGCGCACATTCCAACGAGACGAAGCTTCGGACGGAGCGCGCGGTATTGATCCAAGCTGCCGCGGCGACTGCAGCGATCTTATAAAATTAAGATTTATTGCATAATTGAAAACTCCGCCGAGCTGTTCTTTCTCTCTCTCTCTCTCTCTCTCTGGCTGAAAATTCAATTACGCGAGTAAGTGTGTTTCATTGAAAATCAATACGTAATTTAAAGATATATGCGCTGCTATTTTCCGCGAAAAACCGATGAAATTCGCGCCCCGACGAGTAGATCGACTGCGAACAGCGTAAGCATACGAACCGACTCGCTCCTGGTCGGGGAGCCGCGCGTCGGTGGGAAAAATGCCCGCGATCGCGGACGCAGGTTCCACCGGCGTTCGGGGCAGGCGCAAGGAAATGACCCACAGAGGCTGGTTTTTGGAAAATATATTTCTGAAAGGCTAACAAGAGCTCGCAGCGCAGCGACAGGTCGTGGCGCGCCTCGTCGACGAGCGGGCCGCCATCCGGCCTCCTCGAGCGGCGACGAGCGCCGGCCAGCCTAGACGTAGATCTCGGACTTGGCGGCGATCTGGCACTGCTTCTCCTCGCTCTCCCACTCGACCATGCACTGCAAGAGCCAAGCAGACGGGGATGGGTGAGCCTCGGCCGACGGCGGCCGGGCAGCGGGCCGGCTCGCGCTCACCCCGTCCATGTCCTGGTCGATCTCCTTGGCCTGCTTCTCGTGCGTGAGCTTGAGCTTCTCCTTCTCGCGGCCCTGCTTAATGGTGATGTTCTTGCGCTCGTCCATGAACTTCTTGATGTTGTTGGCCTTCTTCTCCTTGAGCATGCGGTCCTTCTCGCCCTTGGTCTTGAGCGCCTTGTCGTTCATCACCTCCTTGGCCACGTCCGCCGAGACCTTGGCCTGGCTGGCGTTCATCTCCTTGATTTCCCTGCAAGACGCGAGCCACGGCGGAGCATCGAGACTGGCCAGGCGCTCGCGAGCGCTCGACCGGTCTCTCGGCTCACTTGTCGTGCTTGACCTCGAGCAGCTTCACCTGCGACGCCTGCACCGCGGGTATGCAGGCCTTGATGTCCTCGCGGGCGACGCTCAGGTGGGCCTTCTGCAGCTCCCACTCGGCCTTGCGGTGGCGCTCCAGCATGGCGCTCCACTCGGCGATCTGCTCGCCGACGAGCTTCTTCAGGCCGGCGTCCGCCACGAGGGCGCTCTTGCTGCGGGCAAAACGCGACAGCGTCAGCGCCCGCTGAGCTCGCTCGCTCGGTCGGTCGGTCGGTCGGTCGCGCGCGCGCTCGCTCACTCTTTCCCCTTGGCCAGCTTGTCCACGGCGCTGCAGTGGTTCTTCTGCATGGTCAGGCGCTCCTTCTGGTGCTTCTTCTGCAGCGCGTCCATCTCCTTGCTGACCTTCTTGAACTGCTTGAAGGCCTTCTCCTTGCGCAGGTACTTGTACTGCAGCGGCGGGATGCGGTTCTCCGCCTCTGCCGAGGGAGAAAGCGCGCGGCGTCAGAGCGGCCCTTGCCCGCGGCCCTTTCCCGCGGCCCTTTCCCGCGGCCCTTTCCCGCGGCCCTTTCCCGCGGCCCCCTCCCGCGCCTACCTTTGCGCCTCTTCTCCTCCTCCTCCTTGCGCTTGGCCTCGGTCTTCGCGTCGGTCTGCTCGATGCCCAGGCCCTTCATGGCCTCGTCGCGCTTCTCGGCGCCCTTGCCGAAGGCCCCCGGGTCCGACAGCATCGCCATGAAGTCTGCAAGCGGCCGCGCGGCTCAGTAAGGGGCCTCGCGCGTGCTCGCGCGCTCGCGCGCTCTACTTGCCTCCGAAGCCCTCGGGCACGTAGATGGACATCTCGATGCAGATGAACAGCATGGGCAGCGCCATCGGGAAGTTGGCCTCGTTCTTCAGCGACACGTGCCTGAAGCCCACCTGCAGGCCGTCCAGCGGCAGGATACGCTGGCCGAGCAGCTTGCCGCTCTCCTCGTACACGCCTGCGCGCGTTTTGATTAAGCACGGTTGGCTGCGGGCGGGGGAGGGAGGGTCCACGGGGCTACCTACCGAAGCGCAGCACAGCCAGATCGGGCAGCACGACCTTGCGGAAGACGAAGGGGTCCTCGTTGTAGACGGGGTTCAGGCCGTTGCCCGGCACCATGCGCGTGCGGAACTCCTTCTTGATGGTGTCGGCCGGCAGGCCGTACATGTCCACCTCCACGTAGGTGCCCACCTTCTTGTCCGACAGGAACTGGCCGGCGATCACCTGGCGATCGATGGCAGAGAGCGCGCCGCTCGACTTTACTGGGATCGGGGGTCTGGCGGCGAACGCGACGAGTGGGGCACTTACCCTGACTTTGCAGGTGGCCGTGATGACGCCGTCGACGCCCTCGGAGAAGGGGTCGAAGGTCTTGTCGGCGCGGCGCATGAAGTCGGGCTTGAGCAGGTAGCCGGTGCCGTTGTTGTACTCGAACTTACCCTGGTTGAGTTGCATCGGCAGGTCGGGCGTCTGGAAGTTGAGCGCCACCATCTGGCAGCCGGCGTTCCAAAATACCTGCGGGGCACGTAAGCAGCGCGCTGTCGTGATCGACGGTAGCGACTCACCGTCGGCCGGTCAGCCCGGGACGCGAACCTGGGGCATGTAGTTGGACGAGTCGACGCGAGTGCCCTTGGGGTAGATGCGGCTCATCTGGCGCTTGTTGTAGTTGACGAACTCGATAGCCGAGGTCTTGAGGTGGTTGAGCGCCGCCGTCTCCGAGAACGACGACATGTTGTGGTGGATGTTCTTCTCTGCGCAAACAGCGTTGGCCGTGAGGCTGCGCGTACTCGCTCTCGGGCGTCGTACTCACTCTCGGCGTGCTCCCACGACTGGAACTTGACCGGCTGGGCGTAGTTGATCATGGACGAGAGCAGCGGGTGGCAGGCGGTCGCGCTGCCGGTGTAGGCCGGGGCGCCGGCCGCGGCCTCGGCGCCCGCCTCGGCGCCCGGCTCCCCGGCCGCGGCTCCTTCCCCTGGCGGCGCCGCTGCCGCCGCGGCCTCCTGCGAGTCGTCCGGCCGAGCTTAGCTCGGTGGCCAAGTGGCTTAGCTCGGCGCGACTTCGCGCTCGTCGGCGTGCTTACCGGTGCCGGCGCCTCGGCGGCGGGCGCTGCCGGGGCTCCGCTCGCGTCCTCGATCACCTCGTCCTTCGCCTCGAACTTGCCCTGCAGAAACAGCTCCAGCTCCACTTTCTCCACCTCGGGCTTCAGCCGCTTGTTCTTGATGAGGATCTTGTGCTTCATGGCCTTGGGCGGGGGCAGCGACTGGCCCTCGACGTACAGCTGCGGACACGCGGGCGGTCGGTCAAGGAGGAGGAGGCGGCGGCGGCGGCGGCGGCGGCGGCGGCGGCCTGATCACGGCCGGGCCGGCTCGGGCTTACGGGATAGTCGGGCAGCGCCTCCTTGAGCAGCAGCTCGCCGAAGATCTCGTCGAAGTACTTGGCCATCTTGTACTGGTTGGACAGGCACAGGTGGTTCTCGATGCTGAGGATCACCGGGTAGTCGGAGCTGACGAAGGCGCAGTCGCGGATGGCCATGAGCGCGTCCTTGAACAGGATGTCCGTGCACATGGCCTTGCCGTGGGTGATGATTATCTCGTCCTCGGGCTTCTTGCCGTCCCAGCAGTCGAGCTCGACGCACCTGCAGCCGGCTAGCAGCGTCTGCCGGTACATCTCCACCGAGCTCTTGGCGCCCACCTGCTTGCCGCTCAGGTACGTGTTGTGACTGGAGTTGATGTAGTAGTGGGACAGAGGCTGGTCCATGTCCATCCACTCGTCCAGCTTCTCCAGAAAGACCGGCGCGTTCTCGTCCGACATCAAGTAGCGGATGAAGCCGTCCTTGGTCAGTTTCACTGCGACACACACACACGCGGGCCCGCTCGTCACACCGCTCGCCACACCGCTCGGCCCGCTGGCACGCGCTCGTCGCTCTTACGCGCGGATTTGGCCTTCGGGTCGGTCTCGTAGTCCTCGATGATCTCCTGGCATCGCTTGGGGTTGTACTTGGGGAAGAGGATCTCGTTGAGCTGCGGGTCGCGCTGCTTCTCGTTCATGAACTCCACCAGCTGCTCGATCGAGATCGTGTCCGACTTGCCCTTGGTGCTGCGACAAATCCGAGTTCAGCCTTGCCGTGTTCGGCGCGTCCTCGCGGCTACTCACATAGAGCCGAACAGCTCCTCGATGTCGTTCCTCGGGCAGATCTTGAAGTAGAGCGAGTAGAACTTCTCGAAGGTGAAGGCCTCGGGCTCCATGGACGCGTTCTGGCATGCAACCGTTTCGCCGCGTTAACGAGGGCTTGCTCGCGCGGCCGTCCTACGACGACGTCCTACCTTTCCGTCGGGCAGTCCCAGCTCCTTGAGTCCCTGGTACACGAGCTTCTCGGTTTTGCCCGAGGCGAAGGTTTTCGTGATGACTTTCACCGGCACTTTGCCCTTCGGGTCCACCTGGAAGCTCAGCCGCATCCAGCTGCTCGGTCAAGCAATCAAACTTTAGGAACTTTGAGCGCCAGCAAGTATCTTTCGACGATTGTTTACAAGGCAACGTACTGCTTCATCAGCTGGGTGGTGGGACAGACGTTGCACGCTTTCACGTTGTGCGTGACGTGTCGCAGCGCCTCCTGCCACTCCTAATCGAATCCGAATCGTGTCAGTCGCGCCGACGCGAAAAACCCCGTCAACGGCGATCTCACCTTTGCCGTCTTGGCGTCGGGGCAGACGAGATGTTGATAGGTGATCTGCGTGTAGTCGATGTTGGAGCACACCGTTATGGTCTTCTGATCCAGCTGCTCCATGGTGCCGTGCTTGCTCAGGCTCTTGATGATCTTGGGGTCCTGCAAGCGAGGGAAAGGTCGGTTTAGGAACGCGGGGGGCGAGCGGCCGCCGCCGCCGCCGCAGCGACGAGGCAGCGAACCTTGGGCGTGCCGCCGTAGCGGATGTCGCTGACGATCGCCAGCTCGATCACGTCGCCGTCCTGCAAAAGAAAACGCGCGACGGTGAGCGAGAGGCAGCGCGCGGCGATCGGCGCACCCGTCGCAAATCTACCTTCCCGTCGCTCTTCCAGTACAGGAAGAACCCATACTTGTCCACCTTGAACAGGCAGTTGGACTCGAAGTCGGTCATCTCCTTGTCCTCCAGCCAGCGGTCGAACGTGGCGCCGTTCAGCAGGATCGCCGGCGTCTCGATCTGCCAATTGAACTCGAACCTCTTCGTCATCCTGGCCGACGAGCGCGAGAGCCGAGAGACGAGGTCGCTCTGGGCTGCAGCGGCCTGCCTCGGCTGAGAGGCTTCCGCGGCTTCGCTCTGCCCTCGAGCGCCAAACCCGATTAGCCGACAAATCCAATTGTTTTTTCTTCTCTTTCGCGATTCGGGGACGCGCTCGCGCGCGGCTCCGCGTGCGCGAACCTACGGAGCTCGCGACGGCCAAGGTCCGCGAGGCTACATGCGCGCGGCCCAGCGATTTGCCATTGCCAGCGTCCGACCGTCGGACGCATCTCCCGATTAATAGGCAGCTGGAAATCCAATATTTTCCGCCTGTTTCGGCTACCCAACTGACAATTGTCGTTCTTGCAGTCCACCTCGTTCTTTGCAATGCACGATTGAGGCAGGCATATCATTTTTGTATTTTAGTTCATTTAGAACAGTTATTTCCGGCACTTTCACACAGCAGTTAATTAACAATTACTGAAAACACGCAGAAGTATATCGAAGAATAGAACCGAGCCAAGGAGCCAAGTGCTGTGGTTGCACGGTTACACCAAAATAAGAACCAATAATTGACTCGTGACGAATTGTTAAAATATTTTTTTTTTAATACGCAACTATTCATTTGTTTGGATAAATATTTAGAATATACTGAAAGCATTCAATTTCGTATTGAACTACTATTAAATTAACGAAAGTGTGCTACGACAATTTAATAAATTATGTGTCAATTCAGACATAATACAATTCGAAGTTACAGTTTTTATGTACTTATATATACGATGAATTTCTCAAAACAATCGAACGATCAATTGATATTTATTGAATAAGTATAAACAGACGAGTTAGCATTTGTAATTGTGGCGCTTCGATGGTGGCAAGCGGCAACCAATCGTAACATTCCTTTCCAAAGTAACTTTCTACTTGCGCACAACTTTGTCCAAAATGACTAGCGCATCAACGAAGGCGTCTGATTGGTCCGTCTCGTCATGCCAGCGCTCCACAATTTATAGAAATAGAGGAAGAGCGAGCCACCATCTTGACCGTTCTTGCAAGTTCGTTACCGGCTCTCATTCACCACGCGGTCGAGCCTACTCGTTCACGCTTCTTATTACTTTGACGCAAGGTAACGTACAAACACGGAAAATGAACGGCATCGCCAGGAGTGTACTTAGGTTGCCGAGTGTCAAGAACCTGGTGGCCTCTGTCACCAAGGGAGTCAATGTGCAGAATAGCAGAGGTCTCTGGGCGGGCAGTGCATTCCAGGAACCGAGCAACCTCGTGTCCTTAACGAGCCAGGCTCCAAGTCACAGGCACCCTTGCGCCTGCGTCTCCTGTAGATTCGCTCACACCAAAGGTACTTGTCTCATCTTCAAACTTATCATTGCGCTCTCGTTCGTCAATTGCCTATTATCGATGTTTCTCCCGCAATGATGAAACACGTGACTAAGATGTTGCGTTATCTGCTCTTACCCCTGTTTTATGTCTCATTCGTGACTATTGCGATTTTCAGCTGAGAAGGAACTCGTTGAGTTTTTGGCTGAGGAAATCGTTGCAGAAAAGAAAGCTCTTAAGTTCAAGACCATCCCTTCTGAGCTCGAAGGCTTCAAAGTATCTCTTGATGGAGCCGAAGTTACCCTCACAAAAAAAGACGGCAATGAAGAGTAAGAACCTCTGGTGATTGAATGTTATATATACACTGAAGTATTTCAACGTGGATAATAATTTGGTTTTTCTTCTAGAATCATCATCAGTTTCAATGTAAACCACTCTGTGGACACAGATACAGAAGCAGAGTTGGATCCTCGAGACGACAAACCAGATTTGGGAGATATGAAGAGCAAACCCAACTTTGAGATCAATGTCAGGAGAGGAGGTCAAACTCTATCATTTACATGCTCTTTCAACAGTGAACCAGGAGCATCAGGAGCAGATGATGCATATGGTAAGAAATTTGTATTGCATTATACATGTTTTTTTCCAAAGTGTTGAGTACAGGATGAGTAATCACTATTCATTCTGATAATTTACCTTTGGTAAAGAAATACTTTTCTATTTATCATATTTATTTTTTTCAAAACAAAAAAATAAATAAGTCATGTAGAAATGTGACAGTTTATTATGAGTAGAATAAGCATTCTTTTTATATTTAACAAATATATTAAAATTTGATGAAATATTACAGATGATATCTTTGGCATAGATGAAATCACTCTCTATGAAGGTGAACATTCAGAAAAGATTTATTGTGTAGCAGGTGAAGTCATTGATGGGGTAAGTGTTGGGGTATAATTTGATTATCTTTTCACAAAGTAATTAATAATAATTTGATTTACTTTTTTCAGTACTTGTATGATCTTCTTATGAACTACTTGGAAGAAAAAGGTATTTCCAATGAATTTGCTGAGAAACTCATTGAATTCAGTACAAGTTATGAGCACACAGCATATATAGGTTTGCTAGAAGGTCTCTCTAAGTTTACAGCAAAATAATTCCTTGTTTTTTTATTGCTTTGATACATAGAATGTAAAGTCTGTACTCTTACAATTAGAATTTTAAGTGTTGTTGAAAAAAATAAATGAGAAAACTACATTTCAATTCTTACCTTAAAAAATTTGATTGAACTATACCTTTTATCTATAAAATAATTATCATTTTAAGAAAAACTCTATAGGTCTTCATAATCAATATTGTAATTATTATGGTCGAGTTAAAATTCAATTTGATTTTACCTCTTTTACAAAATAAAGAGTTAATAAATGTAAATGCTTTGTTCACTTTATAATACATTTAATTTGTTAACAAAATCAATACATCTTTATATATTATTCTTCTTTGAGTGGTCCATGAAATAAGTCAAATCAAATAGTTTAGGAAATATTTTTCAAGCAACAGCACCAATTGTTACAAATGAAACTGAAGTTCTTTTTTACAAATAAAATGTCAGTGTACGTTACACATAAGTATATTATGTATAATGTGGATATACATAAAATTTGTGTGAAACACAATAGCTATACACAAAAATACATATAAATGTAATTTAGTTGACCGCCAAATTTTTAAGTTTCGAAGCAATAGCATTACTGATTTCATCATTATTTGGATCAGGTACCTTTGCACTGGATTGAGTTGATCGATTGCAGGTTTTTTTGTGCATAAACCAATGTAATCTTTGACATTCTCTGTCACAATATTGAACCATCTTGCATTTACTGCACTTTTTCGGGGCTTTCTCTTCTCCACAAGTATCACAAATTTGCGAATTATCACTGAAAGCTCTTTGTCCATTGATTGCAGCAGCAATTACTGATATGCCACTGGGAGGGTCTGAACTGGTTAATGTTGCAACCATTTGACGGAAAATAGTACTGTCTCTGAAATTGAATTCTCTTACAGTTTCTCTTAAGAATAACTCTTGAAATTCAGGAGTACCATCACTCTTGGTCTTGAGGAACTTCTTTATCAACAGCTCCATAATATCAGACTTTTTCTCATCACTCTTATCTTCATTTTTATTTTGATCTTTATTTTCATTAGCTTTCTCACTTTTATTAGCTTTCATAGCGTTATGTTGTTTTTGACATTTAATTACTTCTGCAACTATGCAGCTTAAATAATGATATTTAAATGCCATAACTTCATTGGTTTCTGCTCCTCTTGTCATTTCTCTTTGCCTCATTGCTTCGAGAACTTTTTGAACCTAAGATAGAATATCATCATTTAATCATAGTTATAAGTTTTGTCTTACACAACACGTTTTTCTTACAACAAAATTAAAAAAGTACGTAGAAAACTATACCATTGGTAACTTTTCCATAAGCCCAGGGAACTTTTGCAAATTCATTATCACTCTAACTGGATGAATATTGACTTGCATAATGAAGGAATGAAATGAATTTGATAAATGTGGATACAACATTGGTTCTGTCTGCAATCCTTGAGGTTTAATATAGTAGTCTATATCTGCTTTTGGTATAAAATTATTAATAGTGGCTACACAATTGTGGTTTCCAACAAAAGCAGCCATTTGTGCAGCAGTTCGACCAACGCTATTAACAGCATGAATCTTTGCACCATATGACATCAAAAGGTAGCACAAATCTGCATTACCACTTAAAGCAGCAAAATGCAAGGCTGTGTAACCATTATCATGTTCACATTTGTTTGGATCAGCACCCTGTTAAAATAAGCACTTATTAATATCAATTTATTGCTTTTAAATTATAAAACATACTGTAATATTTTGCTTACATGGTCTAAAAGCATTTGCACTATTTCTTTATTCCCCTTGTAACAAGCATGTTGCAATGGACTCATACCATTTTCATCAATAAAATCTATTTTAATTTTGCTAGCAGCCAATAGCGCTTTTAGTTCGTCTGGCTTATTATTATTTATTTTGGTGAAAATTTCTTTGTGAGGATCTTCAAAATTTTCTGTACTCGTCATTTTGGATAAGAAGTAAATAAGTCGACTCTAATGTATCCAGAAAATTCGAAGTATATTGTGTTCAGGTTAAGCTTTCGCGGCAGAACTTTTTAAATAGAAAAGCTTTACCGGCTTGCGATTTGAACTGAAAAACTAAATGAACTTTTTAAAAGCATTCACTGAAGCGCATTTCTAATTTGACGAACAATTGTATAAATCTATAGAAATACTGACTGTTTATACACAAACACAAGTGTTTCTCGGCGCTCACGAAAAGGTGCGTTTTTATCAGTACGAAAGCTGTCTATTTTATTCAAATGTTATCATTTAATTATATGACAGTTAAGAGAAGCTCTCAATTTTAATTAGAAAATTTATTGCGTTGTATAAATTTGTTTATATTTATTTTTAATGTGTATACGCAAGTTTTAATATAAAAATTAATTAAACACTGGTTATATGAAAATCGAGCTTGAAGTGAACACCGCAGGAGCTGAAAACGAAGATCTCTACCTATTCACTGGAGTATTATCTTTTCTTCCCTCGTCGTTATAGAAAAGTAAAACTTGTACGAAAAAATAAACGTCAAGTTTGGCTTGTTTTATCCATAAAATTTAATGACTACTAACCAAAGTTCAAATTAATGAAAGTTTGTTTTTATCGGAACAATTCTAATGAGTTCTTCAGCAGATAACTCGACCTCCGTCGAGCTCATATGTTTAGACGACAGTAAGGAAGAATGTCAAGATGAAAATGCAAGAGCTGATAACCTCGTCGGCGTGGATACAACCACTGTGGTTTTTGACGAAACTCTGCCTCCTGGAGTTCCACCGGAAGGTTTTGTGGTTTTAGACGAAACTATCGAATCATCAAAGGAACACATACAAGAAACCAATAATGATAGCAATCCTATTTTTAAAGTTATATTCAGAGATGATGCAGCCTTTCAGTATGATCATTTTTAATCTATGATCCATTGATTCATTGATTATTATAATTCAAACCATTTAGTTTTTAATAGATAAATTTATTTTTATGTCTGTTTAAAATAAAGAATATCTATTTTACAGAAACTACAGCAGAAAAATAGACCATTTTTTGAAAGACTTATTATCGCACAAGCATCGTAGAAAAGACATAAAATCTAAAAAAGGAGATTTGACACTGGAAATATTTGACTCTTCATCTAAACATAAGCATTTCTCAAATAAAACTGACAGCAAAGAGAAGCAATCAAACGATTCTCTCTTTATTATAGACAATGAACCAAAAATTCAAGATGATCTTGATATTCCTATGTATAAACAGGTACAAAGGAAAAACCAATTATTTGTCAGAATATTTTACTAATATTACATACTACTTACTTGATTTGATTTTAGAAATTTGATAAAGTACTACAAAAATCTAATGATGAGAATAATGGAGAAAGAGAAGATTGTGGTCCAAAAATGACATGCTTCAATTGCTTAGGAAATCATAGCTTACGAGATTGTGATCAACCTCGCAATTATGTAGCAATAAACAAAAACAGGAAGGAACACAATTTTAAAAGGGGATCAGCAAGTACTAGATATCATTTAGATGATGATCAAAGGTTTGGGCATTTTGTACCTGGTCAAATAACACCACAGTTACGTGAAGCTCTTGGTTTGAGAAATGATGAACTTCCAAGACATATCTACAGGTACAAAATAACTACCTTCTTTTTTATGAAAATAATTGCAAAAGCTGTCTGAAGGGTTTAATTTAAATTTAGAATGCGAGTACTGGGCTACCCTCCTGGTTGGTTGGAAGAAGCAAGACTGCAACATTCTGGCTTATCTTTAATTGATCAAAATGGTAAGATTGATAGAGGATCTGATGAAGAAGGTGAAATTGTTCTACCTGGAGATAAAGATCAATATGATATTAAAAAGATTGTTGATTTTCCTGGTTTTAATGTTCTACCTGAGGAAGGAATACTGGATGTAAGAAATTAGATAAGTTTTATTTTAATATTTTATTTAAATATTCATTAAATTAAATTTTTATAGGAATATGCAGAATATTGGGGTACACCAAATCAAGAGTACCATAGTAAAACAGCTATGGTATCTTTCTTTAGTAAAAGAAAGGTTGATGATGGGTACAAAAGAAAGAAAATGCCAAATCCTGCTAATATGAGAGCAAGCACTGATTTGAATCCAGGGGAAATGGAAGTTGATGAAGTTGAAGGTAATTTTTACATTTTTTTTAATACTATCTTGATTTTTATATTTTATATAACAAGTGATCAAATTTTCAGATACTCCAGTTGAATGTCTGCCTGTGAATGATTTGTTTATTCCTCCTTTACCAAAAGACGAGGCATTACAGTTTACTCCTCCACCACCACCTCCGCCCCTAGAAGATTCTCAATCACAAGAGAACACTCCAGATAAATCTACAGTTAGTATATTTATTATTATTCAGTAAATAATATGAAATTTAATATCTGCTTAATTAAAAGTTTTGTAATATACAGGATGAAGATACTACGCGTAATGATACATTATCATTATTCGATTTAGAATTCAAGAAAAGGCAACTACTTGCTGAATTAAATGACTCCAATTCAACTTTATCAAAAGGTATAGAAAACTCAAAAAGTGAAGATACAGTTGAAGAAAATTCATCGATAATTGAGACGCCAACGTCAGACATTTCAAACATAAACGATTCTCAATCGGAAACTGAAGATGTACATATTCCAAAAGACAATTTAAATACGCCATTAAATACACCGATTACAACGGTACAATTAGGTACTCCAATACTTTACAGTGCTTCGCCCTTTAAAAGATTGCCATCTTCTGAAAAGTTCTCTAAAGACATTTGTGACGTGATTAACTTTGAAAACCTGCCAGACTCTACCGGTAAATATGATCAAATGTCAGAATTGTTACAAAAAGTTCGAACTAGAGTATCAGAGCTAAACAAAGAGTAGCAATAAGTCTATTATTTGCAAAGCTAGTTTGAGACAAAAATAAATTAATTTAGGCATTCACTGTAAGATAAATTTTTAATTAAATTTTGTTTTTACGTGTCATTATTATAGCATAAAAAGTAACATTAGTTTTACAAAATGAGTAAAACTATTGGAGATTTGGATCTTCCGAATGAAGCTCATTTATATAATAAGTAGTTTTGACATAAGCATGTGTAAAAAATTGACAAACAATCTGTAAAATTTTGTAAATGTTTATATTTAAAATAATATTTTTACAGAATTGGAAAATTTGTAAAAATAAATTGCGTTGAGAAATGCAGATTACCTTTTCTGCAATACTTCTATCAAGATTTTGTATTAAACAAATTATTTAAAATAATAGATATTTATTCTTATTCTAGTATGATATACCGAAATTATCTTAGCAATTGATATACTTTCAATTTCCATATGAAAACATTATTCACTTTGTACAGTATAAATTTTTATTAATAATATGTAAACAAGCATGTTTTTCGGAGTCGAGGCATAAAATCGATAGGAATTAATCCTAGAAGTTTGTTGCTATATATTTTTTCTTATAAATGAACAGAGCTTAAAAATTATGAAATTATTTATACTTTAAACTTGTCAAGAACATATAGAATTTTACGAATCCGTTTGTAGTTATTCAAATCATTTAAAAAATCAGTCTCGAATAAGACTCAATTTAGCCATTGATGGTAGTGAAATATTTGTACATATTTGGCAATAAGCATGTAAAATGCAAGCTTGTTTATAGAACCGTCTTTACCTTTTTAATTGTACCCGTTTTACAACTATTAACATTAAAACCGAACCTCAGTGAATTCAAAGTTTCATTGTAAGATTCTTCAAGAGGTGAAATATTCAAAAGCATAAGAGTTTTAGAATTTCCACCCAATGAAGGCATAAGTAAATGAGTAAGTTTAGAATTTCGGTATGGTATGTGGTCTTGCTTTTGCAATAAAGCCAAAATAACGTGTCCTAAATTGGCCAGTGACTTATTAATGTTTTTCGTTTCAGCAATCCTAGCAGCTTCTTCATTTTTCAATCGCTCAGATCCAGCCAAGTCTACCAAATTCAAATTTCCTATACAAATTTCTTGCTTCTCCTTGTGCGTTCCAATCAAACGTATTCTCGCAACTGAATGGGACCGCGACGATCTACAATTGTAATATAATTTTAATTACAGTTGAATATTTCTACCAAATTTATCATTCCTGCCATTTTACCTTTCATTAGATTGCGTTGCTGCTATAGCACGATTTTCTTGAGCTATCTCAAGACACTGATTCAACTCTTCTGGACTATTAATCTCTTGTACAAGAAGATTACTAACGTACAAATCAGACCCTTTACTATCAGCCATTCTTATATCATGATTTTTTTTCGTATTATCAAGAAGATCTACAATTTGTTCATTATAAATTTCAAGAAAGCTTGCCTCAATTTTATATTCCCAGCCAAGCAATTCAAATTGCTTCATTTCATTGAATATATGTTTTACCTGAAAAGAAAACAAACAACAATTCACTCTAGTAAGAGATAATGCAATAAAATGATACTTTTTTCTAATTTAATTCAATTCTTACGTACTGTTCTTGGAATCATGCCTTCATTGTCTGTACCTGGAAAACCTTCCATTGTGTAAGTTTTTCCTGAGCCTGTTTGGCCATATGCAAATACACAAACATTATAGCCTTCCAATGCCGACTGTACAAGCATAGATAACTCTTCAAAAATATCTGCTTGAGAAGCAGTAGGGGGAAATACTTTGTCAAAACTGAATTCTTGGCGTTGTGATTTCATTTTCATTGAAGCTTCATCAGCTTTTCCTACCTCAAGTGTACATTCATCAAGATAGTTGATAAAGCAAGTACTGCAAAAGTTTATGAATATTATGTAAAAATTAATTACAGGAAATTACTTAATACAAATGCTCAAAATAGCTATAAATTACCTTTTGGATGATTCCTTTGGAATTTTTGGTCTTACTCTACAGAAAACTCTAATATTTCCTTTCATTTCTTGGATAGTATTGTGTAAAACTCGTCTGTCTTTATCTAAATTTAAGACCAATGTCGTTAATTCACTATTTTTGGTCTCTATTTCTTGCAGTTTACTTTTCAAATTCGTTAGTTCAGTATGTTGATCAGCAATTAAAACTGCTTTAATATTTAAATCACTTTTATGTTGTTCTAATGATGAAGATGTCTCGTCGTACAATTTTTTTGATTCTTGTAAATCTTTGGCCAATCTATTTCGTTCCTGTTCAAGTTCATTAATCTTAGATTGCAATTTATCTACTTCCTTAGCTAACTCAGTTGCTGCAACCTCCAACTTTTCAGCTTTTAATCTATTAGAGCTTTCACTTTCCCTGAGACTATCCATTTCTTCTTGCATGCTTGTGTACTGCAGTGTTAAATCTTTATGCTTCTGTTTCAAGGCTGACAGTTCAATATTAGCATGTTCAAATCGACCTTTAAAATCCCATTTGTTTAACTTAGGAGCTGCAGATTTATTTACTGCTGCTGCTGCAGACGCAGTTGTTGTTGGTCTTGCTCTGTTGCCTATAGGACCAACCGAAGTTGTTGGCCTAACTGGTCTCACTATTGACTTCATTGTTGTTTTTAAGTTGGCTCTTTTGGCTTCAACAGTAACATTGTTAGTTAGAGCTGGACGTTTTTGAGCACCTCGAGCCATGGTGATATTATTTTTTATTGCTGTGGCTTTCATTCGAGTTATGGGTGCTTTATTTTCATCTATAGTTTTTGCTTTATTTTCATCTATAACTTTTGCAGAGATATTTGTAGCAGTTTTATTTTTCATGTTGCTTGAATCTTTATTCATTTTGACTGATTCAGTACTAGTTGATGCAATAAATGACTTCAAAGATTCAACAGTTGAATTTCCATTAGCTGTTCTTGCAGGTACTTTAAATTGAAAATTAAGTTTTGGAAGACGTGATTCCATCTGAAAAAAAAAAAAAAAATATTTTTTACAACTCTATCACTGGTAATTGTATTATTTTTTAGCATCAGTGACTTACTTTAAGGAATTGTAGTCAGATTTAATGTTTTTAAAATAATTTCTCTACCTAAAATCACAATAAACCATTTCGAGAATATTTTTAACTGAATTAAACTAATTATTCAACAAGTAGTTAATTTTTATTCAAAAAAGTTGCAGATATTTGTTTGGCAATTAGAATAATAATCAAACATATTGTCAGTGAAAATAATAAAAGTTTACGTAAAAGTAAAAGACTATTTACTAACTATTTTACTAATGTGTAAATAAAAAACTAGAACCAACCTTCTATAATATCAATATTTAGTCGCAAACTTGGGTTCGTGCCGTCACAACAAAGTAAACAATCTACTCAGATTCACGTACTAGCCACGGAATTACAGTGATTACAGGCTCGTAGAACTTTGGTTAGACATTTTCTTCATTTGTCTGAATATATCTATTTGTCACTATTATTTTGGTAAAGACACGTTAAATCCTAGCACCAAAGATCGTACTACGTTTTCCCGTGCCCATCGAAAAACGACAGTTGATACATGAATCTCTTCGGAAAGAGCGTTAATTTTTGAATCTCTTTCAATGTTCAGTTTGTCTCGAAAAGTCTCCAATCAGTAATCGACTTCATGTTCACGTGACTCGTTCCACTGCGCCTTTTGGCGCTGTACCGCCACATTCTTTTATCATCTCAACTGCTTTTATCTACGTACGATTTGACAGCCACGTTACCGACTGTTTTTAATTATTAAAATAGACGAATAAACCAAAATTCACAATGAAATAAAGTTAAAATAAAGTTGAATTAATCGTACAGTAATATTCATATAGTATTTTATGAATCAAATAATTAATAATTGTGACATTTACAACACCGTATTTTATTCGATCTATCGCTCAGAAAACTGTCTGTAGTTGCTGATGCTGTACGAAGTACATTTTTACCATATATATATATATATATATATATATATATATATATATATATATATATATATATATATATATATATATATATATATATATATATATAGTCTATGATAAACGTTGAGTTTACCGAGCGGTCGCGCAACGCGCTGCGGGAAGGTGGACAGAAACACGGCAATCCGCACGGGGGGATTACCTGTGTCTACTTTGTAATTCACGACTCGGAATTAGTGCTTGTTGGAGATGGTTATTCGGTGATTTTTGTAACGCTGATTGACTGCACGTTGCTGCAGTATATAGTGATCCAACTAACGGCGGACTTGGCGCTTTGTATTATTTTAATTGCCAGACTCTGGCGACAATTTAGGATTGGGAATCATCATAGCGAGTCCTCGGATGAACTGTGAACTGTAAGCGATGTGAGGAGGGCCTGATGCAAGAGCTGCCCCCATCACAAGTGTTTCCTGCCCGGCAGTAATAAAGACGGCTGTACTATACCACTGTAAGGGCTACATTGTTGATAGAAGTGTGTGTCTCGGATAGTCTTGCTTGAATAGCAGCAGATGCTTCAAAATAGCATTTCACACGTATAAGGTGTAGTAAGTATATTGTTTTCATTGTCTTTTTCACTCTCCGCACGACACGTAATTATTCTCAGCCGCTTTCATTTTGGTTAAACGTGAGTGCTTGTTGCCATCTGCGAATTCTCGTTCAGAATATTGGACTAATGGTCTTGTCGAGGACAGGCGGATAGGCCCTCTGCTCTCCTCCATCTCGTTGCCCAGTGACCAATGTATTGTTTGAGAGCATCGTGCCTCGTGTGTCTGAGCAAATCTCGTTCGATAATATCTTTGCAATCATTCAATCGTTGTTTTAGCGATCGTCAGTTATTAATTTTTCGACTGGTATCGAATCTTCCACTCATTTGTTGCATGCTGCGAGAACATTGCGTACACTTAGCTATGCAAATAACGACAAAGCTCTTGTGTGTGCAATTGAAATTGAGAGGTTAAGTCTCCGTTCGATCCGCTATCCTGCCGAGGCTCACAGTTCACAGATCTTGTTTACTCTGTCCTGAAAGAATTTTAAGTTTATACTGATTCCAATATAAGACCTTGTCTCGGAATCAAAATTGTTGATTGTGCGAAATGCATCACTATATAATTTTTCGTATACCAAGCGGAAAACAAGTGTTTTAATGCCGTCAATTCCGTGTGCCATTTGCAAACCTGCCTCTTTTTAATATGCTCTCGACGTGAATAGTTTATCATGGATTTTAGTTAAGAAAGCTACATATTTATTTACGGTTACTTTTAACATTCTGTTCATATTTTTTATTGAATCAAATTAAAAAGTGTTAACATAAAAGAAACATTAATAATCACAATATACTCATTCAGTCAAGTGATGTTTTTGCACATTATTTCCACAATCTCGAATTACCAAGTTAAAAGTTTGCTTTTCCCCTGATTAACAGAATCCTGTTAATGTTTCTGTTCAAAATGCAATGCATAATCTAAATCTAAAATGGAATATTCCATTAAGCAAAAGCAAAATTATTCTAGGATATTGTTGCTGTTTACTTAGAATGTATAGAAGAAATGCATTAATTTAAGGTAGTCTTGTACATAATTAATAATAATATATTCTTATTAGGTTGATGTGCAGATATCCCAAACTGGAGGAGATGCTTTAAATGGACCTCTGTATTGCAACATTCTCTCAGCAGCAACAATTTCCTACTTTAATTCCTTGTAAAAGAGATAAATTTATCTACTGGTATACTGGGTCTACTGTTGAATACTATGGCACAGTATATTAATGTTGTGACCAATCCTAATGGTACATTTACAATAGAAGATATTCAACAATTGTGCACCATTGATGGACCAGTTGTAGTTGTTGAAGATAACGGTACAAATGTTATTTCTCAACCACTCATAGCTTATACCACATCTGATAATACTGAGCAAACCATATTTTCACCACAGACCATTAACCTAGGAAATCAAGTTTCTACATCTCAATTAGAACCACGGTAAATGAACTCAAGCCATGCCAAATCACTTTTCCATTTTAAGTTGGAAAAGAATTATAATTTTTAGCCGAAAATAATTAACAAATTTACGAACTTCATTCATTTTCAATACTGTTACATTATTGATCTCATAAATAAATTCATAAATACAATCTACACATTTATTACTATAATCTTTTTCAGGCAAAATGTATATATAATTAAAACAAATGAATCTAATGAACCTACTATATTTAGCAAAGCAGATTCTGGAAATAATAAAGGTAAGATTTATTAAACAAAATATTTAAAAATAAGAAATATGGTATTAATTTTTTTTATTTATTATAAGGATCTGTTTGTTATGCACCAGCCCAAGCTGATTGGATACAAAGTAGTAATACTAATGAAACTTATGAAATAGTAATAAAGAAAGATGCTTCACCTGTAAAAAATGTTGCTGCAAATACTGTAAAAAGTCCACAACACGTTCTAACTGTAAGTGAAGTTGTCTTTAAAAGATATTAGTTACTCTACAATTTGTTATTGCAATATTACTTTTGTTTGAAAATAGGCAGATACGCCAGCACCTAACATTGTTGTACAAGGAGGATCAGACAAAAAACCTGCTAGGTTGGTACCTCTCAAAAGACATAGTGTAGGAGGTCAGCCTGTGCAAATAGTGAAAACCCCACTGAGAAGAGCAAATACTCAACCTAGTAGAGGTGGTAAAATGCGACGCAATTCTAACACCGCAGGTAATACGAATCTTACTCTAACGACTTCACCAACAGCATCAACTGCCGGAACCAATATTCATCAACTAGTAAATTGTCCTCGAGGACCACTGCCTCGATCTCCAATCCACACAGAAGCAGCTCAAAGGAATTCTTTACCTGCCTTAAGAAATGCTACCCCAATACATTCGTTGGAAATGAATGCTCTTAGTGAGAGAATAAAGCAACAACAAGTTGGTGTCAGACAAAAAAGTGATCCTCGTCAAATTCAAAGACAACAACAAACTGTAGTTCTTGCTGCTGGAACACAAAGACCTGTTCCAGTAGCACAAGTTGCTCCACGACAAATAAACATGGGGCAGATGATGAGTTTAAACCGTTCACAACAGCAACAGCAACAGCAACAGCAGCAGCAGCAGCAGCAGCAGCAGCAGCAGCAGCAGCAGCAGCAGCAGCAGCAGCAGCAGCAGCAGCAGCAGCAGCAGCAGCAGCAGCAGCAGCAGCAGCAGCAGCAGCAGCAGCAGCAGCAGCAGCAGCAGCAGCAGCAGCAGCAGCAGCAGCAGCAGCAGCAACAACAACAACAACAACAACAACAACAACAACAACAACAACAACAACAACAACAACAATTGCAGCAGCAGCTTTTGCAGCAACAGCTTCAACAACAACAACAACAATTGCAGCAACAACACGCTCAGCGACAGGCACAGCAGATACAGGCTCAAGCTCGTCAACAGATGCAACTTACTGTGATGGCTGAAACCGGTGAAACACCCATGGAAGTTGATTCAAGTGACAATGTAGTGCAATTAGAAAGACTCAATCAGATTGATTGCACTGCGAAATCTGATGCTGAGGACAATTCTAGTGAAAGTTATGCGTATTTGCAGCAAGAAATAAACGATCCTGCAAACGCAATTGTGCAGCATCAAATTACAGGAAATGAAGCTAAAATGCTTGTTATCCTGGAAAATGGTGAACAAAGGTTAATTACCTTTGAGGTGCCTAAAGAAGATTGCACAGTACAAGATCTTCTTGAACAAGTAACGGTTATAGATGCCTTCATTTTTATTTTATTTTTTCTTGGCTTATTTATTTTATATTTTTTTTCTCCTATCAAGTACATTAGTCAATAACGATGATTTCTATTTTAGGCGAATATTCAAGCTTCGCAAGACCCTCGTGTCTCTCTGGTTTCGGATCCAGCTCTTGGAATAAACTACATTGTTGAAATTACGCCTAAAAGTAGTCAAGAGGAAGAACAGTATGAAAGTAATGAAGTACCCAGTATTACTTCTACTGTTGAATCTAAATCACCGTAAGTTTTTAATGCGTACAATCGTCGATAAATATTTTTTTCCTTTAAAAAATTTTTTCTTTCCTCTTTCGTAGGTCTAAAAATGATAATGCAAATACAACAACTTCTCAAACCACTACAGGACCTAGGGTAATTATTTTATTCTTTTAACTCATTAAGAATTGTGCTCAAGTCTTTTTTACATAAAAATGAAGTTCAATTCATTAATTTGAGACTACAGGTGATTTTTAAATCGGGATTGTCAATTACTAAATTCATTAATGCATGAATTAATTTTGTAATTTCTAGTTCACTTTTATACATAATAAAAATAACTTCGTTAATAGTTTGAGCTAATTGGCATGCACAATACTTTTAACATGGCAAGATTTTTATCCATTTTAAAACATGACCGAAAATAGTTTGAATGTTGCAAGGCATTTTCTGTTGAAGCAGATATTATTATTATTATTATTATTATTATTATTATTATTATTATTATTATCATTATCATTATCATTATTATTGTTATTGTTATCATTGTTATTATTGTTATTATTGTTATTATTATCATCTGAAGGTCGTCTTGTCGTGAACTTTTTGTTGTTAAGGAAAAGAACGAAATGTACTTTCATAATTAGCACAATATTAAAGTATTCGTATATAACGCGGTTATAATTATTTGCTCACGTAGGAAAAATTTATTATAAGAATAATATTGCACGAAATTACTGAATTTCGTTCGATATATCAATGTATAATTTTAGAGACGATGATGTGATTTTTGGAAATTTCATTGAAATCATTATCGTATCTTTTTAACTTTACCTTGAAGTGAATAAGTAAAAAAACCCTCCTCCACCTGCTAAGAGAGATATAGCGATAATACGGAAAATTTTATTTCTTGTTGAGGATCTATTTTTGAACGCTACTATTATAGATTTTTACTTGAAATATTTAACGTTAGTTGCTGAAAACTTTTACGTAAAAATAGGTACCCAAATATGTCAAAGGCATGTTGGCTGTTTGTATATTTTGCGGATTGAGCGCAGCAGATTTCAACTTTTGCATGAGGTGTAAAAGAAAACTACCTGAAGACGTAAAAGCTGTTCCTATTTCATCTAATACGTCGGCTAAAAAGGAATACACTGTGTCTTCCAATGTAAGAACATTAAAATATTGCTGTTTTAAAATAAACTTGTCATGTTAAAGTTGTGGATGACATTCTCGATATTGAATCTAAGCTTATAGAAAATATGTATATTGAACGTTGTTTCTAGTCATTCCATAAGAAGGCTGAAACGCCTAAGCTTGACCGAGAAAACAATACAAGGAGAGGCCGCGGTCGAGGCAGAGGAATGACGCGTCTTACTAGGCAAAACAAAGAGCCAGGTATGTCATGTTTTTTATGAAAAAAAATTGTATTAACTACGTTACGTTTTTACAGCAGTTACGTCTGTTACAGAATGTTTGACAATTTCATCTGATGAAGAAGATGACAATAGAAAACTAAAACAGGCTGCAGAAACTAAAGAAGTAGTGAATCCTCTTAGCTTGACTAACAGTGAAGAAGTCGATACGATTCTTGAAAAAGAGCCAATTATTACTAATAGTGCAGTTACATTTAATCAAATTACATCTAATAGTTCTAATTTGAGTAAGTTAATAAAGATTTTTATTACGTTTACTAATTTTCATACCAAGTTCAATAATTTTCTTTTTTAAATTATAAAGGTGGTGAAACAGAACAAAGTACTTTGTCAGAACCCATAAATAATATGAGTACTCATCTAACGTGTCGAACGGTGAGGATAGGATCTTATAAGTATGTCCCAAACAATGATATTCAAATCTGTTCAAGCGGTTTAAAACTTGAAGTACCATGTTTGGAAGACGGTAATATTTTTATTTATTTTTGAAGTAATTAATTTTCTCTGGTAATTTTAATAATATTTTACTGCTTTACAGACAAATCGTTTATTACGGTCGACATCAAATATACTGATTTGGTTAAAGTTTTGATACACTTTTCTAAATCAATGCCAGTTTTATTTTTTTACACGAATGTAGCTACTGGTTTAAAGATAAGAGATTTGTTAGGTATGCAAGATCCTAAAGGCCCATATTTTGACCCTGCTGGCAAAGGTCGTATAAAACAAATTTTACCAATATTGATACTGAAAAATATTTTCTCTTTCGTAAATTCTATCATTTCATCTTTATTATAGATCACACACACAAAAGAATTACGCTTTTACCTGAAAAAATATCTGAGGAGTCCAAAGCAACATTGAAAGAATTGTATAAAAAAATTTTTGAAGAATTGAATGCAAAAGAAGCTAATGATATTCTTGTTAAGGCATCTCCGAAATCCGTAAGTTACACTTGAATTTTTAATACTTTTTAAAATTTCAAACAATATAATTATAATTTTATATTCTATTTTATAAGAATCAAGTACAAACTTCATCCAAGAAGCAAGTTTCTGCGAGTTCAACAAATAATTCAAACTCGAATGGTGTAATATTGAAGTAAGTTTGTATGCGATACTATTTAAAGATATATTTTTAAACGATCATTTGTTTTCTCTTACAGTATAACTGTTTACCCTCCTCCACCTGCTAAGGGAGGTATAGCTATAAATACGGAAGATTTCACATGTCTCGCTGAGGATCAGTTTTTGAATGATGTTATTATAGATTTTTACTTAAAATATTTGACATTAGAAGTGCTTTCCGAAGTTGATAGTAAAAGAACTCATGTATTCAGTTCTTATTTTTATAAAAGATTAACAAGTCCACATGCACTAGCAACAGAAAATTATGAGAATTTGTCACCCGCCGGTAGACGTCATGCTAGAGTACAAAAATGGACCAAAAATGTCAATATTTTTGAAAAAGATTTTGTCGTTATTCCTATTAATGAACAGTAAGTTGCATGAATTTACGTACTTTGAAATTAAGAGAAATCTTAATAATAAATAATTTTTTTTTTCAGTGCGCATTGGTACTTGGCTATAATTTGTTTTCCTGGGCTTGTTGGAAAAGTAACACCAAAAGTTAATAAAAAATCTTGCGATCAGAAGACATTAGATAAGAAAAAGAAGGATTCTAAATTGAAGTCCTTAACAATTGGGAATACCACCATAACACCAGTAAGCACAATTACTATTGACACGAACGACGACGGTTCTGAAAGAGATGAAGCCGAAGGCGACGACGAAGAAATGGAAATGGAAACTGATAGTGATGATGACGATGATGATGTAAGTTTACGCAGAATATTTTACAGATTTTACAAATCTTTTATCTAATTCCTTATTGATTTTGTTTTTTTTAGGCTGAATCTGGATCTAAAACTGATGCTGAACAATCAAATGCTGAACAGACTAACATTGATCCAAATAGTAAACGTAACTGCCAGACTCCTCAAAATAAAGAAATTGTGAAAGCGTAAGACTTTTAATTTGCCTATTCATATTGAACACTTATATTTGTGTTGAGATCTCATTATTTTAATAATTCTTTTAGTCCTTGCATATTAATATTTGATTCGCTGTGTGGTGGCAGCAGATCGAGAGTAGTAGCGACTTTGAGGGACTATTTAAAATGCGAATATCAAGCTAAAATGTCGGCAGAACAAATTTTTTCAAAAGATACTATCAAAGGTTCCTCTCCTAAAACTCCGCAACAATCAAATTTTACTGATTGCGGACTTTATTTACTACAATACGTGGAAAGTTTCTTTCAGGTAAAGCCTTATATTAGGTACTTTTCAGTTTTTATAAAAGAAAATTTGGTTCCTAAAACGTTTGTTTCTCTTTTTTATAGAAACCTATTATGGATTATACATTGCCTATTAAAACATTAAAAACATGGTTTAAAGAAATCACTGTAACACGTAAACGAGAGGAATTAGCTAAGCTTTTGACGACTTTGGTAAATGAAACCAAAGGAGATAAAACTATCAACTTGCCTACTCTTACTTTTCCAACACAAGATGGAAAATTAAAACAAAAGCCAGAAACCCAAACTGATGCAAAAATATCGAAAGTTGACGCAGAAAAGAAAAAATCTGCTGAAACTAGTGAGAGCAAACCAAGTGCCACTGGTACCTCTACGAAAAATGGAGATAGCAGTAATGAAGCAGCAGCTAAAGTTTTAGCTCTTCAAAAATCCATTCCTCAAATTCCATCTCAGCCTACAAGCACAACAGATGGCAACGTGACTGTTAATAAAGAAGTATCATCCCCGAAAACTTCAAGGTATATGGAAATTATATTTTTGCTAAACTCTGCCAGTTGGAAACCTTAAATTTTCTGTTTTTAGAACAGAACAATTGATTTTTCATCTTTGCTAAAAAGTGCTTAGCATATGTATGCTATATTCGTCTTATTACCTTAAATAAATTTTAGTTTCATAAATGTGGAATATATTATTCTTTAAATATAACAGCGACTTAGTGCTTATAATAAAAATCAAATTGGTTTTTGTTTCAGAACCAACACAGACACTATGGCATTCTTAAAGAACAAAAGGATACCCAGGATACAAAAGTCCTCTGACAATCAGGACGATAAACAGGTTGCCAAAAGACATAAAGGTGAAGCCTTTTGTTTCCTGTAAATAAGTGTTATCTTTTTTTATATTGATTCGCTAAGATTAGTCATTATTCGTAAAAACATTTTTGCGTATAAAGTACACGATGTAGTTCTTATACCGTAAGATTAATAAAATAAGATGACCATGTCTACAATTAGTGTGTTACATTACTTTTGAGAAGTAAACGTTGATTTAAATTTCCAATCGTAAATAAAAAAAAAAAATTCGAAATCTTCAAGATTTAAAAGTGATATTGTTCAATTTAATTGTTAATTGTAATTATAAAATTTGGATCATTTTCATGCTTATTAAAAAAGGCCATTAAAACACATAAAATTGTATTACAAGTTTCATTTACTGTATTCTTTATAATTTTTACATTTACATCTTGACCTTATACATGTATATTTAATGAACAAGTTAATTTTATGTTAAACGTCATTCTCGCCATAACTTATTTTATTATATAATTTAATCATTGTTTTAAAAAAAACTTTTAATACTTCAATAGTTTTCATCATAACTTGTTGCAAAGCTTGGTTCCCAAGCAGTGATCAATTTTTTATAAAAAAAATTTAAGCTTCAACAATATTTCTATACAAATGTTGCATTATAATAAAATAGTATACAAGAAAATTTAATATTCTACTTATAAATCTAAAATCTGATTATTATGTATGCCTTTTACCTTTTCATATTATATTAAATATTTTATTGTACATCTGAAGAATGCACTAATATATCAATTTAAGCCCTGTTATCAATATAATGCATTCACAAGTAAAATGCAAAATTTAAAGGGAACTAGAAAATATTTTAATGAATCAGAAATTTTTTACAACCATTTTATGTTAAAACAAATGATGGCTTGAGAGATCCAGCCTCAAGCCATTTTAGTTTACAGAGGATGGAGGTAATGGTGGTTCACCATCAGTGTCCTGGAAAATTAAAAGACACTTGTTGATTATGATGTATACATTATTTGTTATAGTTTTTATTCTTTAAATCTTTAATACGTACTGCATCATTGTTTCTACCTTTTCCACCACTTGATTGACGAAGTGAATTTGGTCTGAGCACATATAATAGCATGCCAAAGATCATCATGAGACACACCACCATAAAGTCACCTGATTCAACTTGAGCATTAGGTGAAGCAGGCACTATGCACATAAAATACATTTAATATTAAAATATTACAATTAAGTTTTAAATGAGATCAAAATAAAATGGTACGTACATGAAGGTGGAGTAAGACACTCATTGTCTGTGCAATATTCTTGTGATTGTCGCAACTGTAATAGCAGATAATATATTAAATACAATTTCATACTCATAAAAGACTTTTTGAAAATCGTATATTAACAGTGCTTAATATAGTAAAAGTTTCAGATATTTGCTGATTCAATATATTATTATTGATGTTTGAGAATAAACATTCAATGATATGTATCATTTGTACATGAAGGAAGTACTGTTACACAATCATAAGACGTTTACAACATTGTTTGTATTTCACTTTGTGCCTGGGAAGTTCAATGCAATAATTCATTATGACTATTACTTTGATTTTACACTACAAATAATCAGAAATATTGAATGACTTGAAACTTACAATAGACAATAATCGTTGTATCATTAAATCATTGCCATTTAGGCAAGCGCATAGATCAAATCCACTCATGATGTCCCACCTATATATGTATTGTGCTTGATTTAAAACCACCTAAAAAACAATTAATATTACAATAACTAAAAAATAAAAGCAATTTGTTAATTTGTCATATCAGCATTTTCTATAGAGATGATTGGATTTACAAAATGTTGAGTGAACATTCTAGTATGTTTTCATAGCTGATGTTTTTATCACTGTTGGACTGTTTTGATAAGAATATACTATAAAGAAGATAATTTTAATGTACAAAATTAACCTTTGTACATTAAAATACACTGGAAATATGAATAAAAATATTTAGCTTTTAACGACAAAATTAAGTAAGCTCAATATTAAACGAGATAAATTAATAAATATTGTTAGGGTATATCAATTAACGAATGCGAGTATTGTTATTGTCGTCAGCTGGGCGGAGATCGGATGGCAAGAGTGAAAATTAAAAAAAAATAAGGACTCAGCAATACAAACGAACTGCGGAGAATAGCTTTTGCAACCTAGGCGTGTAAAGCGCGTGCGTGCGTCCTGTCAAAATGTTGGAAGCGCTGATTCCATAAGAACCAGATGGTTGACCCGTTAATAGAAGATCGACGAGCAGTCTGGTCAAGCGAGCAGCAATAACACGAAGCATCTGCTTAATTGACATTCGGAAATTGCAGGGCAGTCATGATATGGGGTGATTGAGAGATGACAGTTGTTACGAGTATTGACGCGATATTGGACGCGGAGGCGAAATGAAGCCCTAGCGATATCTTTGCAGACGGAAAAGTAGCAGATGGGTGGATATTGATGGCGCAACAATGTTGTTAAACAATGGTACTTACGAATAGCGCGACGGTCGACTGGTTACGTGGTTAATTTTCAGGTGACTTAAATCTACTCATGATCCGCATACGTCAAAGCGACATTTTGACACACACGCGCGCGCTCAGCGATCAAGTGTACTTGTGAGTGAGACTTTTGCACACACCCACACACAAGTGCCAAACTAATGGACAGGTGGAAAGCGTACGCGGCCGCACAGCATAGGGCAAATCTTCTCGTCGAAGCGCTCACTTCGGCAATCTCCGACCAACTTCGGCCTTGGAAAAACTCTACGAGAAACGAAAACTACCGCGCGACTAATTCCTATTGACACTCGCTTGTTTACACATTTTTTTAATTTTGCTCGCGAGTCGTGTTATTTCATTATTTTAAAAACAAATTTTCGATAACAAGCTTTCAATTTTTTCTTTCAATAAACTTCTCAATTTTTTTTAAATAATATTTTTAACAAATTTACACAATGTAAGTTATCCAATCAATTTTTTATACCACAGTTAATTATAGTGTTTTAATTAAATACTATAGTATTCTCTAATTTTTATTTTAAACAAGCACTATTTACGAACGTAAATTTGTTGAATTAATATACAACATTATATTTTCATCTATTTGATCATGAAATTCTAGATGGGGAATGAAGATGATATACAATAATAAAGTGATTATTACTTGATAAAATATGTCAATTCAGTTGATTGCAATTTAAGCATATTCATATTTTTGCGCATGTATACATACATGTAGCAATAAATATTGCGCGACAAGAGTGTACGTTATTACATGTTATGTTTATAAGCATAATTATAATTATTATCTGAAAATCAATTTTGAAATTGATACGCTCCAGTTACAAATAAAAATTGAAATCTTATTCGTATTATTATGTTTTTCGAGAAAGCTACTTTCTTTAAACAAGGGATCGATATTTATAGTAATTGCTGAATAACTTCAATTATCCGTCAAATTTTTTAAAAATAGCTTTGACAACAGTCGTTATGAATGAAATTATTAATTATTCGAACAATATAAAAATCTACAATTGTATAAATTAAATTGTTAAAATATATGACGCAAGAGCACGGTGAAGTTATACAATCTACTTAGCTGGATATGAGTTATGCTATAGAAAAATTTTACTACATTAATATGCGTGGCAGCATGTTAAAGAGTGAAATCAATTTTTTTATTAATGCTCAGTTACGTTTATTCAACATGTTAAATGACAACAAGAACATTCATGAAAAATAACAAGTAAACCAATAAAAATATAACAATTCATATGTTCCGCCGGGTAGACATTTCTGTAGAACTAGTGACATTTAATTTCTTCAAATTACTATATGCTATTTTCGCAATTATGCTATGTATTCTTCAAAGTGGAATTTATGATATTATATTTAAATTTGAATAGAAAAATCACCCGAGAATTTGGAATATTAAAAAAACGGTGTAAAATTATAGTTAAACGCTGTAAATTTTGGATCAATAACTCTTGAAGTCTGACGAAGTTCCCTAGATTAGTTACCTATAGTAGTGCGCTCGTGGGTGCGCTCGAGTCGATAGAACTCGCTAGTCGCTTACGTCGTTAACGGAATTCGTTAGCACACTCCTTGCAGTTCACAGCCGGCTTTCCGTGAGTTCGTTGAGGTGAGTGAAAATTTACGTTTAACAATAATAATTAACATGTCGATTTTTGATCACGCATTGATTTTTTCTGTCAAACTACGAGGCATCGTTTGATTTAAAAAATAGTACATTCTTTTGATCATTTGAGACATTTTTCAGTGCATGCACGTGCAACGTTCTCGAAAAAAGTTTTCGTTCGAACTTGAAAGAAAATATATGTTTAACTCGTTTTCACTGGGTTCCACCCACGACATTAAATTGTAATAGTGTGCAATCGATCGGTCAACGTGTTTCGTGCTGAGAAAGAAAAATTTTCCAAGCTCCGAATCCGTTACTCTGATGACCTTGTCAAGGTCACTCTTATCAGTAGCACAAGCGTAAGTGTACAATAATTCAAGTGTTATAATCCTGTACCGCCGTCGAAACTTTATTTACTAGAATTACGTCAGTCTTTATCTAGTTTTCGTGAATAGAATGAATCGCGTTAAGTAGGCTTGTCGCAATGTTGCAAGATTCATTGATTAGTTACATAAGAATAGAAGAGAGGGACACAGAGAGAATTTTCGCATCGAGATTCGCGGTCGACGAAAAAAGAACGTGATCGACGCTTGCTTCGAACCTTGACATTGTTGTCGATGCCAACGCTTTAAATACGGACGATTGTTTTCAGGACTTTAACGTTAACCTTCAGGCGGAATATACACAATATGCCCATTCAAAGTATCAAAGCTCGTCAGATCTACGACTCACGTGGTAACCCCACTGTCGAGGTAGGTGATTATTCTTCATATTTACACATTCAATTTTATTTTTCATTTTTTACATACAACTTTGCATTTTTTCAAAGAACATTGTATTTCTGAAGTTATTGTTTACATTTGATTAATTTATTATTTAAAAAAATCATTTCTCTTAAAAAATATTTATTGGTAATTATAATTACAGGTTGATCTGGTTACTGAGCATGGACTTTTCCGTGCCGCCGTGCCCTCAGGAGCATCCACTGGAGTACACGAGGCTTTGGAACTAAGAGACAATGACAAGTCTCAGTACCATGGCAAGTCAGTCTTTAAGGCAGTTGATAACATCAACAAAATCATTGCTCCTGAACTCATCAAGGTCAGTTATTATTATTTTTAATTATTGTCAATAATTTCACTTAAAAGAATCTATAAAATTTTTATATTATTTGTTTAGTCTGGTCTTGATGTTACTGCCCAAACTGATGTTGATAACTTAATGTTGAAACTTGATGGTACTCCAAACAAATCTAAACTTGGAGCTAATGCCATTTTAGGAGTATCTTTAGCAATTTGCAAAGCTGGAGCTGCAAAGAAAGGCCAACCACTTTACAAGTGTGTAATTTCTCTTGAATTTATATTAATAAGCATAATCAGTAACATTTTTCGTGATTGAATTTTTATTATTATATATTATTATATTAGGTATATTGCTGAATTGGCTGGAAACTCTAATATCGTGTTGCCAACTCCAGCTTTTAATGTTATCAATGGCGGCTCTCATGCTGGCAACAAGCTTGCCATGCAAGAGTTCATGATCCTGCCAACTGGTGCTAAGGACTTTACGGAAGCCATGAAAATGGGCAGTGAAGTGTACCACCATTTGAAGAATGGTATCAAAAAGAAGTTTGGTCTTGATGCTACTGCTGTTGGTGATGAGGGTGGTTTTGCTCCCAACATTCTTGAAAACAAAGAAGCTCTCAATCTTATCATTGATGCCATCAAAGTATGAATTACTTTTGTCACTTATTCATCAAGTGGTGCAATTTTAACTTGAATATTAATATTTTGTTTAATTTTAGACTGCTGGTTATGAGGGCAAAATTAAGATTGGTATGGATGTAGCCGCCTCTGAATTCCATAAAGACGGCAAATACGATTTGGACTTCAAGAACCCTAAGTCTGACCCAAGCACTTACCTGGAGCCTGCTAAACTGCAGGAACTTTACTTGGGTTGGGTAAAAGAGTTTCCTATCGTTTCGATCGAGGATCCCTTTGACCAAGACGGATGGGATTCGTGGACTTCTATCACTGCTGCCACTCCAATTCAAATTGTTGGTGACGATCTCACAGTAACCAACCCGGAAAGGTAAAATTCTTTAAAAGGCTGTTACAATATCAAGTTTTTCATATGGCATTAAAATAAATTTGGCTTTCAGAATTAAGACCGCCATTGAGAAGAAAGCTTGCAATTGCTTGCTTTTGAAGGTCAACCAAATCGGTAGTGTGACCGAATCAATTAACGCTCATAAATTGGCGAAGAGTGCTGGCTGGGGCACTATGGTCTCTCATCGTTCCGGTGAGACTGAGGACACATTCATTGCCGACTTGGTCGTTGGTTTATCTACTGGTCAAATAAAAACTGGTGCACCTTGCCGCTCCGAGCGTCTGGCAAAGTACAATCAAATCCTTCGTATCGAAGAAGAACTGGGAGCTGCTGCTAAATTCGCTGGTGAAAAGTTCCGAAACCCTCACGCTTAAAGATTTTGGATCGAAGTTAATGAAACTGGATGTAACAAGATTGATTGTCCTGGCCTTTGTTGTCAATATTATTTATAAATTGATAGCTGTATTATTAATTATTTACATTTTACAAATGTTTATAATTTCAATTAATCTCCACGCAATTTCAAAGATGTAGAAAGTCCTGCGTTTACAACTTGCAAACTGTAATTCGTGTATCGTTAGATTTGTCGCAACGATTAATGTTATTTATCGTGAATTTGTAAATTCATCGGAATTGGACATAATTAAAGAGAAACTTCAATATTGAAGAATTTATTCTTAGACGAGCGACGTAATAAAAGGATAAAATTATTGGATTTTGATGCATGATTGGTACTTGAAAAAATCCCGCCTTTTATTTTGTTGGGAAATATTTAATGTCAATAAAACAATAAATTACACCCTAAATTATTTTTAATTCATTTATGGATTTATATTATCTACATAAGATTATCTGCTGAATCAATCCAGCTCGTGCTGTACAATCCATTACAAATGAGTTCTTTCATCATCTAATGATTTCGTGACGAGAATTTTCGTAGCCAAATCTAATAAAATAACGGTTGCACGAAGCCACAAAAGTATCAAAATACGTTATTTATATCTATGAATTTCACATAATCGAATTAATCTAGAATTGGTGGAAACACTAATCTCACATTTTTTAAAGGGAGAGTCGATTTGAATAGCTGATAAAAAAGGTAACATTACAGCAGTAAGCACATTTCAGACGATAAGATAGCAGCGTCGTCACAGACTGATCGAAAAGAAGTATAAATGAAAAAAAATTACAAATCCACGCAAACATTTGGAAAAATCACTCAACGAATGCGATAAATTCATCCAGATACGTATTTATTTTTCGTTTTGTTCGTCGAAAATAAGCGGTACAAAGCAATGCAGCGGCGAGTATTGAGTTTCGCGGCTGTACCCCACAGAAATGAGTAATTAGCTGATCCGAATAAATTTCCATAATGATTTGCATGAGAAGTGTAGACGATCGATAAGGTGAGAATGCGAGCGGCGGTGGATAGGCGACGGATATATATAAAACATTGGCCGAAAAAAAAAAATAAAGGATAAAGAAAAGAGAGAATGAAAAAGGTAAAGATCGCGAGCGACAGAGGCAATCGCTGACCCAGATAATTTCGGTGGGGCCGAAAGGCGCGCGGAGCCGGCAATCGCGGCGCGCATCTCCCGTCTTGGCCGTCGGCGTGCGGTCCTCTCGCACGCGCAAGACGGAGAGTTGGCACGCGAGCAGCCGAGTATCGACTGCGCGGCCTAAGGTCAGTATACTCGGGCGTGCTAATGCACCAGCCCCCGCGCGCGCCAGGTCCTTCACTTCTGCGACGCGCGCTCTCGGCCAATTTGCTCTCGAGGCGACTCGCGCCTTCTTTTTCCCCGGCGACGTCCTATTTGCCGGGCTAACGAGCGACCCGATGCAATTTCGAGATACCGGCGACGAGCGAGCGCCTGGAAAGATGCCGACACGGCGATTGCGAGAGCGTGGCGCGATATTGCCCTGCCCGGCCGTCGCCCGCTGCATTTCTCTTCGATTGCCCGACGCGAATTGCCCCAGCCCCAGCGACGACTACGACGGCGGCGACACGCGCTCCTATCAAATCTGCTTGAAAGCTCGCGGTTAAATGCGCGCGGCGACTAAAGCGATGAAAAGAAAAAAAAAAAAAAGACAAAGAAAAGGCGGGCAAGCTACGTTGCAGATCGATCGCCCCTCTGAATGTTCATCCGCGAGTACGCGTGCCTTCGCGGGCGAATTTCTCGACGCGAAGAAAAAGCGGAGCGGGGTATAATCGTGGCGTGCGTTATAATCGAACGCGTCGCAACGGAAGAGAAACGCCGGCGGGGAGAGGGGGCAGGGGGCCAGCGACGTGTAAACGCGCGTTCACAGGTGTCCCCTTCGCGATGGGCACTGGTCAGTGCGACGCGAGTCGCGGGTCAGGCGAAGCACGCGAGAGAGCCGGTCGAGTTCAAAGAACGAGCAGGCAGTGCCCCCGCGCTGGCGCACGGAATCACAGGCCGTGGATCCGCGCGCGTCGACCGTCAGTGGAGCACCGACCGCGACGACGACCGCTGCTGCCGATCTGCTTGTCGCCGCTCGACTTTCGCCTCGATTACGGACAAAAGCCTGCTTTCGCCGAGCGCATGGTAAACGAACAAGTTGGCTCGCTCTCTCTCTCTCTCTCTCTCTCTCTCTCTCTCTCTCTCTCTCTCGTTTTTCTTTTTTCATCGAGAGGCGCGTGTCGCAAGTGAATTGCACCGTTCGCGCACGTGTTATTTTCACAAACAGCCCGACGTGACGCTCCGGCCATTGTACTTTGTCCACAGACCAGAGTAACACGACAAAACAATTTTACTATTTGATTATCGCGAGTCAGCAATTTTCGCGCTAAAGGTGCCAACAAAATAAATCAACAACAGCAATTGAAAGCTAAGCCCGACTGTTGGCGGGGCGGCGGTGAAAAGACCTTCTTTTCCCGCGAGAGCGTAAAGTTTGCCCGCGGGCTCGTTTCTCGCGATGAAGCGCGGGGCGCGCAGTTCAGTTGCAGCGGGCAGGCCGAAGTTAGCGCTGATTACGCGTGGGCGCAGAGCCGAAGGACGAGCCGAGAGCCATTGAGCGTGATTCGCGCGCGGAAAGCGTGCCCCAGTGGCCGAGCTCGCCCACGAGGAACAGCGCAGCGTCGGCGACACCCTCCCAGGCGGTGAGTTCACGGCTGCACTATGCTCCGCCCGGCTCGCGTAATCGGATGTCGAACGTCGTCGAGCGCGAGCTTCCCAAGGGACCGTGTCGATACTCCAAGTCGTTGGCCTGCATCGGTGTCGCGGCGGCGCGCTCCGTAGGGCCTCCGCCTCTGTTCGCCCTTTGGTCGGTGCGTTTCATCGCGCCGCTCGGTCGTTTTATTCGTCTTTTCGCGTTTGCGCTCTCGAAAACGCCGATCTTGAGATTTGAAAAGCGCCGAACAAAAGCCCCGGGGCTTGGAACGCCGACAGCGGAATTGATGCGGTCGATAGTCCGGGCGGGCGGGCGGGTGAGGAGGGGCGCGCGCGCGCGCGTCCGGCCGATGACGAATCGCGAGCGCGGCCGGTGCGTCGCGGCTCGGCTCGCCGCGGGTCAGTGATTCCGTCCGCGGTCGGCGGGCCGCGACGAGCGGCGCCGGGCCGCGCGGGGGTCGTCGCTCGTCCGCCCGACCAGTCGCGCCCAACGGGGGACTTTCACCGTTGCAGCTCGCACACCAGCCGAGCGGGCTTCCAGGCTCCACTTGCTCGGCCGAGGCTGCGGCGCCGTCGTCGCCTCGACACCTTTGTCCGGAGCGCGGTCCGCTTCGAGTTGACGCGTGGCACGCAATTGCGGATCATGCGCCGGATCCACGTTTCCGCAGCTTTGTGCCTGGGTATGAGGCGAAACCGGCGGATCCGCAACGCTCGACTTTTCACACGGCGTTCGCCTTCCTTTCTCTAGGGCTACTGCTCGGCTTGGCCAGCGGACAGAGCTGCTCCGAGGACAAGGTGCGAAAGTGCATTTCCATCGCCGAGCCTATGCTCAAGGATCCGCACTTGATCTTCCCCGACAACACGAACGACATCGATAGCGTGTGCAGGTTCGTCGCGCGACCCCGCTCTGCCATTAATCTTTCGGCCTATTTTAGCGAGCTTCCCCGAGCAAGCTTGTGATGATGCGTTGAATGGCGTGTGGCAGGACGTGGTCCAATTTCGTGGATTGCATCCGGCGCTACATCGACAAGTGCTTCTCCAAGCTGCGGAAGGACCAGTTCAACTCGGCGGTAGAGCCACCGATAGCCTCGGTGCACCAGATGTGCTCGGTCTCCTCCTACCAGACAGGTGAGCCCGCGCTTTCGCGGCGCTTTCGCGGCGCTTTCGCGACGCTCTCGCGACGCTCTCGCGCCGACTCGCGCGCTGCGAGGCGACGCCGCCGAGTCGGCGAGAGACCCATAAGAAGAGCGAGTCGGTTCGCTTCGCAGAGTACCTGCAGTACGCGGGCTGCATCAAGTCGACGGTCATCGAGCCGGAACACTGCGGCCCCCACTACTCGGCCCTCGTCAACGAGGTGTCGCAGGAGACCGTCCGCAAGGCCAACCTCTGCTGGTAAAGCCGCCGCGACTCGTCGCCCTGGCCGCGGCCGCGGCTAGTTCTCACCCGAGCCCCGCCTCTCTCTCTCTCTCTCTCTCTCTCTCTCTTTCTCCCTCCTCGCTTCTCCGTTTCAGCGCCTATCACAACTTCCGCTCGTGCGCGATCCTCAAGACGCGGCTGCGCTGCGACGCCAATCGGGAGGAGGGTATCGCCGCGAGGTTCTCGCGGCAGGTGCTCGACAAGGCCTTCCGCTTCCTGCAGGACCAGTGCCTCAACTACATGTGAGCTCCGATCGCCAGAGATCGCCGAGTCCCGATAAGCGAACCAAGCCGGCGATCGAAATGTGATTGCAGCGGGGACGCGGGCAGGTGCGCGTCGTTGATGTCATCGTCGAGCGCGAGCGAGCTGCCGAGCCCGTCGACGCCGAGCAGCAGCAGTCGCCTGGGCGAGGGCCGCAGCGTCAGCCTCGACTCGTCGGCGCAGAGCAACGGGGCCCGGCTGGGCGCGCCGCGCGCCAGCGGCAAGCCCGCCCACCTGGACGTGTATCGCGCCAAACCGAGCGACCTCCACGACAGCGTCACCTCGCCGCCCAGCTTCGGCAGCGACAGTCGGTATCTTCGGACACCGCGTCGCCGCGCCGCCCAGCGCTGACGGCCCTTTGTTGCGCGCAGATTTGGAGGTGGCCACCGCCTCCGGACAACAGCAGCAGCAGCAGCAGCAGCAGCAGCGGCACGGTAGCGGCGCCAAGGAGGGCGACGAGCCGCCGGCGAGAGCGGAAGCGAGCGGCAGTCGGAAGGCGGAGCCCTCGCACCACACTCCCCCGATCATCGATAATTCCGGTACTGTCGTTGTCTCTCGCGTCACCGTCGTCGCCACGCTCGCCACGAACGCTCGCGTCTGTTTCAGCCACGCCGACGCAGCGCTCCTCTGGCTACGGTAGAGGGATCAACTGGGCACCCAGCAGCAGCAGCAGCAGCTCCATCGGCACCACCAAGGACATCCCAGACTGGGCTACCAACACGTGGCTCGCGCACGGCCAGGTGAGGCAAGCGGTTGCCGGCTGAGCCGACTATATATACGCGCGAGCGCTGAACGCGCGGCCTTTTCGCAGGAGCTGACGACGGAAGAGATCTATCCGGCGGCGGGAAGCTTCGGCGGAAATAACATCGACGAGCCCAATCAGCAAGGCCTCTCGAGGAACTCCTCGCCGCTCTCTCCGTCCTCCACGGCTACTCTTGCCCTCTTCCTCCACCTCCTCGTCGCAGCCATTCTCAACGCTCGCGTCGCGTGAACTCGGCGCCTAGACGCATAATGGTTTTACCATGAATTATTTATAAGGACGTCGCACAGCAAATAATGTAGAAATAAAGATATTATTATGAGAACATTAATGAGCTCCCCCCTCCCTGTAAGCCCGATCGGACGACTGTTTATCCGCGAGTGGCGTTCGCTCGTCGACTCGAGAGATCGATAGGAGCGAAAGAGCGCGGAGCGCACGATAAGCGCTGCGCTCGTCGGGTGCCGCCCGCAGTCACGCGGACCCGTTGCTCGCGTCCAGACAGCGCAGCGCGGACGGATCGATTCTACGCGGCATCTCTCTGCAGCCACAGCGCCCGAATCCTTCCGCACCCGAGGTAAGCCGCCGAGCACTCGCGCATTGTACTCGAGCGAGTCCTCTCGTTTCGTAGAGAGAGGGCGCGTTGTCTGCCCGTGAACGACTCTCGCGCTTCGGTAGGCGCGACTTTAATCGCGTTTGCTACGCCGCTCGTGCGGGCGGCGCACGTGCGATTTCGCCCCGGATCGATATCTTATCGAGCGCTCCTGCAACTTCATTTTCGCTATCTCGAGTCAGGCTTACGTAATGGCCCGCTTATCGCGCGTTTGGTCGAAAACAAGCGACATAACCGAGTATTTTTTTTTTTTTTTTTTCGTTGCCCTCGACGAGGAACGGGACGCGCGTCGTTCGCTGATACAAAACAAGTGAATCGCAGCGATCGGAGACAAGCCTCAAGGCCAATTTCGTCGATCCAGCTTTCGACACTCGACCACGAGGCGAAAGCGCGAAGGAGAGTCGCGCGCAGCGATCGTTCAGCGAGACTCGGTGATCGGCAGAGCAGACGGCGGCAGCATGGCGACGAGATGGGGCATCGCCAGCGCGGGCAAGATCTCGCACGACTTCGCCACGGCCCTGGCGACTCTGCCCGCGTCGGAGCACAGGCTGGTGGCGGTGGCGGCGAGGGAGCTCGATCGCGCCAAGGACTTCGCTGGGACGCACGGGGCGGCCAGGGCGTACGCCAGCTACCGGGAGCTGGCCGACGACGAGGAGGTCGGTAAGTAGTACATCGTCGCTCGCCGTCCGTCCTCGCCACCGAGTGACGGGCGGGGCGCGGCGGTGCTCCTCTGCCGCGCAGAGATCGTGTACGTGGGCGCGCTGAACCCGTTCCACCTGGAGGTGGGCAAGATGATGCTGAACGCGGGCAAGCACGTGCTCTGCGAGAAGCCGCTGGCCATGAACCTCGAGCAGTGCCGCGAGCTGATCGAGCTGGCGCGCGCGAGGAAGCTGCTGCTGATGGAGGCCATCTGGAGCCGCTGCTTCCCCGCCTACGAGAGTCTGCGCGCGGAGCTGGCCAAGCGGAGCATCGGCGAGGTCAAGCAGGTCATCGCCAGCTTCGGCTTCAGGCTTGCGGACGTGGATAGGCTCGGGTAGGCTCGCCAGAGCAAAGGAGAGAGAGAGGAGAGAGCAAGCGTGTGCGCGTCTTTTCAGCGCGAAGAGGCTGGGCGGCGGCACGGTCCTCGACTTGGGCGTGTACGTCATCCAGTTCGTCTGCACGGTGTTCGGCCACGAGCGGCCGACGGAGATCAAGGCCGTGGGCCACCTGAACGCCGAGGGCGTGGACGCGTCCATGTCGGCCTCGCTGACCTACGCGAACGGGCGCACCGCCACCGTCGTCACGCACGCCGAGTGCGAGCTGCCCAACGACGCCCACGTGATCGGCACCCACGGCAGCATCCGCCTGCCCCAGTTCTGGTGTCCGACCAGGATCGAGCTGCCCGGCGGCTCGGTGGAGGAGGTGCCGCTGCCGGCGCCCAGGCACAAGCTCAACTTCGTCAACAGCACGGGGCTGCGCTACGAGGCCATGGAGGCTCGCGAGTGCATCCGCAGAGGTGAGTCGGTCGCAACTCGACCGCCGTCGAGAGACTCGAGTGCAGCGCTGCTCCTCCCGTCCGCAGGTCTGCTCGAGAGCCCGAAGGTGACGCACGCGCACTCGCTGCTGATCGCCGAGATCGAGGACGAGCTGCGCCGCCAGTTGGGAGTGGTCTACGACGTGGATTGAGGCGACTCGGCGACAGCGCGCCTTCATTTGTAACACGTCGAACAACGGAGGAACGCAGCGGTACACATGCGCGACAACCACGGTTGCGCTCGTCCTAAGCGTCCTTCTCTCCTGACAATACAAATATAATACGTTGAAAGACCGAACGACGCCGTTGTTTTACCTCGGCGTCCCCGCGTGGCCAAGACGTCGGGCCGCCGCCTCCAGGAAGAGCCGGCGCCGGGAGGGCTCAGAGCTGTCGCCGCGTCTCGGGGGGGCTGGTCGGCTCGCGCTGCAAGCACACGACAGGCGCGCGTGGAGCGACGGCGGCGCTGGCGACGAGCGCGTACTCACGCTGCTCAGCAGACCGCAGCACCGGCCCGCCCGGGCGTCTTTGGCGAGGCGCCGCCGCACGTACGTGGAGTAGAGGTGCTCGAGCAGCAGCAGGAAGGCGGCGATGAGGGTGCCGACCATGAGCATGAGGAAGGCGCTGAGGAACTGCTCGAGCGCGAGCGGGTCGCTGCTCTTCTGCACCTCCTTGTCGGGCCTGCAGGTGCCGGTCATCCAGAAGCGCCGCAGCCTCTCCAGGTCGCCTGCGCGGCGGCGTGCGTCGGACATGAACGAGCGTCAGGCCGAGATCGGTCGGTCGGTCGGTCGGTCGGTCGGTCATTACCGTTGTCCCGGTACTCGAGCAGCTTCTGGTTGAACATCTTGAGGAAGCGCGAGTTGCGCGGGAAGGCCAGGCCGTAGCCCGTCATCGCGTACCAGGAGCCGACGGTGAGCAGCCGGCAGTCCTGGTCCTGCGACACCAGGTAGTCGATCACCGTGCCGTCGTAGATGAAGGCGTCCAGGTCCCTGCGAAAGCCACGCGCCCGCGCGTCGTTAGGCGAAGCTCGGACGGGCAGCGCGCCGGCGCCATGCGATTACCCGTTGACCACGGCCTCGACGCCCTCGGACACGCTGCCCTTGCTGTGGGTGCGCATGTAGGCGTACATCTCCTTGAAGTACTTGGCGAGCACGCTGTCGGTGTGGGTGAAGGGCACGGTGCCGAACTTGATGGGCGGCTTGTGGGACGTGGGCCGCGCGAGCCGCTGGTCGTCCACGCCGCTAAAGTCGAAGAACTCCTCGCGGGTGATCATGAAGGCCGCCAGATTGGCCGTGTAGATGGCCAGGAACACCACGGCGAACATCGCCCACACGTTGGTCATGAACCTGCCAACAGCGGCGGAGGCTCGCGTTTCTAGGTCTCGTCTCCCCCGAGCAACGCCTTTGGCGGCCGCGCTACCTGGCCGTGAATCCTCGCGGCGAGTCCACGTGCACGGCCGCCTGGAAGAGCACCGCCCAGACCAGCCAGTAGACGCGGCACAGCGAGAAGCGGTGCTGCTGCCTCGGCGGCTTGGCCGGCTGCTGCAGCGGCTCACGCTCGTGCCGGTAGCGATGCCGCTGGTGCTGCCGCTGGTGCTGCCGGTGCTGCTGGCGCCGCTGCTGCGGTCAGCGCGCGAGCGCGCGGATCAGTCCCTCGACTCGGCCCCCACCCACCTCGACGCGCCACCCCGACAGCGACAGGCACAGCCAACGCGCGTCCGCGGCCGCCGTTCGGTCGCGCGTCCGCGGCGAGGCGACGAGGCGGCTCGCGGGCGCACGAGCGCAGCGCGGCAGAGGACGAGGTGACGCTCGGCGCGCCTCCTCGCCCGTCGGCAAGCTCGTCATGCGGGCGCGAGCACGGGCAGAGCAGCTGCATGCGGCAAGCGAAGCGGGCATGCGTTGCGCGTCGAGCCAACTGGCGGAGCAACGAGATCGATGTAGCGGCTTGGCCACGCGCAGTCTAATAGGGATGGCGTTGCGCTCGAGGCTGCGGCAGCGGTGTGGTGCACGTATAATGGTACATATAGAAAGCACTTTGGACCGCGCACAGAGGAAGGACGGGCGGGAGGGAGAGTGAGCGGCGGCGAGAGGGGCTGGGGAGCGAGGGCGAGTAAAAGAGGGAAGACAGACAGAGATACCGGCTTTGGTTTCGTGCCCGCGGAATAATCGGGCATGCCGAAGCTAGATGGCGAGAGCCACTCGAAGAGGAAAATCATGAATGTTGCCGAGTGTATTGCCACAAAGCCAACGAGCATCCAGGAAGCAGTGTCGAACGGCTCTGAAAATATGTCACAACAGTTTTATCTCTGCGGCTCGCCGGTCGGACGGCTCCTCTCCGCCTTGCTGTGTCCCTCGCTGTTTTTTTTTCTTTTCTTTTCTTTTCTTTTTGTTTTTAAGTCATTATGCCAGCGCGCCCTGCTCGCCTACCTCCGCCGCCCGCTGATCTACTCGACTCACGGGGGGGTCGGCGGACGAGGAGGGCATCGCTCGTTATCTTTTAGTTCACTTGCACTTTCTACTTGTATTATCAGACTTTGCTTTATCCCGCGGCTTATTCAGTTGGTTTTATTTTTTAAGGTGTACATATCGTACGAAGAGATAGATAGATAGATAGAAAGAGAGAGAGAGAGAGAGAGAGAGAGAGAGAGAAAGAGAAAGAGAAAGAGAGAGATCGACTACGCGCTATACATGCGCTGGCTTTAATGTATAGAGGATGCAAATTGCCAGTGGACCGCGGTGGAGGGGCCGGGGGAGGGGACAAAGCGACGGGGAGCCCGACGACGGACTAACCTAGGAAAGCGGTGGGCGAGATGATGCCGGTGCGCTTGGCCACTACGATCGCCGAGCCCGTCTCCATGAACGGCACCGAGAAGTCCACGACCGCCTCTCGCTCCGAGTTGATCTTCAGGGAGGTCATCACCATGTCCGTCTTCCGGTTCACCAGCTCGGCCATCAGTCCGTTCCACTTGCCGTTCTGCAAGCGTTCCATGTCGCCCGTCAGTTTCGTGCTTATGACGCTCTCGCGCGAGCCTAGCCAAGCCCGCCGCCGCCGCCTCCGATCCTCCTTTAACCTTTTTCGTCGTCTAAGAAGAGCAACAATAGCGCGCGCAAGCGAGAGAGAGAGGCGGGGGTCTTTGGTCAGAGAGGCATGAAAAGCGCGCTGCGTTCGTCTTTGGTCTTCTCTCAAAGCGCGAGGAGGATGTCGGCGCGGGCGGAGGGCGTGGAATCGATCGGCCGCGGCGACGGGCTGCCGGAGCGACGGAGACCCACCTCGATGGTGCCCCACTTGCCGTCCTCCACGCGCACCAGCTCGTACGTGAAGCCCATCTCCTCGGAGAACTTCTGCAGCAGGTCTATGCAGAAGCCGCTGCAGCACTGGAAGGCCGTGCCGTTGCGCGCGGCCGCTTGGGCGTCCGCCCTGCAACGTCGCGCGACAGGTGAGCGCAGCACCGCAGCGACGGGGGCCGTCCAAGGATTGATACTCACTCGTCGGGGTCCTTGGCGACGCGACAGTGGACGCCCCGCTCGACCAGGCACTTGCCCGTCACGGGATCGGGTGGCGCGAGATTGATGTAGGGCGGCTCCTCCAGAAAGGCGATCTTCACGTGGAACTTCTCCGGCACCCCCGGCGGCGGCGTGTGCGTGTTCCCCGGCCACACGATGTCCTTGATGTCCAGGCCGTCCTTCTCCCACGACTTCCACGCGCCGATCTGGCGATCACGCGACACGTCGCTGCGTCAATTGGGCCTGCCGGCGTTGGCGGGAGTCGAGCGCGCGCGCGCAACGAGTTGCACGGAGACCCGTCGGCGGCGAGTCTCGTTTTGCGTTGCGCGGCGCTGCAACGCTGGGGCGCGCGAGAGCAGCCGACTAAAAGTAACAGCCGCCTTCGCGCGAGCCGAGCGGCGTCAACAGAGATCTCGCGAATGGCTCGTGCGGTGGAGTGGCCGCGGACTCGAGGGTCTGTAAACTCGCGAATATTCGATTGGGTCTCGACGCTTCCGATTGGCTCTCGGCGCGCACCGGTGCAGAAAGGCGCGAAGACGTCGAGAGCTCGCAATTGTTGATGCGCCCCCGCGAGTAGAGCGGCCCGTTCCCTTCTCAAAACTACATCTGCCGTGATAGGAAGCGTCGAATGTTCGAGCGAGCGTTCCGCAGCGGGTCAATAAAGCCGTCTAAGCCGTCGAAGCCGTCGGGCGGCGACGTCCCCGTGGTTTATCGCTCCAAGCGACGGCCGAGAGGCTTACCTCTTCCCAGACCAATTGCATGCTCGGCCCCGGCCGTAAATTCATGATCTTCAGCTCGGCGGACTTGAGCACGCCGTCCTGGGTGAACTCCACGGACGGCTTGCCGTACTCCGCCTCGACGGACACGTTCTTGAGATATCTGCGCCGAGAAGAGCGACGAACGTTAATGCGCGCCGCCGAGCGGACTGGCAGGCCGTTGGCCGAGTGGAACGACGCTCACTTGAAGAAGTACTCGCCGGTGCTCCAGCGCGACTCGCTGCTCAGGTCCTCGCAGCTCAGCTGGGTGTTCAGGCTGTAGCCGTAGTTCCTCGGGTCGTTAACGAAGTCCTCCACCCCGTAGGCGTAGACCTTGATCGCCGTCGCTATCTCGTTCACGATGCTCGTGCTGCTCGTGTCGAAGTGCACCCCTGTCGATTGTCGCCGTTACGTTAGACGCGCCACGCGTGCGCCGTTCTTTGCGAATTCATGGCCTTCGCGACCGAGATCCGATTTTCCGACCTTGCGATCTTCGAGCCAGCGCGCAGCTCGACTCGGATTACAAAGCAAAGTAGCCTCGCACCTCGTTTCATTCCACTCGACTTTCGTGCCCGAGGCGGCTCGCGAGTTTCGTTCAAAGTTGCCGACGACCCAAGGCTCCGTTTTCAGAAAATTAGAGCTTCGAAGACGTCTATGTAGGATCTTCGTTGTCTCGTCGTGGCTGCGGTCAATTAATCGGTGAGGGGGGGGGGGCACGATCGAGAAGCTCGACTAACGAGGGTAATTCGCGAAATCACAAGTCAAGATGACGACTGAACGGGTAGAAAGTTGGCGAAAAGTTGCGAAAGCGAGGCAGCAGTTTGCCCCGGCAGCCACTCAAAAGTTACGAACGCAACGACACGAACGACTTCGATCGCTGAAAAGTACCGAGTAAAATGAGCTTTTCGACGCTCGCGAGCGGACTGGCCCGCGGATGATTTCCAATGGCTCCTCGTTTGCCGTTTGCCGTTCGCCGTTCGCCGCGGCAACGTCGATCGCCTGCTATTAATTAATCTGAAATATGCAGGGGGCAAGTAGGCGCGCTCTATAGGCTGTCATTTCGATAATACGCGCGCGGCTGAATTATTGAGCGGCGGCGCGACGCAGTTGTCTATTTATGCGAAAAAAAGCCGGCCGGCAGTCGATGGTGGCAAGCCGATACATCTTTGCGACATGTACTTGGTGCCGTTCGTTTTCCTGAATTTCAACGGAGCCTGGAGGCCCAACAGCTGGAACTCCAAGCCCCTGAAGTGACTCTACCACTTGTACGCCGGGCTCTGCTGCGCCGTGTACTATTCGTTCATGCTGTTCGAGCTGCTGGACATCTTTTTGACGGCGGAGAACGTGCAGCAGATGGTCGAGAACATGATTCAGCTGCTGAACGTGGTGAACGTGGCTTGGAAGAACCTGTCCTTCATGACGAACCGGTGAAAGATCAAGGAGTTGATCGGGCTGTTCTTGGACGAGCTGGCGGCGCCGCAGACGGCCGAGGAGCGGGAGATACAGCGGAAATTCGACACGGAATCCAGGTTGGTCGCGCGTGCACTCGGCGAGAGCGCGCCGCTGCCGGAGCTCTGGCCAGCCGCCTGTTTCTAGGAGGAACGCGCGAATACTGTGCAGCGCCTACACCGTGTCCGTGTTCACCTATGCCTATATGCCGTTCTTCGCGTCGGACGTGGAGGACCGCGTGCTGGTCTACCGCGAGTGGCTGCCCTACTCGCTGGACAACGTCCACCGCTACTACTTGACGTACCTGCACCAGAGCGTAGCCGTGACCATTGCCGCGTTCGGCAACGCCGCCGCCGAGACAATGGTCAGCGGCTTCATGATACAAGGCTGCACCCAGTTCGCGATACTCGAGGAGCGCTTCCGCCAGCTGATGCTGGCGTTGGCCGAGATGCGGGCGAGACGCGCGGCCCTCGCCGACGTTCTGTCGGTCGAGAGGAAGCTGATGGCCAAACTGATCGACCATCACCTGCGCATTTTCAAGTGAGTGCATGCCGCGGCGGCGGCGGCGGACGCTTTCCCGCGACTCGCCCACTGCTGTTCCAGGATCACGGAGGTACTCAACGAAATCTGGGTGTTCGTCATTCTGGTGCAGTTCGTCACGAGCATATTCGTGCTGTGCGTGTGCACGTACACGCTGGCCTTCATGGAGGTCGTCAACAGCGACTTTGTCTCGATCCTGCTGTACTTGTTCTGCATGTTCATGCAGATATTCCTGTACACCTGGTACGGTAACGAGGTGACTTTGCGGGTACGCGAGAGCTGGCGCGCCTTCGTTTGCAACCGGCCGAGCGCTCAACGAGGACCCGTTGTGTTGTTTAGAGCGTCGAGCTGGGAAGCAGCATACTGCTCTGCGACTGGAGATCGCTGAGCCCTCGAGGAATAAAGGACGCGCTGATCGTGTACGAGCGCACGAAAAAGCCGATAATCTTGAGCAGCGGATACGTCATTACTCTGTCGAACGTGGCATTCACGAGTGTCGGTGCACTGTCCGTCGGCGCGACTCGGGCCTCGCTCTAACCGCCTACTTTCCTCTTTGCTCTTTGCAGATCGTCAAGACCTCGTACTCCGTGTTCAACGTTCTGTCGGTGTGAGCGTGATTGGCCAGCGCCCGCACGCCGACTCGAGCAACGACTCGCTTGTATAGGAAAGGCCTTTGTACGTTGCAACTGAAAGTAAAACGAACGTCACGCAGGATGCATTCTCGTTACTGCCGCGATGCCCGCCTACGCCCGCGATGGGACGCGTTCGATTGCCATTGCGCGCCGCGCAAAGCCTATAGCCGATAATTAGCCGCATGTTATAAATTGCGAGGAACGAGTCGTGCAATTTCCAGACGGCGGAAAAAAAACGAACAAAGGGGAAGTTATCGACTCGCGGTAACGTCTTATTCTATATATCTATTACGTTCGTCGATCCAATTCCACGGTCCGCCGAAAGTCGAGCTTCATTGTCTTTTGTTCGAGTCGCGTGGGGCAGTGCGACGGTAGAAACGTGGAATGGCACTGACCGATCATGCCGACGGGGAAGTGGTGTCCGGGCTGTATGTTCTGTATGACGCTCTGGGTCACCACCCAGACGTAGTTCTCGCCGGTGATCTTGAACTCGGCGGCGTGGCGGAAGATGTTGTTGGCCTCCTCCTTGGACGAGTAGAGCAGCATGACGCGCGACTCGACGCTGACCAGGTCCTTGAGGTCCTGCGACTTGGTCACGGTCACGGCGTTCAGCATGGTGAACTTGAAGCGCTCCTGCATGTCGGAGATGCGCTCGCGCACCGCCTGCACGAAGTCGTCGTGGCCGGCGATCTGCGAGGTGACCACGCTGAACTGGTGCCACTTGTAGCGCTCCAGGATGCTCAGCATCGCCGCCGCCTGGTGCTCGATCGACGGCGCCAGTTGCAGATGCAGGCTACTCTGAGACGTGCGCTACGTCAGCATACCCACGCACCATCGTGACGTCGCACGACCGTGTATCGTGCACGCGTTCTCGTCTCTTGCAACGCGCGCGCGTCCGACGTCGTTACTGGCGCTGCTGCTGTCGCTCGCTTGTTCGCTTGTTTGTTTCTCGCGCCTCCGTCTGTTTGTCCTCGACGTTCGCGGGTACGAGACTCGAGCACGGAACGATTATACGTCGCTATTGTACGCGCGTGCGCGTCGATCAAACGGTTCCGATTACGCCGCGTCAAGTCGTACCGAGCGAAAGCGCGCGCGCACACGGATATGGAGAAGTTTGCAAAGTGCATAATAACACCGAATCAACGGCTAATGCGTATAATACGATTGAAACGCGCGCGCCTCGTAATAATGGAGTCGACGTAGCCGCGCGACTGCCGGCTCCGATGAATTAATCATGGAATTTGCCGGAGTCGAGTGCCAAGATCAAGAGAACTCATCGAGAAGAGGGAGGAGGAGAACGACTCACTCGCTCGAGGCCGGAATTGTCGGCGTTCCAGGCGATCACGGGTATGCCCAGGTAGCCGGCCAGCTGCAGGAAGTACTGGGTGCTGGCGGTGCTGCGCCCGTACTGCTCGTAGTTCATCAGGTACAGGATCGCCGAGACGTTGAGCGACAGGAACTCCTTGCACAGCGAGTTGAGTATGTCTGCCGGGAAGGGGACGAGGTCGCGTTAGTCGCGGCTTTGCCCCCCCCCCCTTGCCCACCGCCAACTCACTCATCGGGCTGGGCGTCAGCTCCTGCATTGCCACCTTCACGAAGATGTCGTAGTGTTGGAAGAGCCCGAGGTTCGGCCGCTTGGTGCTCTTCTGCAGCGCCGTCACCACTCGGCTCACCGCCTTCGTGTACTCGCGGTAGCCGAACGACTTGTACGGCACGGCCAGACCCACCTGCCGCGATTTTCAACATCGTCAAAGAGCGTCAGTCCAGTCGGCGGAGCCTTGTTTTCGCGCCATCAGAGCCGAACAAGTTGCCGACCGCGAAGCTTATTCGTTTCGTTCGGGCAGCGGGCTCATTCACCGACAACCACGAGCGTAAATATACATATATGGACCGACCAATAAACTGCGGGGAAGGAGCGTCGGGGCAAGTAGCGCGTACGAGAGCGTACAGTCGTGGAATTGCCGCGGGTGCGCGAGATATCAATCAAGCGAAGCCGGAGAGGACGAGTACCCGCGAAAGCTCCCTCGGGTCGACGGGGGAAGCGTGCCGCGCGCGCGTACACGCCAAAGAGAGAGAGAGAGAGAGAGAGAGAGAGAGAGAGAGAGATAACAAAGACAACTTGCTTTGAGCATCTTGGTGCCGTTGCTGAACTCGGCGCTTCCCTGGCTCTCCGGCGACACGGAGGCGTAGGACAGCGGGATGGTGGTACTGGTCATGGAGGTGGTGAGCAAGGGTCTGACCACGCGGCTGATGTTCAGCAGCTTGCTGCCCTCGCCGATCTTGATCATGGAGCTGCCGCGCTGACCCGTGCCGCCGAGGCCGCCGAGGCCGCCGAGGCCGCTGCTGCGGTCGTACTTGCCGATCTTGATGGTGCTGCTGGTCCGCTGCGCTGCGCCCGGGTGGCCGCTACCGCTGCTGCCGCCGTGGCCGAAGCCCGCGTCGTCCGCCCTCGGCCCCAGCGCCAGACTGCTCCCCAGCAGCAGCCACGCGAGTGCCGACCATCCGCTCCTCATTCTCGTCGTCGCTTATCGGCTGCGCTCCGTTCTGTAATCACGCTCCGATGCGTTACGGAACCGCCTCGTCGAGTATTGTTTATTTTTAGCGAGCTGTATGCCACCTTCAGCCCTCTCGCCCGTGCTGTCGATTTGGCTACGGAAGCATCGGGGCGTAATGACATTTTGATTGGCGATATCGCATGACGTGGCCTGCTGAAAGCGATTCCCAGCGGTAAAATATTGTTTTCGAGACAAGCGACTGACCGAGGTAAAGCTTTCACAAAACAAGGTAACCAAGCTTGAAACAATGTCGTTGGGTGGAAATAAAAAAAAAAACAAACACATCGGTCGAAAAATGTTCTCTTTGCCCATACCACTGGAGCTTTCGTTATCCAATGGAATTCCTATTGGCCGCATTGAATATCCGGAGCACCGGACTGATCTGTTTCGATAAAACACTGGTTTGGTGGGAAAACTTAATGAGAAACGGCCATGCGTGAGACAAAAAAATCGTGGTATTTATTTGTCAAAAAAGGAAAAAAAACGACCCGCGCTACAACTGCAGAGTGCGCTTGATCTCCGCGATGAGCTCGACTAGGCTGTCCCGCAGAATCCTCGCGTAATCGTCGATGCGGTTCTCAAAGTACCAGCTGGTTAGCGCCTGGGGGTCGTCTACGACCTCTTGAAAGGCGCACGTAGTCGCGCAGAAAGTCCTCGCAGGGACGCTCGGACGCGCAGTCGAGGACGGTTCGCTGGAGCAACGAGTGGTAGTGTCGCAGCATCGACAGCTCGGAGCTCGCGCGGCAAGCCGGGCTCGCGCGCACGCACAGCAGCACCGCGAGGTCGCAGCTCGGCGAGGCGTAGCGCACCGTCTGGTAGTCCACGAGGAGGCACTCCAGCTTGTCGTCGAACATGATATTGCTGCGCCACAGGTCGCCGTGACATATGACGTTGCAGTCGCCTGTTTCAAATCGCCGTGGCGAGGCTTTAGAGTGCGCGCATCCGCCGCCCGTTCTGCAGCTCAGCCGACGACCGACCACCGCGTATACGGTCGCAGGCCCATTTATCGCGCGGAACTCGATTGATCGCCTCGTCGTCAAGCTCACGGGCTGCTTCTATTTTGCGTCCCGTTTCCCGCAAATTTTTCATCGAAGCAAGGCGCTGCGGTATTCGGCCCTTCCGAGCTTGCATCCCATTAAAATTCCACGTGAAATTGAATGATTAATAGGTGTACACGCAGAGATAAATTGGAATTTGCATTCCGCAAGCTTCTGGCACAGCCGCTCCATTTGTCTTTCGACCGACTTCGACTTCTGCTTTTTAGAGTGGAAACATATATACGTAGCACACAGGCGCGCCACTTTCCCGAAAATTGATACTCAGAGGGAAAATGTGGAGAAGAAGGGCACGCGAACGACGTTGACAAGTCGTAAACGCGAAGCGGCGCGAGAAGAGCGCAGGGGCGCGCGCATAGAGTACCTGGCACGGGTTCGACGAGTCGCCGGAGCTCGAGGGCCAAGGCCGCCTCGGCCACGACGGACGGCGCGTGGAAGCGCGCCAGCGTGGTGGCCAGCGCCGCCCCGAGCGAGCGCTCGTCGAAGATGCCGTCGCGGCGCACGGAGAAGCCCTCCCGCCGACCCGAGGCCCCGTAAGACCAGCAGCTCCGGCCGCGACAGGTAGCACTCGGCCCCGCGTCCCTGGCCAGAACTCCGCGTAGAACTGCGCCTCCCCCCGCGGCTCGCCCACTCGTCGACCAGCGAGTCGCGCAGCTCCATCGACTCCGGCGGTGTCTTCGCGAAGAACCGCAGGCGCGCCCTGCCGCCGCTCGCCCCAAGCTCCACGTCCACGACCAGAGCGTAGTGCTGTCCCATGATGCCGCGTCTGCTCCTCGAGAAGCCCTCCGCGTGGTGGCTCAATACTCTCGGCCTCTCCGCCGAACTCACCGCGTTACGCACGATCGCCTCCAAGTCCTCCTCTCTCACGGTCAACATACTTATTTTACGGTTATACTCGCACGCGTTCGCGTCCGCGGCGGCAGGGCAGGAGGAGAGCGCGGATGTGACTCCTCAGCCGAGCAACAGCGCGACGCGCCAGATAAGACTATAAATCTCGCGAGCCCGCGCGGCCTCTGCCGGGAACCTCTGCCTTCTGTCTCTTTGCCATAGTCGAGAGAGAGAGAGAGAGAGAGAGAGAGAGAGAGAGAGAGAGAGAGAGAGAGAGCTGGAGAGGCAGCCAGTGCAGCGAGCAAGTGGGAAAGTTGCCGGTTAATTCGGAGACGATCGCCAAGCAGCCCCCACGATTCCAACTTTACCGCTCCCTTCTAAGAGCGAAAGGGCTTCGGATCGCGCGCATACCGGCAAGACAGATACGCTGAGGTTTCGCCTCGACCTCCGGCGAGAGTGACGGATCAGCGGCTTTTACGAGTCCGCTCGTGGGAAAGCTAGGGCGAGTACAATACATTAGGTTGGAGAAGGCACGTGCAATGTACTCACCGCTGTCGCTGTTCGTCGTCCTCGAGGCTCCCGCGACGAGGGGGACGCCCCGTCGATCCGCCGGGCTGCGCTCCCGCCGCCGTCATCCTAACGGCGCTGGCCGCCGTCGCAGCTTTCGCCCACCTGCGCGCACACAAACGCACGCGCGCTTGTACGCGAACGTGAGTTCTCCTTGCGTCGTCACGTCCGACTACTGACCGAGCTCGACTACTAGGTGCCGCCCGATATCGAATATCGTTTCTGCCGTGTAGCGCGGCGCCACCCTTGTCCCTCCAGACCCGTATAGACAGTCGATCGACGGGGCTTTGGCAAGCCCATCGATTTCGGCTGTGCGCTCCCGCGGATTTATTTCATTCCTCGGCCTCGGCCGGTATCGGGCTTTTTTCATTCAATCGCTCGCACTCGCTGAACGCGAGCGCAATTCCAATGCGGCGAGCGGACGTCGTCGCTTTGTGGACGCGTTTGTGCAGACGCTCGGTTATCGGATTCCGGATCCCGGTCGAGAGCGAGGGAGAAGCGCCCGACGCACCGGCCGACACCGACCACCGAGAGCCGCTGTCTCGGCCCGCGTCCTCCGGCAACGCTGTGACGGCTAATCGGTCGCGCACCGTCGGCGGCGGCAATCGGAGAGAACGAATTCTCACGCCAATTCCAGTCGCCGATCAGTTCATCTCGCCCGCGCGCTCCACTTGAACGCTCGACGAGGCAGTTACTCGACGTATTTCCGCTTGCCGTCGTCTCTCAGCCGGGCTGCGCGAACGCGCGCTGGTGGGATCGCGGATTTCCGAGCCGAGCGCGCGCGCGTGCGGCCTATAAATATTGGATTCCGATGAGCGAAAGGGCGGCGGTGGTCCGTCCTCGTTGGATTAATTGATATCGTCGTTTTTCAGCCGCGCTGAGCCCTCGTTAATTTTCACCCTTGCGCGGTCGGACGCGAATGAATCCAGTTAGCCTTTCGACCGTCGAGTTGCGTTTCGGCGGGGCGGACGGGCAACCGTCGTCGCAGCCCACGGAATTAAAGCGCGACCACCGATCTTTCGCGAGACGACCGTACCAAGGAAACGTTTGCCGATGGATCAAGTGTTGCCCCCCCCCCCCCCTTCCCACGGTTATAGCTTCACCGGCGCGCTCGAGAGCGTAAAGACATCTCGTGAAGACTCGATCCCTCTCTACGGTCGCTCGCCGTCGACGCGACGAGAGGACAATAGCAGAGGCCATGACAAAGTTGCGCGGAAGCAGCGCGAACCAGCGACGCGCACATACGCCAATTCGCTCGGGGCGGCGAGACTCGCGCGAACTGATAAATTGCAGGCAACAGTTGCGTAGACGGGAGGAGAAAAGAAAGCTATGCGGGGATAGTCGTTGTCGAGCTAGACGGGGGTGCAACGCAACGTGCGCGCGCTCTCGCTGCTGTCGAGCAGCTGGATAAGGCGGCGAGAAAGAGCCAACCCGTAGCCGCCGCCGAAGCTTCTTGCTTTCCGATTCACGAGCCAGTGAATCTCGAGATCTCGACATCCGGACAAGCTCGGGTGGAGGCGTTTCACGTTCCGACGTCGCGTCAGCGGCAAACGGAGCGCGTCGAAGCGGAGAGCCGGAAAGTCAACGGTGGCTTCCGAAAAGGGAGGCTAGAGCAGCGCGGACGCCAGCGAGCTGGGCAGTCGACCGTGGAACATCCAAAGCAGCCTTACGCACGTACGCTTCGGAACGACTGCAGCTTTCGTCTCGTAGGGCGCTGCGACTGCTACTGCTGCTACTGTTGCTACTGCTGCTATTGCTGCTATGCTGTTGCTGCTGCTCCGTCTGCGGCTGTGGGCTTGAGTGGCGGCGCTCGTCGGCCTGCTCGGCGGAGGAGGTGCACGGAGCGACTGAGCGCCAGCCGACCCGCGGACCGTGCGCGCAGCATCCGCGCGCGAATCTCCTTGACCGCGCCCCCGGCCCTTACTCCTCCCATACGCACGCGCCCGTCGCGCAAACGCTATCAGCCCTCTTTTCCCTTTTCCGTCTGCTCCGCTCTCTCTCTCTCTCTCTCTCTCTCTTTCTCTCATTCTCTTTCTCATGTTATTTAGACAACTGGCTGTGCGAACGACAGTTCTATTTCATTAAAACCTGCTGGGACGTCTCACCATTCCTCGCCCCGATGTTCCACTCCGCTTATTTCCTCGCGCACTCGGATTTTCTAAATCTTCGCATACTTTTTGATCGTTATTTTTATCGGCATACTCGCCATAAAACGTCGTAAAGATTGGCCTAATATCTCGTATTTGAATAGATTTCTAACGGACCTATTTTTTCCCTATTTTTATTTTACTTTATAGCTGGTTTCAACCTCGTCAGTCTTATCTCAATACATTATTCGTTTCATTTAACGCATCTTTTTCCTCGGATATCTATACGTAAACTAAAATGCCTAACGTAGTGTGCTCCGCAAAGCTATTCTTGAATGCAATTGCATACAAAATACTTTTAAAAAAGCTTTTAGCTGAACTACAAAAAGAGGATGGAAAAACATTTTTATTTTGTTGCCTTTCAGGTACAGCCCTATGTAAATTCATATCTTCCAATTTTCATATTCCTTCTCTCCAGGCTTGACTACAATTCCATCGCTTATATATTCTATGCATTTTATTTACCTTATCGATCTTTCGCAAATTGACACCTAATTGATTTATTTGAGAGAATATAAACATTATATTAATAAGAATTTTTCTTTAATTCTGCAAAGTTAACATAGAATTACATGTTTCGTGAATGATTCAAATACGTTTTCTACTTTTACAAACGTGGGTTGCTAATGCATAAATTTTCTTTCTCTCAATTTTGCAACATTTATTATTTATATGAATTTACATTATATAAATGGTACATATTCCATTCTTTGTAAAAAGATTACAATCCTCTTACAGTGCAGAATAAATAAGTTATTTTCTGTAATAAAAGCTTGCAATACTAATATAAAACTAAACAGATATAGTAGACAGTTCTAATTAAATGAAATACTAAATTTTACAAAATTAATAATTTGTAATTTTTGTAATGCTTTAGCAAGGATAACATATGGAATGTCTAAGTATAAATTTCTCTCTTTTCATGACAGATATTCTTAGGTAACCATTTCTCTATTGACTTTATAAATTTATAGTTATATATTTCGATTTTTTAAACGACTAGCAAAATTGACTGATAAGAAATTATTCACATCTCTTAGATTTTTATGCCCTGTTAAATTTTTCAAATTCTTTTATAAAATGCGTTTTTTTGTCATCCAAGTTTCTGAACTTGAATTCCTGACTATACTATGTACTCCTTGTAGATTCCGAGTAGTTTCTAAATTAAATGGCTCAAAACCTGCAATAAAATTAAAGTCAATGAGTAGCTTAAATTATCAAGCTAAAGAAGCAAACAGAACAATTATTTTATTAATTAAAATAACCTTTGAGTCGTGAACTAGGTTCATATTCTCGATAATAAGTTACTAAACCACTGCTACTATTGTTTGAAGAGTTGCCATGCTGCTGATTCTGACAATCATCTAATTCTTTAGTCACTGAATTCCAAGCTGAAAAAAATAGTTGAATGAAAACAACAAACAAATCAACGATTTACATGCTTAGTAACAACATCTTACATTCGTGTATGTACTTGATTAAATCAAAATGCTGTGAACTTGATTCATTATGATGATGATAAAGAGGCATTGGCAATGGCCTCTTTCTATTTCCATTCGTTGTTGTCATTTGGGCCTTCCAGCTGAAAATATAAAACAATCAATGAACTGTTTGATTAATGAATTTGAGTTATATTTTCTTGACATTATAAAAATTTATCAGTATTACAAAGACCATGTTTAATTCAGTTTGTCTAAACATGCTAATTATCATATCAAAACAAAAGAAGTAATCAATCATAACGCAAATATCAATATAAGTTGTAGTAGCCAAACACTAATAACGCAGATAGTTCGAGCATCATAACACTTTCATGATATTAACACTCCGAAACATTAATAGCTAGCCGTATATCGTGTACATACAATGTTTCCCGCCTTCACTCGCTCGACCTCTTAATTTTACAGTGAAAAAAAATGCACTGGATACCTGAACAAACATGTACACCTATTTTTTACCGTATCGCGGTACGTTACCGTATAAGCGTACACGTAACCCCACCCCCGCCACAAATATACCTATCACTTTTATTCATCTTCCACAAGAGAAAAGAGCGCAAATTCAATGAAACAGGTGGGCAACGGGTTGTTGTTTGACTTGCACGTTTCTTGCTTGGTGAATAGTTTGTTTACCAGCTGACTTATCACAGCTTGACCGGCTGCGCAACACTAACTTGGTCTTATTTCTCTCATGAGCATGAAGACTGTTGGTGCGTCTTCATGGGTCTTGGCTTTGACGATTAGCGCCGTCTGACGGCGAAAAGCATTGGGAAAATGGCAACGGCATTGCCCATTGGTATTCCGTTCCGTTCCACTACTATATCGACGCTACCCTTCTAGCTCTCCATGTTAGATCGGTAACTTAGAACAGTATATATATATATATATATATATATATATGTGTGTGTGTGTGTGTACCTAGATAACATAAATATATATGCGCCTGAAAAGGTAAAGTAAACAAGTCAAAAATAACATAAGGTAATATAAAGATAGAGTGATCAAAAAAATGTAAACGGTTATTTAATGCACATAACCTATCGTTGAACCTAACTGAGAAGGAAAATAAGAGATTTTTAATCAACCAACGAGTAAATCTGTACGATTGCTGTTATTTTCCTACTTCCGAATGGTGACGCGTCTAAGCAATTCAATTTGATTCCTCTGTGAAGAATCGATTATTTTAACGATTCTTTTTAAAATCGATAATCGAATATCTATCTCGAACATGTATTATTTAAACTTAATGGGTCTCAGATTAAACTGAGGTACACTGCCATCGAATCTGGACAATGTACGCATACATTATAATTGTGTAAAATGAATGATAAAAAATGAAAATTAATGAATGTACATATAATGCATTTGATTTTAAATGAAATCAATAGATGTAGTAATGATTTTTATTTCAATTTTTCTTTTGTGCACACTGTGATATCTGCACATTCTACATAGTTCGTGCTTTACCAATAATTGAACATTTTTTACTTTTATATAAGAATAAGAATAAAATAAGAATTAACTTCCAGGTCATTTTGAAAAATTATCGATACGTAAACAATTATCATTTTGGAAAATGAATTTCGCAATTTGATTTTCAGTAAATGATTGTTTTTTGAGATATCGAACATCTCTATAGCGTCTTTCCGAGTGAAAGTGAAAGAGGACGCGCGTGGTTTTTCCCAACCAGCTGACTTGTCAGTTCCTGACTTGACTGTTGTTGACGGAGGCACTACTGCTAGCAAAAGTCAAGATGAGGTGAGCAACAACTAATTATTTTTTTAATGATAATTTTTTTCTTGTTCGTGGTATTTTATCACCTATGTGAATTGGAGAAAACAAGCGATTGAGACCGGGAACAATGTTTATATATATGAGACACGGGTGGTTGTTGTTTGGATATTGATGACGCCTCTGCACACGTGAGCGTCTACTTGACGTTTAAGATTCATGTGTATGGAGACTCGCGTTATCAGTGTTATCAAAGTTTTGCTAGTACGAATCAAGATTTGTTTATGTTTCAAATTTAAACGATATTGAACATAGCGCCATGCTTTGTATAAATAGAAAGTTTGCGCTGGCCGACATTTTGCTAAACGCGCACGAGGAGTTGACATTATAGTATTTCGACGCGGCTATGGCCGTCACAATAAATGTACGCTTCAAGCGTTGAGGCGTCAGGTATTGATATTTACGTGACGACTGATTACTTCTCTTAATTTAACTTGACGATTTGCATGTTTGGACAAACTTAGTTAAATATAGCTTATTTTAGTTTTTGTAATACTGATAAATGTTTATAGTTCTAAGAAAAAATATAACTTCTAAATTAATTAATTAAATAGTTAATTTATCGTTTTATATCTTCAGCGGGAGAGCACAGATGACAACAATGAATGGAAAGAGGCCATCACCAATGCCTCAAAGGCATCATCAAAACGAATCAAGTTCACAACATTTTGATTTAATCAAATACATACACGAATGTAGGATACATTATTCCTAAATATGTAAATCATTGTTAGATCTCTTTTGTAATTCAATTAGTTTTTTCAGCTTGGAATTCAGTGTCTAAAGAATTAGATAATTATCACAATCAACAGCATGGTAACTCTTCAAACTATAGGAACAGTGGTTTGGTAACTTATTATCAAGAACATGAACCCAATCCACTTCTCAAAGGTTTTTTGATTAATAAAATAATCATTCCATTTACTTCTTCGGTTTAGAAATTTTAAATTACTCATTGATTCTAACTTCATTGCAGATTTTGAACCATTCAATTTAGAAGCTTATTGGAATCAACGAGGACTGCAAAGTATGGCTAGAAATGCAACTTCATAGTCTTGGATTTCTACCATGAAGAACAATTGCGTTTTCTTAAATAGTTTTAAAAATCAAACAATAGGACAAAGAACAAACTGTTTGAAATTTGACAGATATGAATAATTTTTTACCAGTCACTTTTAATTGTTGCTTAAAAAATCAAAATATACAATGAATTTATAAAGTCAGTTGAGAAATGGAAATCTAAGAATATCTGTCATGAAAAGAAAGAGATTTATACTTGGACATTCCATATATTATCCTTGATAAAGCATTTAAAAAAATTACAAGTTTTTAATTTTGAAAAATTTAGTATTTCATTTCATTTAAAGTACCTATTGTTTTTTTTCATTGGTATTGTAAACTTTCATGATGGAGATGATAATGATAATAACTTATTTATTTTACAACTTAAGAGTTGTAGAGGATTGTAATTTTTTTACTAAGAAAGGAACATGTAAAATTTATATAATATATTATAAATAATGACTGTAGTCAAATAAAGCGACAGAAAATTATGTGCATTAGTAATGCACATTTGTAAAAGTAGAAAACGTATTTGAATTGTTCACGAAACATGTGGTTCTACGTTGGTTTTTCCAGAATTAAAGCAAAATTCTTATTAATGTATTGTTTATTTTTACTCAAACAAATCCCATATCTAAGTCCTTTCTCGTACTCTGCATCAGTGTCGTCAGCAATCAATTGCAATAAATCTATATTTTTGCGGTAGATGCTATTAAAAGTAAAAAAAATAAAGTCATTTTGAAAGGAAATTTGGCTAGGTTACTGGACTTTTTGAAAATAACCAACAGCACATGCAAACTAGAAAATTTTCAACAAAATTTGTACAAATTTTTAACGAAAAAGTTTGTATAAATTTTGGCTGAATATTTTTATGTACTTTTTTTTAATTTTACGTTTTATTTATACAGCGATCATTAAATCCAAAGTTATGAGAAATGAAAGCCTCTATTTATTGTGATTGATTAATTAATGTTGGAGATTTTGGAATGTAATTGACTTGTTAATATGATGTAGGAATTTTGTGGAAGAATTCAAAATTATTTAATGTTTAGAAAAAAGAAAAATATATTCTTAAACTATAAATATAAATTTATTTGATAAAAATCTTTGCAAATAGGTCCGCATATATTGATAAATTTTATCGTAAATATATAAATAGTATTTTTTAAACTCTGAAAGTCATATTTGTCGTAGAAAAAGATTTCGTGAAGTATTGATACTGGCAATTTATTGCAATTTATTCTTATCTATATTTTTTACATACACCAATCTTTTTTAATTTAAAAATGCACAGGCAATAACAATTTTAATAAATTTACTATTTTGCAGCGTAGAATTTATTTTATTTTATAATCGACTTTGCATGCAAAATTATTTTTCACATATAAAAGATTTATAGCAATGGATGCAATTTATTAATTTTCAATACTATAAAATGTATCTTTTTATAATAGGGTAGGATGAAACATTAATCGAACAATTTAATAAACATTTATTTTTAAACTCGTGTTTGAATAATGACTCTAGCAGTAGTCATTTCCGGTCGAATTGTACAGCAAGTAGATGGTGGCGTCTATACTCAAGTGGGAAAGAAATAGATGAACGCTAATACTTGCGAGAGCAACAAGGACAGTGCTATATCGAATTGTGCGACCGGTTAGGTGGCGATTACGCTACGCTAGCATTTTCCTGTTGCCGCCGCAATCCGCAACATTGCTTGCTGCCTGTTTAGTCACCGTTTGAAGCCGCTCGCTACAAATTGCATACAAGCATTTTCATAAGGCAACGCTTTTCGGTGTCGTTATTTTCTTATAGAAACTGCGTCTTGAATTATCCACCACCATGACGGACAATCGTAAGTACTTATTGCTTATAATTGGTTCATTTTATCAACACATTCGGTTTGTTAAGTCGCCATCGTACCCGCCTAGTAGACGCCGACCATTTGCACCGACGAACGCGCGCGTTCCATAAATAATCGATAGTTTTGATTAATTCGAATTCCTATGTTTAACCACCCTTCATTTAAGAATTTAATATATTCAATGCCATGAGGGAGTTTTTCTTGTTAGATTACTAATAATTGTCTATATATAATTTTAATAATTTTATTATTTATTAATCCATATCTTTAATTTCTAAAAGATGATACTACTTATGGTCTTGATATATTTGAATTTACAGAATACGCAAGCTATCAGCAACAAAATTACAGTCAATATAGTCAGCCACCTCCATCGGCTGGCACCCCAGACACATCTTATCCACCTCCAAGTACAGGAAGCTCTGGCTCCTATAACCAGTATAGCCAGCCTCCACCAAACTACCAACAAAGCTACCAGAACTATCAGAATAGCGAAAGTAGTCAGGATTACAACCAGTCTCAGACTGAGAGTAATTACAACCAAAGTAGCTATGGTAGTAGTGGAGGTGGTGGCAGTGGTGGTGGAGGTAGTGGTGGCTATAATAATGGTAGTAGCAGTAACAACTATGGAAGTGGTTACGGTGGCGGAAGCTCAGGAGGTGGAGGAGGAGGAGGTGGTAGCGGTAGTGGAGGATATAGCCGTAGCAGCTCTGGAGGAGGATATGGTAGTGGTCAGTAGATGCTGTTCATATTTGTTTTTTTATGTCCATATACTTGTTTGTAATTATGTATTTTATACTTTAGGAGGAGGAGGCGGTGGTGGTGGCGGTGGCGGTGGTAGCCGTTACGGTGGAAGTGATGATCGAAGGGGATACAGTGACCGGTCAGGTGGTGGCAATTACAAGTAAGTTTCAATTTAATTTTATACTCTTAAGCAAGGAGGGTTTTAAAGTAAAACGATGGAGCAGAAAAACTAATAAGCATCTGATGGATAACCATTTATTGTCCATAAGAATGAAAGTACAGTAGTTAAAAACCGGAGGTAATATAGCTTATGAAATTTCTTAAAAGGTTTAAACACAAAAAAATTATACTTTGCCTATGAAATCATGTACTACCCCGAGGGGTTTTAATGTATTTAAAGTGTGTCTACAGGTTTAACACACATGTATACAGATATGTACAGGTAAAATATTAGACAGGTGTTTGACAATTTGACATTAAGGTTTTAATGTGTCTACAATATCAACCTTGATACTCATGTATTTTTAAGAAACATCATAACTCCAGTCGAGTTTGCATGTGCAGTTGGTTATTTGTTCAAAATCAATGTTTTTAATATAAACAACGTGCCTTGGAATCGACGGACAATGTTGAAAACATTTATTTTTCATTCTATCACCATCATAATTAGGCAAGATTTATCCATGTTACGATTTTACGAAATTGTTTTAAAATTTTTCTTAATTTATGGCTATTACCTTTTGTCGTTTTACTGGCAATTATTTTTTAGTTTTAAACACACTGTTTGCAGGGAGTGATTGATAATAATGATTGAATAAAAGTGTGCGAGGAGATGAATGAATGAAGAACACAATGAAACAACTTGTACTTTCATGTATTTATTTTTTTTAATTTCATTTAAGTATTTTGCATGATTGACATTATAGACTGTGACGAGACAAATTAATATGAATTTCGATTCTCAGACTGTGTTATATGGTAATAAAGACTTTAGACAGTAGGTACATCAAGAAGATAGAGAAGTGGTGGCGAAGCAGCATATGAGTAGCCACACAACGATTGAATGCTGTCCATGACTTAACTCATTGGTATATCTGCTTCTGTGTTTTAGCAGTGGCGGTGGCCGTGGTGGTTATAACAAAGGTAAATGCACCAGACTATTGTACAAGTCTGGTGCTATTCATGCATTCACTCTAATATTTATTAAATACCCGGTCGCTCGAATTATATGAAAGGGCTTGCAAAGAAATATGCGCATCTGTAATCCCTACAGATTTCCCTGTACGCAGTAAACTAACGGTATTAGTAGTATAAGGATTATATTTTAAACACCAATTGCTTTTTTCCATTATCAACAAATTTCTCTATTAATGACATATTTCCTGGTCAACTTTTGGAAACTGGTCGTTTAAACAGATAATATATAATGTCGGTGCCAACCCTTCTAACAAATAAAACCAGATCCATCTATAAAATAAGTACTATCTAATTGAAAGAAATGTTAGTGTGTCAAAATAAAAGCTAATAAAAATTATAAAATAAGGATTTGTAATAACAAGAGATTTAGAGTTATTGAAAAAAAAGGCAAAGCAATATTTCAGGTACTCCTGGTAATTGTTTTATTCTATTAAAAAGAATTGAAGATGGTCTTCGGTAATTAATAAGCAAAGTTTGTAAAATATTATGCAAACACGACTTTGAACTATCTTACAAGGGAATTAAAAGGCAGCTGGTGGAAAATATATGAATGAAACTATTGTTTGAAGAAATGATAAAAAAATGGTACATGTGTCTTGAGAAGGAATGAAGTATAACTGAAGAAATGTTGCGGCCCTTTTGTATGTGAAGCTGCTATTTAATGATTTATGTAACACTGGGCTTTTCTCATTACACCAGCAAGAGTTCATCATTTATGTGCAGGGATTTTTAAAGGGATAATTTTAAGCACAAGGATTTCAAAGTTATAGTGGAGGAGTTGTAGGTTTGGGAAAATCATCAATTTATTCGTTTGAAATAAACCTTATCTACAGGCAACTATTTGAATTTTGGCATTACAATAGTGGTATACATGAAACTGTGTTTGAGGGAAAGTACTTACGATTTGAGAAGTGTCGAATAAATATTTATGACTTGATGGTTGTTTTGTGATCAAACAGAGTCACAGAGCTACACAGCCTTGAAAAGAAAAAAATGTATCAACTTGATTTGAAGAAAAAAGAAAGCTAAATTTTTTTTTAAATAGTTACCATACTTGTCATCAGCAGCAAAATAAAAATGTCGCTCAGTCATGAAGCTTTTTACAGAGTACAGTCAAAAAGTCAAAGAATTAGCTTAGACTTGGAATAGTAGTAGGATATTTAATTTGACGGGAAGGTCAATGTCACCGATCTAAATAATTGTTTGCATTACAGGGGGATATGGTGATCGCAACGATGGTATGGTCACCCAGGAGGACACTATTTTCGTATCCGGCATGGACACTGATATTACCGAAGACGAAATTTGCCAGCATTTCGGCGCTATCGGACTGATTAAGGTGAACTCCTGTTTGCCACTTGAATTCAGCTTTCGAAAGTTCAAGTTAAAACTCTATTATTGATTTTAGAGCGACAAGCGCACTGGCAAGCCAAAGATTTGGATGTACAAGGACAAGAGCACCGGTAAAAATAAGGGTGAGGCGACAGTGACGTACGATGATCAAAATGCTGCGCGGTCCGCCATCGATTGGTTCGATGGCAAGGAGTTCAAGGGCTGCACCATCAAAGTGCAGATCGCTCAACATAAGAGCAGTTGGCAAGGCGGCCGTGGAGGTGGTGGACGTGGCGGTGGTGGTGGCGGTGGTCGCGGAGGTGGTGGTCGAGGAGGCGGCGGCTATGGTGGAGGCGGTGGCGGCGGTGGTCGCGATCGTGACCGAGGTGACCGAGACCGAGATGATCATCGCGGCGGCGGACGTGGTGGCGATAGCGATCATCGCCGTGATAGTGGCGGTGGTGGCGGCGGTGGTGGCAGTTTTCGCGGATCTGATTGGCGGTAAGTACGCTTAACTATTAAATTCTCGCAAATTACTCTAATTTTTCCCTATTAAAATTTTAATGCGTTATTCCACGAACATCGAAATACAAAGTAGATACAGTAAATCATGAAACATTGATTTATAACTTTATAATTTATAGATTTATTTTATTAGAATCGCATTAGTAATTAAAAAAATACATTAGTTATTACTACTGTTATAAACCCGAGTCCTTTATATTTATTTATTCAATAATAAGTTTATCTTGATTTCCAGATGCCCGAACCCAAGCTGTGGCAACATGAACTTTGCCTGGCGCGACCAATGCAATCTCTGTAAGAGCTCTAAACCTGAGGGCATGGGTGGAGGTGGCGGAGGTGGAGGCGGTGGTCGTGGAGGTGGTGGACGTGGCGGTGGCGGCGGTGGCCGTGGAGGTGGAGGAGGCGGCGGCGGTGGCTTCCGAAAAGATGGAGGTGGTGGTCGAGGTGGTGGCGGTGGTGGCCGTGGAGGAGACAGAGGTAGCAGAGGTGGTTTCCGTGGTGGTGATAGGGGAGGTGGCCGCGGTGGCGGTCGTGGAGGACCAATGCGTGGCGGCGGAGGGTAAGTTTACATTCAAAAATTGCAAATGCAAAAGCTTCTTTTTTTCCACTTGCACTTGATAATTACACTGATGTATTTTTCTGTTACAGTCGCGGAGACCGAGACAGAGATCGTAATAGGCCCTACTAAATTCCTTCAATATAGAAGGAACGCAATTACACCACGTGTTAATTATAACACGGAAACGCTATAAGCGAATATGTACATTTTTTCATAATATTATCAAGTATGCACCTAATTTCAATGAGTCGTGTTCATGTTCTTATTTTTACCTATAAACAATAACTATTTGAATGATTAATTATTCTAAGAAATAGCGCGTACAGTCCTGATTTTGACATAAAGGCCATTTTATGCAGACAGTAATAGCAAAATTAAAAATTCTTAAGCTGAAGAACGCACGACAATTCTGTGTAAAGGTTGTACCGCTTTTACGTAATTAAAATATAATTACCATTATATTATAGTTCTTGACCCAATTAAATATAAAAAATAGGTTTTAATAAAAATAACCCATAGATTAAGAATTAAGTAGTTTATTATTTTCAAGACATAACCTTCTCCTTGATTATCTTGATAAATATTATCATTGATATTACACTTAATAATTGGTTTTACTATGGCAACCAATTATATATAAATACTTAATTTATCTCAAACAGTATTTTACTGAGTTAGACTGTCTTAATCATATTTACAGAAAATTAAGTTATATTTACGTGGAGGAGCTTGCTCAAGTTTTTAATTTATACTTACACAAGAGAAAACTAAACGTTGAAGTAAGACAAATTGATCTATTATATACAAAAATTATATCTACTAAAATGTCGATAAATGTATCTGTTAAATAATATTAACGAGCTATTATTATAAATTTCGATATATAATATTTTTATTAAATTAAAGTATTTTTAAAAAGTAGAATCTCGAGCAATTTTCTACGTGAATCATGATTTTTTTTAAATGATAAATCATAAAAGTAATCGTGAATGGTAGGTTTTGTTAACCGTTACTTATAAAAGAAACTAATCAAATCCGTAATTGGTAAAAAGGAAGATTCTTCACAAATAAGAGTAGGACAAAAATGGTTAGATAATGATCACGAATTAGAATGTTGCGAAGGCGTCATGCCTCCTGAATGTTCAGGGCTGTGTTTTTGCTTCTTCCGCTTCTTTTCTTTTTTACGCTTTTTCCTTGCTTCTTTTTCTTCATCGTGTCTCTTTTGTTTCTTGTGTTTCTTTTCATGAGTATCTGCGCCTCCAATATCAGTCACAGTCGTTTCTTGCCCACTAGGAACTTCACCAGGTTTATTTTTGTGCTTTTTGTGCTTGTTTTTGTGTTTTCTTTGAGGCGCTTGATTAACATAACGATACTGTTCTGGTAACTGAAATAAATAAATAAAAAGGTAATATAATTTTATTGTAATCAATGAGTAGTTTCAGCGCAGTAACAAAATACGTACTGGTCCAGGATGTAATCTAAAACCAGCTAATTGTACACTTGTTAAAGGTAAAAGTTCCTTGCCACCTATAGGAGGCTTTTCAATCACAGATCGTAAAGCACTAACAAAAAAAATATTGAAATATGCAGTCTAAAAAAATATCAAAAATATATAAAATTTACCTGTTGTCTTGATCACCTGGGGTATCAATAATACCTGGCAAATTTGGCAAAAATGAAGATAATTGTTCTTTAAGTTTTTTACCACTAAATTTACTGTATGAATGTTCCAAGTTATTATATGCCATCAAATTTGTGGCTCCTGTTAATTCACTTTCTCCTAGAAATTTATTAGAATTTGTTAATTTATATTCACCATAAAGTAACTATATTCACTAGATTATATACCAGGAGGTTCTTTCATCAAATAAAATGGTCCACTGTGAACAATAGATGGATTCTTTCCCAGAGAGATAGTAGTCTTTAATGTTCCTGTTGAATCCTGTCGTGAAACAACAGGGGACCGGGCACCTCGTGGAGAAGACTTTGGAGAGTATGGCTCCACTTTGGTTCGAAACTGATCACCCATCATCTTGAAAAACCTTTTATTGCATTGCACTGATATCAAAAATGAAAATCTCAGCAACAGATGAATTCAAGCCTTTACAATATCTGAAATAATAAAACTAGTTCTCAATTTAAAGCCTCTATTTTCAATGAAAATATTATATTTTAAGTACTTGATGGATTAATTGATTAGGTTATTGAGCTATTCTTTTTAAAGTTTATACATATTTAGAGCTCAGACCAAGGTTTTTATAAAACAATGAAAGTTACTTGAGATTATAATATTCATATGTTGCATTTTTTTCACTACTGTGCAGCACTTCAAATATTTCCAAGTAGCTTAGAGCAAGTATGATCAAGCTTTTCATAGGTAAATAACTTAAATATATAAATTTCGGAAGTGGAAGCAGAATGTCTGTACTAATTACATCTAGACTATTTGACTTATTAAAAATCTTTTTACGAATACACATAACCTATAGTAATCTGCCTTACAACGTTGTTTTCCTTTTCACACAAGACTCTAATGAAAACTTCACTGAATTCAACAAGATCAGAACTTATTATATCACTGCTTACCACTTCAAATCAATTTTAAGTCGAATTTTCTTACTTATATTGCTAAATTAACAGCATAAAGTTGACATCGTGAAACGTTAATACTCCATTACCCCAATGTCTAGTGTTCAAAGTTTACATTAACGCTCTCGGCTAGCAGCCGCAAAGCGCCGAGTGTGGTGGTGCACGACCAACTTGTTATAACCCATGCTATTTATCTACTTTGGTTATACGTTCATATAGAACTATAGAGTATCTCAAATTAAAGATTAGACTTCAACGAAGCCATATTTTGATTTAACAGCAAGGTTGATCAAGTTCGGTGATTTTACACTCCCAAGTAATCTCTTTGTGAAAGAACTTTAACAGCTGCCGCAAGTATACAGTGCAGTCTGCTAAACAAGTGAGGTGTTAATAATAACTTAAGTTTTTCCGTGAAACTAAAGTTTTTTGTTATAAAGTTTTATATAAAAGGGATCAATAAAATCACATCAGAATGTCTTATATGTTAGCACATCTCCACAATGGGTGGCAAGTAGATCAAGCAATTTTATCAGAAGAAGACCGTGTTGTTGTAAGTTAACCTTCATAAACTTTTTTACTATTATCAAACTAAGTTTCATTGTGAAACATGTAATTTTTTATATTGATTCATTATCATCAGTCAATAAATTTCATAAATAAAATGCTGCTTTCCTTAATATTTTTTATTTTTGTAATAAGTATAAAATAAATTACATGGAAGCTTCTAGAAGTTTTCTTTTTATTCGAATAAAATTATTTTCCTAATAGGTTATACGATTTGGACATGATTGGGATCCTATGTGTATGAAAATGGATGAAGTATTGTATAATATTGCAGAAAAAGTTAAAAATTTTGCTGTTATCTACTTAGTTGATATTACTGAAGTACCTGACTTTAATAAAATGTAAGTTTATTAATTTTTTATTTTCACTACACTGTTATTGCCTAACAATCTTAATAAGATACATTATTTCAGGTATGAGTTGTATGATCCTTGTACAGTCATGTTCTTTTTCAGAAATAAACATATAATGATTGATTTGGGCACAGGTAATAACAATAAAATTAATAACAATAAAATTAATTAAATGTAATAACAATAAAATTAATTAAATTTAATAACAATAAAATTAAATTTAAAGGAAACAATAACAAGATTAATTGGACTTTGGAAGATAAGCAAGAAATGATTGACATTATTGAAACCGTTTACCGAGGAGCCAGGAAGGGTAGAGGTTTAGTAGTATCTCCAAAAGATTATTCTACTAAATACCGTTATTAAATCACCATATTGTGTACGTTATTAGTCTTATAACAGTACATAATAATTTAAATTGTTTTATATTAAAACTAAATCCTAAGCAACTTTTTTGATTAAAAATGAAAATGAAACTGTTGTATATAAGGTGTCTTGATTATATGAAATTATTGTAAGACTATTTATTTAATTTTTTCACATAATATATTTGTTTTTCATGTAAATGTATACACTTTTCTGTAAATTTAATACCAATTAAACATCTAATGAAGTACTTGATCAACAAAAAACATCAGATTCTTATGAATAATATTGTACTATTGTAAACAAAATAAATATCTAAAACATTTTCGAAATTTCATATATATATATATATATATATATATATATATATACACATACATTTTATAATTATACATTACAGGAATAGATGGATTCTTTACAACCCAAGTTTTTGTCAAATGTTGATAAATAATATTTATAAATAATGTTAACTTTCTCATTGAATATTCAAAATTAAATAGTCTTTAAATTCCTATCGATGCTTTAGTTTATGTTGGCAATGATAGTGATACCTTAGGGAGTGTTCACACGGGATCCTTTTTCCTGCGTATACAAAAACTCGGATGAGGCCGTATACGTACGCCATCTCTATAATTTCGAGTTCATAGATTAATATGCGCATCTCGCATTCATTATGAAACTTACCACTGAGGTCAAAGTTATAGAGATGGCATGCGCATACAACTCGGACGTGACCGACCCCAGGTTAGGAAGGAAGAGGGATCCCGCGTGGACACTTCCTCTAAATAGTACACTAGGCGTGGGTTCCTTCGTGACCCGGAAAATTAAAAATTAAAAATAAGCTAGGTCGTTTGAGCACTACTGCAACCATTTCTAGCTACTGTAGCCATTTCTGCTCAGAGCATAACCTTGTATCTTAATAAATAAAAACTACGATTTAACCTGGGTTGGTTACAGGGGTGTTCGAACAACCTAGCATATTTTTAATTTAAATTTTCCCGGGTCGCGAATTTACCCACGCCTAGTGTACAATGTATATGCTATATATGCATTCACCACCTTAGGTCTTAGAGATGCATCGGATGCGCAGTAGCAATTGCACGTTGCGCAGTTACAGTATAGAGGTTCTGCGCAACCGGATATCGATAGCACCCTGTTCGGACCGATCGATGCCCATACACATTTTCAAGTTGCCATGTTGGCATCACTGTAGCGTTCAAAACAAGTCTTCGCATGCATTTGTCTCATTTTTCTTCATTTTCTTACCGCAATCGTCAAGTGTTTCGCACCTAGATTTTAAGTAAAGTAGAAAAATATCACCAAAAATTCTTTTCGCGTGCAATCTTATTCATTTTGTGCAGAATTAACAGTACTCTACCACGTTTGTGGCTTTGTAAGATTCTCCAAATAACTAATTTGATTGGTATGTATTGTTCAGCCATTTTGTTGAAAATATACATTTCAAGTATAGTATTTTATGCTAAAAACGTAATCATTGCTGTTGTATCTCGCTCTAAATAAGTAGTTAACTAATCCAAGTTACGCAACAAAATAATTATGTTTTTCGCGTATAGTAGTATAGCACGTGTATTCATAAATAGTAAATCATTAATTTGAACTTCATGAACTGTCAGTATGACTACGTCGCAATAAAGCTAGAGAATTGTTGGTAAACGAGTAAAAATATATCCTTTGTTAGTATACGGTTTTTTGTTTGAACATTCGAACTCTATATGAATGATATAAGTTTAATTAGATACAAATTTTGTTGACATTTTAGAGCAACAAAACGATGGTGCGTAACTTTGGCCAAAAGCGAAAGAAGAAGAACAAGAAATTGAAGCGCAAGGGTCCACCAAGGGGAAAAGACATAACCAAGGTGACGGGTAGAGAGGCGGCAATCAACGAACCTCCGAAACAAGGAAAAGTCGACATCAATTATATGCACTACATCAGTTCATCGAATCACATGGAAAGCTATGGTCAAAAGAAAATTGATCAAAAGAGCCCTCGAGGTGATTGGGGCTCCTACGATTATTCGGAGGAAGAGGATGATAATTATTATGGCGATTACGGTGGGTATTACGACGAAATTAATGGGACTCATAGTGAAATTTTTGATTCGCAACAAACTGTACCTAGAAAAACTACAAAAACCGCGTATTTTGGGCGAAGAGTGCTCAACGAAAACGACAGCGGCAATAATGAAGAAGATATGCCTGAGCTTTTTTTAGAACTCATTGCAATAAATGAAGTATTAATGATTCCTTAACAGCTTTCCTTTAAAAATTGCATGTTTCGTTAGAAAAACTGGTTATCATTATCTATTTTTATAAATGAGGAATTTCAATCATTCGTTTATTTCAGTGTGAAGATTATAATTTTTTTTTTACTAAAAAACTTTTCTATTGCAGTTATGATTCTATACCATTTGAGTAAACAGTGTTTTAGTGTTCGTTGCACATCATTTGAATTTTTATAACTTTATAATAGATCTTAAAAATTTTATAAATAATAACAATATAATTATTTGTGCATATACTTGATGTATTTATTTAATATATCACCCATTTAAACATACAAGTCTCGTGTCTCATATTGAGCAAATTATATAAGGTAGATAGTAGTTCAACATAGAATTTCATTGTACAACAATATACTTGTTGATTATTCAGTTCACAGGATAAGTATTACAATATGGTTATACCATGGTCGTGAGAGATTATGACAAGAGCATAAAAATTGTATAGATCTATTTTGTTGGAACTTGTCGTTAATGACAGAGAAAGAGAGAGGTAGAGGCCAATTGCAAATTTGAATTTGAATAATGTTTAAGCATATGGATAAAAGTTTATACTAAAGTTTTACCTGAAATTGGTTATATTGTAGTACACTTTTTAGATACAAATAATTTTTTTGTTTAGTCACACTGATTACAAATCTCATAATGCGAGACTCGAAGAAAAGTTGCATGTTTACCAATGAAAAAAAGAAGCGTCAACACATCAATGCTTTTGATTTTTTTGGTTTTTGAAATTTTTTAAAAAACTAAATTCTCGTAAATATTTTGAGTCTAGAAAATGTTCGACAAGTTATATCGTCGTCGCCATTAATAAAAACGTGTTCAAGTAAATATAGACAATGAAAAACTTTATAAATATATAATATACATATTCTATAATGATGTAACTAACAATACAGTAATCGCGTAAAGTTACAAGTGGCGTGAATCGCGGCCGGGCCGCCCAGCGAGGCTGCCCGCCGCACATGCCATCACGCGTGCACACGAGTACAATCATTTGATACGTAATGCGCCCCTCGGAAAAACAAGTGGGCTCGAGAGCCGCGGTAACGAGCGGCTCGCGCCGCTGTGCGTGAGGTCGCGAGGCGCGGGCGATCGACGCCGAGAGGCGAAAGGAATTGCGCTAAGAGTTGGCTACGCGTGCGTGCATGCAACTGACTGAAAAGACTGCGGTGAAGCGGCGAGCGCGGCGAGCGTCGATCGGCGCCGAGGGCCCGGACTTACGACTGCTGCCTGCGCGGCGGCGGCCTGGCGGCGCCCGAGTCGCCGGGGAAGGGGGCCCGCTGCTGCTGGTCCCTCTGCTCGTAGTGCTGCGGCTGGAAGAGCCGGCGCTCCTGGCCGGCAAAGTCCTTGCGCGCCTTCTTGCCGCGGTACTTGCGGAAGCCGCCAGCGCCCTGCTGCTGCTGCTGCTGCTGCTGCTGCTGCTGCTGCTCGTCCCTGTGGTAGTTGCCGCCGTTGTGGTGGGTCTGCTGGCGGAAGAACGGGGGGCAACTGGCGCCGGCGTCGGGGCAGTGGGCGCCGTTTTGCAGCTGGGGCAGCACGCCCGCTTCGTCCACCTCGAGCCGCTGCTTGGGCTGCCTGGGCGGTTGCTGCTGCTGCTGCTGCTGTTGCTGCCTGTTGCCGCGTCGGTACTCCGACTGGCCGGCCATGTGCTCGAAGCTGCAAGGCGGGTGCGCGGCGTGAGCAACGAGCGCGCCAACGGTGGGCGCGCGAGCGGAGCTTACCTGGGGCCGGGCCGCGCGGGTCCGCGGTGCCAGTAGCTCTGCGTGTGCAGCGGCGGAAACTTATGGTAGCCGTCCTCCTGGGCGTCCGCGCCGCCGCCGCCGCCGCGGCCGTGGTAGCCGCCCTGGCCGCGGCTCTGGTTGGTGGCGCGCTGCTGCTGCTGCGGCTGTGGTGGCTGGCTGTGGCCGGCCGGCGACTTGAGGCTGCCGATCTCCTGGCGGCGCTCGTCGGCCTCCAGCCGCAACCGCTTGACCAGCGCCTCCGCGTCGTCCAGCCGGGCCTGCAGCTCCACCTCGCGACACTCGGCGAAGCTGTCCACCTGCACGCCCACGTCCTTCTGGCGGTCGCGCTGCCTCTCCGCCAGCAGCAGCCTCCTGCGCGCACAGCCCGGCTCGTTCACTCGCGGAGTTTGCCAGCGGAGCTCGCGCTCGCTCGCCACTTACTGCTTCTGCTTGTCCACGGTCTCCGACAGGCACACGTTGCGCGCCCTGGCCTCGGTCAGCGACGCGCGCAGCTCCTGCAGGTCCTTCTCCAGCAGCTCCACCTGCAGCGGCGCCACGTTCACGGCCGCCGGACTCGCCTGCTGCGCATTCAACGGATCGCTGCTCAGAACGCGCCTCCGCCGGGCACCGCGCCACTCACCTTGGCTTTGACGAAGCCGCTGCCGGCGGCGTCCTCCGGCGAGGAGGCGCTGCTGGAGGCGTAGCCGTGCTGGCCGGTGCCCTTGCCGAACACCAGCTGGAACTGCAAGTCTGCGCAAGAGGCGCGAGCCTCCGTTAGCGGCGGGCCAGCCGGGGACACGCGCGACGCGCTCACCTCGGTTCCGCTGCCGCAGGCTCTCGACCTCCTGGTGGAGCGCCAGCAGCGTGCCCTGGTGCTGGTCCTGCAGGAACTTGATGTTCTGCTCCAGCTGGGTCACCTTGTCGCTGCCGTGCCCTTGAAACCTAGCCTCGTCGCACTCGTCGTGGCGGCTGGGCAGCGGCGCGATCTCCGGCGGCGGCGGCTTCTTGCGCTGCAACCAACGAGCGTTACGACAACGGGCCAGGCGGCTGCGGGCGCGGCTTACTTGCTGGAACGGCACCACGGGCAGCTTCACGAGCACCTTCGACGTCATGACGACGACGACGACGACGATGGGGGCCGAGCCGGAAGGAGCGGCGCGCGGGCAGCAGCCACCCTCGCCAGCCGAGCACAGCCGCGGGTCGTTGGCGCGCGAGCAGCGACAGCACCACGTCGCGGGGACGCGCCGACCAGCAGTCGTCGAGCGGGCGCGAGCGGGCGCTGCTTTGCGTTCGGCTCGGCGAGCGACTCTGCGCTCCCGGCGGCGCTGCGCGGACGACGGCCAGCCAGCGCCGACGGGGTATTGATCCGCCGGAGCGACGTGCTCGGCGCCCGCGCGCCCGCGCAGACCGCACCCCGCGAGCGCGCCGCTCGCATCCCTATTCCTGCCGAGCGAACGACGCTGCGCGCCCATTGTGCCGCTGGCCGCTGCGCGTGGCTCGCCTGGCTCGTCGAGAATCCCCAGATGCGTTCCCTCATCCTCGAACGCCTCGTTCGGGAAGGATATTTAGCTTCCGCGCCTGCTCGGACTAGCGTTTCCCTTTCCTGAAACAAGCACAGGTGTCGCAGTGTCGCGCTATTCGCTCGCTCGACCTGAGCCCACGCGTACTGTCGCTCTCTTTTTCCTAAGACTTCTCGTCGGCCTGTGGCGAGTCCATTGCATTTCAAAGAAAAACCAGTTACGCGGACGGATGCTCGCGGCAAGTGAGAAAACAAGTGGGCAGGCAACAAGTACCACTCCGGTTTTCATTCGGATTTACTTTATGAATGATCAAATAATCAATCTCCCCTGAAAATATAGGTATACGAAATTTCTACGTAATATGTACAAAATATGTACAACATACCTGCATATTTTGCGTACATAGAATCCGGAATATGCATACGAAATTTAGGTACTTATTACTGAAACTTAAAAATTAATTGAATATAAATTATAACAATTGATTTTTAAAATGGTTGCAGGTACTCATTAGTGAGCTATTATTAAAAATAATGAACAATTAATTACGAATCAATAGTCATAAATGAGATACTTCGTTTCAATTATTTATTGGCAAAAGAACGCGTGATAAACAACCTTTTCTTCTTATGGTATCTAATTTTGAAACACGGTATTTGACACGTAAGTAACTCTATTTTAATGTTTTCCTGCAAACTTCTGAAATTGATAATTGATTTCTTGGTATAAGATATGCTTTATTCTTGCATATGAAACAATTTGTTCAATTGTTCGTTCCTTCAGGAAGTGCCTTGCTTTTGAATAAACCCAGAATCTGAGGCAAACTGTTGTGGACGGGAGCAAGTAATTGAACAAGCGAATTTTAAAATATCTTGATTTTATTATATTTATTTTATCCATTGCGCGTGCATATAGCAGTGTGATCGCAATGCAATTATTTATTTGCCGGTATACTATAAATTTGCACTTCGCTCGCCTGATGACAAAAAGCAACTAACTAGGCTAGTTGTTCTTTCGCTTGCTTGAGAGGGGAGACCTATTTACCCTTGCCGGGTTTCTCTTACCCTTTGCCTCGCTCATGGGTCGCTGAGCGATCTCGGTGCAACCTTGTGCTATCCCGAAACGCCAGCGAAACTTTTTAGAGGCTGAAACAGCCTTGAGTAAAACGCTGCACTCGCCTTATACAAGCTGTAGCGTACGACCCTGGCTAATAGCCACACCGAACACATATATATTTATGTAATCAAATTTCGTATCAACTTTGTAATTTATTATTATGAAGGTCATTATATACCACAATTACTCGCGGTTATCAGCGGGAAGGTGCACGACTGTTGCCAGGAACGTTGTGTGAAGGTGTATTTTTTTCTCCTGCGTCCGACTCCATACCATGTTCAGATTCAGACTGACTTCGGTTTGGCCTTTGCAATGATGTATATATTTTTTTTTATAATAGCTGATTTTTTTGACCAAGTTTCGCTATTTGTACTTCTTTTGCTCTGTCGGAAATGGATAAAAAATAATAGTTTGAGTGTTGAACTTAATTGACGCACAATCAATTTAATTTCCTAATCGCTTATTTTTATAGTTTTTTAATTTTTTATCAACGTTGGTATCTCGTACATTTTCAGCTGCAGAATCACTATCTTCAGTTCCGACTCGCCGCGGCTCACCTGCACCGATCGTTCGGAAGCGATCGGCCAGCGCTATAATCGTCATTCCGATGATGCGATCGCTCGATTGGATAAGCTCGCTCTGATGTATACGTTGATCGGAAGACCGTAGTCGCGAAGTGATCGCGAGTTAATCTTTAATTAGTTAGTTTTCGCGCGCGTTGCTCAAGCGCCAATTGACTAGCGCAAGGGTAAACGGCGCGACCCGCGGGCGTCGTTCGGGCGCGCCGCACCAGGCCGCAAACATCGAAAGGCCGCGCGTCGCCTACGCATCGTAGCGCTTCTTTTGCATAATTACGAACGCGCGCACCGCTGTACGGGAGCGCAAGTCGACGGTAGCGCGAAGCTACCGGTCGACCTGTCGATAGGAACGGCGAGGGCTGGTACAACTTCCGGAGCAAAGTGCAGCAGGTGCAGCAATATAATTCTCTCAATAAAGCGTAACCTTTGTTACGTAGCAATAAAATCAACAGAGGAACCTTTTCTTATCTATTATTTCATTAACCTCAAAAAACTGCTCCAATCTCTCTTGCCACAGCTCCCAATCTTCCGTTAACTCGCACTCAGCAATTGATCCTTTATAGCCTTTGTCAGCATTATCTCGTCAACTTCTTCTACTTCGTTCAATTTCATAGCGAAAATATGATTTTGTCCTTTTGAATCGGTACTTTCGTATATCATTCAATATCTCAGATTACAACTTAATTATTATTTATTTAAAAAATACAATACGTCAAGCTTGTTCAAAGATTGGCACGAATATCAACATATCGGCAATCCGCAATATTCAAGTTAAACAAAAGCACTCATGGTTATTCAAATATTAAGAATACATTACAAAAGTATCTTTTGATCTTGTTACATACTATTACTACCCTAAGTGTAATAGGTGAATCTATACATAGAGCCACTCACTATATAAGGCATGTAAAGTGTAAACGTCAGAAGGGGAATTTGTGGTTGTTGGGTTAGTTCGTTTTGGAGCAGGTCAAGTAAAGACTCGCCTTTACATCGTAATTACGGCTTTGCTCGTTACAATTTCTTTTTCTAACGCCCTATTATTCCGTGGCCGTTTGTAAATATCGTCGATACGCGAGAGCAATTGACTTTCGTGTATAGCACTGAAAGCGAAATTCACGCAAAGCGGTGCAGAGGTTAAGTCGATAGATCATCGTGGAAACATGAGTCATATTAGCTTTACAAATGTAAGTAATCATTGTAAATAACGCATTTTTAAGTTATTCATATTCTTATTGACAATCTTTCATGATTAAAGCAAACTTGGGCGATTTGTGTGCTCAATTTATGTGATCAATCCGACCATGCGTACGCTTGTTTAATCAACCTTACATTTTCAGATAACCACTTAAAATAAAATACATGGGTGAAGAAAATCACAGTTACATAATTTGGTCAAAATTATTCTCCAAGTAACAGGTGATAGATTTTAAAGTTCAAATTTCAGTCATACGTGCCTTAGATGCGACTGATAGCTCTATAGTTTCTCGTGTTCATTATCTTGTAGCATCCAAATGGGACAAACACTTAGTGAACCTGTGACTACTAAAAAGTCTGCTTGCTGCAGAGATTCCAAATACAGGGTGGGCAGTTCCTGTATGCAAGGATGGCGAATAAGAATGGAAGACTGTCATGTACACATTCTATCACTACCCGATGACCCAGAAGCTGCCTTTTTCGCAGTCTACGATGGACATGGAGGTAGCTCTTATTTTTTTTACTAAAATTCACCTCAAAGTACACAAAATATATGGTGATTTTAATTTTTCAGGAGCTGCTGTGGCTCAGTATGCAGGCAAATATTTACATGAATACATTACTAGTCAAAGCGAATACAAAGAGGGTAATATTGAGGAAGCGATAAAGAAGGGGTTTCTTAGTTTAGACAAAGCAATGGAAACAGATGAAACTTTAAAGAATGCACAAGCTGGAACAACTGTTATTGCTATTTTAATAAAAGATAATATTTTATACAGTGTAAGTAATGTTGCATTGATATATTTTAAAATTGATCAAACATTGTATTTGGAAAATATGTTAAATTATCAAAATTTTCAATGTACAGGCCAATGCGGGCGACAGTAGAGCTGTGGCAAGTATTTCCGGGACTGCTCTGCCATTGAGCTATGATCATAAACCGATGTTGAAAGAAGAGAGAGAGCGTATCACAGCAGCAGGAGGTTGGGTGGAATGTAATAGAGTCAATGGACACTTGGCTCTATCTAGAGCTTTAGGAGACTTTATGTTTAAAAAAAACGATCATAAAAAGCCTGAAGAACAAATTGTTTCTGGTAAATATACCTAAGTTTATAACAATAAAAAACAAAATTGTTCATAATATGCTGTTTTTTTTTTCATTCAGCTCTTCCTGAAGTGCAACGTCACGAGATAACAGAGGACTGGGAGTTTGTTGTATTGGCATGCGATGGCATTTGGGACGTGATGAGCAGCGAAGAAGTTGTCAATTTCGTGAGGAAACGTTTTGCAGATGTAGCAGCAAACGTAGAAGACAATGAAACGCCTCCGATAGATCCCGAAGAGATATGCGAACAACTAATCAGTCATTGTCTAGCACCAGATGCCCTCATGGGAACAGGATGCGATAACATGACTGTAGTTCTGGTCGGTTTCCTTCACGACAAACCATACTCACAGTTACTTGTTCATTGTCAAAAACTTACTAAAAGCGAAGAAATCACGGAATAATCTTCCATTACCATTGTAAATAACAATCGATTTGTGATTGCGTGTACGTCTACTGTAACCAATATCATTGTTATTATATTTATTATTCATCCTTTTTGTTAGAGCTATACACCGTGAAGTTTATAGATATTTTTATAACAAAACGCATTTTCAAATTACGTGACAAAAGTTTTAAAAAGGTTTCCTTCCAAGCATTTATTATTTACAATCCCGATTTCAGTTGGACAACGCGGTTTTCGGTTAACATGATTATTTCATAATAACAACAAAAATGTTTTTTTTTTTTTTTCATTTTTTTCCTGCAATTTATAGTCCATATCGGTCTTGTATAGAATTAACAGCAGCATTGGCAAGTGAACTAAGTCTTCCGGCCACTTTATGAACACCTTGCCTCACACTTTCACGAACGTCATCAAAGTCCATACCACCTCTAGCCCCAAGATTCATTGATAACGAAGACGTCGGAGAAGTTGGGTTTGACTGGCCAGTGCCAAAATAATCAGCTGAAGATATGCTTGTCGAGCCCTCGAAACGTCTCAAGTTATTTTTCTGTTCCCACTGAAATTTCATAAAGTAGTTAGTACACTTATTCCATCCATTGTATATAAATCGTCACCAATGAATACGTAAATTTTGGCTGAATCAGTTTCAATCATGTCTTTAAATTTTTACAAAATAAAAATAAAAATATGAAATTATGAAAAATAACAGTGTTTTATCTTACACTATTTTTAATCCTACTTGTATATTATTGTAATTATAATGAAAAATATAGCATACTTACAGAATTATCGTTAGCACAATCACGGAAATATTGATCTGAACTGATAGCTTTCGCACCTCCGAATTTTTTTTGTGCTTCACCTTGATCTGGTATCTTCTTGCTGCTACTACTACTGTTATTGCTACTACTTCTATTATTGGAAGGATTACTGTACATTGAAGACGAATTGTTAGTCTTAGAAAATTGAGTAGATATGCCATGTCTATCGGGTTCTTCTTCGATGATAAATTCATCATTGCGTGATTTGCTGCTGGTTGAAGTACTTGTAGTAAACGGCATTATATCGACCAAATCAGACATCAAGTAATCAAGATCTGTGTCAACATCTTTTATTTTGGGCTCTGAAGGTACCATCACTTTTGAGGAATTTTCTTGGGTTATTGTCTGCATGTCAGTAAGAACCGAATGGCTTACGCCTCTGAAAGTTTTATAAGAACGATGAATATTTTGCTAAAACAGGATTTTGTTTAATTGATTGGAATGACAGTTCATGTACTTACCGTCTGGTGTTAAAGCCCATTCCCAAGCGCTCGGCCTGATGAGCCTTGACAGGGTTGTACTGGCGAGATCTCTCTTCAACTTTCTTGGCTTGTTCAGATAAGTCTTGTTCGATACGGTATGTCAAGCGTTTTTCTATCTCGGCTTTTTCTTCATCGTTCTTTGACGCCTCTAATACTGGCTTCTCTCTACTAGCTTCAGCAGAGAGAGCACTCTTTTCGATTTCTTCGAAATTCGTTACAATTCTTTGAGCACCAAAGCAACTAGCTTTTTTAGCAAGCTGTAAGATTTGATAAATTTATAATAAAACTAACAAAATGAATCGTTGTTGAGTAGATGTTTACAACTTACTCCTGCTTTTCTTGGTTGAGGTTTTCTAACGCCAATGGTTGGTTTTATTTCTGACGTTCCTAGCATAGCTGATTCACAAATATTGACTGATGGTCCTAAAGTTTCTTTGGTGGAGTCTTTAATATCCAATTCAGCATGAATATTGTCGTTGTCTTTGATTTCTTGACTTTCATTAACTAAATTCATTACTGGATCTGCATGAACATGATCTTTAGGCACATTGGTTTCAGTACTATTTACATCAAAACTTTCGTGAGCTTCGAAAAAATCTATTTCAGCTTCATTATCTCCTACTTCATGCTCATGTTCATCAAGATGTAGCTGTAAAAAATTAAAATACCATAAGTTTCTCTGAATGAATTTTATAAAACAAAATTAATTTTATAAAACAAATTTAATAAAACCAAAATGTTAAAATTTCAAAGACACTGTATAATAGTTTTTGATAAATAATAGAATTGTATGATTGTTTGGTAATGATACAAATGAATATTTGTATGGATAATTGATTGCTATTATTATACCAAACAAAATGAAGTTAATGATAAAATTAAGAATACAGATTAGTGATCGATTTGTAACAACTGTTGGTGTAAATGACTATAATTAATAAGTGATTTGGTAAAACAAAATAATCACGCAGCTCACCAACACTATATTTTGAAGTGTGGGTAGAAGAACCTATAATTGTTTTCATTTTTAAAGCATAAATATAATAGTTTGGGAAGCTTAAAGTAATAAATAAAATGAAATATTCAACCCTAAAAACTTACCTTGGTTCCATGGCGTTGTATGGATTGACTTGCAGCTTGAGCTAATTTTTGTCTGTATTGCATGGCAGCTCTCGATGTGTACTTTTGGTGTGCATCAGTAGTTGTGCAATGGTACTGGGCAAAGAATTTCCTCTGCAAAAGAAAAATTAAAATTAAGAACTATGCATGCCTAAACTATAATTGGTAGTTATAAATATTCACTTGAAAAAACAACTCACAGCATTTGCATTTCCTCCCAATTGCATATTTCTTAACTGTAGCCATGTCCAGTTAGTATCAAGTTGAGTTGAGCGCACGAATGTCAAATGAACTCCTAAATTTCTATGTACAGCTGAGCAATCGATGCAAAGGAAAACGCCATATGTGACACTGGACCATGCTGGATTCTTAGCATTGCAGTCGAAGCATGTCTATAGTACAATAGCAAGCATGTATGAAACATCCATGCAAATATAGTACTTTATTAAACAGCTGTTGACCTAACTTTTATTTGTAAGAAAATGACAAAATCTAGTCATTCAGATACAGTCGAGATGTACAGATATTGAATCTAAACTTTTGTTAATTACAAGTCTGTATAGGACAATGAGAAACATTAAATACGAGAAACGTGAGTAAAAAATTAAAGAAACAGTTTAATTGATAGCAACCGTGCCAGGTTGTCGATTCGTAGAAATCGAAAGTATGCGAATGATTCATTTGTTTCTGGATATGTGTCTGTTCAAAATGCATGGTTAAACAAACCTTATTTGCTGGAAGGGCACGCAATCTTTTGAAAACATCCTCAATATCGCTTTTGCACGGTGCTGGTTCTGCCATTTTTGACATGTTATAAACGATTATAAACGATTGGATGCTACCAGTGCAACTGAATATGTATATAGATGGTTTATACTTTCCTATCTATATAGAATGTATATACGCTGGGCACACAAGAATGTATCCCAAAAGTCAACTTAGCCAATCAACTTTAACTTTGTAATGTTGGCGACATTGATATCTATAGGGCATTTTAAATTGTGACGTCATTAACAATATGGCGTCATACTCTAGGAAAAAATTTAAATTTTGACTTTAGCTTTTAAAATATAACATATTCAATTGCATTAATCTTATACGATGTTAATTTGTTTGAAATCGTCATTCCATAATTGTTCAAATTGATTGTAGTGCTGACGTAAGCAGTTTAGCGATATTTTTGATTTACGTACACCCAACGTGAATTGAATCGCGACCCCCCCCCCCCCCAGTTAGGTTGGTATGAGAATTCCGTCGTTGCATCGGAATGAAGAAACCGCAGGAAAATTCAAAAATTGAAAATTCGTTTTAAGATACGATAAAAAGCTAAAACGTTACTAATTTGTTTTTAGGTTTAAAATTAATTGTTTGCCGAACAATGAATTTAGATGCATGATTATTTGATTGTAGATTTTAATTATATAATTTAAGAACGAGCGTTATACTATGGCCGATCTGAAAACCACCGTTATGGACTGAAAGTAGCACTCTACCAACCTAACTAGGGGGTCGCGATTCAATCCACGTTGGGTGTACATTACATGTCACTTGACGCCTGTAGGTTTTTAAACAACAAAAGAATCGTAGTAATTAATAACAGATTCTGATTTTCTTGAAAACAAACTGATGCAACGATCATTATCATATTATTTTATTAATTTTACAATTTTGTAACGATAATTTTAATTATTATATAATACAGTTTAGGTTTTATTATTTATAACAGTCATTTCTTCATAAAATCTTGATTTTGATGCCTAGTATTTGGTGAATCATTGGCATTTACCTCATTCTCTTCAACCTCTAAGCTATTTAATCTATAATGAACATATAATATTAAGTTTTCTTTCTAATTTCAAATTACATTAATTTTGTTACTTACTCATCTTGTTCAAGACTATGTAGCATTTGAAAACCAGCATCCAAACTAGGTGTAAAGCCCATGTTTGGATCTAGTAATTGCAAAGTAGGCACATCTCTGTATACATTACCAAGTTCACTAAGATCATCAAATTGCAGACTATTTGCTACATCATCTACCTCTATCCTACAAATAAAAATGTAGTTTATAAAAAGCATTTGTATACAAGTGGACTTCAAATAATATTACTTTGTAGTATTGACATTCAGTTCACGTTGCCTCTGCTGTTCCATTTTTTTCTCTACTTTCTTTTTTATATTTCTTTCATGCCTAAGAACATACTCTTGATAATAATCATATAAACCCATAACACCTCCTATATTTGTTTCTACAAGAACCTTTTCAATTGCATCCTAAGATAAAAATTATTATTAATACTATTGTTTTAATTAATTGATAGAAAAATACATTGGATTTGTAATTAGTTTGAGTAGCTTACTGGGAATCCACAATTATTCTCTTCTGATGCTACTTTTAATAAAAGTCCCATCCTCCTAAGGAAATGGTCAGCAACATCAGTAAGGGTGGTAATAGCATAATCTGATGCTTTATCAAACCCAATATGGGCTAAGAGTATAGTAACTGCATGTTTAAGCAAGCCTTGTGCTGTTGGAGGCTTCAACTGAGAAATATTAACATTATTTTTGAATTTCTTTCTATTAGGTATGTTGGATAGAGTAAAACTACATGAATCTTTAGGTATATCGTCATGAGATTCATGTTCTACTACAGTTATATTTCTTAGGACATTGTCATCCTCCTAAAATATAAATTAATAGTGAATATAATGCAGCTTCATATAATCATATTTCAAACAAAATTACCATTGCTAGTAATTGCTGACGTAAATTTACAGTATTTAATACATGTAAATTTTCCAAAGGCATTCTGCAAATGAATAACGTAATGACGTTAAATGTACATTAAAACTACTCAAATGAAAACATGCATAGCCACAGTGTTTAAAAAAATATATGCTCACTGAATATATTCAAGCTGTCTGTGCACTTGATAATCGCAATCTGAATTGCTTGTTTCTTCGATAACTTGTCGCCAAACATTTTCAATTATATCAGGAGTAATAACTTCTTGTTTATGAGTTTCTCTAACTGGAAGTTCACCCCACAAACCTTCAGAAGTAACATTTTTACTTGATTTCATTTTGAATTTATGTCTTATCTTGCGAACTTGAAAATTGCACGTGAATTTTTAAAATGCCTTACTAGTTCACATTTTTCAAACATTAATTTAGTCAGTGTTTATTTAATACACCTTCTTTATTAGTTTATTTACTCGTTGTTTAATTATTATCTATCGATTATAAAACAGTTGAGCGTAATTTACATTACATACATAAACGTAAATATTTAAGAACATATTTTTAAAACACTTTAATATTGCATATTTTGTTTATATACAAACTAATTTTTGAGGTTATAGACCTAATAGTGTACGAGATGAAGCGACCAGCCATAACATATATCTCCATCCTTGTCTTACCTCATTTTTCTTGTATTTTGCTTTGACAAGTTTACCACGCGGATAGCCAATTTAACCTACATTTATATTTTTATGAATATATAATTTTAATTTGAGATATTTTACTTTTATTTGAAGATAATAATAATTTTATTCAACATAAAAACAATTATTCAATCATCTAATTAAAGCATGGCTAAAACATATCAAGGTAACACAAAATTTCTCGTAAAAAAGTACGCTACCATTAAAGGAATGAAATACGTTTTATCATTATTTATTTATTATTATCAGTAGATTCATCAAAACACAGAAATAAGTTGTCTAAAGCCTACAGGTTCAAGAAAAAAATAGGAAGAGTAAAGAAACCAACAGATAATAATGGCTTATCACGAGAACTAGCAAAAAAACCTAAAATTATTATTCGTAACTTGTCTTTTAAGGTAATTTTGGGATTTTTATTAATCTATAGTAAATTTGTTGTTTATTTTAAATTAATTCTATCTCTTGGAAATATTTGTATTTTGAATTAATTGTTTGTATTTTTTTAGACTACTGAAGCAGAGTTACGTAACTTGTACAGATCATTTGGTGAAATTGAAGAAGTTAAACTACTAAAACGTCCAGATGGCAAACTTGTGGGATGTGGATTTATACAATTTAGAAATCTAGAAGATGCTTCGAAAGCTATTTTCAAGACAAACAAATCTGAATTTCTTGGTTTGATATTCATTGTTATACAAATAATATCTATCTTATCAAATATATCATATATTATATATTGATCAACTTATATTGGTTCAATAGGAAGAACAATAAGTACAGAGTGGGCTATTCCCAAATCACAATTTAGTGAAAATTTAAAAAGAGAAAAACCAGTGCCAGATGAAGTGAACGTTGAAGCGGAACAAATAAATGGTCCAGAAGAAGGAGATACATTTGTAGAAAATTGTGGACTTGAGAAAGTTAATCAGAGAATTAAGAAGAAAAAAACAGAAGCTTTTTCAAACAAAAATAAAAATGCTCTTTCCAAAGCTGAACAGAGAAAATTATACAAGTTGAAAAAAAGGCAAAAAAGATCTAGGATTGTCATTAGAAATTTACCCTTCACAATTACTGAAGAACAATTGAAAGAACATTTTTCAAAGTATGGTAATATAGAAGAAATTAAAATGCTTAAAAAACCGAACAGAAAAGCGACTGGTTGTTGCTTTTTGCAATTTGATCGCGTGCAAAGCGCGGCCCAAGCTATACATCATGAAAATTTGAAAACTCCTTTTGGTCGAGCAATGGTTGTTGATTGGGCCATTGCCAAAGATAAATATGTTGAATTGAACACAGGAGATAGCATTAAAAATGAAAATGACGAAGGACATGATGTATCAATAGTAAAAGAAGAAATAAATGACAGAGAAGTTGAAATCAAAGAAGAGGAAGAAAGCGATAAGGACGAAATAAAACAGGAGGAAAGCAGCGAAGACAATGACGAGGATCATAGCGGCGAAGATGAGGAGGAAGAAGAAGAAGAAGAAGATAAAGATGATAAGAGAAATATTGCGAAACGAGAAGTAGATTCGGAATCTGTAGCTTCTGCGTCAGCGCCACATCCCAAACGATTTTCAAACGATATTAGCGAGGGAAAGACAGTTTTTATAAAGAACGTTCCATTTACTGCCAAAAATGAGGACCTTAAACAATGTATGGAGCAGTTTGGACCAGTTTATTACGCATTAATATGCATGGACCCGTTGACTGAACACTCTAAAGGAACTGCTTTTGTTAAATTTGTCGTAGGTTTATTAATTCGATGAAAATGCTTAATAAATATTTAAATACATCACTCTAATAATAAAATGACTGTTTTAGAACGTCGAAGATGCCGAAAAATGTTTGGCAGCCGGAACAGAATTGAAATTGCACGATCAAATTCTCGATCCACATAAAGCTCTGAATAGAAAGGAAGTGACAGAGAAAAAAGAGGACAAGAAGAAGAAAATGAAAGATTCGCGCAATCTTTATCTGGTAAAAGAAGGAGGTAAGTGGGTCGCGAGGTAGGCAATAATTTTGAGCTTTAGTAAGAAATTTGCAAGTTTAAATGTCAACATTTGCCCAACAGTAATTCTTGCGAGTTCGCCGGCGGCGCAGGACGTCTCGGCATCGGATATGGCTCGACGATTGCAGCTGGAGAAATGGAAATCGCAAATGTTGCGTAACCTCAGCATGTTCGTGTCGCGGGTGCGACTGGTCATACACAATTTGCCGCCAAGCATGGATGACTCAAAGCTGCGCCAACTGTTCAAGAAGTACAGCAATCCAAACGCGGTAATAACGGAGGTAAAAAACGCTGTTAAAACGCGACGGCAATGATCTTTCGTCAGGCGTTTTGCACAAGGTCTACTACAGTCAAGTGGTGAATTCTCTTTGTAGGCGCGTGTAATGCGAGATCTCCGAAAAGTCGACGCTAATCTGCTTGGCAAATCCAAGGAGCATGGCTTCGTGACCTTTACCAAACACGAGGACGCCCTCAAAGCACTCAGAAGTCTTAATAATAATCCAAATATTTTCAGTAAAACCAAGGTTTGTACAACGATTCTGCAAAGACCCCATTGCTTACAAGCTAATGTTGCTAACCGCACTGTTTGCCTTTGTAATTCACGACTTTGCCTCAATCTAATCCTCTTGATTTTACGTAATCTTGCGATGCAATTTTCCATTTCAGAGACCTATAGTTGCTTTCTCGATTGAAAATCGAATAATGGTCAATGCAAAGCAGAGGCGAGTAGAAAAGAGCCGGCAAAGTAATCCTCTGTACACTGACCGGAAGAGGACAGCTGAGGAGAACGAAGGAACGCTGAAATCGGCGAGCAAAGATGTGGACCAAGGCAAAAGGCAACTTAAAAGAAGGAAAAAGTCGACAAATGTCGAATACAAGGGCAGAGCAACGAGCGAGCAAGGCGTTGCATCGTTTGCCGGTACCACAAGCAAACCCGGCGATACCGGGACACACGGTAAATTTTTCCTGAAGAAACAAGCGACGTTGCACGTGGAAAATGTGAAAGAACAGAAGAAGAAAGCCAAAAGCTTAAAAAGGTTACAGTCGATAAAGGTGGAGCAGGCCGCGAGTAGAAAAGAAATTAAAGTAAGTGTACTACATAATACTTGACGACAAGGCATGTGCCATGAAATGAAATTGAAAAAAAAATACAGACAGGTGGAAAAATAAATTAGGTCGAAAGTTACTTATTGACGCGCTTGTTTCAGCCAAAACAGGGCAGCAAGAGAATGGACGCTGACGAGGTCAGCTTTTCTCGACTGGTGAAAAGTTACAAGGACAAGCTGACGTCCGTGGGTGCCAAGTCCAAATGGTACGAGACTTGAAGAGACGAAAGTGAAAAGCGCCGGGAGCGCGTGTGGAGTGAATCTTAAAAGAAAGCGAGAACGTGTACATACACCGGAGGAAGAGAGAGAGAGAGAGAGAGAGAGAAATTGCGTATAAAAATATAGACTTTTTACGAATAAGGCCGAGAGCGTTATGAATCCCCGTGAAGCTCTTCCTCCTCCCAATTCCCCCTGAAGGCTCTCCCACCTTCACCGGCAGGTAGATACACTACTGGCCCCCGTCGCTCGCCGTCTCCGACACAAGCCAACCTCAGAGGTATATTATCAACTAATCGCGCTGGTTTTGAATATTACGCGAGCAGCTACGCTCGGTTTTCTTGTTCACTTTTGTTTCGTACAACGCGTACAAAGCTACCGTACTAGTGACATTTTTCTATTTCTTTCGTTTTTATTTTCACTTTTCAGTGCCGTGACTTTACAATTCCAATTAGTTGCAAAAGTTCAAAAAATCAGCAAACAGGTAACGTTCCTTTAGTTATGTATACTTATTATCAAAGCTTGATTGAAAAATTTATTAATTTTTGTCGCCCATTAATATTTTATGTAGTGTCTTGTGAACGGTTCCATGCACTGATCGTAATTGATATTTTTGTTGTTTTATCGTTGTTCACGAAGGAATTAAAAAATATGCGAGGTTTTTTCTATCGATATAATTTGAAAAAGGTTAATTTCTCATTTTATAAATTACCAGAGCTAGATTCAAAATTTTTTTAAATACCAGTGATTTCAAAGTACGCTTGAAACAAAAATTTTTATAAACGGAAAAATTGTCGGGTAAAAGTCTTTTTACGCGAACGAGTGCTTGTTGTATTTGCACTGTTCTTTTCGCGGATACGACTGAATTCTCAGTCAATATTTTGTCAGGGTAGACCATTATTCGTCATTCGTGCATTTAAGTTTCCAAGAATTTTTGGCTCGTGCACGGTGAAGTCTGACAATTTATTATGCAAATATCCGTGCCAGGAGGTATTAAAATTTTATAATAAATGAAGAATAGAGCGTAGATGGTTTTTAGTAAATCTTTCCAAAATCGAGTGTGAGTCTCATAAAAAAATGTTGAGAGATGCATAAGAATGTTGCAAAATGGGCGTCGAGTGGTTTTCATTGTTAAAACAACGAGCAACGTTTCCATTCGATTAAAAATCGATACGCAGAAGAACTCGAAGGTAGGATGAAGAAAAACACGATCGAAAACTACCGGTTTAATAATCACGTTGATAAAAGACAAAAAAATAGAAATGCAAAAGACATCGATACGCCCGACGCCCAAGTCGGAACGGACGAATCGCAGGGTGGAGCAGCTGATCGATCTTGAATTGCAGGTATCCGCGTTGCATAATGGAGCGCACGGAATAGGCCAGGCGCAACCCCGCGGAGGAGAAAGCGCGCAGGAAGAAAGGGCGGCGCGTTGCGCAAACGGTTGATGCAGCGAGCGTAATGGCGAGTAGTTCATTCGGACAGCAACTGGGTAACGCACATGCAACTCTCGTTACGCCGATCCGCCGCTTTTCACTCTCCTTTCTCTCTCTGTCTCTCTCCTTTTTCCTTCAATTCCTGTGGCGCGCGGCTGTTATCGCACGCTCGCGCAACGATTTTCTTTTAGCTCGAGCGCGGAAGCCCGCGAGTCCGAGCTCGCGCGTAATCCCTGCTAATGTTCCCGTTCTTTCGCCCGCCGAGAATCGTCGGCGGGCGCGCGGTTGCGCAACTCGGCGAATTCCTTTGTCGAGTGCGCGCTAATCGGCGCTGAATGGGCCTGCCTGGCGCGCGGAAGAGCAGACAGGCAAGGCCGCTGGATCGGCCCGCGATGAGCGTGTGTTAATCGGTCAACAGTTCGGCTGAGCGCGGCCACGTGCTCGCCGAGAGGCAGCCGCGGCATGGAGAGCATCGCCAGCGCGGAGTTCGGCCGAGCGGCGGTCAGACCCTACGCCGACATCCCGGGGCCACGGCCCATCCCACTTTTGGGCAACACCTGGAGGTTCATTCCGTTCATAGGTGAGCAGCTCGTTACGCGAGGCGACGGAACTGGCCGCGAGCGCGACACGCGATCGCCTCCCGATGCTTTTCCCGGCGATCCGCTCGCTGCTCCTCTCTCGTGTCCCTCGTGGCGTCTTGCGCAATCGAGGCACAGCGATTGCCGACGACGACTGGGCAGGGCGCGCCACCGTGGCTGCCGCGTGCATGATATCACTCGGCCGTCACCGCTGAGCGTTCGCGGAACCGAGGATGCGCGGTGGCCACTGCCATTGTGACGTCCGCTCGACGCGAGAGACAAACGATCGTCCTTCAGCGAACGCGCCGTGCTGTTGCAAGCGCCCGACGAGAAGCGCGCATTCTCCGCGAGCTGCGTCCAAAGGGGAGCGTGGAAAATCGCCTGGCCGTCACGGGGCCGTTTAGCGCCGGAGGTTACGGCGCCGCGGGTTGGGTTGTAAAGCGCGAGCCCGAGCCGGCTAATGGGCGCGTTAGGCGGCTTTGTTATCGGCTAGCGAGGCGCGGCTTTGCGCAACGCTACGCCGGACTTTCGCTTCGTTTTGCGGCGGAGTGACGCTCTCGCGCGTGCACGCCGACGGTCGCGCCGATCGCGCCGATCGCGCAACCGCTGCGGCATCGCGGCCTCCGTTCCGACTCGCCGCGGCTCGTCTGCGCCGATCGTTCGGAAGCGACCGGCCAGCGCTATAATCGCCGCGCGCAGGTGACTTCAAGATCTGCGAGGTGGACAAGGTGTCGAAGCGGCTGCACGAGCGGTACGGCGACGTGGTGAAGATCGAGGGCCTGCTCAACCGGCCCGACATGGTCTTCGTGTACGACGCCGACGAGATCGAGCGGATCTTCCGCCAGGAGGAGAAGATGCCGCACCGACCCAAGATGCCCTCCCTCGACTACTACAAGCACACGCTGCGCAAGCACGTGTTCAGCGACAGCAATCCCGGCGTCATCGCCGTGTAAGACAATGCCGCTGTAGCTCGCTGCTCGCTCGCTCTGACGTATACGTTGATCGGAAGACCGTAGTCGCGGAGTGCAGGCCGCCGAAGCGATCGCGCTGTCTCGGAAGCGCGCAGCTCGACGCGGCGGCGGCGGTCTTCGCGGCGCGAGTCGACGGCCGAGCGAGCGTGCAGCTAGACGGGAGCGCGAGACTATCGGCCGACCACCTGTCGACAGGCACGGCGAGGGCTGGTACAACTTCCGGAGCAAGGTGCAGCAGGTGATGCTGCAGCCGCGCACCGCGCGCATGTACATCGGCAGCATCGAGCAGGCCAGCCAGGCGTTCCTCGACAGGTACGTATGCACACGCGCGTCGCGTTGAGTCGCGGGGCCCAGTCGGCGCTTTCCGCCGCAGGATCGAGAGGATCAAGGACGAGGCGGACGAGGTGCCCGGTGACTTCCTCCACGAGATACACAAGTGGTCGCTCGAGGGTGAGTACTCCGCGGCCCCGCCCCGGCTGACGCGGCAATAAAGCCGAGTGCTCGCGAACCGGCAGCCATCGCGAGCGTGGCGCTGGACGTGCGACTGGGCTGCCTGGACGAGGAGCGCGCGCCCGAGGAGACGCAGCGGCTGATCGACGCGGTGCTGAGCTTCTTCAAGCACGTCGGCCCGCTCGAGCTCAAGATCCCCTTCTGGAAGCTGTTCCCGACGCCCGCCTGGCGGGCCTACATCGGCGCCCTCGACACCATCCTCAGGTAGGTAGGCATGGTCACCGCGGCGGCCTCGACGCAGCTCGCTCGAACGCGCTCTCTCGGTTCCACGCAGCACCACGTCCAAGTACGCGCGGCAGGCGCTCGAGAGGTCGCGGCAGGCCGTGGCGGCCACCAGCGGGGCCCCGCCGCACGAGCTGTCGCTGCTGGAGCGCGTGCTGCAGATCGAGGGCAGCCCGCAGCTCGCCACGGTGCTCGCCTTCGACCTGTTCCTCGTCGGCATCGACACGGTTCGTCCCGCGCCCGAGCTCGCCGACGCGGCGCGCGACGGCGAGTTTCACTGCCTTCCTTGCAGACGTCCAACTCGGTCGCGTCCGTGCTGTACCAGTTGGCCCAGAATCCCGACAAGCAGCGAGCGCTGCGCGAGGAGGTGCGCAGGGTGTTGCCGCCGGACGGGAGGATCGAGTCGGCGCACATCGACCAGCTCAAGTATCTGAAGGCCTGCGTGAGGGAGACGCAGAGGTACGTGGGGCGAGCTACGGAGAGCCGAGCGTCCGCGAGACTGAGCGCGCGCCCGTGTCTGTCGGCAGGATGTACCCGGTGGTGATCGGCAACGGGCGCTGCATGCAGACCGACACGGTGATCGGCGGCTACCTCGTGCCCAAAGGCGTAAGTGTACGGACGGGGCGCGGACCCGGCGATCTCGCGTACTCACGGCCCCTACCCCTGCCCTGGTCGTCGACAGGTGCACGTGGTGTTCCAGCACTACGTCATCAGCAACAGCGAGCGCTACTTCCGACGCAGCGCCAGCTTTCTGCCCGAGCGCTGGCTGGGCGGCGGCGGCCCCGAGGCGCCGCGGCACGCCTTCGCCTCGCTGCCCTTCGGCTACGGACGGCGCATGTGCCTCGGACGCAGGTTCGCCGAGCTCGAGATCCTCGTCGTCCTCAGCAAGGTAGGCCAGCGCGAGAGATCGTCGCACAGGCGGCTGAGTCATTACGCGGGCGATCGCCTCTGACTGAGACGGACGGGCTGGCAGACAGAGAGAGAGAGAAATGTGTCGCGTCATCGACGGACGCGACCGCGGAGAGAAAGCGCGTTTGGTGCTAATTTCACGGCATTTTACATGATTATCCGCGTTGCATCGTCGTCATCGTCGTCGCCGTTGTCGCCGTCATCCGCCGAAGGTGCGTCCAGAGCGACTCGGGAGCTCTCGAGCGCGATTCTCGCCTGTCGGGCTGTGTTTGCCCAACCCAAATAGGTTCATCGACGCCGCTCTCATTGACAGAGGCGCCTAGTCGATGCTACCGACGTACGCTCTCGCCCGGCCCGTGCAACGCCGACAACGAGAGGACGAGCCGCTCGGCCTTGGCAAGGCTCATCGTTTTTTTCCCCGCTTTATCGCCGTCAATTACACCGCTCGTAAAATTTGATTTGCCGAGCCTTCGTTGCGAAGTGAGACGGCGGAAAAGTACGCGCGTCTCGAGAATTCGCAAATAGCCGCGCCGCGCTCCGTCAAACGCTCGCCGCAAGCTTGTCGCTCGACGCGCGCGCGACGAATATTAAACGACCGCCGATGCACGCACACCACGCGCGAGCGCTTCTTTCTTTCGCTTTCGTCCGCGACGTTTGCGAGCAGCGTGAGAAAAAGCTCGGGCATAGTACAAGTGAAAAGACGCAAACTCGCTCTCTTCCCCGACGACTGATCGGTCTATTTGCAGATCTTCCGGAAGTACCGAGTGGAGTACCACCACGAGAAGCTGGAGTACCACATCGAGCCGATGTACACGCCGAGGGGACCACTGAAATTGAAATTCGTGCGGATGTGAACGGCTTCGAGAAGCGAGGCCTGTGCGGACGTCTCCCGCTCTCGAGGCTTCATTTATTTGCTCTTACTACACACACGCTATTACATGAATAGAGACAGAAGTCGATATGTACACAGCAACGCGTTCGGCAAACGCGCTCGAGCGAGAGGACAATAAAATCCATTAAAAGCGTAAGATTCCACGTTGGCTGCACTGTGCAATGGGCTGGGCTGGCTTCTCTCCCCTATTCGGTCGAGCAAGGAGTGGCCGCGCTGCGGGTCCTGTCGAGCATGTTGAACCTGAGCTGTCCGTCGGGCGCGTACATGAAGGTCACCTTGTACTTGAGCGGCTCGTGCTTGTACTCGATCTTGTAGCGGCGGAGCAGCTGCGACGACGCGGGCAGAGGAGCGCAGAGAGCGATTAGTGCCGCGTGGCGTGGCCGAGGCGCCGCCTCACTCACCTTAGCGAGGAGCACCTGCATCTCGAGGTCGGCGAATCGACGCCCGAGGCACATGCGCGCCCCGTAGCCGTAGGGCAGCGAGGCGAACGGGTGCAGCTTCTGGCCGGTGGACTCCTTGAGCCAGCGCGACGGCTTGAAGGTCTTGGCGTCCTCCACGAACTCCTCCATGCAGCCGGTCACCAGGGTGGGGAAGACGACCTGCACCTGCGCGCGCGCAAGGGGGAGGCAGAGCGAGAGAGAACAGCGTCACGGGCAATCGAATCGCGCGACTCACCCCTTTGGGCACGTGGTAGCCACACAGGACCATGTCGTGCTGCAGCGTCCTACCGTTGCCGATCACCGTCGAGTACATCCTGCCAACAGTGCCCCAAGGGTCAGACGAGCCGTCGGCGCGGTCGCGACCGATCGCGCGCCCTACCTGAACACCTCCTTGATGAAGGCCTTGGTGTAGTGGGCCCGATCCAAGTGGCCGGTGGTGAGGGGCCGATCCAAGTCCGGGGCGACGCGCATCAGCTCGCGGTGAATCTTGTCCTGCTCCTCGGGCCTCGTGGCCAGCTGGTACAGTATCGAGCACACGGCCATCGATATCTGCGACGCGGCAAGCGGGGCTTCAGCTGGGTCGCGGGTGAGCGCGGGGGCGCCGGGGCGCGGGCTTACCGTGTCGATGCCGACGAGTATGAGATCCAGAGCGAGGATGTAGGCCATCTTCGGGTCGGTCTCCTTGGCCAGGATGCGCTCGACGAGCGACAGCTCGGACTCGGGCACCTCGACTCCGCTGCGGCGTTTCTCCCTCAGCCGGTCCATCGCGGCGTCGATGTGCTTCATGCAGACCCTGCGCGCAGGAACGTCGTCGGTCGGTCGAGTGCGCTCGCGTTCGCGGCCGCGCCCCGGCAACACTTACTGCACGAAGAAGTCCATGTTGCGCACGTAGTGGGTCCACAACGGCGTGGGGATGTACCTCCAGAAGGGCGCCTTGAGCTCCAGCACGGCCACGTTGCGCAGCGCGTACTTGGCCGCGTCGATGATCTTCTGCGGCTGCGAGTCCGGCGCCAGCTCGCCGCCCAGGCAGCCCAGCCTCGCGTCCAGGGCCACGCGGCCGATGCCTGCAACACACGGAGCCGGGCCGGTCGGTCGAGCGGGCGAGCGAGCGAGCGACGCTCACCGCGACGGCGCGCCAGCCACGCAGCGACCATTACATTCCAGAGCCCACTTGTGGATCTCGTTGTCGAAGTCGCCCGGCACCTCGCCGCTGTCGTCCTTGATCTGCTCGATCCTGCGAAGTCGAAGGCGCGTTAGCGACCAGCCCGGTGTACCCCGGCCACAGCCGCGGCGACGGCTCACCTGCGTATGAAGTCGTCGGTGACGGCCTCGATGGGCCCGATGTACTTCCTCACGGTCTGCGGCTGGAGCACCGGCTTCTGCACCCGCGTGCGGAACTCGCGCCACTGCTCGCCGTGCCTGCGGGCGCACAAGCGCGTCAACGCGGGCGACGACGTCTTCGCTCGCGCTCGCGGCTGCATACTCACACGCCCACGACGCCGGGCAGCTCGCCGAAGAAGGCCCTGCGCACCTCGGCCTTGTACTTGACCAGGCAGGGCATGGACGGGCGGAAGGGCGTGGGGCCCTCCTGGCGGTACACGCGCTCGATCTCGTCGGCGTCGAAGACGAACAGCAAGTCGGGCCGGCCGATGAGGCCCGTGAGCCGCGTGATCCGGCCGTAGTGTCGGTGGAAGAGCTGCGAGATGCGCGCCACGTCCGAGATGGTGTACTGGCCGATCACGGGGAACAGGCGCCAGGTGTTGCCCAGGATCGGTAGCGGCTTCGGCCCCGGGATCTCCTCGTACGGGCGCGGGTCGTGCTGCAGCTGCTCCGTCGTCGGCGTCGTCGCCGCCGCCGTCGCCGCCGTCGACGTGCCACGGCTGCTCGCGCGGCTCCTCGCCAGCGCAGCCGCGATCCTCATTGCGCGCCTCATCGCCGCTGCGAGCCTGCAAGTGCGTCTCGGTGATCCTCGCGCGGACCGCGAGTCGCCTGATGCAGCGCAACCGATTCCCGACTCTCTCTCCTCTCTTTCTTGTATTTGCGCGCCGGTACGCAATTGCCGCGCGGGCTCGCGTCACCGCTTTTCCTTCTTCGCGATCGGCTCGACGATTCGCATTCCGATGCTCGCAGCTCCACGGTCATCCCGAATGCGCGCGCGCGCGATCGGCTGTCGTCGTTAGTCGCGCAACCGTTCCCATATCCGTCGACTTCCTCTCAGGAGTCCACGCGTCAATTGACGATTCCCTCGACAATGACGCCGCGCGCGCTATCGGATCGACCGAACCCGATGTAAAAAATCGCTTGGCCGCTCGCGCGACTGCCGAGACTACGTAGCGTGGCCCCAATAAAAAAAATACGATCTCTCCGCGCACACGCCGCTTCGCACTCTACGGAGCTGAAATCTCGCGCGAGAGACACAATGAAAGTAAAAGCTCAAGGACGCGGTGAAAAAGAATAAAAAGCGCGAGGGTGGGGAGGAGACGGGTTTTCACGAACGCGTGAAAAATCAACGGCGTCGGTTCCAACGCGCGTTTGACGGATCGGTTATCAAGCGGCGCGGTGACGATTCGATCGTTCAATTACGGCTACCGCGAGAGCTACAGCGATCGCGGCGCAACTGATCGCCGCCCGGCGCGGTTGCGGTCGAGGACGGCGCAGGGCATCAAGGCCGCGCGCACGGTCCGATTCCGGGCCGACGAGCGCGGAGAAAGTACCGCGCGGCTTAATTGACGTTGTGTGCCCGGCGCGCATAAAAAAGCCGAGCGTTCGATTCACGGCTTTCGACGGTAGGAAGACGAGGAGAGCGAGAAAGAGAAAAAAATCGGTCCACGTCACGCTGTCCTAATTTCGGCGGCGGACGGGCGGGGCCCGCGCGATCGCCTTTGGCGCGTATACGAATCAAGTTGGGACGCGACGACGAGCTACGGCCGAGAATTCGGGCAGCGAGCGCAACGCAGCCGATCGGCCTTGCGAGCAGAGCCGCGCTCGGCTCCGCTGCATCCGAAAGTCGCGCGAGACCCAGAAACCGCGATATCGCGAGCGCGGCAATTCGCGCGCTCGCGCGCTCGTCGCGCGCGGCCGCGTTACGGGAAATCGCGGCTCCGGAGCGGAGACTCACCTCACGAAGCTGGGTTTGCGATCGCGCCGGACGGCCTCACAGGTGCGTGCGCGACGGCTGGCCCCGGATAATTTTCATCCCCGCGGCGACGCGGTCGTGGTCGCACTGAGGACGCACGCGCGATCCCGATACACGCTCGCGCGCCGAGCCAAGGAATATCTGATCGCGCGCCGTGCGTCGCGTGCTCGCGTGGCGCGCATCGTAACGCGGAGCGGCCGCGCGAGCGCGATCCCCACCCGTGAGCGCGCGCGCGTGCGTGCGCGTACATGTCCGTCCAGACACCGAGGTGAAAGAGAGAAGACGAACGGGAGCCAAGCGAACACGCTGGTTCCTCCGTGCACCACGCCAGTCTCTTCTTTCTCGTTCCTTCGCAATTGTTCTTGCCCTTCTTTTATCCTTTACTTTGTTGCGCGCGCGAGAGAGAGAGAGAGCGAAAACACGAGTTCGCATCCTTTTTTTGTTTTTTGGTCCCGTTCGATTGTAACGGGCGCCCGTCCGTCCACTCTCGATCGACCGATGCTCCGCGCCTGATTCGTCCGATTGCGTCGCAATACGCAACCAGCTTTCGTCGGGACGAAAGTGGCTTTCCGACGACGGAGAATGGTCAAGCGAAGGCGTACTCGCGCGCGCGACGTCCGGCAGTCAAAAAAAAAAAAAAAAAAAAAAACTACAGGCAGAGGCGTCGCGCCCCGCGGTGCTCGGAACCAATACTCAAACGCAGAGCAAACGAAGATCCAACAGCTCGACAGTCTCCGACTCTCTCTCTCTCTACGCAAACACTACCAGAGTGAAAGAGAGAGAGAGAGAGAGAGAGAGAGAGAGAGAGAGAGAGAGAGAGAGAGAGAGAGAGAGAGAGAGAGAGAGAGGACTCTTTAAGGATTACTATTCGACGACGGGCGTCGTGCTGCTGCAAAGGGCTTGCAAAGAGAAAACTCGCGGATTTGTCAGTCTTACCGCAGTTTGTGCCGGGCCCGTGCGCCCCGCGGCTGACCTTCGCGTGCCGCCCAGCTTCACTATATTTATTGCCTCTCGACGCCTGTGGGCTCTCTCATCTTTCTGTACTCTTGGCCCGATCAGCTGGAAAAAACCAGCGTCTTTACGACTAGTAGCCCCGTAGTTTACGATCGACAGATTCGCAAGCAACGTCGCGAGCATAAGCGTTCAATCCTAAATTCCGAGCTCGTCATCCGTTGTCGTCTCTTCTGCGCGTCGCTTTCCAACTCGTAGGCTTTAAAAAGAGAGAGAACGACGATTTACATTTTCACTGCAAACGACTCGCTTAGCGCGCTTATCGGACACGCCTCGGTCGTTTTCTCCTTGCCAAAGCCATGCTCCGTCCGCCGTTCGACTACTTTGCAATTGTTTACGTCCAAGTTGCCGTGCGTCGTCTCTAATGATTCCGCGCCAAATGCGAATCGACGCTCTCGGACACGCAGAGACAACGTAATCGGCCAAGAGAGAGAGAGAGAGAGAGAGAGAGAAACCGACCGAGAGGTCGAAGAATAACGTGCGTTCAAACGAGAGAATAACGAGCAAGTAATTACGAGCGCGGAGAGGCTAAAGACGCGCCATTAAGGTCGACTATCGCACGCCGTGTGAATTGTCCCCGTTCGCTCTCTCTCTCTCTCTCTCTCTCTCTCTCTCTCTCTCGTCAGAGAAAATGAATGTGCCGAGCGCGCAATGACCGCGCGCAGCGCCGACTTTACGGAGAGCTCCGAGGCTGCACTCGTCGCGAGGAAAACAACAACAGAGCCCGCGCTCGGGGGGGGGGGGGGGGGGGGCATAAACAGCGCGACAACGAGAGGATGAGGGGGAGAGTGGCTCGTCGCCGATTGTCCCCACATAATTTGTCCAGTGGGTACGAGCGTCCCGCCGCGGTCGGTGAATCCCCAAATTTCGACCCGCCCTCCCACGAGGCCCAGGTATATCAGCGAAACGCGGCTCAGCTCAGTCAGCTGCCTTGACGCGTCGCAACCCCCACGAAGCCCCAACTCTGTCTGGCCTTCTCTCGATCGCGACTTCCAACGCGAACAGGACAACAGCCCGATGGCCGGGCTCGACGATGTGCCGGCGAGCGGGCCTCGGTCCGAGGGGAGCAACGCGCGCAGCGACCAGCCCGAGGAAGAGGTCAGTACTCCCCTGCCGTAGATCCCGCGCGATGCAGCGAACTGACCGCGCGCTTGCCGATTGCAGCGCAAACGACCGACCGAAACGGCGGAGATGCGCGTGAAGCGCTGCCTCGAGATGATGCACCTGCCGTGGTGGTATCGCGAATTCTTCAAGCCCGACATTAGGTTCCTGAAGAACCGGACGCCCTTCGAATGCCGACCGTCCCGCTGGAAGACGATGAAGGGTAAGGCTGCCACGGCCACCGCCGCCAACGCAGCCGCTGCCGCCGACGCAGCTACCGTCGCTGCCGTCGCTGCCGACGCGGCCACCGTCGCTGCCGATGCGGCCACCGTCACTGCTGACGCGGCCGATGGCGGGAAGTCACAGCAGCCGAACGGTGGGTAGAGCGGCGCCGATCTCCGATGAAATGCGGCGCTCGCACGTGCTTGCTGCTGTATCTGTTCACTGTGCAGGTGAAGCGGCCGAACCGGTAGAGTCGGCGCAGATCCCGCGAAGTTCGCTCCACTCTGGTAGCCGCGTCGTCGGCCGGCGAGCCGACCGGAGGAGGACCGTGGCGGAGCGGGCGCCGGTCACGGTCACGCCGAGCTCGTCCGACAACGACAACGAGTGTCGGCGTCACCCGCGGAGGCGAGCCCCGCTCAGCGGCAGCCACACCTTCCCGCGGACGAAGCTGTCGCGCAAGGTGCACAACATCAACATCGTGCTGCCGCGCGCGGATCACGCGACGACGAGAAACGCCGAGGTCGGACGGGCGGCGCGCGAGCAGAAGGCCGTCCACGCCCAGCCGGGCACCAGCTTCGCGGGCCCGCGGCTGGCCGAGGTGCAGCCGCTGGAGACGCTCGCCAGCCAGAACGCGCCGTCGCCGGACGCGCGCTCCCTCGACTCGGAGAGGAAGTCGACGGAGGAGCTGGAGCGCTCGGTGCAGAGCGCGAGCGCGCCCAGGCGCGGAAGCAGCTTCATCCGCGAGATCGCGGAGGTGCTGGACCGCAGCGTGACCGAGAGCCTGGCCAGCAGCCGGCCCGGCCGGCCAGACGCGGAGCTGAGCGAGCCCGGCCGGCGCTTCGTGCGCGACTTGGTGCGCGCGCTCGAGCGCAGCGAGCGCGAGCGCAGCGACGACGAGGACTCGGAGCTGGCGCGCTCCACCAGCATCTCGCTCAAGAGCGACGACGAGGGCAGCGGCGAGCGCGGCGACAGCGGGGGCGGCGGCAGCGACGACGACCGGGCCAGCAGCACCGACGACCGCGAGCGCGAGGACGGCGACACGCCGCCGACCGCGGAGCCCCAGCCGGCCCAGAAGCCGCAGCCGGCCGAGGAGGAGGACGAGGTCTACTGGATACCGGCGCGCGTGCACCTGATGCGCACGAGCTCGCGGCTGTCCGAGGCCTCGCGCCAGCCGACGGACGCGGGCTTCCAGTGCGCCAGCGGCCGCTGCTCGCCGGGCCTCAGCCCCATCATGATGGTGCAGGAGCGCGCGCGCGCCGAGGGCCCGGGCCCGCGGCGCCGCGGCGACAGCAAGCGCCGACTGTTCCGCATCGACGAGACCGCGGTGGTCGACTCGGGCTGCTACTCCGACCGCTCGAACACCACCAGGACACCGGTTTCCTGCGAGCCCTCGCCCGTGCCCTCGCCCGGCCTCTTGTTGTTCGAGGGCCTGCTCAAGCCCCTGCGACCTCGCATGCCCACCGGCTTCGTCAGAGTCTAGAGTTGCTCCCGCGACTGCGGCGGCACACTCGACCTGGTGTCTCATTGTTGTTCTGTCTTTTACCAGCGGCGCCTTTACCTCTGATCGCGACACAGCGCCGCTCGAGAATTGTTCTTTCAAAGTACCTTTTAGCAACCGCTAATCGGCTTTTAACGTTTTTACCACACCAAAGACCGAACCCGTGCCCGAGTGAATTTTATCGCGAACGTCGCGCTTCAAGCCTGAAAATAGGCGACGACGCGCCATTGGCCTGCACGTTCGCGCAAGGCGGCCAGTCTTTGCGCGAATCGATGCGGCGACGACGACGACGGCGCCGTGCACCGCGCAGTGACGTCGTCCGAGAGCGCCCGAGCCTCTCTCACCTAATAAAGCGATGCTCCCCCGCGTGTCTATGTCTGCGGGCGCGTGCGTAAGGAGCGCGACGTGCAACTCATGCCAAACGGCCGTGTAGTCCCACTTATTGTCATGCCGGGGACGTCCGTGCACGGGAATATAGAAATGTAATTTTATATGGATTTGATTTGATGTGTTACATAGCTCAGTGATATGTAGTTTATATATATGTGTATATGCGTGTGTATATGACATGTATTGTATAGGTGTGGGTACGCGTGTATACACTTGTACGAAAATAAAAGTACGTTTCAAGTCGAAAATCCATGTTTACATTGACCGCTCCCGTCCTCTTCTATCCCACAGCCTCGTCCAGCGAACTTGAGCGCGCACTCGCCTGTCGCCCGTCCAGCCGAGCTCGAGCGACGAAATCGCCGCGGGATCCGCGGAAAGCGCAGCCACCTGGCGATCGGCACGCGACCGCGCAGCCGCGGGGCAGCGAGGTTACGCGCGCCAGTAGAGTGCCGGCAGCAACGCGCAGCAGCACCCGCAAGATGTACCCGAGCTACGCGACCAACGACAAGCCGCGCTCGCTGTCGACGACGGACGTGCACCGCGTAGGCCGGCGCGGCGTCGGCGACGACGCCCACGCGGCCGAGAGGACGCTCGGCGCGCAGCTCTCGTTCTCGACGCTGCGGCGCACGCTGCGGCGACCGACGACGCGGCCGCCGCCGCCGGTACCGCCCAAACGCTCGGACAGCTTTCCCTCGGCGCCGAGCCCGCGCCCGAGCTACAACGCCCGCCGGCAGTTTGCCACGACGGCCATCGAGACGAACGGCGACGAGAGCAGCCCACGCTCCAGCAACTTCGTGAAGAAGCTGGTGGCCACCCTCGAGCGCCGATACAAGGACAACGCCGCGGGCACCGCCGCCGCCGCTGCCGCCGCCGCCCGGCGCCACGAACCGACCGCGCAGGTCCGGCCGCTGTCGCTCGATTTCCAGCCGAGGTACGCCTGCCGCGCCGAAAGCCGCCGCCCGCCGAGCCCACCCACTGTCCGACGAACGCGTTGCTGCAGGTGCACGCTCCCGCCACTGGAGCTGCTGCACGAGGCGGAGCACGAGTGCGACGACCCGGACTCGTCCGACGCGGACGACTTCTTCGACGCCTGGCCTCCGCAGGACTCTCACGGGGCCCCCGACGCGTTCGAGGTCTTCCCGGCCGCCGGCGCGCCGCCGGACGACCGGCCCAAGCCCGGCGGCCGACGCTCGCTCAGGAGCGTGCTTTCGTCGCTGATCAACTGGCGCATCGGCGGCTCCAAGGCCGCGGCCCGGGGCTCGCGCGAGTACTACAACGCGCGCGAGAGCCTCGGCGAGGAGATGCGCGCCTTCCGGCGCGACACCATGCCGCGGCTGATGGAGCGCGCGGCCGTCAACAGCCGGCTGCCCGAGCTGCTCGCGCGGCGCCCCCGCCGCGAGACCCAGGACTTCGCCAGGCTGCTGGGCCGCGCGGCGCCGGCCGGCGCCGCGCCGCGCTCCACCGCCACCATCCACCCGGTCTACGGCTCGCGGCTGAACCTGGCCGGCCGCGAACGGTGCGGCGGCTCGGGCCTCCGCGGCGAGCCGCCCGGCTCGCCGCCCCCGCCGCCCCCGGCCCCGGTGAGCGAGCAGCGCCAGTGCGAGTGGCCGCGCGAGGGCTGCCCGCGCCCCGGCGGCGCTCGACCGCTCGCTGCTGTGTTGCGGGTGGCCGCCACTCCGGACGAGCACCTGCTGCGGCCCTCGCGGCTGCGCGAGCTCCAGAAGCGCCTGTCCCAACACCACCTCGACGACGGCTCCGAGCTCGCGGACGCGCGGCCGGCGCCCGGCGCCACCTACGACGTGCCGCGCTCCGGCCGGCCCGTGGTCGCGCGCGGGCACGCGCCGCCGACCGTCCACTACGAGAACGTCGGCCGGGCCGTCAGCGACGACGCCCGCCTCAGCCGCGCCCTGTTCACCACTTTCTGACGCGCTCTATGGATCGAATGCACCTCCGTTGGCGATGTGCTACGCTTTGCCGTCGAGGCTTCGCGTCCACTGCAGTGGCTGTCCTACGCACTTCTCTGCGCTGTTCGTTGCGAATGATAATTTTGCCGACACTGCGCGACCTAACGCGACCATCGCCGGCGTCGGACGGGAATGCCGCCCGTGCTTGCCAACGTGGAAATCCACTCGAGAGTCGCGTCGAGCGAACCCATAGCAATATTGCGATAAGCGTTAGCTTGTCGCGTCCGCGAGCAGAGCGCCCCGGCAGCATTTGCGCGCGACGCCCTCTGGCATCCGGCCAGACTTGTCGTTGTCAACCACTTTGGACAATTTGTTGCGCCGAACGCGTGCGGCGCACATGCATTTTTACTCGCGACATTCCGATACACGATCAAACCTGTGACGATTGCGCCGTGATTATCAATCAATATTTCTTGATAATAAAGACGAATACGATTTGAAATAAGCTATTCTCATGATTGGAAAAATACATTTTTCATTCAATTCCGAAACCCATGTTAGCACGGCGTGTCGAACGAGCATCGGACGAACATCGAACGAACATCGATCTGCAATATTCAGGAAGAAAGAACATTTTATGAAGAATACCGAGCGGAAGCTTCGAAAAGTGAAGCGATTCGCTGCGCACTGCACGTCCTGACTAATTTGCACCTAAGATTTACGACAGCTTGCATCAATGAGAATACCGGTAAACGTCGAGCGCTGCGCCCGATGCTATAGTTCGTGTTACGCAGAACTTGCATGCAACTTGAAGTGCCAAAAGCTTGAGTTAGTTGCCTATTGTGCCGTTAGAGGGATTCGAAATTGTTGTCTATTCTGTCCGAGTGGAGTGTGCTGTATGGCTGAGTGGTACAACAATGCAGAATGCAACTTGTGCATTTAACCTACGTAGTCATTAAATTTTTGATAGTGCCAATCAGTGTGCCAAGTGTACTCTGATTAGCGCTTTTTTGTACGTAGAATTAAAGAGAACAACTGACTGATCGATTCTCATTGCTCAAATGGTCTGTCGTCAGCGCAACGCCGGTCCTTAAATTTTTTACATTTCGCTGTTTACTTGTGACTGTTTACTCTGGAACGGAATATGCAGAAAATTCCCTTTGTACTGACAGAATGGCAAGAGCTCAACTCTCTACTTTATGCACCTCTCAGTGCAACCAAAAGAGTACAGGTATTTATCAATATAGATACTAGTTTAATGCATGTTTCATTGATCGTATATTGTTCCAATATAGTATACTTGTTTGGCTGTATCGATCAACTATATTGTTCTTGGTGCTACTAGTGGGAGTGTCTATTTATTCTCCAGAGAACCCTGTGTTTTCCAACAGCTGATCCCATTACTGGTAAAAAGCAAATATAATAAATAGTTTTTAAGAAAATCCGTGTTAAGAATAAATTGACCATTTTATTTTAGGAAGGGGCAGTGTATCGAGCACAAATATCACCTGATGAAAAGACAATAGCTTTGACAACCGTCAGGGGAAGTATTTGTTTGATATCTCTGAAACCACTTATCAAACTATCGACTGTATCAGCAGAGCATTTGGGAGAACGTGTCACTTGTTTGTGTTGGAACGATGCAAGTTCAGAGGTTTATGCAGGTGATGAAACTGGGAAAATATCGGTTACAGTTATCTCAACGTTTATGGTATGACAATTACACAAACATTTAATTATTGCAAAATTTTGAACTAAACTTTTGTAATATCTTCTAGCCTAATGGAATATTTCAATCTCCTTCGTATGCTCTGATGAACTTAGACTCAACAATAGTACAGATACATTGCACTTCTTCTCTTTTGCTAGTTTCTACATTGAATCGTTGTTACATTTGTGATACAGTTTTAGAACAATATAAACAAATTGGCAATAAGCCCCGAGATGGTGAATTTGGAGCATGTTTTCTAAAAGCACCAAGTTCTAATGGAAAACTCACAGTGGACTCAAAAAAGCCAGAGCCTATTTCAAACGTTAAGCCAGTATTTAGTATGAGCAAAGAAGCACATGATACTGACGATCAAGACTGTCTTCCAAAAGTTTATTGTGCCCGTCCAGGTTCTAGAATCTGGGAGGTGAATGCAAATGGGACTGTCGTTAAAACTCACCAGTTTAAAGAGGCCCTAGCAATTCCACCTCTACCTGTTTATAAACCATATATAGGAAAATTATTGAAACTAAAGAAACAAGATCAGACATGGCCTGTGCAGTCGATAAATTTTACGCAATTGTTTATTATTTTAGACAAATATTTATTTTCGTACACTTCAAATGGGCTGTACGTTATCGATCCCGAAAATGCAGAAGTGCTATTGTGGAACGACGAATTCCCAGGCACAGTTATGGCGCAGATAATAAATGACAAAATTTATTTAATGACGTCTTCCGGAGTTTTTCACTGTTTAACACTTGTATCCGTCGACTGTCTAATTATCAAGCTTTACGATAAAAAGTCGTACAAGGAGTGTTGGGAATTATGCCAAATACTCCGACCATTGTTAGTAAATTCTATTACAGAAGAATCTTGTGATATAGATATTAAGCAAAACGACGATTTGTGCGAGATGCTTGCTCCAATTATCTCGCTAATTAAGTCAAATTATAATAGCCCTCTCGTTACAATGGAATCTGGTATGGTTATTGTAAATAGTGGCGAAAAGGACTTTAAAAATAATTTGATTCCACTTTCCGATAGAAAGTTGGAAGAACGCCAACAGTTGGATGAGTTAGAGGTCTCATTTATCTCATTGAACACTAATGGCTCTTCACATTCTCCTTCTACTCATAAAAAATCAAAAAATGGTGTTGCAGAGGCTAATAATATCTTAAAAGATAGTACTTCTAATCAAAGGATTACCGAAGCCACCGAATCAAAAATCGAGTCGGACGAGATGTCTTCACTGCAAAATACTATAAGCAACATTCAAGCTGACTTAGAGTCATTATATATATTGATAAGCTCGCAAATGAAGCCTGATATGAGCGAGGGACATCTGGAAGAATTGATCAAGCAGTTTATTGAAATTTTAGATGACGTCAAAAAGAGATATGAAGTATCCAGTGCATTGCAAAATTACCTCTTTGAAGTTATTCGCTCTGCAGAGCTTCATTACTATAACACTTTACTAGAAAATATTCCGATAGATTTAATTCGAGATGCAAAAAATCAAAATGTGCTGGAGCAGCTAGTCAAAATCTTTATCAATATCAACGCATCAAAGTACCTCGAATGTCCCTGTAGTTTTCCGTATGCTTTATTCGATGCTAATAAGCCGTGCGAACCAAAGTTTTTGGATATAGGACGAGAACTTTTAAGAAAATTATCGGCAATTGAACGTGACAATTTGTGCGTGCGAATTTGCAATCAAATACCATCGATGTGGAGAGATTATTTGCCGATAAAGGGATACCTGAAAAAACGACTTCCCGACATTTTACTAAAACAGTGCCTTCAAAGCAAAGACAGCGATGTACTAGCTATGATTTTATTTCCTCTCGATCAACAGCAGTGGAAGCTGGTGGCTCAAGTATTCGATAGCGTCAAAAATAGACGTTGTGCAAGTTGCGGCAAAACTTACGACGTCGATCAAACATGTTCGAGAGAATTTACCCTCGATTGGTCAGCTATCGTCAATCAAGTCATCAAAAAACAAGGACCCAACTCGGCAATGACTTTTCTATTCAAAGTTGAGGAAAATTTGCCGCAAGTCGTTTTTGATAGAAGGTAAAGTGAAAAATATATTTATAAAAATTACAAAATTTTATTTTCACCTTACTAAACATACTTTCATATATATTTGTATTTTTACAGTATGTATCAATCAATCATATTTTCAACCCTGTTAAATCATCACGGCGTCAAACATGCAATTGAATTGGACAGCTCACACGCAGAACACAACTCCATTTGCTCTCCCGAGGTGAGAACTCTTTTCTTTACGATTTGAAGAATAAAAAAAAATAAAAGAAAGTTAAATGTCATATCATTGGTTCGAATTAGGTCATGCGACAAGTTGTACAAAGCGTCAAAAAAGACGTGGAAGAGACGGTGAACAAAGATGCGCTTGGCAATGGACCTCACCACTGGGGCATGAGATACAATTTAGCCACCTCGACGTGCCCGTGTTGTACATTATCGCTGCAAACGCCAGTACTATTAGGAAACAATGGAATAGCTCTCTTTCCTTGCGGCCATGCTTACCACGTGAACTGTATGATCCAGAAAAAGATTTCAAGGTGTAATCTACACACATGAGAAACGCTCGCGAGTTATATGAATGATTGATAATCTAGTCTCAAAACGTGAACGCAACATACACAAATGCTTTTTTCTTTTACACAAAATAACCTTTAAGTTATTTTCATTGTATGAACAATAATGCGATACGTCTCTAAAATTTACTGCGAAAGTATTTAACTTATTTTATTGATTCGTTACATGCTATATAAACAATACGTTTATAAGAGATTTAAGTTGTTTTAAATGCAAAATTTTGCTACGGGTTCAATAATTTAAAAATACAATTTACAAGAATGTTGCGTTTAAGTCTCCAAATGTGTTTGCAAGAGCACCGTTATTCCGGTACGCAATTTAAAAGTTTAGTAAAACTAATACTAATTATCTGAGGTAGCACTAAAATCACAGTCATTTCTTAATTTTCTTAATACTAATACATTACATGTATATATAGAAATGATTCGAAAATTATGTACGAAAATATTATTGCTTCTTGTGAGCAACAGTATTTTAATTTGTCAAATTTTCAATTTTTTGTAAATATAGCATTTAGTAAAAAAAATATATATAAAATATTAACAAAATTCGCTTTTATGATTTTGAATCCACTATAATCAATCACTCTCGTTGAATTGTTTCATGACATTGTTTTTATAAAATGAATATATGAATACCAATAGAAATATTTTGGCTTATGACTTTTTGAAAAGCGACTTGCCGCTTACGATCAAAGATACCCGCGTGACTTACATCAGCATTACGAATTCATTACATCGCTGAAGCTCTACTCTAATTACATCAATTTAACTTACCTTACATACATTTTCCAATAATTCGCAAATTATTTACAACCAAATTCCGATAATATCCAAATTTGGATCTCATCTTCCAAGATTGGGACGCATAAGTAACTTTTTAAACTTACGCGTTTATCATGAAATTAATTTATAAAATATTAATTTGTATCTACATAGCATCGTCAAATGATTTCTATGATTTTATCGAGATATTTAATGGTTTTTAGTACAAATGTTTTGCAACTAAAAATAGCAAAAAGTGATTCAACTTTAAATACTAAAATTTGTTGCTGCATGATGATTACTACGTCTCACATATTTTTTGACAATCAATTTTTTAGTGATTTATTTTAGCGAGAATTATATAAGAATTTAGTCAAATGAAACGCGTATGCTGTCTCAGATATAATCAGTATACAACTAAAAGAAAAGCGCTCATTCAATAGTAATTAAAAATATTAATTTCTCTCTAAATTTTTCAGAACAGTGATTGCAAATTAATATTTAGATAAGAACCATTACCGTTAAAAACATGTTAAATTAATCAAATGATGATGTGATTACTGTAAATTGCTATTCACAAGTCTTTCGAAAAAATTTAGAGTTATACTACTGTTTTTTGTTTTCAATCGGAAATATTTGTGCAATCATTAAGTATAAAAACATTTCAATCATCTAAGAAGCTATAAGACATGACTTAAACAAACGTCAATTGTGATAAATTAAGAACATGGTGATTTTACCTTGGCCTACTGAACCGTAATAGACACTTGAAAAAATGTTCATTTTAAAAAGAGCAGCTCGCATGAGATCTTCCAATAAAGCAGAAGAATGTGAATTTTATGTAATAAATATTTATCGGGCGCGGATTGTTGAGAGTACAGAAACTTAAAGATAGGTACTAGCACATGCAACTGACGGACATGTTTACAAAGAACCACACACAGGTAATTTTTACATGATTTTGATAAAACTGAAGTAATTATCACGTGAACATTAAGTTACATTTGAAAAAAATTCATTATTTCGGAGTTTGGCTTTTGGATAAAGCGTTTTTGTTCACAAGTCAATTAAAAAATAAAATTTATGTACTTAACAATTTTGATATCGTTTTAATAATTAGTTTGAATGTTAGAACCATAAACATTAATTTTAACGTAATGAAAAAAACGTATAATTATAAAATTGAATAGTTAGTAATCAATGACAGCTAACAGAGATTTGATTTAAATAAATGTCAAGTAAATGTAGTAATATGAAACAATGCGTAAATACAATCCAAGTATGTCAAGCATTTCAGGTGTACATGACGAATAATTAAAGAGTCCAATTAGATGATCGTGAAGCAGACTAGAAAATAAGTCATCCGCATTGATGTTGAATCAATGTCATTAACGTCAACGTTAAAATTAAAGTACAGTGTAAATGACTGAACTGGTCGATTATAAGATAATGATAAAATGAAAGTATGAAAACGCTGCATCGAAAATGCATTATAAAAGAGACTTTCATTCGATAATACAGTCACTCACCCATTGAAGCTCAAAAATACAATTCTTTTACATACGGGTCAATAATACTCTTTATAAATATTTTGGAAAATATTTTGAAAATCACTACGCTGATACGAATATACGCTGAACGAGATTAACATTTAAATTGAGTCGTAAAACCATCTGCTTAAAAACTTATTTAAAGAAACTCGTAAAAGTATGATCGAATTATAATAATGTTAATTATTTTTTTCATTCAGATTTATTTTTTGTGACTGTAAGCTTCTAACAATTATTTATTATTTTATAAAATTAGAAAAAAAACGAATCGAATTCTGCATTAACAAAATTTCATTGGAATGTTCGCTATTAAAGGATGCGGAAAGCATAATATACGCTACTTATCATTTTAATTAAAAAATTAATCCTTAGAACGTACATTTTTTAAGCTCTTTTTTAGAATATAATGACAGTGTTCATTGTAACCGAACTTGTAATTTCAACAAGTAGCGCGTTTGTATTTACAAAGGAAATTTAAAAATTTGGAGATGAAAGTTTATACAATATTAAATTTCATTAAAATAAATAAGAAAATTATTTAGCAGTAAAGGAAAAAGCGCACGATGCAATGCAACAAAATAAATATTTACATGGCCGAATATAATCCAAGATGCTCGGTACATTCGACATAACGAGTGTTTGTCGGGCTTTTCGGTAAAGTTTTTATTGGTTATTTGGACATGTGGTATATTATAGTTGATCCATAACAATCATGCGCATCAATATTGTCGAGTGCACTCTAAATTTTCTTAGAATATTTGTTTGATAATCTGGATCACTGGAAGATTCTCTCTCTTAAGATCTAATTATTTTGAAATAAAGTCAGTAGTGTCGATGGAAATAGTAAAACAAAAATCAGTACCAAAAATAAAAAAAAAATTGATCGAGACGATTTCGGACACAGCAAGAGCAACGATCACAATCAGTTGTCACATTCTCAGCTAATGACTACAGTGATAAAAGTAATGCCATTGGATAGGAAATTTGTTAATTGATGCTGACAATTCAATTTATTACTACAATCAATCAATAGGTATAAAAAGCAAGTTTACAATTTGTTTGTATCTTCGATCGAGTTTCCAATTCGATGGCAAAGCAATCGCATTGTATATACTCAGTTATATACTATATAATCGTAATACATAAAAAAAGGAGACAATGTTAAGAGAGATAAACACTCGCATACTCACCGAGTGCCGTTGCAGAGACATCAAAGATTAAGTATAATAGTGAAATAGGCGAAGGGCATCATTAAATTATTGATTATAAATCATACATCTAGAATGTTTTATTTGACAAATCCATAGTAATGATCAATCGTTCGTTTGCTGAATAAAACGAATCGCTAAACTCTATGCTGGATGCACAAGTGCAAACACGCGGAGGAAACGTAATAGAAGTATCTCTTACTTGCTTATCTGTCCATTGATTCTTGGGATTCTTGGTCGTCCACTCGATGTGTCTTTCATCGAAAAGAATTAGCATAAAATCAGAGATCAGCGAGATGCTCGAGTGCGGTCGGTGTCCTTTGGTTGCTAATAGAAGATTTGAGAAGGGTAGGTATAGTTGATGAAGAACAGCTTTTAGCTGGATTGTGTTGTGTTGAGAGATGGGAAGCGTGGAAGCGTATGTAGGCGCCGTCGCTGGAAGTCGCTGTTGCTGCAGCCGCCGCCGTTGTCGTGGCTGTCGTTAATGTTGCTGGTTCGCTGTTGGTTTCGGTGTTGGCTTTGGCGCCCGACTGTTGACAACTGTGGAGTCTCAGTGTCTAGAACGATGAGACGAATCAGCCCTTTCACGATCTCTCTCGCGCTCTCGCTCTCGCTCTGGTTCACGTTCTCGCTCGCCAGCTCTTCTGCTCGATCCATCCCGTTCTCTCTCGCGTTCACGTTCTCTGTAGCGCTCGTCATAATACCTACACAGTACATTGCATTCACTTCATTATATACAATCAATCATACAATATTGCTAGGATAGATTGCAGCCAATCTCCTGAAGCATTACTGCTTACTTCCGATTTATGAGTACTACTTATAAACAATGTATCACCTAATTTGGCTTGCCTCTTATTTGTATCAATCGTTTAAAAGCAAAGCCAGTCAGATCAGCTTCCATTCCATTTTAAGTTGTTAGGCTTATTTGCTAGATAATGAACTTGATTATTTTTTTAAATAAACCAACTTATTGCTTAACTGGACATACAAATAAAAAATAATACAGGCTTATTTTTCAAGGAAACTTGAACGTCTTTTTACAAGTGTTCAGATTACTTGAGACTTCTTTTCAATTATTTAAACAATATAATCAAAGCATTACTAAAAAAAGTCTCTTAAATATAACTGCTTATTTATATTTATACAATAGTTTATAAACTATTACTCAATCTAATCAGTTTTAAATCAGACTCTACAAAGTAATACCCCATATCAATTTTTTCACTTTGAAGAGTTTAACTTATATATGTTTGTTCAATAAAAAAAAGTAGAAAAATCGATTATCAATAATAAAATAAAAAGTGGTGAAGCTAAATTTAACAAGCAGAAACTTTCCTCAACGGAAAAGTATTTTATTTGTAAAAAATATTCGTTTTCGCAAATGTAAATCACATTCATTGTTGGCACAGCAAAGTACGTGTAAAACCAAGTACATCATTTACATTAAAAAAAAATGTATTGATTATTTGCTTCACCATTTCTTTCAAAACGTCTATCGCTACAAACAACATTCGGGTAGCAAATTCATCGTTAAATGAGTAACCTTTCAATTCTTTCAAAGATTTTTTCAAATGGACAATGGCATCTAGTTCTTTTTCAACTAGAATTGTTGACATCTAACGAGACATATGTATACAGGTGATTCAAAATATGAATCAAAAGTCACAACAAAATTTACACAAAGTATTCGTTATTCTGCAAATTAAGAATCACTTAAAACGTGACGAATTAAATATTTGCTCGTTTCGTAAGAATGTCAAGATTACTTTCAAAACTACAAAACAACTTTTAGAAATCTGCATCTTTGACTACAAAAGGGCCGAATACTTTTTTGATGAAGATGATTGTTTAATTTATTTACAGATATATACAATAATAGTACGTGCAAACAAGAAACAATCACCCTAAAACTTTTTATACATGTAAAATTTTGTTACAAAATTTTGTTTTAACGTCGATTATATCAACGAGTAAAATCTGAAGGGTATAAGCATACAATTTCGAACCAACAGGCAAACCCTTGCGCAACTATTTATATACCCTCCAAGCAATAACAGGCCTATCGAATACGATAGAGCACGCATATGAGCACGTTCAAAAGTTATAAAGAATAACAAATCGTCCGACGAATTGTATACTCTTTAAATTGTTCTTTTATATCAGTGCATTATAAAACAAAGCGAGACGCAATAATCAATTGTATAATTTTGTTTACTATTTACATGCATATTCACTTAAATGTAAAAAAGTATGTTTACCTAGATGTCTTGGAAGATGAGACAGGTGCCGCCTCGGGCGGCTCTTCCTTTACTCTTGGCCTGGTGGACTGACGTGTTGTACTAATCAAAAATTGATATTTTGTTATGATTACGTACTAAAATTAACCAGGCTAGGAAGTTTTTTCATTTATAAATTTACAATTTCGAGCATTCGCAAAACTGCGCTATTTGATGTTCATACAATATCGCTGTAAATTTAATGACTATTTTTCGTCAATTTTCGTTGAATACATATAGCGCGCAAATTGTCAGACTGCACACTGCATTCTACGAAAACTCTTTTAACGAATTTACAATACTAACGCTTAACAATTTTGCTTTGTATAATTTACGCTACAAGAAGAATGATAAATAGCAATAAAAAGTATTAACCATTTTAGTCACGATTTTTTGTGATTTTAATATGTAAAAATACACGTTCAACCTAGTAAAGCTCATGATTCAATAAAGAGGAATCGTGACTAAAAAGGGTAAAGCTGATTTCAAGTGGAAATAGTTACAAACAAATATTAGTCTGCATTGGAATGCAGTTAGAAAACGAAAAAAGTGTAGTCATAATGTAATGAGGATTTACGAAACTATGAAATTATAGAAAAGATAGGAACGCTAAAAAATATCACAGTCGTTACATAAATTGCATGACCTAATGCTAAAGAAATGAAATATTTGTAATCGTGAATGACATATAAAGCTTATAAAATGAGAAACCAAGTAATACGACAGAAAACCTTGGAGGCAAATTTGTTGCGAGGAAGGATTTTGAAAATATTTTGTTACAAAAAATACGAGAATATTATGATCATTTGAATAAAAAAAAAGAAATGCACCTTGACCGTCCCATGAATCGAAATTTGTATAAATACATAAAAATACTGAAATTATGTAGGTATGAATCAGTGAGTTTGAGTAAAAAATTGATTTGCTGTTTAAGAGACGTGATAAGAGAAATAAGCAACAGTAAACCAAAGTCCCGATAGTATAGTAAACGAATTAACACTAGTAGCTCCATAAATACAGCAAAATGCTGCGTAACTTGGTTTAGACAAACGTCAATCAATAAGAATACGCAAGTGTAAAGAACATGTAAAGTCCGAATCGAGTGTTTGAATGGCAAACAAATAACCACTCGGTTATATCGTTGCTGTCCGAATGGAGCGAGCAGTAGTCAGTCGTTGCAGCTTGGCTGGACGGTTTAACCTTACCTTTCTTCTCGACTTCTCTCCCTGTATTCTCGGTCCCGTTCCCTGTCACGCTCCCGGCTGCGTGATCGTTCTCTTGGATATGGCTCGCTGTAGTAGCGCTCACGCTCACGGTCACGATCACGATCCCGTTCGCGGTCACGCTCTCTGTCACGATCCCTGTCGCGCTCACGACTCCTTTCCCTGTACTCGCGCTCCCGTGATCTTGATCTTTCACGACGTCTTCTGTGGCTGCGATCTCTGTCTCTCGACCTCGAACGCTCTGTAAACAGCGTAGATATTAGGAGGATTCTTTAAAAATCAGCTCTTAACTATAGTTCTCGAAAAATCATAAGTAGCGCATGCTTACCTCTACGTCCACCACCGTAACTCTTCGTTTCCACGCCACGCAGTGTATCCTGTAGCGAACTGATGAGAATTTTGCATCGGTCGTCAGCAGCAACCTTTGACTGTTTGATCAGCGAGATAGCTGTCACCAATGTCTCAATGGCACTCGCATACTCGCCAGCTGCTGCATCTGACACTGCACGAGCGATCGCTGAAGATGACACCGTCCTGTTACGTCCCATAATCTCTTCGACTTCTTGGTCCGACAGTGGTGGTGGTCCGTCAGAACGATGGTCAGGTCCGGGCGCTCCATATGGTGGCTGTGACAGAGGCTAACATTAGTTTTTAAATTATACATTTTACTTCTTTCATTTACAGTAGGTTAATATTTGTTATTGATAATAATTTTACCTGAGCAGCTGGCGGTCCATAACCATGTGGAGGTGCATGTGGAGGCGCGTGTGGTGGTCCAGGAGGTCCAGGAGGTGGTAATCTAACAGCGCCAGGATGCTGGCCAGGATGCTGATGTGGGGGACCTTGTGGAAAGAATGCAGGATTCACGTGAGGCGCAGAGCCGGGTATAGGTCCTTGCGGTGGTGCTTGTGGAGGACCTCCGTGACCCGGCGGCGGTCCTCCCGGGCCTGCTAAAATTTCTTATTGTTTGCCAACATTCCGGTTACAGTTGCCAGCATTGTTATCACAGATAATTTTCTACAATAATATTGCATTGCATTCTCTTTTTCTTTAATAGTCATTGATTAAATTCCATTTCAAATTGCTATCTGTGATCCTTCTGCTTTGCACGGATTAACTTATTGTAAGACTACAAAATTCATGCCATAGGTGAATAAGGAAATAAAGCAAGATCAACTGTGTCCAAACAAAAAGGACCAAAATGAATTCTAATTAAGCATTGATATCAATTATTTACTACAAACAAAGCATCACTCAAAGAATCATTTGATAGACTATTCAGATAGCAGCAAGTTGTCATCATAAGGAATTTTCTTAGTCATAATACATCAACAAACTGTTAGCTGCAATAGTCGAGTTTACGAATCAAGTTAAATAAGAAGGCATAACAAATAAAATAATCCGTGAATACACAAACTGCGACCGGAAAAATAAAACAAACTGTAGCAAATACTAATACGAACAATCTATGTATTCGATTATAGCACTACCATAATAAAAAAAGAGGTAGGGGTCAACCTGCTAATTATTTTTATACACTTAATATTACTATGAAAAAGCTACATGGTAAAAGATGCTATAGAATGCAGAGTCTACCTGGTGGACGATTCCATTCAGGGCGTGGCGGAGCTCCTCGCGGGTCAATACCAGGAGGTGCACCTGGATGTCCAGGTGGTCCCCGGGGTATGCCTTGACCAGGTGGTCCGGGGGGTCCGCCATGAGGTCCATACTGTCACAATAATATTTAACAATTAATTTCTATAAAAAATGTGTTCTACTTTGATTGATTTGAAGTAATCATTTTCGATTTCAGTGGAAAAAGTAAAAAAGAATTACCATGCCAGGAGGTCTTCCTTGGCCAGGGCCAGGCGGTGGACCTTGCTGTGGAGGAGGTGGTCCTCCAGGACCTGCAGGTCCTCGTGGAGGTCCTGGTGGTCCATTCGGCCGAGGTCCATTCCAAGGTCCCTGTTGGCCATAACCAGGAGGTGGTGGACCTTGGTTCGGATGTCCCTGCATGGGATGATGAGAGCCAGGACCAGGACCCATAGGTGAACCATGCATCCTTGGAGGTCCTTGTTGAGGAGGACCTCCTGGACCTGGTCCCATACCCGGTGGACCGCCACCTGGTGGCATTCTCTGTCCAGGTCTCATCTGACCTTGAGGTGGTCCCATCATCATCCTTGGACCGTGGTTTTGCTGAGAATGTTGGGGGTGCTGTGAATGTGCAGGATGCTGATGGGGTGGCATTGACTGCTGATGATGAGAATTGTGTGGTCGTTGTCCTTGACCTTGCTGAGTAGGTGGTGTCGGTCGCGATTTGCATTGTGATTCAAACTGCAAAATAATAAACGTTAAATATTCATACAATTATTTTTCAATTTATTGTAGTCTCATCAAATACCTGATTCAGAGCTATTTTACTTGGATAGGTTACAACTGGATTTTGACCATGCAATTCCTTTTTGGGTAATCTTTCCATACACAATCTCACACTCTGCTCTGAACCTAGTGTAATAACACAAAATCCTTTTGATCTGCCATTGGCACGATTTTCAAAGTATTTCACTTCAATGAAATCTGGCACTCCAACACTCTGCACAGCATCTGCGATGTCTTGGTCACTTGTCCACTGCAAGCAAACAATGCAATACTCATTACCCTTTTGAAAAGTTTATGCATAGAACAGTTGAAATAGATTTGTAAGGAAACTTACCCAAGTCAAATTGCCAACATATAACTGATGTCTTCTACCAATTTGATTTGGCTGTATATTATTTCCCAATTGGTGATATGGTGCACTACCATTGGTTTCTTCATTCCCTGTTGGCTCCTTTTCCCTTTCGCTACTTTCTGATGTACCGCGTTCATTATTGCCAGGGGCTGTGGCAATTACATCGTCATACAGATCCACGCCATCACCAGTAAACTCATTTTGGACCTATGAAGAGTCCACAAAAATATGCCAATTAATACGTAAAATTTAGATTTAAAGAGATTTTAATGTAAGATTTATTACTAAAATGGGAGCTAAAACATAATTAAACGCGCGAAATTTTTCTGAAATAATAGTTATTCAGGGTAACGTCATTTAAAAAAACTGATAGTATTGGCGAAATAGCGTTCCTAACACTGTGTCATATAATATCAGTAACTAAGCTGCACTGACTGTCGCGATGATCAGCGTGGTAGGTCTTGACGAAATGACCACGGCGGCGATTAGGCGAACTTCCGATCGAACTTGCCAAACATTGCGATCCGACTTGCAAAATCAATGCAACAAGCAGGCACAGACGCAGCTATTGCGTTCAACTCAAAGCATTTAGCAGCTCGCGAATGTTGTCTTGAGCATTTGATTTTTATAGTTAAGAGAAATCCAAGCACCGCCGATGCCGCCTTTTGGCCTCCATGACGCCAAGGTAACTCATTCGCTTTCGAAGCCCTGATAGGCAATAATTTTCAGGCGTTATCCTTGCAGCGAAACGGTTATCGCATAGTTGATTGATCGAGTTATCCGAGTTTATAAATATTTCTTATAAATTTGGTATAAATACCTGTGCAAAATCCTGTTCGAGATCGTCGGCGTACAGATCAATGTCACCGTCCGCCATTTTCCATCCACCGACGCTGCTGCTACGCGCTACTACTGCCCGACTATGCAGTCAGTATTTAGTACATACTTATACGCTACAACGAGCTACGACTGGGACTGACGGTGACGGCGTCCGGCGTTCAGATTTAGAAAGGCTACGTCCACAATATCGAACAAAAGCCACCGCGACCTAAACATGACGATTGTCGTCCAATGAAAATGCCTCCAAAATGTAGTGCTGCCAACAATTTACGCTGTCCAAATTACGAGACCTGCGAAGTTCAAAATTTAAATTATTTTTGGAGATTAAGTATCAATGGCATCAAATAAATTGTTTTTGGTAAGTTACGGAGGCACAATTTCCCAAAATAAGCCCTTAACCTAAGCTCGTTTGGTGTCGTCGATGTTTAATCGTCAAAAGCAATTCGAATTTTGAACTTCGCGGGTTGCGAAATATATTTAGACCAAAGTTTATGTTAAGAATGATATCGAATGACATACCGTGTGTATTGTGTAACGTCGCTCGTTCGATATTGTAGACGTAACCTTTCTCAGTGTTCGCATAGTGCAGCGGGCAGCCTGCGAATCTTGCCGCCAATTGCAAAGAATTATTCCGCGTCTTCGCTGTATAGTTTTCATGACTAACGCCAGACGAGATTTATTACGTTAAACGCAAACAATAATAACTCAGTTCTCAATAGTTTCACACGTTTCTCCTAATCTCTGTTTATATCATTGCATCTCACTTTCTCCATCGTAAATTTATATACTACAATCATCATTAACCTAAAAATTAAGATTGTGTACAAATAAAATCCTAAATAAACATTGCAATAGTCATTTTTATATATAGTACTAAAAGACCTTTTTCTATACATTCCTATCAAAGTCAATATTATATAACTATGTATATTCATTATAAAACAAAATTTTTAGAATTTATAGGTCTACTGTTTTAGATAGGTAATGAAATGATGTTAAAATTAATTATACATCAACAGTGCCAATATTATCGATTATGAGAATAAAACTTATTTCTAGTATACTACAGACTATTGGATGGGAACATAGGCTTTGGACACTTTTTTAAAAATATTTTTTCGACAATGAGATATTTGATAATAATCACATAAACAACGAGCATCAATTGAACGTTTGCAACTGAAGTGTATTTTGAATTCACCGGGTTAACCTGCGCAAAGCCGCTGTAGCGAGCGCATGATCGATGATCACTTTGGAGTAGCTGCAAAAAACAATTTAGGACGGAAAGAGAAAGAGAAAGAAGCAATCTACAGAAGCTTTGTCGAGCGATCACTTCACTTGGGAGTGCGACTGCAACATCTTCTCGATTTTGATGTGACTCTCGCGTTGATCATCATTTCAAAGATATAGACCATGAGTTTATATCCTCGGCTCAACCAGCAGACGAGAAACCATCCATGTGCGTTCAACCACTAGCGACTACACTTTCTGCTACAAACGAACAATCGTGCAATATGTCTCGCACGACGATCAAGTCACAAACATTTGGATAATGTGAGTAGCAAATACTTTAGCGCTGTAATGTGTTTAGTTTTATTTATTTTTCTCTTTAAAAATAGGCGCGAACGCCAATTACTTATATGTTTTTGACGAGAGTCGTAGGTGCCCGTCTTTTACTATAGTTCATAACGTCATTTTTTCTATATTAACAATGTGACGTTTTCAGTGAATTTTCATAGCTCACGAGAATAACTTATCGATTTTGAGGTTAGACTTTTGTTAGAATCACGTAAAATGTTATTGATAATTTGAAATATTGTTATTAAAAGTGAATCGTAAAAGATTAAATTTATTTTATAAGATGAACTTGAATTTGTAAATAGAGCAACTTAGTGTAATAAACTATATTTAGGTATTGCATCACTATATTTGAATGTCGGATGCATATAGTAAATTAAAGTCGCACGTTTTTCAGATTTCAAGTTTCATCTAAGAAGCAATATAGAAATTTGAACAAAAAGAATCTTATGGGATATTACTTAAATGTCTGAAGATAAGCAGGTTAACAATTATTAAATCGTAACTGTTAAAATTTGTTGTTAATTAGTTTATTTAACTTCAGTGATCATAGTCCAATTCCACTTATGTCTCATTATAGTAATAGTAATTTCACTAGGCACCACTGAATTATCCCGAACATGATTGTTATTATTTAATTACAAGACCTGACTTCACCTCCTATTTCTTTAATGTGTCTTCAAGCGTATACATGTGTTTTAATAGGTGTGAGCTCAAAAATGTATTTTTTTAAATATATTATAGTAATTATATAGTTATTATTAAATGTACACCATTGCTCACTACATATTATTGTTTGATTCAACGTAACACATTTTAATGTGTTTGATTGAAGCTTGTTTATTATTTTTTGATTCCAGTTACAATCCTGCATGTTTGCAATCATCAATCATCACCAGCAGAGCACCTTATTTCAATTAGTTTGCCAGTTGTGTCTACTCAGTAGAGTGTAAATAATGGCTGCATACATCAATCGCACAGTGTCTATGATTTCTGGAGATAGTCTTTTTCGCACAAATGATATTAGAACTGACAATTCTCCTCTACAGATTTTTGTCAAAGCTAAGAAAAAGATCAATGACATTTTTCATGAAATTGATGACTATGTAGATGACACTGTCAGATTCATTGGATGTAAGTATTAATTATATTATAAAAATTATAAGTATTTTTAAATACAATATACAGAAAATTATATTTCATTTAGCCTTGAAAGATGATCATAAAATAATCAGCCTAGAAGAAGTAACTAAGGTAGAAGCTTACAAGAATAAAGTTCAAGGAATTAGAGATGTCCTTAAAAGGGATCATATGAAAGTTGCTTTTTTTGGAAGGTATTGATTCTATTCTCCAAAAGCTTATAAAGGTCTTAAAAATAAATTTTAATTTGATTTTTACATTTTGTTTTCAGAACTAGCAATGGAAAGAGTACAGTTATCAATGCTATGCTGCGGGATAAAATCTTACCAAGTGGTATTGGTCATACAACCAACTGTTTTCTACAAGTTGAAGGGTCAGATAATGAAGAAGCATACCTTATCACTGAAGGATCTAACACGAAACAGCCAGTGCAATCAGTTGGACAGCTGGGCCATGCATTGTGCAAAGAAAAACTATGTGAAAGCAATTTAGTTAGAATTTTTTGGCCAAAAGACAAGTGTCTTCTCTTACGAGATGATGTTGTCTTTGTTGACAGTCCTGGGGTTGATGTTACTCCAAATCTTGATGAGTGGATTGATAAACATTGTCTTGATGCTGATGTGTTTGTTTTAGTTGCCAATGCAGAGTCTACACTTATGATTGCGGTTGGTATTAATAAAATTTTAAAAAATCAAATAGAATTTAATGTTAATTTAATAATTGTTTTATATGACAGGAGAAAAACTTTTTCCATAAAGTTTCCACTAAACTATCAAAACCAAACATATTCATCTTAAATAATCGCTGGGATGCTTCTGCTTCTGAGCCAGAGTTTTTAGATGAGGTAAATATGACCAATATAATTATGTAGTAAAAATTAAATCAAATATAAAATATTAGTCGATACAATTAGAAAAGTTTTTGATACCGCGAATTTATCCTGTAGCTGGTCGATGAACAAAAGGAGGTAAGATCTCCTTATAAACATCACCAAAAAGTACAACAAGCTGTGCATAATAATTTGAATAAGCTTCATTACTATCATTTTATTTTTCAAGATGTCAATTCAAGAGTTAATTTTATATGTCTAAATGTTGATTAAAACGCAAATATTTAATTTTTGTATCTGTTTTTGCACTGTCAGAGACATACAATGCACATTGTTCAGTTGTTTGCCTTTTATTCAACGTGCTTATTTATTTATACTCAATTGGGATAGAACGCACGGTATAAACGTTTCCCTCTTTTAGGTGAGAGCGCAACATCAAGAACGTGCAGTTGACTTTTTATCTAAGGAATTAAAGGTTTGCAATCCAAAAGATGCAGAAGAACGAGTTTTTTTCGTTTCTGCTAAAGAAATGCTTCAAGCTCGGTTGCAAGAACAAAAGGGCCAACCAGCGCATAGTCAGTTTAATTTATTAATTACAAGTACTATCGACAGTGATTTTAAAAAAATGAAATTGAAAATTTTCAGATGGTGCACTTGCTGACGGTTTTCAGAATCGTTACTTCGAGTTCCAAGATTTTGAACGTAAATTCGAAGAGTGTATCTCCAAATCAGCTGTGAAAACTAAATTTGAGCAACATTCCCAGCGAGGAAAACATATTGCTACGTAAGTAAATTAATTATTGAAAGCAAAAGAAATCAAGTTTTTCATGATTAATGATAAATATTTTTATAGAGAAATTCGACGGACTTTAGATGAAGTACTCGACCGCACTCAAAAAATGAAGACGGAACAAATCACCGTTAAAAAAGAAGTTAACGATAAATTAAACTTTACAGAGCAACAGCTGATGATACTTACTCAAGAAATGAAAGATAAGATTCACCGAATGGTGGAAGATGTAGAACAACGTGTATCTAAAGCATTGAACGAAGAAATTCGTCGATTAGCAGTTCTCGTCGATGAATTTAGCGTTCCTTTTCATCCGGAACCTTTAGTATTGAATGTTTACAAACGTGAACTCCATGTCCATGTTGAAAATGGTCTTGGCTCGAATTTAAGAGCTCGATTAAGTACTGCTTTGTCATTAAACATAGAAAATTCGCAAAGGGAAATGACTGAAAGAATGTCGTGCTTATTACCTGAAAATAAAAGGCAGATGTCTATCAATGTCTTGCCGAGAAGAGAACCTTTCGAAATTTTATATAGATTAAATTGTGACAATCTATGTGCTGATTTCCACGAAGATCTGGAATTCCGATTTTCATGGGGAATCACAGCCCTTATTAATAGATTTGCTGGCAAACAAAGTCACAGATTAGCTATTACGAATGCTCCACAAGAGGTTTGTAAAATATATTGACTTGAAAATTCTTTATCCAAGTATTGTTGATTAATTTACGATCAATTTCAGATACCTCAATCTCTTATATCTCCTGCAGACAGTATAGATTCTTCGAAATTTGTCTCAACCTCAAATTGTTTTGCAACAAGATCTGATGATTGGTCTCTAGCTACAAGGGTAGCAGTAGCCTCAATAACTTCTCAAGGAACAATGGGGGGCCTCATCGTGGCAGGATTTGTAAGCTCTTTTTAATTTAAGTAACTAGACGTGTTTTAAGTTATATTTTCAAATACTTTATACTTTTATCAGATGTTTAAAACTGTTGGTTGGAGACTCATAGCTGTAACAGGAGCTATTTATGGTGCTTTATACTTATACGAACGCTTGACGTGGACGAACAAGGCAAAAGAACGAGAATTTAAAAGGCAATATGTGGCACATGCCATGAAGAAATTAAAACTTATTGTTGATTTAACGTCGGCCAATTGCAGTCATCAAGTTCAACAGTCAGTGGCTTTTTAGTTTTTTTAATCTTTTAACTTTTTTATTATAAAGAGTAATTAAAATATTAATTTCAGAGAATTATCGAGCACGTTTGCTCGACTGTGCCATTTAGTTGATGAAACTACATCCGAGATGGACAGTGAATTAAAAACTATTGCTGTAACACTTCGCACTCTTGAAGAAGCGGCTACAAACGCAAAAGTCCTTAGAAATAAGGCAAATTATTTAGCAAATGAACTCGATTTATTCGACGCAGCTTATTTGAAATCTTTACACTAAATCGTATCAAGGTACATTTTTTCACAGAATCACGGTCTGAAGAAGTGACAGTTATGTTCATGTATATAAAAGCTAAGACGAATTCCCTGATTACAGAGAATAACTTGTCACGTTTTAGAGGAATGTTTCTATATTAAAATTCTAGTCTTACTCCCTCAATCTCTTTGTTTAGTTGTCTAAAAATAATGATTGATTTTTTTATTTCATCAAAAATCAATTTCATTTCAGAACAAAAGAAAATTTTTCTAGCAATGATTTATTACATAACTGATAAAATACTGGTGTTGTTTTTAATATGATTTCTTTATAATTGAGCTATATGTAGATTTATAAAACTTTAACTTTACCATTATAATAAGCTGCGCCTTATAGACATTAGCTAAACTTAATATGTAAACGATTAGAAATTTAGTATAATAAATGATTTATTGTTAATAAAAACATCATATCCTTTATTTTATAACTATTTATTTAATTCTTTTCCATTGCCATGACATTCAATAAAATGCCATACAAATAGAAATATTACTTTAAACAGCTTGCTTCAGAACATCCGTGTATTTTTTAATTTTGCTAGCAACACTCATATCTACATATTTGTCACCAATTGATACAATCATACCACCAACAATGCTGGGATCTACTCTGGTTGTAAGCTGAATGTTTTGGCCTGATTTTACAGATGATTTTAGAGCAGCTTCCAGTTTTCCTTTAAGGTCAGCATCCAAAGGCTTAGCAGTAATCACTTCACAAACCACTTCTCCTCTGTCAGCTGCCATGATCAATTTAAAAGCATTAATTACTTGATTAACTTTATCTAGTCTACCATTTTCAGCCATAAGGCTCAACAGGTTGACTGTAGCTGGACTGAAGCTTTTTGAAATAGCTCTGAAGGCTTCAGCTTTGACTTTCCGTTTAATTGAGGGATCCTTGACAAATTCTGTCAATTTTTTATCAGTTTTCATCAGACCCTGGAATAGATTCAAGTGAATTTTAGTACACAAATACTTATGAAATTTTTATTTCAAGACACATGTGAAAAAAAGCATAAATATTTACTTGGAATTTGATTAGATCTTTTTCAACTACATCTAGAGATTTTTGTTTATGGGCTGCAGAATATAGGGCAGTAGCATAGCGACCTTCCACTCCAAAAACTTGGACTGGTGGCTATAAATCAAAATGATTATTATTGTTTTTTGTATGATATAGACAGTTGAAACATGAACAAATTGATTACCTTAACCATTTGCTGGGCTACAGATGTAGATGAGAAAGATCTGGCCTGCAATCATATAAATATATAATTAAAATAAAATTTATAATTTTAACACAACCTGTAATTACATAAGATAACTGGTCGAATTTATTGGTAACACAAGTATATATTAATTTTTTTTTCAAAAGAAATTACTATTAACAAAATTACATTTACTCAGGTGACCTTTAAATAAGAAAAACTACAGATGGAATAACGAACTGTGGCAGTACGTGTAGGTTATGTGGAAGCTTATTTTGAGTGTACAATAGATGGACAACTATGAATAAACCTCCAACTTTTATCATTTTATAAGCAGTAATACAGATTCATTGTCTATTGCAAAATAGAACTTACCATAACGTTGATTCTGCTAGCAGCCATTTCGAAAAATTTCAACGTCGAAACAGGGTAGTGCCGAATTCACATTACAAGAACATAACCACCACCACTACTTACATAACATAACGCAGACTGAAATTTAATTGGTCAAGGAAATGATGATGCTATAGAGTAGTGCAGCAAGAGTTTGAATATATTCCTCCGAAATTTCTTCGAAAGTGTCAGAAAGTTCATTCGTTTTTATTTATTTTATATTTTTGGTATATAGTGCTTTGTTGTATTTATTGTATAAATTTACGACATAGAAATGAAAATGAGCTCAAATCACGTTTCTAGACTGTTATAAATTTCCTATAAAAATTTTGAAAGAAATTTACAGTGAAGGTCAAATATCTTATAATCATTTTGTATAAAATATGTTTTGCTTGAAAAATGTGTCAACTTCCATGTAGCAATTTTGCAGGCTATATATCTATATTTACAACTATATACTCTTTTAGAACAGCGTCGTCTGCATTTTGGTCTTTTGCTGCTTATACTTACTAGTATATTATGCCAAAATTATTTGTAATTATTCGCGTCTGTATATAATATTTTGTTCATCTCACCATGATAATTTGACATTTTTCTTTTTTTGAAAATTTCTTTGAACATGGGAAAGTTTAATGTTTTTGTAAAACGAAAAAGTTTACGCAACTGCTTTTCTCAGCGTGCTGCTTTATGTTAATAAATGTAAACATAACCTATTCGATTGTTTACATGTTAAATGAAAAGTGTAAAAATTGTTAATAAAGTTGTTACTATAATGTTACTATGACGTCCAAAACATCATTCATCGTTAATGAAGCTCCAGCCAATGCGCTGGCCCTTAATAGCGATAATTCGCAAGTAGTTATTGCTGGTAGAAATGGTATGATAATTTATTGTTTTTAGTGAAATTTATGAACAATTAAGCAACTATAACTTTTTCTTCTAGTTTTCAAAATATTTTCATTACTGGAAGATAAATTTGAAGAGGTTTGCAATTTACGCGTCGGAAAAAATTTGAATTTGAATTTTTCATGTAATGATGTTGCATGGAATCTTGCAGAAGGTAAAGTACTGATAGACAATTTGATAATATAAAAAATTTAGTTATAGAGATGTAAGCATTTCCTTCATTTGAATTTGCAGATCATATTCTGGCTACTGCAGCTACTAACGGGGCAGTGGTTGTATGGAACCTTAGCCGTCCATCAAGATCCAAACAAGAACATGTATTTGTTGATCACAAACGTACTGTAAATAAAGTCAGTTTTCATATGACAGAGCCTATGTGGCTTATATCAGGATCTCAGGATGGTACCATGAAATGTTTCGATTTAAGAACAAAAGAAGCTACAAGGACATTTTACAGGTAATTTTATATTTTTATTTTAATTGTATAGAAATGTATTGAATAGATTTTTAATGCTTTGATTTATCTTAGTAATACAGAATCAGTTCGAGATGTTCAATTTTCACCTCATCAAGCACATACATTTGCAGCAGTTTCCGAAAATGGACATGTGCAGTTATGGGATTTACGTCGCCCTGAAAAATACTATCAGCATTTTGCAGCTCACAGTGGACCAATATTTGCTTGTGATTGGCATCCTATAGAACCCACATGGCTTGCTACTGCTTCCAGAGATAAATCAATTAAAGTGTGGGATCTCACAGCCAAGCCTAGTTGTGACTACAACATACCCACAATTGCATCGGTTGGTCGAATAAAGTGGAGACCAAATAGGAAATATCACATAGCAAGTTGTGCTCTTGTTGTGGATTGCAGTATTAGTGTATGGGATATACGTAGACCATACATTCCGTTTGCTAGTTTTGATGAGCACAAAGATGTTGCTACCGGAATTGCTTGGAGAGGAGATCCTCAATCGTTTTTATCTACAAGCAGAGTGAGAAATACGTTTTGGTTTTTCAATTACATCATCGCGAAGTATACTCGCGGAAAAAAAAATTCAACTTTATATTGATTATTTAGGACTGCACTTTATACCACCATATTTTTCAAGACGCCAGTCGGCCAGCCAGTAAGGCAAATCCGCAAGGTATTGCACTAAATATGAAGGGAGAAGTGGCCTATGCGTGCAGAACGACCGTGAACACCCCAACAAGTGTAGAACAAATCACTAATAAAATAATGAGGTTTACTATGACTTTAAAATATTAATTTTATTTTTAAATTAATGACCGATTTTTGATCCTTACATTTATAGAAAAGCTCCAGCCAGTAATGATACATTTTGCCAGGCTTCAAGCTGGATGCATAAGTTTACTCCGTTAATATCTAGCAATAGAGAGCCAAAATGGTTTAAAATTTGTGCAGAAAATTATTTATTGAGCGGAAGACTGAACGAAATATGTGATCATAACTCTTTTGTTGCCAGCAATGCTGGCCGAAACGATGTAAGTTGATGAGGAAAATTCAAAGTTCTTAAATAGCTTTCATCTCCAATAATCTTTCAGGTCAGTACAATATGGAGTATCATTAAAACTTGCTTCGAAAATCCACTGGGAAATAATAACACGGCAAGACGACCGGTATCAGAGCAAGACGTAAATACTTTGAATTTAGCACACTTGAGCACCAACAACGATCAGTCGAATACAGGTAGAATTTTAAGTGTATGAAACGTGAGCGTACAAATTAATTATATAGCCAATCGTCGAATTGTAGTTTTTGAGAATGATGTAAAATCGCAACAAGGAGAAGCGGCCCCAGGCATAGTAAGCGGCGGGGACGACGAGACAGAAACAGACGAGCCTCCGGAAAGTCAAAACTTTGCTGGACCGTTTCTTTCCAGTTACAGAAGGTCATTGCCTAGCTACAAGCGTCAGTTAAAAGGTGATTTTTCCTTTGGTGAAGGAGAACTTGAACCACTGACGATCGAGTACAATGGTGCTTTCATTGATAACATGATCGGCAACGACAACGACTGGTCGTTGCCCAAGGAGGCCTTTCCTTTAAGACATGAAATTCAAAACCGGTCACCTCCACCCGAACAATTTCCCAATCATTCGCCAGACTTGAACGACGACAATATTTCGATAATGGTCGAAGATCAACCTTGCCAATTGATTGTTACGTCGGTACCAAAACTAACTTTTTGGAATCCAAATTGTCTTGTTGAGGACGCCCTTAGGCACCATGCAAACATCCGTGACATACAAACTGCCGCATGTGTACTTATAGCGCTTGGGGATCGGCGGAAAGATCTCAAAATTGAATTGGCTGTGCAAGAGCATTGGCTTTTAGAGTATTTGGAGATGCTCAACAAGTTCAGACTGTGGGAAGTAGCTACAAGGGTAAGCCTTTCAAACTATTTAAAATTGATGATTTGCTTCTATATTTTTATCTAAAATTGACACATGTATTTTTCAATCATTTACGCGCTATTAAAACTCGTGTAGTTTAACGTACTCGTGTCCGTTATTCATTTCTAAACGGTAATTGCATTATTAGATCATCCAGTTGGCGTGGATCCCCTCGATATCTCAAATGAACCAACAGTCGACAACTATACACGCCAGCTGCTCAGCTTGCACAAAAGCTCTGCAGCGATCAGCTTGGTTATGCGATCGTTGTCATTCTTCGCAGCACGCTTTATGTTCCATTTGTCATCAGGTATGCCATGAAGTTTACTGATATATGAAACATCACTATTCAGTGTTAACCAAATTTACAGGTGGTGCGTGGAATTTACGTGTGGTGTCAGGGTTGCAGCCATGGTGGGCACGTCAATCACATAAACGAATGGTTCAATACAAACAAACAGTGTCCAACGGGTTGTGGTCATGCTTGTGAATATACTTGAAGACTACTAGCACTTTTTCTAGACTCAAATATTGTTATCTATATTTTTATAAAAATGCGCTACTACTATCGCGTTAAGACTTAATTTAAGATTACAAAAAAATCTAGTTGATTTTTTTATACAGATTTCTATGTCTAACTGTTGTATTTTGTTTCTGTAATTTGTTATATAATACGTGTACATAATGTGTTCATGAATGATGCCTGACAATGCCCGATTTTGCGTTGAAAACAATGAGGTATAGTCTCGTTTAATATTATTTATTTGCTACATATCTTATAGGGTGCTTGTAGATTAACATTTAGCTAATAAAATAATGCATTCCAAAGCAATCAGACGTATAAAACATTTTTTACACCTTACATAACCATTAAGTTTTATATAGCAACGTCTCTACATGAGTAAATAAAATTTTTTAAATAAACTTATCAACAAAATTTTAGTACTTCGTACTGCACAAGACAAAGTTAATTTATAAAACAATTCGATTACATTCACCTGAAATTAACATAGGATAACACTATTGATGTACATTTAGTTTGCAAAATATTTAAAAGGCACAATCTTCAAGATTACAAAAATATAAAAATCAATTATATGGCGAGATCCGTTATATGCAATTGATTTAGCTATTACAACATAGCTTTATATTCGACTAAACTTGAACTTTACTATCGCTTGTTATTAATAATTAATTAACTACCAATTATATTTCACATCGCTAATGATAAATGTAATAAAATTTTCAGCAATATATAAATAGCGTTACAATAACTTTACATGGCCTCACAGAGGCACGTTCACTTAAATTTTCTTCTGTATTATTTAAGACATTCAAAGATGTTCAATCTGTATTTTACCATACAAGTACTATATTAACCAATTGTTCATATTTTTCAATTTTCTATAATAAACGTGAAAGCTAGGAATGCATATGAAATTGAAAAAATGTGTTTGATATAATTTACCTTTATCGATAAGTTGCGTATAAATGTATAAAACTTTAGCTTTTTTTTTGCAAACAGATCCCATGCCTTTTTCCTTTATTATTAGGAACTTGTGAAAAGTAGAGACAGATACTTTTAATACTTGTGAAATAAAAGTTGTACTAATGAAACAGATTGTCGATTGATTATACACAGACAGGTGAAATTTTTCACAGGCAAAATAATAACGTAAAATTGTTCTCAACTTTGATGACTTTATTCACTTATGCTAACTTAAACATGTAGCTTAGTAACAAATAATTATAAGTATTTTACAAATAACAAAGTGAGATAAAATAAGATAAAATTTAAATAAAATTAAAGATGATCAATAGCCGATGAAAGAAAATCATCTGGGACATACTCTATTTAATATTATTATATGGACTATATTGTAATCGATAAATAATTTTGATTTGTATAGTACGGGAAAGAGGATGACGATGCTCAATTAACATCTTCATTCGACGAGGTCAATATGAAGATTGATGAGTTCAAAATAAAAATACAAACACTTATAAAAGTAAGCAAAAGAGAAATAAATAAGAAAATGAATTATTTGTTCAGTTCTTTATACTTTCTAATGATTTCACTTGTCTGTGTGTGAGCGCTGTAAATTCTAAATGTAAGCGCAAAGAATGAGGAAACGCGTAGGTGCGGAATTTTTTCCGCTTAGAAATGTGACACAAAGGAGCTGCCGTTGATGAAATGGGATTCAAATGTCGAATCGTGCGCTTAGTGTCTCGGTTCCGTCAATTAAAATGAGTTTGTGGCTCATTATAGACACGTTCGTTGGCAATAGAGCCGGACAGCATTTTTGTTAGAGAACGTTACAACATTTTGGAGTTTTTTTGCCTTCTTTTGCCTCTCCTTGATTTTCTTGAGCTTTACGAGCAGCGATGGCACGCATAAGATCAAAAAACACCTGTAAAAATTAAATAAGTTTGTTTTATTCTTAGATATATCGTGGTTTTTATTACACCGAAAAAATTTTGAATTCACTTTCAGTACGAGTTTTTCATTTTATTTTCAAAACACAGAATATTTGTTATTCAAATAAATACATTATAGAGTTAAAAAAAATGCAAATTAGAAATACAATCCAATCATTTTTAGAATTTTAAATTTTTTAAATTGACTGAAAATAATAAATATTAAAATGTCTTATTCATAATTAAATCTATAATAAGCAGATAAGACAGAAAGCACAAGCCGAACATTTTTTGCATAAAATGTGATTGGACAATAAAAGCATGCTGTAAGAATAAGTATGTAAATTATATAAAGAAAATGGCAAAAAATGAGGAGTTGTATAAAAATAAAATACGAATAGCCAACCTATAAAATTATACACTTCTTTTTCTTCCCCACTTTTCCTTTGTTGCCTCTGCCATTACTTGCTGACTTATCTTCAATTTTACGCGAGCGAATTTCTCGCATCAAGTCGAAAAACACCTGGAAATGTGCAAGTGTTTGCGTTTCAAGCATTTAGCCAAGATGCAATGAGAAATAGCACAATTAAAACTAGAATATGTAGGTGCTCTTCAGAAAATTAAAATAAATATACTTTGGAAGAATGCAGATATAAAATTTAATAACTATTATAATTCAAGAAAGGTAAGAAAGTAACTGTTATCTACCAAAAGAAGGCCTAAACAGCATATTTTAAGCCATTCAACAGCAACTGACAAACAGTAAGTTTATAACATTAACAAGTGCAAGACATACCTTGTCAACATTTTCCCTTGTTTTAGCACTAGTTTCTACATAGGGTACATCCCATTGTTGTGCTCTGTTTTGTGCATCTGCTAAACTAACTTTTCTTTTTTCTTGGAGGTCACTTTTATTTCCCACCAACAAGAAAGGAATGTTCTCATCATTTTTCACTCGTAAAATTTGTTCTCTGTGAATCAATTATGAAATCGAAATAAAATTCTTTTACAATCTAGTCTAAAAACAAATTATAATGTTTGATAAAATACCTGAATTCCTGTGTTGCTTGAAAACTATCATCCTCTGTGATAGAAAACACACAAAGGAAGCCCTCTCCACTTCTAAAGTAGTTATCTCTTATGGCTGCGTAATCTTCCTGTCCTGCTGTATCTAGAATGTCTATCTGTACTTCTTCACCATCAAGAACAACTTTTTTCCTGTACGAATCAGCTTTAGTAGGTTCATAATCTTCCACAAACTATTAAAAAGAATAAAGTTAATCTTAAGCACACAGCAATCTTGATAACTTTCATTTATACAAATAACAAGTAATTACCTCATCGTACATAAACTGTAGTGTAAGTGCTGATTTTCCAACACCTCCACTGCCTACCATAATAACTTTGTGCAGAGCTTGAGTGGCTCCAGGTTTTTTAGACATTTTGCTGATGTCCTGATAAAACAGAAAAATAGAAAATCACTTGTTAATTTAAACCAGCTGAATTTTACTGAATTTTTAGAAATTTTCAATTCTCAAAGGTTCTGAGAATAGCTACAGAAAAGACAGGATATGAACTTGCACAGGATATGGTAAAGCATGCTGTCAGCGTGGGAAATCTTCACACTAGGCTGAACATAGCATTTCTCATATAGAGTATATATACAAGCCTTAAGAAAATGAAGATTGAGCAATGGACTACTTATCAAAGTTGACAGTGCTTGAGAATAAAATTTCCATTAAAATAACCAAAAGAAGTTTGCATAAATTATTTGAAAAACAAAATGTAAAACGGAAAGGTTTCTGTTGTCAAACCTAACGTATAACGATGAATTCATCAAAAGAGAAAAAGCGATAATAAAAGTAAAATAGGACTAAGACATGCAGGTGTCTTCCGGACGTAATAGTCTTTTCTTATATTGAGAAGAGTGAGTTCAGATAGACTTTGACTTCACGTCAAATCAATCGAACAAATACTTTTAATTGAGAATCGGGCAAGGGCGTGTACGATAGAGTTGCGTGAATAATGGGAAAGGCGGTGCCGCAGGCGGTCGGTCGACCTGCCGCCGCGTTACCGGACACACACACACATTTGCAGCAGTAGCAACTTATAGCTATGCAGCCTTTATGAAAATACACAAGAGAGCGCGAGAATAAACTAGAGTAATAAGCGAAGCTGCTACAAAATGCGTGTGTTGCGCTAAATACAAGTAGTTATAGCACCGGTATATCCTTTTTGGGGGTTAATCGCGAAAAATTAAGAAGATATGCTACCTTTTGCGAATCGAGCCTCACAAATTCGAACACCAGAAGGACGCGAGAAACAACTGCTTGCGTACACGTACGCGGCCGTATACGTACTATCGGCGCTCCGTCAATCCGACTCCTCTCTCTCTTTCACTCTTTCTCTCTCTTTCTCACTCTTTCTCACTCTTTCTCACTCTTTCTCTCTCACTCTCTCTCTCTCCCTCTCGGAACTTTGATCACATTCGCACACACTTATCCACACTCCGTTAATTCACCACACACTGACTCACTCACTAGTTTGCTCTGCCATATGTACGCGGTCGGTCGAGGGCGTACCGTGTATACCTACACACATACACTAGTGTATAGCTTTTATTTTTCTCGTTCTCTCTCTCTCCCCGGCATGCGCGCGCGTGATGTACGGACGGTTACACTTTTTTTTCTTCTTCACATTCCCACGGCGCCCCGATTTGCAGTTATACGCCGCAAGTACGCACTACTTTTCATTATAGACCAAGATGTAAACAAGTCGCCGCGACTTTTAACTTCAAATTTTAAAACATGTTTTCAACTCAAAACATCCTGTGCTTTCGCTTGGAATTTAAACTGAAGCCGCGGCAGTTGAATTTCTTTGTGTACTTTAATCGATAATGCAGCTATCTGTCTTGCATCGGTAATGAAAAATCATACGTTTCTTCAAGCCGCGTGAGAGTGCTTTTAGCTTTTGCAGATTGCAACTAGCTTTCCACATATCGCACAGTTGTCAAGAGGTCGTCGTAGCCGCGGCTACTGCTGCGTTACAGCACTCATAAGAGCGACCAAGTCTCTTTTTTTTTTCTCGTCTTCCTTTTGGCCACTTTGTCCTCCCGTCCCGTCGACATTCATCGCAATAAGTCTGTTCATTTGCACTTTTTGAATTTGCACATCGACACTGTCATCGATTGTTGCATAATCATGCGGCTTTTTTTTACGTGAGTGACTGACATAGCCTCCCGACGATTAAACTAGTGTACCGGAGAACGTTCAATTTTCGCAACAAGAGAAATGGAAGATCAAGTTACAACCAGCGCTCACATTCCTCTGCGAGAAAATCTTGTGAGTTTGTTATGTTTTTCTTTATACGATTTCGCTATATAATTTTATTATTATTATTTCTCTTTTTGACGTTGCTTTCGATTAAATGTTAGATAGTAATCTTAGTGTTTTTTATCAGGTAAATACTGCTGTTAAGTTCCTGCAAAATCCAAAGGTCTCTGTAAGTCCCATTCAACAGAAGCAAGATTTTCTGAGACGTAAGGGACTGACAGAAAGAGAAGTGCAAAGAGCGTGTGAAATAGCATCTGTTGATACAAATACAATGCCCAAACAAAATGACTACAGTGTTGTGACAATATCTTCTGGACAGATTAATTCACAGTACCCAACACAAGTTATTCAGCCAAGTATCTTTTATAGAATTAAAGAATTGTTAAATGGAATAGTTCTAGTAGCTGCCAGCTGTTACTCTGTTTACTGGCTGTACAAGGTACAATGGTTGCTATCTTAATTTAACTTGGACAAGAGAACTTATCAAATATTTTAATTTTATTTTTAGAAAGTAATAAGTCCCTTACTATTTGGTCGCAAAATAGATCCAAAAGACCCTGTCATTGAACTAGATAAGAATATTCAACAAGTTAAGGAATCAATCATACAAGTTAAAAATGATGTTCAACAATTGACACAGAGTCAAGTAGTTGACCCTTCAGTACCTCAACTGGTTCAAGAATTGAAACAGGACTTGGCTAGTTTAAAGTCTCTTTTATTGTCACGGTAAATATTGTATAAATCTCATTAACAATTAAAAATTTTTATTCACATATCATGCAATAAATAGGAAACAGTTTCCAAGTGCACCAGCTTCCATTCCATCATGGCAATTGGAAGCCTCAAGCCAGGGTCAAGAAAAAGCAAACGAAAGAGAAGATGATGCTGGTAGCGGTAGTAGTACCAACAATTCGGATAGTTCCCTGGAAATGATTAGAGAAGATCCACCAAAAGACTAAATTTTTATAAACATGTGTGAAATTGGATACTTCTTCATTTAGCATTTATGTTAATTGCTAATAACAGTTTTTACCAGAATAAAGTGCGAGTTTGTACAATATAAGAGGGTGTAGGAGTGATTTGTTTTATAGTTTTGAGATATTTTATATCAGTACACTGAAATGTTGGAAATGTGTGAATCAAGTGTGAAAAATACATACATAATTAAGTGTTGGGCAATATTTTTCTTTTTTATTTCTTATGTCCTCCATATCATGTTGGATGTACATGGAATAATTTATTACTTTATAAAGGTTAATTAAAATGCAAATCAAAAGAGAAACTCTCACTCTTTTATTCCAATTGAACAGTATAATACAATACAAATGTAAAATAAGTACATATCATTTTGACAGTTTTATATCTTGTAATATTATATATTTTGTACATATTTTTATCTAAACCTCTCTGTAATCTTTCAAAAGATTAACATCAACTTTTTCATGTATCCTTAAGAGAGTTAATTTAAAGAAAATATATGATAATGATAAAGTTTTATCTTGATTGATGACAGTCAGGAAAGCTCTCATTCTAACAGCATTTAATGTTTGTATATTCGAATGAACCTTTGATCTTATTTTAACAATATTTTTGAATTAGTTTAACACATTTTGTACAAAAGTATTGTTTCAGAATTCGCAATGCTAGTTACAAGTGAGTGCATCACTTGGCTGTAAAATCTTACATTTTACTTCCACGGCACTTAACAAAAGATATCATCCTTACAGTAAGGATTTTTGTAGCTTTTCCTTCCCTATGATTGTAGTTTTCAGATTAAGAGTCTTCGAAAATCGGAGCATTATATATCCATCAAATTTATAATATGAAATTGGTACTAGTTGGATGTTTATTGTCTTAGTTGTAGATTTTTCCCTGAGACTTATATTTTGCTTTGAATTGAAGCTTTGTTAATTTTATAATTCCATAGTATCTATCCTTTATTTCTAATGTTTTCTTATTGCTAAAGCTGAAATTGAAGCTGTACCAAAAAATTTAGTTTCAATATAACTATATTATAAATATAATTTTGCTTCGATAATCATGCAATTCGCAATCGATATTTAAGCCTTAAGTTTTCTTTTTTCATTTTTTAACAAAGACATGCAATGTTACACATAATATACGCGGAATGACTCCATACTTCACAAAGATTAATTAAAATAGAAAAAAATATAAATTCCTACTGATTTGTTCCAGATAAATAACGTAATAGATAAAAATAACGCAACTGTATATTGTATTTCATACAAGTTGATGCAGCATCATATTACCTCATATAGTCATAGTAAAATTAAATTTTGCTTTGTACACATATCAAAATATTTTTTTTCGTTTCCTTGTAAAGATTGTATTTAATGACTGTTTAATCTTCGTATGTTGATTTTGATAAATATATTGAAAAAATAAAACCTGATAAATTAAACTTTATCTTGATTAATGATACGTTAAGTTGCTCTTTTTTCAATATTTTCTGTTTAAATTAACATATAATACAATTAAAGTAATTCACAAAAAAAATAAGTACAATACTGTCTTCAACAGAAATGTTATATATATATATATGTTCACAATTGACGTTCATAATCATGTGGTATAGTTTACAAGTAATTATGTAATTTAATTTAAACGTGCCCAACCACGTCTTTATTAATTATAATGTAATGATATCAGGCCAAGAAATTTGCAGAAAGAAATTATTCGTTCATTGTAATTCACGTTCTGTTTATTTACAAATCATGCAACATTTACTAAAATTATGTTAGAGTATAATATATACAACAGTACATGTGTACATTAGTCACATGAGTAAGGTATCAATCAATGACTTAATTGTCAACCAAAATATTTGTAGATTCAATCATTTTATTTGATTTATCAATATTTTTTTAGATTACAATTTGATGAAAATAGCTGCCCCACTGATACAGTGAGTTACAGCAACTTATTTAGCATCCTAGATGAAACAATGTACAATAGTAGTAAAATCATTGTACTCAGAGATTACAGTCTCTCTTTCGTGGTTTGTATGTATACTCTATCTAATAAAAAAAAAAACCAGAGTCAAACAAAAATCTTGATTGAAAAGATACACAAAAAATATACATTTGGTAAGTCACGATAAAGGAAATAAGCGATACAGCGTAACGTTGTAAAGATATTAATTTGAATCATTGGCTAATGCACGATTGAGCAATATCGTCTCGTTTTGCCGATTATTTTATATAGTAACACGAAAATAGAAAACCAAGAAAAATTAAGAGAGAACAATAGCTTCCAAGATGTTTTGTGCTTAAACGTATCTGTAGAAGAGTTTGCCTACTGAAAATATGCGGCTGTCAATGAGTTTTTTCTTATTCAAATTGAAAATAGTTTTTATGAGTTTTTCGTAAATGATCCTATAATACACGCGCGCAAATAGCAGTTTAGGACAATATAAACCAGGTTTCACGTAACCCTTACTCTTCCATCTTATTCGAATGATACATTAGGGCTATGCTACCACGTGTGATGCAAATGTAAATTTCTTGAAAGTACGGAGCGCACGTCTTGCGTAAAACGAAGAGCATCTAAGACTGGAAGTAAACTTAAAAGTGCTGTATCTCCCGCATCACTAAACCATGACTTGATAGGTATTGCATTATCTGTGAAGTAAGAAAAGATATTGTTAGTATGATTCATCACCGTTTCTGACGAATTCGATTATTATATATGATAAGCATTGCTCACTAGGATAAGCTCTGTAAGCACCAGGACTGTTGTCAAGTATAAAGACTGATGCCAAGTCTGAACAAATGGCAGCCAAATCCTTAGTATAGGAACCCATTTCAGGCGTGCAATGTTGCCTGTAGTATCTGCGCCTCAAAATTCCTTTGTTGTTGTCTAATTTATCAGCAACAGCAGCACCATAAATTTCCATCGAAGCAGTAAACACCACAAGTTCATACCTTTGAAAACAAGATATTCAATTGATTAAAGATTAACAACAAATATCAAAGATAACTCACTTGAGATTGCCCCAATTTAATTTTACTTACCACTGACTAACGATATCCAAAAAAAAGTCCACGTGGGGTCTCTTATGAACAAAAAATCTGACCGGATGCCGATCTATCGTTACTTTGAGAACAAAGTCAGGAGGGGTACCAGGCCTGACTGTTGGCCTAGCTACTCCATCGTGATGAGAGTGTATCAGAGTCTCATCCAAATCCAGTACAAGTATTTTTCTTTTAACTATACCTACAGAAACAAAATCAGACAAATTGATTTACATTTGGTTGATGCAAGTATGGCTAAGAGACCAATTAGTTAGGCGAATACTTACTGAGTCTGTGCCTGGATAGCGGAGACAGGGGGAAGATTTCATACTTGACAGGTTGCATCTGCGAGATCTAAAAATTGGTAAGAGGAAGAATGGTAGGTGAGCAGAGCTGAACAGGTGGTTGCTGGTGCACTGCACCTACTTACGGCTCTAACCTGCTTCTTGAGTAGAAAACAGACACAGGTCCACACACGAGAGGCCATCAAGAGAAAAGCTCTCATCCCCATTTGCAATTGCTTCAGCATCTTCTAGCAGTCTTGTGTACGCCGGGCTGCTCAAGTCCGGCTCTCCTATCAGTCGACGCTGAAGGCACGGTCGCGAGTGCCTCTGGCGCTGCGGTATCTGTATCGGCGGCGTCGCGAGGGCAAAAATTATCCACCTTGGTCGTCGTACTGTCTATACCGGTGCGGGCTTGCACCCGAGTGACAACTCGGTGCGAGCGACACTCCGCGATTACCACACTTCTTACTGCTGGTCCATGCGAATTAGTGCGTTTGTGTAATTTATGATTTACCTAGGAGCGCAGGCGACAGCCTCGACTTCTTCGTCTTCGTCGTCGTCGAGTATGTTATACAAGCATACTGGCGTTATAAACAAACTTGCTGGCGGGCGCGGGGAGGTGGGGGCAGCAATAGCAAATCGAATGGAAGGCGGCTGGCTGCGTGTGTGTATTTCGAAGCAGAAAGTTTCAGCTCTTGCGAAAAGTGGCAAGTGGCAAGTGACTTGGCAAAGTATCCGACTTCCGAGGACGAACCGATTTACGTATACTGCTGCTCGTCATCAAACTTATCCTCGGCAACTAGAGAAAGCCGATTATGCCCTTTGGCTTTCATATCTCTTACTCGTCTGTAAGTATAGTCTGGATGTGATGATAGTGTTGAGTTGCCGATGATGATAGCGGCCAATTGCTGTAGACGACTCGCTGGTGCAGTACACCTGGCACAGTCAGTCCGGTTGTTAGTTGGCGGCAACTGGCCGAGAACGACGTATGGTCTGCGGCGTTCGATTACTTAGCGCGCACGCGACTCAAGCTCACGGCTCGAATAGTAGTATGACTTGGTGGTAGCCATCTTCGGTTAATCGACCCAATGGCTCGCTCAGCTCCGCAGTCCGCTTTGCTGCGCTCGACTGTAGATGGCGCAAACTGCCTTTTATCTTCGCCAATCTCTTTACTCGTCATCGAAGCAGCTGACTTGAAAACGCTTCTTCTGGTCAATAATTCATATTTTTATACAACAATAACTATTCCAAAATAGTTTCATTGGCAACTGCATCACAATAAAATTGTTCTAGATTTTTCAAGATAAAAGTTGCAAACATTCGATAAAGATTAAGCCGAAATTCGAGTGTTTAAGACGACCAATTGATTGTGGTTACATGCGGAAAAGTTTGGCTAATATCAATTAATTCGTTATCGTGCGCACATCGAATCCAAAATCATTGCTTGAACTGCGCACCGATGAGCGTGTCTTGCCGCCGCGCTCTCTTTTTCTTATACCGCACCACCCCACCCCAGAGCCCGCAGTCTTTTTTCTCCTCGTGTCGGCAGCTTGCGCCAACAGTTCGTAAGTTCGTATTAGTGTATCTTCCTGCAAGAGCATAACACTATCCACAACCCGGAATCTAAAAGTACTTTGACTATTTTTGTTAAACAAACGACGGTGAAGAGCGTAAGTAGGTATATAAACGGCAAAGGACGGAAGGGATATACTCTGGTCTGCAACTTGCAAGCTTTCGTTGCAAATCGTTCGCTACGTACATACATCAGCCGACAAGTTCTGTTATCAGGTTATCAGAAAGATCTCATTTTGTACAGACCATACATACAAACTCATGCACACACGTGTATATATATATATATATATATATATATATATATATATATATATATATATATATATATATATGTGCCTTTCTTGCCGCATAATCTCACGCGGCGCCTAATGTTTAATTCAAGCTTCTAATAGCCACTGTCACGAACGGTTTGTTGAGCAAATAAAAGCTATGTAAAGTGACTTATGTACAATTACTCGTATCGATATATTGATATGTGAGATACTACTTGCGTGCCTTTGTGTGAATGTGCGTGCATGCGTACATATCAGACATCACACAGTACGTTCCCCGCAAATTAATGCCCATTAAATACGTGGACACGCGCCCAAGCTCAATATCGAGCATTGATTTGCGACAAACATGCATCAGTGGCAGAATACATATCTGCCTATAGTTTTTTTTTAACGACCCGCTAACTATTCGGGCCGCGCGCGTGCTCGCCAACATAAGTCTCTCTCTATCTCGCGCATATATATATATATATATATATATACACACACAACAAGCGGTGCATATATCTGCAGTCTGCCGCGCGCGCCACGCTGCTGCAACCGCCAAAGTATTATCGACAGAAATGAATATATAAACAGAATATATACGCGCATAGCACTAAACGACAGACTATAACTGCGTTTACGCGCGTACATATACTTAGACGACCGCCACCGGTTGACATTAGTTTACAACACGTCATGGCATCATGAAAGCCCGAAGAAAGTTATTCAGCGGAAATTGAAGTAATTAAATTGCTAGTTCGTTTTTTCTTTATACTTTTTTTTCGAATGAATTATTCGTTCGTTTTGGCTGTCAGTTCGTTTTATCAAGTCAGACGATCACGAAAATGAAATGGACGGGCTTGAAAGTTGAAAGCGAATGAGCTATAATAAGAAAAAAGAAGCAGAGATTTTTTCGAGATACGGGAGAACTATGTGCTCGTGGCAGTTTATTAAAGCGGCTCAGCTGCTGGCGATTGGGGGCTCGCGTGTATATGTGTGCAAGTGTGCGTGAGTGCGCCTACGGTACAGTAATGCGGGCGCTTTGAGAGCGTTAAGTGTGACAACGGCGTGCATAGTATACACGTCGGCTGCATCTTGTTCTATTTCTTTCTCGGTCTCTCCCTTTTATACGGCTCTCTCAACTCGAGTCTTGTCAGTTTATATATCTATCTTATATCTTACCCACGATAGATAGATACACACGACGAGTGAGTGAATGCAGTGTGGCAGCGGCTGCAGACGTGCGCGTTGCGTTGTTGGCTATCTTCCTAGTGCGCCCGAACGAAAATATATATACATATATAGCAACTACATCGCGTATATTTGACTTATGCCGTCTTTGTTAGCTCTTGTGTTTTTTTAGCAGAGAGCTCGGAGCTGCACGCGCGGCAATGCTGTTTCTGCAACTCATCATCGAAGCACCAGCTAATTACATACATTACCAGAGGCCCCTGCTGCACTCCAACTCTCCACAGTAGAGCTACAGACTATGAATTCTCAGCTCAACTGGGCCATCACGCTCGCGTAACGCTCTGTTGACTTCTTATTTTCCACGCGACGACATCGCTCGCGAACGCATCCGCGTACGTTCGCGTGATACACCGAGCCATTACAGCTATCAGTAAATTATCAGTTGGTTGACGTTTCACTGCTCGCTCCATTGTTTACACAACTGCGACGCACCGATTTCAGTTACTTAATTGACAACTGCTGGAGAGATATGATTTTTATGCTTCACTGATTGTCACCGACCTATCCCATACATACTTTTCGCTCTGCCTCGTGAGTTAAGTTATGAATTCTCAACCAATTATGGTACCTCGAAGCGATCAAAATCGCAAAATGCAGTCGGAGTCACATTCGACTTCTGTGGGCAACATTGCTGGAGAAAATTGGAAAATGATGACACCTCCAGGTACCAACAGATCTCTATCTGGTATGTTAAAATATTCCACATTTCAATTTTTGTCCACTTTTTAACTTATATAGAATATATCGACTCTGTAGCCACCGAAGATCGACGTTCACGACGTGGCAGTAATCAAGTACCCATTCTAGCTAAACCACCTTCTTCTGAGTCACTGCTAGCAAACAGTACCACTTGGGTTGATGCTCCTGGGCCACCGCTCTCTCCAGGTAATCTCATTGAAATTGAGTTAATTAATCTTAAATTTGCTCAGAAATAACTGATAAGATAACGCTGTAAATAACTTATTCACATGCTTAGTATCATATCAAACATGCCTCGCTTTTGTTTATTTCAAAGTAAATCTAATTTAAGTTTCAATACAAGACTAGATAGCTAGAGAAAATTAGAACAGATTTAAAGCAAATATCGATTGCTATTTTAACCGATCACTATTATATTCTTCAGGATTAACTAGTTCCCTATCATCCGGAGGTGGAGAAAATAGTCCAAAGGTAGATGGGGATAAAGTTGGCGACAGTAGCTGCAAGCTGACACGAAAGGAGTCTTACAAGGCACAGCGAAAGAATTATAGGATGGAAAAAAAGAGAGTAGCCGATGAGTTGCTCAATTCATTGAAAGATCCTACGGTGATAGTCATGAGTGATTGGTTGAAAGTTAGGGGTACTCTCAAAAGCTGGACAAAGTTATGGTGTATCTTGAAACCTGGATTGCTGCTTCTTTACAAGAGTCCAAAAATGAAGGTAATTTTTCCCTATCATTGTTAATATATTTTCAGGAACTCGGATATGACATTAAATTAAACATTTTCAGAGTAATCACTGGGTTGGCACTGTACTACTGAACATTTGCCAAGTAATTGAAAGGCCCAGCAAGAAGGATGGATTTTGTTTCAAACTGTTTCATCCACTTGAGCAGTCGATCTGGGCTCCACGGGGTCCCGAGAATGAGGCTATTGGTAAAATATCGCTCAACGATAGTCTGAACTTGCAAAGAGAGAAATTTAATGTTAAAATTGTACGCAATAGGTGCTGTAGTCCAGCCATTGCCAACGTCCTATTTGATATTTCGAGCTCCGTCCCAAGCAGCTGGCAAGTGTTGGCTGGACGCTTTGGAACTGTCTCTACGCTGCTCATCGCTGATCATCAGGTCGGCTAGTGTATTGCCGCCCAGATCACCGCAGCACGATACTACAACAACTCACGAAACTCAGTGGAGCGAGGCGGATTACGAAAAACATTTCATCGATCACGGTATGATTAGGAAAACATTTTGATCCCTAAGTACAGTATTTAATAGTTATATTTATTGTGTTTTTGTGACACACGTATATGTTAACTTGATTGTTAATTTTTTGTCGTGGTCTCGCTCGACGCGTTATTTTCAAATGACTCGACGGTTTCTCAATGGAATTGCAGTGGGAATGTAACATTCATACGTAAGCGAAAGGATAAAGTATCGTGGAGGCGTGTTCGTAGTCGTTAAAAAAAAGCTTGATTCCACGCGATGCGCTGACGTAAACGTCGACGGTAGTAGGGAAGCGGCAGTATTTTTGATTCACGACAGTAGTCTGATCTACGACGCAGCTGAGCCCTCGATTAGCGACGCCGAACGCGTAGATTTGGTCAGAACTGAAAGGTAATCGATCGAGGGTTGGGCAGCAGCAGCAGCAGCAGCAGCAGCAGCAACAACAACAACAACAGGAGCAACAACAGCAACTGAGTACAACAGGACTACGAGGTCGCCGGAGTATCGTCAGCGGCTCCGCTTGCGTCGTCGTCAACGAGTGGCCACTTCGACCGGTTGCCTGCTCGAGCCACCTTCAATAATCCTCAGTTGCAACTCCTCTCCCTCGTGCGTAAAGGCTAGTCGATCACTACGCTCCTCGTCCGGCGCGTTGCGTAGCTTATGCCCCCCTTCCACTCCCGTGTTCCAACAGCTTTACGACGCGGTAGGCTACTGGGAGCGACTGCTCGGCGCGAGTCCTCAGCACGACTCGGTCGAGGCTACTGGGCCGTCGCTCTCCTCAGCCTCCGAAAGCCAGCTAGCCGAACAAGCCGGACAGGCCGCCGTCGGGCTGGAGGAGAGCGCACGGCGCCGTATGACCCTGCCCGCTGATCCTCACAATCACCTAGTCACGCTAGATCACGCTTTGTATGATTCCCTGCCTGTGGCTGCTACTGCCGGCGATGCCCTCGGCTCCCTCGGTCCCTCGCTCGACGACGACGTATCGACACCCACCGCAGACCTCGACGACTGCATCAGCCAGCCGGAGAATGGTCTCGCCGCGGACCACGAAATGAGCCCCACTGATACCGAGTCCGAGGAAGACAACAAGGAGGATGCCGAATCGCGGGAGATCAAGGAGTCGGTCTACCAGGCCAATGAGAACGAGATCCTGGGCTCGGTAAGCAAACGGTTCGGTTGGACAATCATTTGCGGACGCTTCGAGCCTTTGACTAGCGCGCGCTTCAAATTGGCGCAGGCCGGGGAGGTGGTGACCGAGCTGCAGGAAGAACAAAAGTCGTTGATCTGGTTCCTAATGAAGCAAGTGCGCCCCGGCATGGATCTTTCCAAAGTCGTGCTGCCAACCTTCATCCTGGAGCCGCGCTCTTTCCTTGAGAAATTGGCCGATTCTTACTACCACGCGGACCTGCTCTCTCAGTAAGTGAGCTCTCGGCTTGGTGCTGCGCGGAGCGATGGTGCATACCGATCGTTCGTTTTTACAGAGCTGTACTGGAGGACGATGCGTTTACGCGCATGAAGGGAATTGTCAAGTGGTACCTGTCCGGTTTTTACAAGAAGCCTCAGGGACTGAAGAAGCCCTACAATCCACTTCTCGGCGAAACTTTTCGCTGCTACTGGCAGCATCCCAACGGCTCGCGTACTTTTTACTTAGCCGAGCAGGTTAATCTTCGTCTTGTACTCGCTCTGCCCGTCGCCTCGCGCGTCGTCTATCTCTAATACCGTCACTGTGTTTGCAGGTTTCGCACCACCCACCAATTTCCAGCTTTTACGTGACCAATCGACAGGATGGCTTCACCATCGGGGCAACAATCGTGGCCAAATCCAAATTTTACGGTACTTGCAGAACAACAAGGCAAAGTGCTCGAGTGTTCTTTCAAATTTTAATGGCTGTCGTTTTTCGCCTTAGGCAACTCTACGTCGGCAGTTCTGGACGGCGCTGCGGTTTTGACCATGCTTCCACGAGGCGAAGACTACACGATGACCATTCCTTACGCGCATTGCAAAGGAATATTAATGGGTACTTTGTCGATGGAGTTGGGAGGAAAAGTCAACATTACTTGTGAGAAAACGGGCTATCACACTGAGCTGGAATTCAAGTTGAAGCCTTTCCTCGGAGGTTCCGATCAATTAAACATGGTAGTAGGACGAATAAAACTTGGCAAAGAGACTCTTGCCAACATCAGTGGTTACTGGGACGGTCAGATCACAATAACGGATAAGCGAACTGGGGTAATGGCTTTGATTGAAAAATAAATCGTTGGAGAAGAAGCAAAATCATTTGTTAAATGCGTTGATCGTGGCTGCAGCAAGACAGCGTGCTTTTCAATCCCACGCCAGAAGTGCGCAAGTCGCGCTTGAAAAAGTACACGGTCCCTCTGGAGCATCAGAGCGAGTGGGAAAGCGAAAAGCTGTGGCTGGCCGTGACGCAAGCGATAAATAACGAGGACCAGACAGCAGCGACCGAAGCCAAAACTGCATTGGAGGAGGCGCAGCGCGAGCGTGCCAAGGAGAGAAAAGCGCAGGGACAGGAGTGGCTACCCAAGTACTTCGTGCAGGACATCATCTCGGGCAATTGGATTTATCGTCACGCAGACATCCGTCCGTGGGATCCGCGAAACGACCTGGTGCAGTACGAGCACGACTACATCGTTAGCACCAAGACCAGGCACAAAACGCCGATAATGCGCACCGGAAGCATCGTCTCTATGGAGCCTCAGTCTCAGGTGATCAATCGACTGGCTCTCACGACGAACGCTTCCGCAATTGCGAAACTTTATCCGGGCACGTTCGCATTTCAGCTGCCGCTGCTGCTGGCCGAGTCGAGGTCTTCGCTTTCGGTTCTGAAATCTTCCAAGCGCCAACTGACGAACAATCACCCCATTACCGAGGCGGCGCACGATTCTGCGAGCTCCTCCGAGGGCGGACATTCCGATTCCAGTCAGTCCGTCGGCAAGAGACGACGTTCTACCGCCAGGTGAGACTCTTTCAAGTTTCACGGTGGCGCGTGAGCACGTGCGAGCCATTCATCCGAGCCGCTCTTCCGACCCTCCGATCGAATTCAAATTTATTGCACTCGCGAGCGACCCAAGTCGAGCGGAGTAGCAATTCAAGTTTCGCATTTGCGATGGCTTTTATTTTGCGCAGGATCGTGAGCATGGTGAAGAGCGTGGAATCAAGGATGCAGAGCCAGGCGGAAAAGTTGGATCACATCCAGAGGCTTCTCGAGCAGATGTCCGTGCGTCAGCGACAGACGAGGGAGAGAGCCAATGGCTTGCGTCTCAGCAAACATTTCATCGATACGATCATCATTGTTTTCGTGGTTTTCATTGCTCAGTACGTAATGCGACTCTGAAATCGGGCGGCTTCGCCTCCAACCAAAGGAGCCCAACAGACGTAAATTTCCTGGTTTTTACCTATTGTTTCGTTCGTAGCTTTCGTTCGTATGACCCAAGTCAATCATGTTCGTCAATCTCCTGGCTGAGATTTATCCTAGTCGCTGGCCAAATTTACTATTGACGAGTTTTGTGGATAAATATATAATCGCGCTCTCTGCACGTGAACAGTCTCAAGCGTTAGTCGCTTGTGAGATATGTTTAAATATTATAGAACCTCGGGTGGCCCTTATATTCAGCTGTCGTTCAATTCTCATTACCAATGATTGCTCGATGCGCGAATTGACGAGGAATTGACGAGATTTGCATTGTACTTAGCAAGTACAGATATATATGCTCAGTAATTTGTATGGACGAACGATTGATCGCGGGCCACCTGAATCTACATATAAAGCGCCTTCAACGGCATTACATCTGCTGCAAAACATTGTGATCCAGCTCAACATAAGTCGTAAATATTCCTTTTCTATAGTTTGTAATAAAAAATATAAATATCGCATATACAGCAAAGACGAAACAATATATATTTAAACGTGTAGGGCATTTCGTTTATTCCGATGGAGTTCGACATCTAGGGAACGGGGTGCTTTCAAAGTGCTCTTGCATTACAACTATTTAAAAATGGAGATGTTTTCTCACAATATGTCTCAAATTCGAATAAACAGTATAAAACTTATTTTCTCTTAAAAATTAAGTAAGCTGTATTTTTCCATGTTTCTTGTTTTCAATAACTTTGTACTATTTTCAATCGATGTATTCAAAAGAACAGGAAAAATGAATCTTGATAGTTTTAGAAATTTTAGATTTACTTGTTATTCTGAGTCAACAAAATACTGAGCTTATATATGACTAGTGTATACGCTTTTGTTACGCTTATTTAATCAATTGTATATTCTATTCTTGTAAATATGTAGAGTATTATCCTGTGATAATACTTCGACACGCAAGGGGTCGCTTTCTTTTTGTTCTCTTTTTTATTCACTTTTTTATTACTTAAAAGTCGAGCAAAAGGATCGAGATGACGAGACAAGAGAGTGTGTGTGTGAGAGAGAGAGAGAGAGAGAGAGAGAGAGAGAGAGAGAGAGAGAGAGAGAGAGAGAGAGAGAGAGAGAGAGAGAAATTAGTTTCAGTCTTCGTAAATCGTTGTTATAATTATCAAAATTTTTCCCACTAAAGTATATGTTACATAATTATAGCAATCGTATTGTTACACATATACTTCTATGAGAATGATATATTGTACATGTACAAGTAAGAGTATCGGAGCGAAATGAAAAGTCAAACCATTCGTATGAAAGCTTTCAAACTTTATATCACGTTTGCCTTTCGTGATTTTCTCTGGATGCACATTCACGTTTTCTTTTTTCGTACGCATATTCATTTAATTACAATTGTTTCCTCTCGGATTGTTGTTTTCATCTATTTTATTTATTTTTTATTTATACAGCACATTTTTCTTGCGAACGGGAAAAAGGAAAACGACAAAAAAAGCGGGTAAAACTGCAATACATAATTGACTCATGTGATCGCATACAATCATAAAACTCGAAAATTCGATTACAATAATTTACCGTGTGTCGTGCTATTGTACGCCCGACACGTATGTTGTACTAATATACACATGCCTTTTCCAGCGACATTCTAAGAACAAAAATAATAATCCAAGCGTATTTATATCAGAGCAGTTATAATGTTTCATTCAATACTATAATAATTGTCGGCGTTGATTTGTAAAATTTTCAAGATTGCTTTTAACTGCGACATACCAATTCTTTGTCCTTTTTATACGCAAAGAAAAGAAAGGGAGAGTGGTTGTCGAGAGTTAAGCTGAGTGCTACTCATTTGTTTGTCGCTGCGTAAAAAAGAAAAAAAAAAGAAAAATAAATAAACAAAACGGCATCACGTCTCATGTCCACACATAGGCAGGCTCCTTAATATCATTTTGAGCGTTTTTCCGCGGATTCTGTGAAAGTCTGATTTGTCAATACAGAACATAATGTATGTATCCTACGCATTGATCGATGAAATAAAAGCAAGTGAAATGTGAAAGAAAGCTATGTGTCTGTGTTTTGGGCAGGTGTCGGTAAGGGCAAAGTCGCGGAGGCATGTCGGGCAAGTGCTCGGTGAGCGTGGGAATGCTGGTGGAGGCGGTGAAGGAGCTGGAAAAGAGTCGAGCACGCGTGCCATTGCAGCTGCTCTTGACTCACTTTCAGCGCAGGCTGCCGGTGGAGAGGGAGCGCAAGCTGCTGGAGAAAGAGCTGCTGCTGCAAGCGGACGCGGCCGTGAAGCGCGGCTGGCTGCGTCGCTACTCGGACGGCACGTACACGATCGCGAGCTTCCGTTGGCAGGCCAGCGTGGCCGAGGGAGCCCTCGACTGACAAGCTGTAATCGCTCGGCGACAATAAATCCTCGAAAACACGAGAGCTCGGCTTTTCTTTGGCGGGCGGGGAGGCGGGTGCGCGGGGCGGCGATTGCGCGGAGCGGAGTGGCGCTGGGGCGCAGTCGCGCTGACCCGCGGCCGTGGATCGCGCTGGCGAGTGCGCAACGGCGCCAGCCCGCTGGCAGTCCAGCCAGTGTCGCCAGCAGCGCGCCAACCGCCGCGACCTTGGCTCCCGCTGCGCTCGCAAGCTCCTCCCGTGCTCAACAGCAGCAGCAGCAGCGAGTCGTCGGCAAGCAGGCAGGCGCGGCGTCGCGCGAGCATCCGGCTGGGCCGCGAGCGATGCGCGCTCGCGCGCCCGAGGTTGGACAGCGGCAGCGGCAGCGGCAGGCCGAGGCTCGGCGAGCGGCGGCGGGCAGCCCAGGCCTTGACCCGGAAACTGCGCAGCTGGCGCGCCGCGGCTCGTCATGGTAACGGCCATGAGCGGTGACAAGTCGAGTAGCAGCAGCAGCAGCAGCGGCGACGGCGGTGGCGGGGGCGGCCAGCAGCAGGCTAGCGGCAGGCGGCCCAGCGGCGGCGACGGGCTCAAGGGCCTGCTGCCGCCCTCGTTGGCCTTCACGGCTCAGGCGCACCCGGCCACCCTCACCGCGCCCGTCGCCCAGGACTCGCCCAACTATCTCACCTATAAGAAGATGGAGGCCATCGTCGAGCGCATGATGCACGACGAGACGGGGGTGCCCGTCAAGACGGTCAAGAGCTTCATGAGCAAGATCCCCTGCATCTTCACCGGCAGCGACCTCGTCGCCTGGATGGTCAAGAACATGGACGTCGACGACCAAGGTAAGCCAGGCGTCGCGCGCGGCGGGTGGGCCCGGACCAGCTGACCTTGGCCCGATGATTCGCAGAAGCGCTGCACGTGGCCCACCTGATGGCGGCCCACGGCTACTTCTTTCCCATCGACGACCACAACCTGACGGTGAGGAACGACAACACCTTCTACCGCTTCCAGACGCCCTACTTCTGGCTGTCCAACTGCTGGGAGCCGGAGAACACAGACTACGGTAGGCGCGAGCTCGGCGCCCCCGACCGCCACTAACGAGCGCTTCCAACGGTTCGCAGCGGTCTACCTGTGCAAGCGCACCATGCAGCACAAGGCCCGCCTGGAGCTGGCCGACTACGAGGCCGACTACCTGGCCCGCCTGCAGAAGCTCTTCTCGCGCAAGTGGGAGTTCATCTTCATGCAGGCCGAGGCGCAGAACAAGGCGGACAAGAAGCGCGACAAGCTGGAGCGCAAGGTCCTCGACAGCCAGGAGCGCGCCTTCTGGGACGTGCACCGGCCGATGCCCGGCTGCGTCAACAGCACCGAGCTCGACATCAAGAAGGTCTGCCGCAAGCAGCAGGCCCGGCCGAGCGCCGAGGCCACCACAGCCGCCGCCGTCGCCGCCGCCACCATGCCCTGCAGGCACTCGGCCTTCGCCGCCACCCAGCCGTCGCAGTATCGGCGCAGCATCCACTGCCAGCGCGAGCCCGCCGAGCTCCGGAGCGAGATCGCGCTGCTCCGGCAGCGCCTCGACCGACGCATCACCAAGCTGTCCAAGGTCGCCGAGGCGTAAGTCAGCTCCCCACCCTCGGCCGAGCCCGCCCTAAGAAGCCTCGCCGCCCGCAGGCTCATCGGCTACTTCGAGCAGTACGCCGAGTACGACCCCTTCTTCACGCTGCCCGAATACCCCAACCCCTGGGTGTCCGACAGCATCGAGATGTGGGAGCAGGACAAGCTGCCGAAGGAGGTCTCCGCCAGGCGCGTCAAACGCTGGGCCTTCAGCCTGCAGGAGCTGCTCCAGGACCCCGTCGGCAGGGAGCAGTTCATCCGCTTCCTCGACAAGGAATTCAGCGGCGAGAATCTCAAGTCCGTGCGCCCTCGGCTCGCTCGCCCCCGACAGCTCGCCGCTGTTCTCATCTTGCCCTTCTTGCCCAGGTTCTGGGAGTCGGTCCGCGACCTCAAAACCGTGCCCCGCAAACACGTGGCCCAGATGGTCACCGACATTTGGAACGAGTACCTTGGGCCCGACGCCAGCTGCCCGATAAACGTCGACTCGCGCTCCTTCGAGGCTACCAAGAAGAACATCGAGAATCCCGATCAATGGTCCTACGACATCGCGGCGGTATGACTTCGTCGCTCCTGCCCGTCCGAGCGTTCTATCTGCGTTTCATTGTTTCTCTTCCGACTTTCAGGCGCATGTCTACCACCTGATGAAAAGCGACTCGTACTCTCGTTACCTGCGATCCGACATGTACAAAGACTTTCTCAACGTCTCCAAGAAAAAGGTGAGTGTCTCGTTGCCTTGACGGTGTGTAGAGGCTGAGCCGTTGCAATCGACAAATATACATTTAACATTGATCACGCTATTTTTAGACATCCGTTAAAGGGATCCGATCGATCGTCTCGTTCACCGCACGCAAAGACACGCAAGTTGTCTAATTGACAAAACAAACGCACGCCAATTCATCTGTCAAATGAGAACAATATACGCGTTTCCTGCCACGGAACGAGCAGCTGTAAACTTTTGTTTCTTCTGTCATCCATCTACCCACTCTTTCTCCGGTCTATCAGCGCACTACCCCTGCACTCGCGCCCACTGGAATTTCTTATGAACTGCCAAACACTACAAGCGCAATGTCGTTTACAAAAACAAACACAGTTGATATTACGTATACTTGATTAAAAAGCATATTCAACGTCAATTTTTTCCGGTCGAGTTTGCCCACAAGAGGCACAAACATGACACAAATATATATTTTTTGTCTTGCATGTGTATAATAAGATTAAGTGAACAGAAAAAATAAAAGAGTAAAATACGAACATTAGGTAAACGATTATGTCTAAGCTATATGATGTACAATAGCAAAAATAAATCCTTATTTTTGTTAAACTCTTTTTCCAAGGAATTGATGCATTTAAATAAGACGAGCAGGCTCGCTATCAAAACAAAGCACAATACGATGTTCTAACTAGTTGTACTTCTTACTCTGTAATTCAATCATCTTTAACAATTTAAAAACTAATGATAACTAGAAAAGAAAGTATTTGTATAGATATTTATTCGAGTTGGGATTCTATCATTCATGTATTAATAGTATTACTTTACAACCTTATGTTGAATCTCGTTAAGTTTATAAGGTGTATTTTATGGAAAAAAGGATATAATAAAAATCTACTTATTTTTTCATTATGTTGTTCAATCTTTGCTTTTCCTACTACCTTTGTATTTATTGAGAGCTGTTTGACAATGCAACTTGCGCTTTCTCTTGTATTATTTGCTCTGCACGATAAACCTTCCAACACACAAAGTAGTCTCTTGTCAGCCTGAAGAGTGTATTGTAATTTGTTACTACCAAAAGACTCATGGACAATATCTTGTACCACTCTGTTGTTCGAAACAGTATTATAAGCTGACTGAGAACAAGCCCAAAAACCAAGGCAAGTAACGAAGACTGTAGAACAATGGGGTTCCCAAATAATATCTTGAAATACATAAAAAATGAATATAAAGCATGTCTCAACATCTAAAATAAATATTTAATATTTTGGAAATCCTCTCACATAAAATCTGTAGTGACTTGAATTTCCTGGTTCAGCCGTTGTACACAGGCCCTCTGAACGATAAACTTTATTATTGTATCTTACTACCGATCCATGAGACCATAAAACAGCATCATTCCAGGGTTGCGCACTCAAGTGGGCATATTTGTTATCAACCTTTGTCCACTTACCTAGATGAAGTGCACTTCGGTGCAAAACATCACAATACCTACATTTTTTAGAAATATTTATGTAAAAATCATAATCTTCTACATTTGTACGTACACTTAAAAGTATAATCTTCACCTGACTGGAAATGTTTGGGTGAAATGAGTACCCACACTGCCAAGCCAAATCATAAGAATGTGCTGTACAATCCAGGTAAGATCAAAATGTAATTGTTGAGGAACAAATATCACAGGTGCAACACCACACAGGTAAGCATTTCCAGAAGAAGTAAATAGAGCCCTCTTCAATCTATGATTAAAATCTGATTTTAAACTTGCCACTTCTGCCCTAATTGCTGCAGCATTCAATGAACAGTTGTGAAGTGGTTTGTCTGAAATTTTATTTTAAATAAATATTGTATCATGTGTTATTGTAAATAATATTCAACTTTTATAATCATACCTAATATAAATTTAGTTTTCCTGTCTTCTTTGATGTACAATGGAGCAGTGGATGTGTCAAAAAAAGGTCCTATATGAACTCCAAACATTAAAAAATAGACAGATATGCTAATAACAGAATAGACATTAAGCTAGTTGAATAAAGATGTACAATTCTGAATAAAATTGAAATACTTACGGGTAGCAAAGGTAAAAAACTTTGATAGAATTATGTCTCTCACTCATGTGGTACAGACACCAAACAAGAATAAATATAATAATAATTAAAAGAAATATCCTCGTTACTCTTTGAGCAATTGGCGCTAGCCGAGGTGATGCAATAATCTCCAAATATTTACACAACAGTGCATAAAAAAATTGCCTGGACGCCATAGTTATAATAAATATTATAAGAAATGGATCTATCAAATAAGAGTTCTGAAAAAATAAAAGAATATAAATTTTTTAAGCTGTGTGGTTTTGTATGGAGGTGAACAAAAGAAGATATTGCTTACCATACTGTAATCATTGTATGACTGTGGCAACCACCAGACAGTCCTGTACAAATTGAGAAATTGTAACGAAGAAGCAACAAGACATGTGCAAAGGGAAAGAACTTCAAAGTGGAGCTGTCCATCGGTCGGAATAGTTGGTATAGGGACATGCTTTGGTGCTGGTGTGCGCCCATACGACAATGAATCTCCAAGATTCTTTTTCTCATCGATACTGCTGTATTGAGAAGCTGGACATGAGTTTGCTGTAGATACTGCATTATTAGCATTGCTTACTGGCAACCGCGTATTCGTCACATTACGTCCTCCAGTCCATCGACGTCCACCAGCCATCGCCGTTATTTATTTTCATTTCATTTCCTTCGAGTCAATATTGTTTTACAATCAATATAATATACCACAGCAGAATGTTTATTCGAATTTTCATAGCTTACAGTATTGATATGAAATATGGCAATACTGTTTTTTCATCAATTTACTGATTGTAGGATGCAACTTTTGCCATAACTGAACACGAAATCGCTTCAATTATTGCTATCCTTACTGTTTGAACAACGATGCAATTGCAGTAACTTTTTAGATTATTGGCTTTTTTTCTTCAAAAGTAAACAAACTCTTCTAACCTATTTGGTTGTTTTCCTTTTTGCCCTTTTTATTGCTTTACTTACGTTTTACTCTACTAGATGGCGGCGGATCTCTGTTCGAGCGCCGATAAACCAAAACGCATGCGTAAATTAGAAATTGAAAAGATCATCAGAAATGAAAATAATTTGTAGAATCTTGAATTGATATATCGATAGGCAGTTGATAGACGATCGCACAGTCGTGTGAATCATTTGTGATGCGAAGCATTTGTGTTATTTTGGAGAGGACACGAGTCCGTAAGATATTTTCATATCTATTCGATATGATTTGTCGTAATTATTCTTTATGCGCGTTGATTTCTTTGGGTTTTTGTCAAGCAAGTTTCTTTGGAATGTGAAATTAACGCGGTGCCAAGCAATTGTGCAATTGATTATGCCTTGACGGACAAAATCGTAAGCGCACGAAGGCGGATTCGACCAAGGTGTTTTCTCTGTAAACTCGCGGCCTAAGAGATATAATGATTGCTTGTTGATCCGCTTAATAGTAGCAGTGTGCTTTCTATGAAAGTTAGATTTACGGAGCCGAGAGAAACAGAATAGAATTCACTCGAGAAACCTAAAACGATGTATTATAGTCCCACTGACTAGACGGCTACTATTTTTGCTATGGCTTTACCAACAGTTTTGTATCGTGCGTTATTTGAACACGAGAGCAAATTGATACGCGAGACTCGAAAGCGATGCGCGCATCAAATGGTCTAGGCGCTACCGGGGGGTGTGTGTGTGTGTATGGCGGGGCGGGGCGGGGGGTTCTCTGTAGCCGATTGAGGTTTAGTCACTCACCAAATAAAGTTCTTTTTAGGTACATATTTAGACGCTCTGATCACGAATTTGAAAGGTGACACGCTTGAAGATGCCTCCGGACAGAGTTACAAATTGCTGTGGTGTTTACAGGTCTGTTGTCCTTTAGATTCGCGCCCGTCTCACGGCGCGTCATACGCAGATAAGATATCAAGGTCCGGTGACTGAAAAACATAGCTGTTCTTACGTAATTTGACCCGCCGTGACTCCTATTCATCCAAATGATTATTCACCTTCCGCGCTTGGAAAAAAAGTTGTTACTTGTTTCGATTTTACGCAGAAATTTCTGTGGTGAAAAATCACGCTGATATTGCTATTGGAAAAGCCAAACCGTAAAATGCGTCGTGCGTGGAATTGGGTTAAACAACAGTAACGCACAAGTATCGACGAAATAGACCTTTATTAGAAAAAAAGAAGAAGAAGAAGAAGAAGGTAGTCATGTTTGAGTCGGCATATCGCGAGTCGGATCGTGTGTGTAGTGACGACCGTGAGACAGGCATTCGAACGCAATTAGATAATCCGAGCAACGCGGACGCGCGTAGCTACAGTTGTCGCGAGCGTATTTACATGATATATCGTGGCGTAATTATATTTACACAATTGTGCGTTAGCGGGTCTAAAATTAGCTGGAACATATGTACAAGAAGCGACACGAGGGCGAGCCGGATCAGGCGGGACTGGCGGGCTGGCGGCGCTTGAGCCTGCGGATGAGCGGCAGCATGGACCAGAGGCAAGTGCCGGCCACGGAGACGAGGCCGAGGGCCGTGAAGATGGCCTGGTAGGAGCCGAGGCGCTCGTAGGCGAGGTTGCAGAGCGGCGGCCCGGCCAGCTGGCAGACGCCGTTGACGAACAGGGAGATGCCGTAGGAGGCGGTGAGGCGCTCGGGGCCGAGCATGTCGGCGAGCACGACGGCCGTGGTGCCGATGTACAGGCCCGAGGCGAGGCCGAAGAGGGCGCACAGGGCGGCCAGCTGGGCGTAGCCGACGGCCGCCACGGGCAGCAGGCTGAGCGCTAGGCCGCTCAGGCCGAGGCCCGCCACGAAGTAATAGTGCTTGGGCATGAAGTTCATGTCGGAGAGGGCGGCGCCGCCGCAGCGCCCGACGAGGTCGAGCAGCGAGACCACCGAGAGCAGCAGCGCCGACGAGTCCACCGAGTGGCCCCGCGACAGCGCGTACGCCGGCAGCAGGATCATGAAGTTGGTGTTGGTGATGGACGAGGCGGCGTTCGACACGAGGATCACCAGGTAGAGCGGGTCCCTGAGGATGGACAGCTGGCCCAGGCAGTCGACCACCGGCTCGGCGCCCTCGACTCGCTCGTCGTCGGCGCGCTCCTCGCTGGCCGCTTCGGGGGCGGCGGGCGCGGCGGGCGCCTCCTTGCCGCCGGCCGCCGCTGCCGCCGCCGCCGCCGCCGCGTCCTCCAGCGCCGACTGCTACAAACCGAGACGGGCGCACGTCAGCGCGGCGCATCGCAGCAGGAGGAGGCCACTCACGTGTTGCTTGCTGGCGAGTCGGCGCGACAGGCTGATCCTGGAGCCGCGGCGCGGGTCCAGCGTGACGCAGCCCACCATCGAGACGATGCTGCTGCGGTGCGAGGCTAGATAGGAGGCCGGCGCCGGCGGCTGGGCCTCCACCGCCGACTCCTTGTCGACGCCGGCCGGCTGCCGGCTGCGCCGCTTGTCCGGCTCGTCGTCCGCCACGAGCCGCATGTGGCGCTCCACCGGGTGGTAAAGCAGCGCCACCGCCACGGTGTTGAGCAGGACGCCGCCCATGATCAGCACCGCCGTCCTGCAAGCGCGCCGCGTGCGTGAACGCTTGGATCGGCGCCCCGGCCGGCGCGCCTTACCTGTAGCCGAACTGCTGGATCATCCACTGGAGCAGGGGCGGCAATATGACCGAACCGATGCAGCTTCCGGAGATGGTGATGCCGGTGGCGAGGCCGCGCAGCCGGTCGAAGTACTCGCTGACGATGTAGATGGTCACGGGGAAGCAGAGTCCGGCGCCGATTCCGAACATGATCCCGTAGCTGCGCACAGCACAAGCCAAACGCGGTTCGTCTTAATTTGCCCGATGCCCGCGGAAGTACGTGGCGGCGCGCCGCCTCTTACGCAATATTCGCTTATAAGCAGTCACCTGAAGTACAGATAGGTCACCGAGTTGGCCAAGTAGCTGAGCATCAAGCCGCTCGAGGCGAACAGGCCGCCGACCAGCGACACGCTCCTGTACGAGTACTTGGTCGACAGCACGCTCGAGAGAGGCCCTGCGAGCGACGGCAGAAAGCGGAGCGACGGTTAACGGAGAGCGAAAGCGAGAGAGAGAGAGAGAGAGAGCGAGTCGTACCGAGAGAGCTGTAGAGGAAGTAGCAGAGAGCGGGAATCCAGGCCGCCTGCGTGGGTGACGCCTCGAACACCCTCACGAACTCGACGAACAGCACGCCGAAGGACTTGGCGGTGCCGGGGATGAGCACGTTGACGACGAGGGCGGCGGCCAGGACCACCCATCCCCATCCGCCGTCCGGCGCGGCCAGCCTCATGCGCTTGTCGAGGCCGAGGGCGGTCATCTCGCTGCTCCTCTCCGTCGACAGCTTCGACAGCCAGAAAGCTCGCGCCGAGTCGTGTCGCGCCGGAGGCGCGTGCCGCGGAAAAGTTCCTCGACCGAACCGTACGCGCCTCTTATACTCGCGCCTCGTCGGAAAGGACGCGCGGGTCTTATCAGTACGCTGACACCAGATTGATCAAACAGAACAGAAGCACGCTTCTGTGCTCCTCTCTCTCTCTCTCTCTCTCTCTCTCTCTCTCTCTCTCGCTTCCAGTTTTTGCTCTTTTGTGCACTGTCGAGACGCTTTGTCCTCATCCCGTGGCTGACGGCGCGCAATCAATTAAGTCATAAGTAATTCACGCTCCGCCGCTCGCTCCTCCCCCGCGTACTGGATGTCGAAATCGAGCGGCGGAATGTCGCCGATTGCGCCTTGGTCTAGCGCGCGCGCGCGACGACAAACACTCGCGAAGCGACCGAGCTAGTAGAACAAATCGCGTACGATCTGACGCGCGTACGCGAGACACGTGTTGGCCGCTGCCACCGCCACGGCGTGCTCGCGTGGCCTCTCGACAGAGCAAGAAAAGAAAAGAAGGAAACAACAGAGAGAGAGAGAGAGAGAGAGAGAGAGAGAGAGAGAGAGAGAGAGAGAGGAAGCAAAACAGGTAACGAGAGAAAAAGAGAGAAATCGCGATGAGCCCGCGGTGCAAAGAAACAAGGATCACGAGTCTCGAGGCGGCAAGCAGCGAAACTTTTCCGCGCTTGCGACATCCGACGACGACGCGCGACACCGGCGCGGCTCTCGCCGCGCGCGCCGTTATCGCCGCGCCGCGAAATTTTCGTCGCCGCGTGCGGGGTGTGGCGAGGGGCGACGGGCGGGTGGCGGTGGCGGGGCAACGGATCGCGCTGCGGCGAGGTTGCGGCGCGACGACGGGTCGGATCAGCGATGCCAGCCGCGCGCTGACTGCGGCCGGACCGCTCGTCGCCGCGGGAAAGAGCAACGTGAAAAAGCTTGCGGCTCGGCCGTGCGCTCCGTTTGACCGCGCCGCCGAGAGAGCGCCGCGACAGATCGCAAACGGGCGATAAGCGGCGAGAAGAGCGCGGACGTCGCGACTCGTCGGCTAATTAGCTAGGGCGGCATGGTTGAGCGTCCGGCACTACGTTGCTCGGACGACCGCATCAAGCGTAGTCGATCGTAACAAGCCCGCGCGCTCCGCGCTGCCCGATTTCACGCCCAATTAAGCCCGCCTAATCTGCTGCGCAATAAGAGGCGCATTAATTAACAGTCGGCACGCTCGCGCGGGTTTTTTTCCATCCGCGTCGCCCGCAACCGAGCCGCGTCGGCCAACGCGACCGCCGGCCGCTCGTCGGGCTCGCGCGCCGTCGATCGCTGCATTCCGCGAGCGCGCTCCGCGTAATTGTTTGCTCCGGCGAAACGCTCGCTCGCGCGTACGCATCGGGCCCGATCGCGCCGTGGAATCGAAAGAAGGCGGAACAGCCTCGCAAGAGCTCTCCCGTATTTCGTAACGCTCGCGCGCCGGCGCTCCGGCGAGAGCGTCGGCTCGTTATCTTTCCACTCTCTCGCGGCTCCGCGAACGACCTCCGTACTCGCGGAGCCACGCGCCGCGGCTCGGGCTTTAAACCAAGCGGCGCGTGATGCCATTTTTCACGAGGCCCGCTGCGTCCACGGCCACGGCCGTCGAGTAAGAAGACGCCGCGGATGCCGGGATTAAAAGCACGCCGATCATCGTCCTTGTAGGCTTGGCCGTCCACTCTCGGAAATAGACAGAGAGAGCCTGACCGATCGTTTGGTTGTAAGCTTTCATTCGTCAACGGTCAAAGTAATAAGGATGTGTACGCACACATATATATCATAATCGCACGAAGATCGAACAAGTTTGCTACAACTAACTTTGATATAAAGCTGTTTGCAAGTTGTCGGGTAAGAAGATGAGTCAGTTGTCCAACACTGGCAGTTCGGTCGAGGACCAATCGAAAAATGTTCTCGGCCACGAAAATGAAATTTGGTAGGTCCATAGAGTAGCCGGAAAGAAAACAGACGAGATAAACTCTCATCCCAGTAATTTCTAGCCATCCCGAAAGTGGTTGTGTCTCAAGGTCTACTCGTAGCGTCCTCGAGCCCCCCCCCCTGCCCCTCGGGCGCACCGGCCCTCTCGGAGCCGAACGACGGGAGACAAAAATTAGCGGGCGGCGGGGAGTTCGAGTGGCGAGTTCTCGCAACCCGAGAAGATCCAGATCCAGCGAGTGGAAAGGCCAAGCTCCGTCTGCTCGTCCCCGTGCCGGCGAATGTGGGCCAGCCGTGTACGCGTAGTAAAGAACCGCGCTGGGTACGCGTGCTCGCGCCACCTCGCAATTTCGTACATTATCGGCGCTGCGAGATAGCTCCCGCGCGAATCAGAGCGTGCGGCCAGCCCAAACGCTTCTCGAAAGGGGAGACAGGCTCATCCCTTCCCACCTAGGCAAACACCTAGGCCAAACACACGCAGAGGGAGAGAGCGGAGTGGCGCCTCTGCGATCGAGGGAGACGAGGGCGACGACGGCGAGGCGTGCGAGGAGGAGGAGGCGAGGGGCAGGGCCGGGGGGTGCGAGAGGCGGCCAGCATTAGGGACTATTATTCTCCCCCTTCCGTGGGTTTTTTGTGCGGGCGCGCGCCGACGTGCCACTTGACACAGCGGCCGTGGCGGCGGCGGCGGCGGCGGCGGCGAGCGCGCAGCCGAGCAGGTCTTCGGCGGCCCTCGCGCCGAGTGCGTGACGCGCGCACGCGGCCGATCGATAGCGCGCCGCGCCGCGCGAAACCCGAGAGCCCCATCGCCGTCATAAATCTGGGCGCAGCGACTCGACACGCCGCACGGCGCTGAACACCAGGTAGGCCAAGCGCGGCTCGCGGCCCTCGGCCCGGCCGCTCCTCGGCGAGGGTCCGCGCGCCGCGCTACTTGTTGATCGCGACGCGGCGGGGCCGATCGATCGCCGCGGCGGCGGCGCGCGTGCGGGCCAATCAAGGCGACGGCAATCCAAGACGACGGCCGGTAAGCCGGCACTGACTGGAAATTCGAAATCGCGCGCGCGGCCCTCGTTCATCGCCGTCCGCCTCGGGGGAGCGCGCGCCGTGCGATAAATAAGGCAAGCCGAGAGCCCCGGCGGATCAGCTAGTCGCGACGCCCGAGCCGATCATTAGAGGCCGGGATATCGTTTGCATCGAGGGCGCGATCGCCGCGCGGCGTCCCCGGGGTGGCGCCGTCCTCCAAATTAACGACTCCCGCAAGGAAAACAAGTGGTCGTTCCGGCCGCGGCCGAAACTGCCGCGTCGCGTGCAGCCGCCGCCGGCCGCGCCAGTTTACTTAGCTGCGCGCGAGCCAGCCGTGCTCTCGATTTTCCCGACTTATTTCAGGATATTTGTCTAGTGACGACTCGGCCGCCGAAATAGCCGGCTAATCCAGCCTCGGCGGAGTCGCGCGCGCCGGTTCATCGATCCTCCGCCTCCTCCTCCACCTCCTCCTCCTCCGCGAGCCAGCTCCGCTCCGAATAAAAGCCCCGCCGCGCGCGCTTCTCCTTTTTCCATCCTCGGCGAAACAATAAGGAGCGCGCGCCGCGGATATCATACATATTCCGAGCCTCGCCTCGCTACCTGACCAACATTCGCGATCAACCGGCAATAATACGGAGCAGAGCCGCGCTCGAGCGCGTTAGCCAATCCAGATTTGCATTCGGAAGCGGCAGCGGCAGCGGCAGCGGCAAAATAAAACAACCGGAGAGGAGAAAAAAGAGGGAAGAGGGAAGAGGGCTCTCTCTCGGACTCGCGCGCGCTGCTGGGATGATGTGCGGCCGCCGCCGCCACCAGGCGACAGAACGCAGCGGAGCCCCGGCCGCGCGCCAACGGCGCTGACTGTCCCCGCCTGCCCGAGAGCGCGCCGTCCGCCCGCGAGAGCGGAGCCAGAGCCCCAGCATGTACGGCCTGATCCTGGAGAACCTGTCCGAGTACATCCGCCAGGTGTACGGCGAGGACCGCTGGGAGGAGATCCGCCGGCAGGCCAACGTGGACCAGCCCAGCTTCAGCGTGCACCAGGTCTACCCGGAGACGCTGCTGCCCCGGCTCGCCAAGAAGGCCATCCAGGTGAGCGCGCGCCTGCGTCAGCGCTGCTGTTTTGCCATTCGGCTCTCGCGCGTACGATCTCGCGCTATTTTTAGCCGCGGCGCTGATTCACGTCGCGATCACGCTCGTCGGCTTTGCGCGCTCGCGCGCTCGCGCGGTGCAACGCTCGATGACCGACCCCGAGCGGGGGGGCCTGTGCTTCTTGCGCGCAGGTGCTGGGCATCACCGAGCGCGAGTTCTTCGACCAGATGGGCGTGCACTTCGTCAGCTTCGTCAGCCAGTACGGCTACGACCGGGTGCTGTCGGTGCTGGGCCGCCACGTGCGCGACTTCCTCAACGGCCTGGACAACCTGCACGAGTACCTCAAGTTCTCGTACCCGCGGATGCGGGCGCCGTCGTTCATCTGCGAGAACGAGACGAGACAAGGTGAGCGAGTGGGCGCCGCCGCCGCCGCCGCCGCTGCCGCTGCCGCCGCCGCCGCCGCGGAGGGACGCGACCGCGAGAGAGAGCGCGAGGGAGCACGCTCAACGGGAATTTCGATATTCGTAGGACTGACTCTGCATTACAGAAGCAAGCGCCGTGGCTTCGTATACTATACGATGGGCCAGATCAGAGAGGTGGCGCGCCACTTCTACCACAAGGAGCTCAAGATCGAGCTCGTGGGCGAGGAGATCCTCTTCGACACCGTCCACGTCACTTTCCAGCTGACCTTCGACAACCGGGCCTTCACGCTCGCCTCGCTCGCCATGACGCGCGAGGAGAAGCACCTGCCCATCGGCGCCTCCGTGCTCTTCGAGATATTCCCCTTCTGCATCGTGTTCGGGTCAGTACTCGGTGCGGCCCCCGCGCCCCCCGCCCCCAGCCTCTCCAGCCCCCGCTCTCGCCGTCTCGCGCTGCTTGCAGGCCGGACATGGTGGTCCGCAGCATCGGCAACTCGCTCATGGTCATCTTGCCCGATCTCGTCGGCAAGAAGATCACCCACCGCTTCGACCTGGTCAGACCGCTGATAGCCTTCAAGTTCCAGTCGGTACGTATGCCTCGCTCGCGCGCGCGCGCGCCCCGGCCAATGCGCCTCTTTGCCCGGCAGATCCTCAACAGGACCAACAACATATTCGAGCTGGTGTCCGTCGAGCCGGTGCTGGCCGAGCGGCCCAGCGACCGCCGCAAGGACGAGCTGCTGCTCAGCAACGAGTTCGACTCCAACGAGGACAAATCGCTGCGGCTGAAAGGTTCGACGCGCGACGCCGAGCGGCGCCAGCGCTCTTGGCCGCCGCCCCTCTAATCGCGCCCCGCGCTCCTCTTTCCCCCGGCAGGTCAGATGATCTACATGGACAACTGGAAGATGATGATGTACCTGGGCACCCCGGTGATGCCCGACCTGAACGCCCTCATTGGCGCCGGCCTCTACATCAACGACCTCTCGCTGCACGACTTCAGCAGGTTGATCCCACGACTCGCCGACCGACTCGCCGACCGAGCTAACGATCCGCGTGCCGATTCGCAGAGACCTGATGCTCGCCGGCACGCAGCAGTCCGTCGAGCTGAAGCTCGCGCTCGACCAGGAGCAGCTCAAGAGTAAGAAGCTCGAGGAGTCCATGAGGAAGCTCGACGAGGAGATGAAGCGCACCGACGAGCTGCTCTACCAGATGATTCCCAAGCAAGTGGCCGATCGGCTGAGAAACGGCGAGAGTCCCATCGACACTTGCGAGGTCTCCGAGCCGCCCGCCGCCGGTGTCGAAATTCACTCACCTCGACGATGAAAACGCGCGATCGCGCTCCCCTTGCTTGCAGATGTTCGACAGCGTGTCGATCCTGTTCTCCGACGTGGTCACCTTCACGGAGATCTGCAGCCGCATCACCCCCATGGAGGTCGTCTCGATGCTCAACGCCATGTACTCGCTGTTCGATCACCTCACCGAGAAGAACCACGTGTACAAGGTAACCGAAGCTCGCGGCGAGTACGAGGCGGAGACCGAGCGGCTGTTTGCGCGCGCAGGTGGAGACGATCGGCGACGCTTACATGGTGGTGTCGGGCGCGCCGGTCAAGCAGAAGGACCACGCGGACCGCGTGTGTGACATGGCGCTGGACATGCTGGAGGCGATAACAGACCTGAAGGACCGCACGACCGGCGAGCACCTGCAGATCCGCATCGGCATCCACAGCGGCGCCGTGGTCGCGGGCATCGTCGGCCTCAAGATGCCGCGCTACTGCCTCTTCGGCGACTCGGTCAACACGGCCTCGCGCATGGAGGCCACCTCCGAGGCCATGCAGATCCACGTGTCGCAGTCGACCAAGGAGCTGCTGTCGCCCACCTACCGCGTCACGGAGCGCGGCGAGATCCAGGTCAAGGGCAAAGGTGCGTAGGGAGCCGCCGACCTCGGCGCCGTCGCGGCCGTCGTCTCTGACGTCTCGCCCGGCACGCTCGCAGGCACCATGAAGACCTACTGGCTGGAGAAGCGCGAGCAGCGCCTCGTGTCGTCCACCAAGAGCGTCTGCATCCACGAGTCGCCGCAGTGGCACGCCAGCAGCCGGCACGCCGCGCCCGACGGCCAGCAGCAGCAGCAGCAGCAGCAGCAGCAGCAGCAGCAGCAGCATCAGCAGCAGCAGCCATCCTCGTCGCCGAGCGGCGCCACGGTGCGGATGCTCGCTCGGCTGCCGATCAACCATCAGGCCGCGCCCGGCCAGGCCTGCCAGTCGAGCGCAGCGCCCGCAGCCACCGTCGCCGCCATCACCGCCTTCTCGAGCTTGCAGCCGGTCGCCACCGACGACCGGCCCATCTACTCGCCCGTCACCTTCCAGGACGTCGCGCGCAGGTCCGTCGCCAACTCGCCCACCAAGAGCCTCTCCGTGAAAGGTAGGAGCCGCGCCGTTTGGCCGGGCGTGCGCCTTGATCGCCAGCTCGATTGCAGAACTGCGCTCCAACTCGCTGGGCGCGGTGACGGCCACGAGCGAGTTGCTCGGCTGCCTCATGTCCGACACGCAGCAGCACTTCCGGCTGCATCGCAACAGCGTCTCGCTGTCGTCCAAGCCCAGGCCGCACAACCACCACCACAGCCCCAGCGAGCAGTCGGTGAGCGTGCACCGGTCCCAGCACTCGGCCCACGACAATCAGCTGGTGCAGCAGCAGCAGCGGCAGCAGCAGCAGCAACAGCCGCAGGACACCGGCTCCGCCGTCGACTCGGCGACGACGCTCAGCAGCTCGTCGCTCGTCGACGACTGCAAGCGTCGGCCGGACGACGCCGGCGGCAGCAGTTCCGACGCGAGCGTCGCGAGTCGCCGACTACCGCGAGCACCGACCGCCCTGGTCGCCGCCGCGCGCGTCGAGGCCTGCTGCCCCGGCTTTGCCATACCAAAGACCGGCGGCAAGTCGCGAGGTGGCAACTGCAGCATAGGATAGACGCGCCAATCCGTTTGCCCACCCTCTCCCCATCTCGCACCCGCACACGCACACGCACACGCCTAGCCTCCACACGTCAGCTTTCGCTTTTTCAGCACTTGCCGCAGCCTGAGAGACACATTCCTCGGATCCAGCACGCACAGCAGCCGACAGTCGCTCGGTCGAGTGGTCGATCGCCAAAGCGCCGAAAATGTAAATCCGTCAGCTCGCAGCAAGTCAGCTCGTCCAGCACTCGACGTATCCATGTCAATTAATCACGACAAGTGTGCTCTATTGTGTACGGCTTCGCGCGGCAAAGCAGAGTGGAGCCGACGTCGGGCGGCGTCGCGCGAGCCGCTGCATAATATTCGACCACGCCGTGCCGTCGCGCGTAGGCGTGCGCGCCGACGTCGCGGCGACGAACCGGGCAGCGAGCGAGCGAGCGAGCAAGCGAGGACGCCGCGCAGGCAACGCTCCGCGCGACGAGGAAGGCGATGGGAAAGACGATCAGCAGAGCAGAAAAGGAGGCAGGGAGGAGGCGAGCTCTCTAACGACAAGATTAACGAGGAAGTAGGAGGCCGCGGCACATAAGATGTAAAAACTTTGATATAATAAGTAAAGAGATATGTATTCGTGTTACTGAGCACACGCAAACACGGCGAGTCATTCATTTCAATAGCCCGACCCTGTCTACTGACACCATCGCCGCCACCAGCAGACAACACCACCCCCTCGTCCTGAATTAACTTTTTCTTCGCTCTCTCGGCGTTCGTCCACCCACGGTCGCGGCCGCCGCGGGGCGAGGGCGAGTTCATTAATCTATCGCCGACGAGCGGCAGCGCATTAACCGCGGACGATCCCGAGCTTGCAGGAGAAGCGCAATGGGCGCGGGACAATGGGCCGTCGGTGATTTTTCAAGCTAAGTCGCCGACATTGCCTCGGCTTGCCGGCGGCGGCGCGTGTACAACTTTCCATTTTTCCGGATTGGCCGCGCGATATCTGTCGACCCCCCGACGTGGATCGCCAGCAGCACACGCCTACGAGGCACGAGGCTGCCTCCGGGCCGCGGCGAATTGTCGCCGGCACGCGGCCCGTTCTTTATCGTCTCGCTACGTCTGGCTTTTCGGCGCGCGCTCGTCGCGTTCGGTTTGCCAGGCGTGCACTCTGGAAATTCGATTACTCCTCTTGTAACTCGTCGCGCGCCACCGGATCAGATTTTTCGCTCGGCCGACTACCGTTACCGCTCTCTCCTCCCTGTCCTTTCGCGTGCACGCGTACTCCCATCGCGAGAAGCGAAAAACGAGAAACGGCTCGAAATTAGCAGGCGAGCGAAGCGCAACGAAGTTGACCCGCGAGAGAGAGGCGAATCGGCTCCATCCGCATCCATGCAGTAGGCGGGGGCTTACGCGGAAGCGCGCGAAGAAGCAGGAAGTATCGGCGTTGAATTTCGGCGACGAACGAGCCCGATCCGCGAATCGAAATGGCCGGCAACCAGGAGGCTCTCCGACGGGAAACAGTCCGAGCGAGTCGGCCGCGGCGCCGCGACGTGGTGCGCCGGCGGAGGAGCGAGCGGCGGAGCGGGCGGCGGCGGCGGCGCGGGAGGCGGGCTCGGCAAGCCGGCGGATGCGCGGAGGCTGCGGTCCGCAGCCCGGCCGCTATATAAGACCAGCGCCGCTCGCGGAGCCCGCTCACTTCCGCAGCACCGGTCGGCCGAGGCAGCGCGCCAACCAGCAACGCACCACGCTCCTGCGCCCACCCGTGGTCACCTCGCGCCCCTGGCATCCATCGAGTGCGGACGAGTGCTGCTCGCGTGAAACGGTGAGTCCGCCGATCGCGACGATCGGCCCGGCGGACCGGCGGAGACCAACGCGCGGCGCGCTCTGCTTGCAGGCATGTCGAAGCTGTCGCTGCTGATGGCGGTGCTGCTGGCGACGGCGCTGGGCCTGCTGCCGGCCGGCGGCGGGGCGAGCGCCGCCGAGCTGTTCGGCGAGGAGGAGGCGCCGCCGGCCGAGCGCCCGCAGCCCGAGCGCAACCTCGAGTACGCGCTGCGCCGCGGACTCTGGCTGCCCGCGCAGCTGGGCGAGGCGCTGGACTCGCGCGAGCGCCGCTCGGCCGCCGGCATGGGCTCGTCGTTCATCCGCTTCGGGCGTGCCGAGGCCGTCAGCCAGCCGCAGACGCGCTCCGACCTGATCATCCGCTACGGCCGCGACGGTCTCAACGGCCGGCTGACCAAGCTGCGCCAGGAGCGCATGCGGCGCCTGGCCCGCCTCGCCCTCATCTGCGCCGCCAAGAGCCAGGACGACGCGCCCGCCAACTCGGCCGAGGAGAAGATCCTGCGCGAGATCTGCAAGGACGCGCCACTGCACCCCACCGTGCCCGACTTCGTCTAGCCCGGCTGCGCCGCCGCCGCCGCCGCCGCCGCCGCTGCTCAAGCTGCTTATCCCTTACCGACTTGGTTACGTCATATGAAAAGCATGCACCTCCTTGCCATTCACTCCGCGCGAACGACTGGCGAGACGAACACTTTCGTCGACGATGTTACTCTGCGTTGTACAACTCCAACTCCGACTGTCTCCGTCTGTCCATCCGTCTCTCTCTCTCTCTCTCTCTCTCTCTCTCTCTCTCTCTCTCTCTCTCTCTCTCTCCGTCCGAAGCTCTTTCTCTGTGCTCCGCGAGCGAGAAGGGGAGAGGGAGAGGGAGAGAGAGAAAGAGAGCCCAAATTCACTGTAACTACAAAGAGAACAAGTGGGAAGAGCGGCGAGGAGCTGCGATCGCAGTTATGTACGATGGAATGTCCAAAAGCCTGAATAAAGTCTGTTTCGTATAGATGCACGTAGACATGGTATATGTGTGACCCGTCCCGCGGCGCTGAAAGCGAGGCGCGCCGCGGCGCTAATCCCGACGAATGATGCCGGGCAGCAGCGCCGCGCTATAATCGTTAATCACCGCACGCAACAATGGGGATCCGCGCCTACATAAATCTCGCGGCGACGAGCTGCTCTCGTTTTTCTCGCGCGCCCGCTGATCCCTGCGAGCGCCTCTTGTGCCTAATCCACGGCCGGCGGCGGCGGCGGCACTCGTGGGGATTCGGCCGCGCGCAAGTAGGCGAGCGCGGGCCCGCGGGCGCGCAGTCGCTCGCGCGGCGCCAGACCGGGGCAGCCAGCCGCCAGCATGAACGCGTCCGAGTCGCAGCAGAACCTGCTGAACAGCGAGCAGCGCGCGACCAGCGTGGTCTCGCTCAGCGCCCCGGCCGAGTACATCCTCGGCCCGGTGGAGAAGCACTTTCTGCTCAGCGCCGAGCGCGGCGACTGCGCCACCGTGCGCCGCCTGCTCGAGGAGAACAAGGACCACCCGGAGATCCTCAACATCGACTGCGTCGACCCGCTCAACCGCTCGGCCCTCATCGCCGCCATCGAGAACGAAAACATCGACCTGATCTACCTGCTCCTCGAGATGGGAATCAGTGTCAAGGTGCGCGCCGAACCCCTACGAGTGCCTCGCTCGCCCCCGCCCCCGCCCCCTCCCGTCTTCCCGCGCCCCCTGCGGCGATCGCGACTCACGGCGCTCCGCGCTGCTTTGCCGGCGACAGGACTCGCTGCTGCACGCCATCAAGGAGGAGTACGTGGAGGCGGTGGAGGTGCTGCTCGAGCACGAGGAGAAGAGCCACAAGTCCGGCCAACCGTACGTAAGTAGGCGATCGGGGGGTGGTATTTGGGGGGGAGGGGGAGGGGGGGGGGGAGCGCGCGTCCAGGGCGCCTAACCAGGCCTGGCGCGCCGGCAGAGCTGGGAGGCGGTGGACCGCTCGGCCAGCAACTTCACGCCCGACATCACGCCGCTGGTGCTGGCCGCCCACATGAACAACTACGAGATCCTGAAGATCCTGCTGGACCGCGGCGCCACGCTGCCCACGCCGCACGACGTGCGCTGCGGCTGCGACGAGTGCGTGACCTCCAGCGAGACGGACTCGCTGCGCCACTCGCAGGCGCGCATCAACGCCTACCGCGCGCTCACCTCCTCGTCGCTGATCGCGCTGTCGTCGCGCGACCCCCTGCTCACCGCCTTCGAGCTGTCCTGGGAGCTGCGCCGCCTGAGCCGCATGGAGCAGGAGTTCCGCTCCGAGTACAACGAGATGCGCGAGGGCGTGCAGGTGTTCGCCACCTCGCTGCTGGACCACGCGCGCACCAGCTACGAGCTCGAGATCATGCTCAACTTCAACCCCACGGGCGAGGCCTGGGAGCCCGGCGAGCGCCAGACCCTGGAGCGCCTCAAGCTCGCCATCAAGTACAAGCAGAAGCAGTTCGTCGCGCACCCCAACGTGCAGCAGCTGCTGGCCAAGATCTGGTACGACGGCCTGCCGGGCTTCCGTCGCCTCAGCATGGTGGGCCAGCTGGTCGAGGTGGGCAAGCTGGGCGCCCAGTTCCCCGTCTACAGCACCATCTACATGCTGGCGCCCGCCTCGCCCAAGGCCCTCTTCATGAAGAAGCCCTTCGTCAAGTTCATCTGCCACTCGTCCTCCTACCTGGTCTTCCTCAGTGAGCACGGCTGCCCCGACCCGCCCCGACCCGCCCCGCCCGCCCGAGTCCCGCTCACCGTCGCCCCGCGCATGTTCGCAGTGCTGCTGGGCGCCGCCTCGCAGCGCATCGAGTACTTGGCCATCGAGCTCTTCGGCACGGAGTGGATGCGCGAGGTGCTCGCCGGCTGGAAGCGCAGGGAGCGCGGCTGCCTGCCCGGCCTGGTCGAGTCCGGCGTCGTCATCTACGTGATAAGTAGGTCGCCGCCGAGCCCGCGGCCCTCCGACTCTCGCTCGCTCGCTCGCTAACCGACTGTCGCTCGCGCAGGTATAGTCGTGGGCGAGGTGCGCTCGCTGTGGTCGGACGGCCTGCTGGAGTACATCTCCGACCTGTGGAACATCGTCGACTTCATCCAGAACGTCTTCTACGTGATCTGGCTGTGCATGCGCGCGACCTCGTGGTTCATCGTCATGGTAGGTGCCTCCGCTCGGTCGGCCGTGGGCATTGACGCCGTTCGACCCAGCGCGCTCCGTCTTTCTGTTGGCAGAGGGAGTACTGGTCCGGCGAGGATCCCTGGTACCCCCGCGACCACTGGTCGGACTTCGAGCCGATGCTGCTGTCGGAGGGCGCCTTCGGCGCCGCGATGATTTTCAGGTGAGCGCGATCGACTCCAGCCGGGGGCGCGACGCACCACGGCCAAATCTCTCACCGGCGACCGCGCGTGTGCTCGGCAGCTTCCTCAAGCTCGTGCACATATTCAGCGTGAATCCCCACCTGGGCCCCCTGCAGATCTCGCTCGGCCGGATGATCATCGACATCATCAAGTTCTTCTTCATCTACACCCTCGTGCTGTTCGCCTTCGGCTGCGGTAGGTGCTCCGACGACGACGACGACGACGACGACGACGACGACGACGACGACGACGACGACGACGACGACGACGACGACGACGACGACGACGACGACGACGACGACGACGACGACGACGACGACGACAACGACGACGACGACTGACCGGCGCGAGGCCTTCTCCGCAGGCATGAACCAGCTGCTGTGGTACTACGCCGACCTGGAGAAGAACAAGTGCTACCACCTGCCGAGCGGCCTGCCGGACTTCGACAACAACGAGAAGGCCTGCTCGACGTGGCGGAGATTCGCCAAGTGAGCCCCGGCCGCGAGCGCGCGCCTGCACCACTCGTCGCTCACCCACGCTTTCGCCCCCGACAGCCTGTTCGAGACGTCGCAGTCGCTGTTCTGGGCGAGCTTCGGCATGGTGGACCTCATGTCGTTCGACCTCACGGGCATCAAGAGCTTCACGCGCTTCTGGGCCCTGCTCATGTTCGGCTCCTACTCGGTCATCAACATCATCGTGCTGCTCAACATGCTCATCGCCATGATGTCCAACTCCTACCAGATAATCTCGGTGAGGCACTTCATTAGTCGGGCGGTATCGCGGGGGAGTATTTCTCGTCCCTTCTTTTTTTTCTTTCCCTTTTCTTTCCTTTTTCTTTGCTCTCGCCGTCGGCCTCTCCCAGGAAAGGGCGGATACCGAGTGGAAATTCGCGCGGAGTCACTTGTGGATGAGCTACTTCGAGGACGGCGACACGGTGCCGCCGCCCTTCAACATGATACCCACCGCCAAGACCTTCGACCGGATCGTCAAGTGCGGGAAGACGGGCAAGCCGACTCGCTCCATCATCGTGAGAAGCCTCTTCGGCTCGGCCGGCTCGGCAGCGCGACTGACCTGCCGGCTTGCTTGCAGAAAAAGTCGCGCGATAAGGCGCAGGAGCGCCACGACACGGTCATGCGACTGCTGATCCGTCGCTACGTGACCACCGAGCAGAGCAAAACCGACGACTTCGGCATAACCGAGGACGACGTCATGGAGATCCGGCAGGACATCTCCACCCTCCGCTACGAGCTGATCGACATCCTGCGCCAGAACGGCATGAAGACGCCCGAGGTCGACAAGGGAGACTCCTCTCGTGAGTTCGCCGACGGACGCGCCGCGAGGACGAGGAGCTCGAGTCGACGCCCTAACCGCGACCCCGTTGCTTTCAGTGTCGGGCAAGAAGGGCCGCGTGATGGAGCGCCGCCTGCAGAAGGACTTCCAGATCGGACCCATCGAGGGCATCGTCAGCTCGGTCATCAGCCAGGGCGAGAAGGCGCCCAAGGACGTCTTCAGCCAGATCGCCAAGGCGATCGGGCGCAAGTCGAGCGAGACCAAGAAGAAGGACTGGAACGCGATGGTGCGCCAGAACACCACGGCGCGCGACCCCATCGGCAGCAGCACCGACGCCCTCGAGAAGCAGCACCGTCGCAGCATGCGCAGGCACCTGCAGCACCAGGCCCACTCGGTCCTCGAGTCTCTCGACCCGCAGCGCCTCGTCGAGTACAATCCCGCGCTCTCCGAGGTGTCCGCCACCACGAGGATCGCCTACGCCAAGTTCATGCTCAGGAGGCCGCAGAGGCAGGAGCCCGAGGAAGGTCGGCCTCGCTTTGGCTTTCGCTTGGTCCAACCGCTTGATTGCTCGTTCGCTCGTGTTCGGCCGTTCGCGATACGGACATTGACAACTAGGACAACTTCTTTCGGAGAGGACTCACAGCCTTACTTAATTGCGTTTATTTTCGCTCGTTCGGATCGCTACAAAATGCAACGTCGTTGGGTTTTCAACGGCGACGCCAATGAATTTTACACTGATCGCATATACGTCCGCGAGGCAAAAAGTCTATAGATGGATCGGCTGAAGCGTTTGTCGAACGTTTGCTGCAGAGGCTGGCGAGGGCGGCGGAGCAGGGGAGAAGAGCAAACGCGAGAGTCAGCGCGTGAAAATAGCCGAGCCGCCCAAGGCAGGAGAGGCGCCGGACAAGCCGTCGGCGGGACCCGCGCGGGCACTGAGCACCGCCAGCAGAAAGTCGCTGTCCAAGGCGGTCAGCCAGGAGAGGGACAAGCGGCCGGCGGCGGCCGCGAGCGTCAAGGCGAGCCTCGAGGCCAAGCCGTCGGCGGAGGCCCGCGCGGCCGCGCCGTCGCCCATCCCCGAGGAGCCCGAGGCCGGCAAGGACGCGGTCGCGCCGTCCACGCTCAAGAAGCTGCCGTCCAAGGACGAGAAGGCGGCGAAGCCACAGCCCGCCCCGGTCGCCTCCTTGGCCGGGCCGCCCATGGAGACCACCCAGGCCAGGGGCCGGTCCAAGGCCACCGGCCAGATCGTCGGCGGCTGGATCTGAGCGCTCGCTCCTCGCGCAGACTCTGCGCAAACTCTTGTACCGCTTCATCAATAAAAGCTCAGTTTTCCAACAAAGCACCGACATTGCGCTCGTCCCGCCCGCCGCGACTCCCGCCGCGACTCCCGCCGGACGCGCACGGCCCGAGGATCGCGCTCAGCAACTTCCTGCAACAGTCGGGCCGGCCGTTGGAGCGGGTCTCGGTGGCGAGCGCCGCCGCGGCTCGGGACGAGGGCCTCACCTCCGTCGCGTGGCGCCGCCTCGGCCGCCGGACCCGGGGGACGCCTCGGTGGCCAGCGCGCCGATCTCGTACTTGCGGAGCGTCCTCCTGGCGTCGGACGAGTGGCCGAAGTCGTCGAAGCCCGCGCTCGCATCGGCGCCCGCGTGCTCGGCGATCAGCTCCGGCCCACCTGGGTGCTGAGCCGCGCCGATTAGAGTCGGGCTCGACCGCAGCCGATGCATACGTACGTTGTCCATGTACTCGGTGACATCGTAAACGTTGCCCCACAGCACGATCCAGACAGGGCACCCGTCGCTGCCGTTGTTCCGTCCCACCTCGGCCAGCGTGTACCGGCGCTCGTCCATAATCGATGGCGCCGCAGCCGCAGCGGCCTGCCCTTATATGCTCGAAAGTCGCCGTCGGACGAGACGCGTGCGCGCTCGCTCGTTCGTCGAATCGCGCTTTCGCGCTATCTGCCACGATACGATCTGTACGTCGGGCGCGGCACGCAGAGCTCGCGCGCTCTCTTTCCGTGTATGGGTGACGCGCTGCACTCGGCTTGTTGTTCGATCGATTGTCGAGCGGCGGCGGCGGCGGCGGCGGCGGCAGCAGCAGCGAGGCTCCAGATCACACGGGCCGATGGGCCAAAAACTCGGGGATCCGCTTGATTTACGACTGCGGAACTCTGCAGCGAGGGCGTGTACAGCGAGGTGTGTGCGCTGCAGATTTGCCAGCTCTGATTAGGACAGCTTCCGCCGTCACCGTCGCGGCCGCTTGTTTTATTCGTTTCAATTGACTGTCGCTGCGCGCAGAGGGATTGGTTTTTATTATTTATTTTTTTTTCCATTCCTCTTTTTTCATTTTCGTTTTTTGTCGTTGCGCGATAACTGTGAATCGGATGATTAATAAGTCGGGCGGAAAAGTGTAACACGCCTGACAGGAGGGAGAGCGCGTCTAACGACGCAAGCCGCGCATTATTGGCGATCGAGCGAGTTCGGCGCGGGCGGAAGCGCGGATTCGCCGTTGGGGTGTCATTAGTCGAGCGGCCGTGCCATTAGCGACATGTGACACAGTTGGCGGGTCGGTATAAATAGCCGGCGCTGGCGCACGCACGGGCGCACAGTCATGTCCGCGAACACGGCGCTGCTTCGCCGCTGCCGGCACTGTCGCGTGCTGCTGCTGCTGCTGCTGCTGCTGCTGCCGATGCTGGTGCCCGGCCGGGCGGCGCGGCCCCGCAGCCCGTGGCTCGGCGCCCTCGGCGCTCTGCTCGAGGACTGCCCGCGCGACGCCCTGGCCGGCTGCGCCCGCAGGCGCGCGCTCGCCGCCATCGACCGCATCCTCGAGGACGACACCGTGCCGCTCGTCGAGGGCCTCGAGCTCGTCAAGCTCCGCGAGCGCACGGCCAACGACAGCGTGACCGTCGCCGTCAGGTGGGTGTAGCTCGGTTGCCCCCGTCTCTCTCTGTCTCTCTCTCTCTCTCTCAGCCTTGACTCGCGATGTCACGCGATTATTAGCGATACGTGCGCGCGCGCACGCCACCTATTGCCATCGATCGCGCGATCGATCGGCATGAAACTGATAAAACGCGACAAGGTGGAATCGCGCGTACGGCCACCGTTGTCGCTCTCGCGAACGGGCGACGAGGCAGCGGAACCGGAATCGGGCCAGCCGGGCTCGGCCGCGCATCGGTCTCCGCAACTAGCAACGCTCACCTGTGACACAAGACCGCGCGATGCGTGCGCGTGTTCCGCAGAGACCTGCTGAGGCGAGTCCGCGAGGGGGACTGTCGCACGGCGCCGCAGACTGCAGCGGAGCACGAGTGGACCGAGGAGGAGGAGGAGGAGGAGGAGGGCGGCTGGCGCGCTCGGCTGACCAGGCGGTTGGCGCGCGCGCTCGGCACCCACGCGGTCAGGATCGACGCGGAGCGGCTGGCGCGCTGGGCCGGGGACGGCGGTGGCGCGGCCGTCGGCCAGGTGGAGTCGCGAGGTGAGCGCGCGCCCGCGTGCGCAGCCGCGAGCAGCCGCCTGAGCCGCAGCTTGTCCGCAGGTCGCAGGCGCCGCCGCCGGCAGATGCAGATGATGCCGATCGTCATGATGGGCGTGCTGCTGATGGGCAGCGTGCTGATCCCCATGGGCTTCCAGTTCCTGGCGGTGCTGGGCGGCAAGGCGCTCATCCTGGCCAAGATGGCGCTCATGCTGTCGAGCATCCAAGGCCTGAAGAAGATCGCCACGAACGGCGTGAACTACGGCCTCTACCACAGCCCCGTGCCGGAGCCCTGGCACGAGCGCAGCACCGCGGGCGCGGAGCTGCCGGCCTACTACGCGGCGCCCGGCTACCTGGACCCGGCCGGCCTCGGCTACCTGCAGGCGGGTCGGCGCTCGGCCGCGCCGCCGAGCGCTTAGCCAAGCGCCGTCGAGCCGCCCGAGCACGGCCAACGCAACTGGAGCGGCTCCTCCAGAGCTCTTTGCGCAGCTCACCTATCATTGTGCGTTTGACATTGCGAATAAAAGTTGTGAGTGTGAGGGAAGCAATACTCGTTCGTTTCTTTATCTCTTTTAATCATCAATCCTTTGCTGCTTGCTATACATCGTGTTGGCGTCGCTGTTCCGCGTCTACAGTGTCCGCAGGTCTTTCGTTTGCAAACGACAAGCCGAGGACGCTGGCACGCGAAGCTTCGTTTCGCTCGCTCACTCGCTCTCTCTCTCTCTCTCTCTCTCTCTCGCTCTCCCGCGAAGATCCGCTGCTCGCAAACGTCACAAATACGAGCGCTCGACGCGCTCCGCATACCACGCACACACCACTCTTTCTCTCGATGTTCGTTCGCCGCTTTTCCTCAATCGCCCGCCGGTCGAATCCGTCGCCTGGCCCGGAGAAGCAGCGCGACGCCCGTCGCGCGTAAAATTCGCGGTAAGAAAATTGGCGCGCATCGCCCCGGTGGCTCGCGGCGGCTACCGCGGAGCAAAGGAGGCGCGACGCACGCGCGCGCACACGTATACCTACATATATCTACGTTCTGGCAGTTTTTCAGTTAAATGCGTGTTGTATATCGTTAGGTTTCGGCTCGTTTATTGCAACGGGCGAGAATTCGCGCGCACGGTGTGTGTCGCCGGAACCTATAGCGAATTTTTGGCAACGGAGGAGTACTCGGGAGACCGGGCCGGGGCGGAAGACGTCGGGAGTCGCGCGTCGGCACACTGCTCTCCTCGTTAGCGCGGGGCCGAGCATCGAGGGCGCAATTACGGAGGCCTCCTCGAGCTCAGGCTCGTAGCGCCGCCTCGCGGCCGTTCACCGCTCGCCTAATTACACGTGCACTCTCGCGTATTTGTCCCTGACTGCGCCTCCTTCTCGTTACGGTCTGCTTCGTTGCGCCCCACTCGCGGAGTTCGCCGGTGTCGCGCGGCCGGCTTTTCATTTTTTTTCTTCCCTTTCCAACACCGTCACGTTCGTTGTATCGGAGGAGTGTGCGCACGCGAGAGGGACCGATTACCCGCCGCTCGACTCGATCCGCTGATCGGAGTGCGCGTGCGAATTCAATTTAACGATCGTGCGACGTCCTCGTCAGTTACATGTTGTTAGGGCGACGATTCTCGGCCGAGGACTAGTCTTGCGGAAGATTCGTATTAATAATGATATTTATATATAGATACTCGTCTTCTCAATTCAATATGTGTGTGTGTGTGTGTGTGTGTGTGTGTGTGTGTGTGTGTGTGTGTGTGTGTGTGTGTGTGTCCGCGTATATCGTGTAGACGCCTGCTCTATTATAAAATTGCCGTATGCTCGATCTGTTTCTCGCTTTTCCTCATTTAGCAATATATATTTATTCATTTATTTATTTTATTTATTCCTTTACTTTATGTATATTCCGGTAATCGTTAGTATAATCATATATGTATATATATATAAACATATACACACATTTATATATATATATATATATATATATATTTGTTCGTTATCCTTGTTATCTCACTTATTCCATTCTTGTCATACACATGATCGCTCGACTGCACAGCCAGAGCAGCATTCGCAATTGATACAAATTTAATCGTCGAAACAAATCTCAGGTGAAAGTCGCTGGAACGAGTCGTTGATGCTTCGTCGTTGAACGCGTACGGTAAAAGGAACGGATGTCCCAGGCTGATCACAGCTGTCTTCGTCGCGCGCGGATGAAGCATGCGATTATCGAGTCGAGTGCTATTCCACGCGTGTTCGTTGTGCCGAGACGCAGCGCGCGAGAGCGCCGCGGTAGCTCCGCCGAGCGACCCAGCGAACGGCTTGGCAGCTGGAGCGAGAATCGGCACGGCTCTCGCAGCGGCGGCTGGCTGACCGCGCGGCGCCGCGTCGACGGACAGGCGAGTCGACCGCGATGCCTCGGCACGCGGGCGACTCAGGCGGGCTCGGGGCTGCTGTGGGCGGGGGTTGCGAGAGGCGTGTGATCCGATCAGACGGTCGTCTCCATGACGTCGCCGTAGAAGTCGGCGTACTGTCAACAGATGCTGTCCTTGGGGCAGCTGCCGGCGGCAAACTCGTCGTCGTCGTCCTCCTCGTCGAGCTGGCCGCCGCGAAGCCGCGACTGCAGCTGCTGCTGCTGGTGCTGCCTGCTCAGACTGTTGGTCGGGTATCGGCCGATGCGGGCGAACGCCGCGTTCGCGTAGCGCGGCTGCTGCTGTTGCTGTTGCTGCGGCTGCGGCTGCGGCTGCTGCTGCTGCTGCTGCTGCTGCTGCTGCTGCTGTTGCTGCGACTGCTGTTGTTGTTGTTGTTGTTGCTGCTGCTGCTGCGGCTGCGGCTGCGGCTGCGCGTCCTGCTGGCGAGACTCGAGGCTGCCGTTGTTGCGGTTGGCCGGGCGGCCGGTCGGGCTGTTCAGATGGTTGACGCTCAGCACCTGCACCTTCTTCTTCTGGATGCTGCGCTGCTGCTCGTCGGTGACCGCCTGCGGCACACAGACACACGCACACACAGAGAGGAGCGCGCGTCGGCAAGTCGGCACCGGAGGGGCCGATCGCCGGGTCGGCTCACCTGGGGCGGCAGCTTCTTCCGCAGGTGCCGGCGCTGCAGGCGGCGCCGGCGGTAGAGGCAGTACTTGAGGCAGCCGGTGGCCAGCAGGAAGATGAGGAATATGCCGAGCGCGCCCGCGCCCACGGCCACGTAGAGCAGCGTGAGGCCGAGGCGGTAGGAGCAGTTCTCCTCGCGCTCGTCGAAGCCCGAGGGGCAGTGGCGCACCCCGTCGCACCAGAGCACCGAGCTGATGCAGGCCTCCAGCTCCGGACACCTGCGTGCAGGCGCGCGCGCGCGTCAGGCTCGCGCCTCGACCGGCCGGCGGAGGCCTACCTACCTGTAGGGGCAGTCGGCGGCGGACGGCGCCAGCGCGTTGCCGAAGAAGTTGTTGCTGGGCTGCGAGAGCAGCCGCTTGGAGATGGCCATCCAGGTGACGATGTAGGCGCCGGGCTCGCGCTGCAGGAACTCGACCACGAAGCTGCGCGCGTGCTGCTGCTGGTGCTGGGGCAGCGGGCGCTCGGGCGGCGCGCGGCCCTCGAGGGCGGCGCGCGCCGCCGAGGCGCTGCGGTTCCAGCCGCCGCTGATGAGGTCGACCACGCGCTGCTGCTCGTGCAGCGTGAGGTTGCCCTCGGCCGGGCAGACGACGGTGCGCTCGCGCGGGCTCGCCGCCGGGTAGACGACGATGCGGTTGCGCGTCGGGCAGTCCTGCAGGTTGCGCCGCGTCAGCCGGAAGCCCGGCGTCTTCAGGTAGAGGAAGTGCAGCCGCGAGTCCTCGGGCTCGATGAGCCAGGGCTCGTTGACGCAGCGCGTCACCTCGGCGGCGAGGCCCGTGGCCGGGGCCGCCTCGGTGGCGCGCGCGCGCTCGCCGCTCGCCGCCGCGACCTCCTCGTCGATGGTCGCCAGCGCGGCCAGCGGCTCCGAGCCCGCGGCCGGCGCCTTGGGCGGGCTGCGCAGCGCGATCTCGCCGCTGGTGCCGCGCAGCCGGCGCTCCTCCAGGCGGCCCGCGGGCGCCTCGCCCAGCAGCCGCGAGGCGTGGTGGCAGCGGTGGCGCGGCTGCTGCTGGCGCGCGTGCTGCTTGCCGGCGCGCGTGCTGCTCGTGGGCTGCTGCGCCGGCTGCCGGCCGGCGGGCCCGTCGCGCCCATCGCGCCCGGCCGCGCCCGCGGGCGGCTCGCTCGCCGGCGCGAACCGGAACTCGGCCTCGAAGAAGAAGTCCTCGTAGTCCTGGGTCACGTTCATGCGCTCGACCGTGAAGGTCAGCTCCAGCGGGGCCGACGAGAGGCTTTGGAAGACCAGCCGCTCGCTCAGGTTCGAGCACAGGCAGTCGCGCGGCAGCTGCACGCCCTGCCACGGGTACTCGGACAGCCGCAGCTCGGCGAGGCCCTCGCCGTCGCCTGCGCACAGTCGTCGGCGGCGTCACGGCGTGGCCGCGCGCCGCCTCGCCCGCGCGGGACGTCGGAGTGCGCGCGGGAGTCCGCGGCTTTTTCGTTCGCTGAGGGCGAGGCGGGCGGCGGCGGCCGAGTGGGTGGGGGATGAGGCTGGGGGTGCGGCCGACGGGAAGCACTTGCGCGAGAGACGCGGCGGCGGTGCATTACGAGCGATCGGCTCGCGCGCCGAGTTCGCCAATTTTCGTCTCGCGCCGGCTACGATTACGCGCGGGAGAGAGACAGCGGCGTCGGCGATCGATTCGGGTCTAAACATACGCGGCGAGCGGCAGACAGCGACAGCCGATCGTCGTCCCACTTCTCGAAACAAAGGATAGCTCGGCCGCTGGATGCAGCGCCGTTGTATTAATAATTTTTCGGCGCGCCGCGCGCAAGCCCCGCGAGCTCGACTCCGCTAAGCTCCGCCTCGATCGTAAAAGCTAACGAGGTCGAGCTCGGGCGCAAGGCTAACTCCAGCCCTTGCACCGGATTAATCTCCGAGCGCGCCGGAGACTTCTGCCGCCCATGGAAATATCTCGCGCCGGAATCGCCGAATTAACCTGCGCCAGCTCGGCGAATGATAACCGTCGCTGGCATCGCGCTCGGCGGATCGATCGACAGCGGACCCGATTGATTTTTATTCGGCGGCCAATCGAGCAAGACGACGACGAGGCCGCGCGCGCTGCTTATAAGGACGTTGCTCCGGCGCATTCGTCATTTTGCCCGACCGCCCCCCGTCGTGTCAACTAATTGCCCTGTTGATTCTCGGCCGCGTGGCCGTTTGTCAATTTTCCGCGATCGAAGCGGATCATTAGACCGCTCGTCTCATTAACAATTTTACAGCTTTTATCTCGGATCGGCGTATTTTTACTTTCGTTCGGAAACGGGAGTCGCCGAATCGCGTTAGCCGTTCTAGCTCGCACTTCGCTGCAATCGCCCGCACAAAAGGCTAATCAATGATTATTATCATTCGCATAACGAGACGCCGCGAGATATTTGTTAATTCTCGGTTCGCCGATACAGCCGTTCCATTAAAATCAAGTCGCGATGGCGGAGCGGCTGGGCGGGGGGTAGCAATTTCGCCCGCGCCGCCGCGGTGAAATCCGAATCGAAAGAGGCTCTTTGAGGAATTGCACTTCCTTAATAAAGTCGGCAGTCCTTTTTCCTCTCTTTAAGCCGCGGTGCGGAGTCTCGGAAAGCCCGCGGACCGCGCTCGAGCTTTGTAGCGAGCAACGCGCGCCTACTTCGCGAAAAAATATTAACGACCGAATTATTGAATCGCGCCGGATTTTCCGCACGAGGACAGCTCGAATCCGCGAGCGCTAAGAGTTAAAAAGTCCAGAAAGCGAGAAGGGGCGCGGGGGAGGGGGGAGCGGCATTCGGAGAACGGCCCGGCGGTTCGCGTAATGCTTTGAAAAACTCGGATGGGCGCTCGCTTCTCGTTTTTCAAGCGAAGAACTCGCAACTTGCCCTCGTTCTCTCTCTCTCTCTCGCGTACTTTGAAAAGTCTAAATATATTGGCTTAGCTCGAGCGGGGAGCGGCCGGTCGCCGAGCGCAACCAGACCGAGGGCCGCCTCGGCGCGCGGGGAGCAAGGACGAGGGCGGGGCAGGGGCGCAGGCGAACTCACGGTCGGCTCTCTCGCAGGTCCACCTGTTGACGAGCGGGTCGATCCAGGACCAGCAGTTCCGGCTGCCGAAGCTGGCGCGGTTGATGGCCAGCTCGAGCCTGTGCTCGGGGCCGGGCTCGAAGCTGTAGACGCAGCTGAGGTTCTGGGCGCCGCCGCGCCCGTAGAAGAAGACGTTGCGCGGCGAGCCGAAGGCCTGCGGCTGCTCGGCCTCGGCGCGGCCGGCCGCGCGGAACACGCGGTCGCAGGTGGTGGCCTCGTGCACGAACTCGTAGCGCAGCACGAAGGACACGGGGTAGAGCGCCGAGCCCTGGCGCAGCAGGTGCTCGAGCGTGAGGTAGCGCCCGCGCGACACGTAGCTCTCGGACAGCGAGCAGGGCCGCGCCTGGCGGCTGGCGTTGCGCAGCAGGCTGTGGTCGCACAGCCGCGGGCTCTCGTCCTTGCAGAACTCGCCCAGCAGCCGCGCCTGGCAAGCAGAGCCCTCGGCGTGAGCGACTCGACTCGACCGGCGCAAAGTGGCGCTCGGTGGCGCTCGGTGGCGCTCGGGCCGCCGCCTCGCTCACCTCGGCCAACTGCTGCCGGGCGCTGGTGGCGTTGGGCGCCGGCTGCCGCTGCCCGTCCCAGATGAGCAGCTTCACGTTGCACTCGGCGCCCTGCTGCGGGTGCGGGCTGGGCGAGCGCGCGCCGCCGCCGCCCGCCGCGGCCGCGCCGCCCGCCGAGCCCAGCTCCGCGCCCGCCCAGGCCGCGTTGTACTTGACGAAGGCCAGCCACACGATCTCGTTGGGCTTGCCCTGGAAGTGGTAGCGGCAGGTGGTGTTGGGCGGCAGCGAGTGCTTCGGGTTCTCCAGCACGCCGTACGGGCCCTCGTAGCTGCTGATGTAGAAGTCGCACTTCTCGTGGTCCTTCACCACGAAGCTCGCCGTCGAGCGCTCGTCCACGAAGATGACCTGGCGGCGGCGAGGAGCCCCGTCACGAGAGCGCGTCCTCCCCTCGTCCGGCGCCGCGGCCGAGCGGCGGCCGAGCGGCGGACGAGGAGGGGCCGGCGCGGGCGGACCGACACCCACCTGAACCTCGAGCTCGAAGCCGGGCAGGAAGGAGAGCGGCACGGGATGGAAGGGGTTGTCGTAGGGCGAGGTGTGGAACTCGAGCAGCATGACGTCCTTGCTGCCGACGATGTCGGGCACGGCGTCGCCGCCGCAGAGCCGCACGAGCACGCGGTCCTGGGTGGAGCCGCCGTCGTAGACGGTGAGGTAGTCCTGCACGACGTTGCACTGGTCCCAGAGCCTGCAACGAGGAGCGGAGTAGGGGGCGGCGCGGGCGGCGCGGGCGGCGCGGGCGGCTCGCGCGGCGGGCCTACCTGAGCGTGCGCTGGCTGGTGTCGTACTTGTTCACCTGGTCCTTGATGTGTATCTTGTGGCTGTTGCGCTGGCTGACCGCGAGCAGGGCTCGGTGGCCCGGGGGCGCGCGCTTCTGCTCCACGCGGTAGTAGCAGGTGACGTTGCGCGGGTAGACGCCCGGGTAGTTGGGCGACTGCAGCCGGCAGGCGCGCGCGTCGCACCTGCAAGTGGAGGTGAGGCGCGCGCTGTAGAGCGGAGCTCGCCGCGAGCGCTCGTCGCCCGGCGCACTGACCTGGTGAACACGCGGTCGCAGTAGGTGGCGTTCACCAGCTCGCCCCGCCAAGTGCTCATGCTGCTGTTGCCGTAGCGCAGGTGGGCCTCGCTGCGCTTCAGGAACTTGTACGACAGCTTGAAGTCGAAGTTGTAGTCGTTACCCTACGCCGCCGCGAGCGCGGCCCGCACAAAAGTAGCTCCGTATTAGCGCCCGCAGCCACGCTCGATTGATTGCCATTTACATGGTAATTCGCTAGTCGGGAGTTTGCTCGGGAGAGAGCGAGCGAGCGAGCGCGCCAAGACGCTTAACGGCCACCGCCTCCCCTGCCCCCGCGGATCGAAGTCATTAGCGGGCCGATTCGGCGTCCCCTAATGACGCCGTGATTAGTTTGTTGCCGCGCCCCGTCCCCCCCGCTGTCGCTTTCGTTTCCATCCTTCTTTCGCGCGCGAACCAATCGAGCGCGCATAATCGACGCCGAAAACTTTTTGATTACTCCGCGCGAGGCGCCCGATCGAGTATTTAATTTGTCGTGCAAACAGCCCGGCTCTCCCTCGTTAAGTGTATACGCGCTCGCGAATCTCTCTCTCTCTCTCTCTCTCTCTCCCGCTCCCACTCTGTCTCGCTCTCAGTCGTTGCATTTTCAAAGGGCCAATTTTCGCGATGTGTCTAATTAACAGGAGCCGCTGCAGCGTGGCTGCGCGAGAATTTGGTTTACTAATTCTTGAAAGGAGGACGACCCAATTTCGCCGGGGTGCGAGCTCGCGAGAAAGCGAGGCAGCAGACCGCTAATAAATTAATTGAAAATTTTAATTAAAGGATAGGTGGAAGCTGTCGCGAGCTCGCGCGAGGCGTCGGAAATAAAGAAAAAAGGCAAGCGGCTGCGGGGCGAGGTTGGGCGCTGGGGAGTCGGCTCGGAAACACTTGAGCCGCAGTCGAAAGGGAAGGAAAATGGAGGTGTAGCAGCGGCCGGGAGCAATTGCTCGGCCTAGATAAGGCGAGGAGCGGGCTGGTGGGGGCCACATGTATAATGGCAGCGGCGCGTCGGCGGTGGACGCTACCTGGCCAGATAGACGGGACAGATAGAGAGTCAAGTTGATGGAGCGGGTCTCGCTGTAGTAGACCGTGTAACCCCAGGCGCTGCCGCACCACTGGCCCCCGGTCGCCGGCCGGCCCTCCTCCTTGATGCTCATGTGGCCGTCAGGGCATCCCTCCGAGGTGAACGACTGGAAGCGGCCCACCGTGAACGTGTCGAACGTCAGCTGCAACAACAACAACAACGACAACGCGCCCAAGCGCGCAATCAGCCGTACCGCACTTTTGCCCCCTCCCCCCAACCCCCCATTCCTGCTCGCTCTCGTTACCGCTGTCGCGCTGGTATCAGCAGCCCCGCAGCGGCACCTCGCCAATTAAATCTCGCGCCCGTTTTTCATGCTAATACCCGGGGCGCGGGCGCGCGAACGGAGCAGCGCCGCACTCGCACGTGCATTCTCCTCCTTACCTACCCCCGGCGCGGCCGCTCGCGCGCTCCTTGCCGAATACAATTGCGTAGACGCCATCCATAAAACATGAACGGACGCGCCGCAGCTCGCCGCGCGAGGAGGGAGACATATTTATTGGCCGGGCTGCAAAAAGAGCTGGCGCTCGTGCGGAAAACTTTGAGCGGCGGCGGCGGCGTCGGCGGCGTCGGCGGCGGACTGCCGCCCGATAGCGCGCCCCATCGATAAAGCGCAGAGGCGCGCGAGTAGCCTCACCTGCACGAGGTCGCCCAGCTCGCCTCCGGTCGCCGTGAAGTTCAGGTGGCAGAGGAACGGCAGCCGCTCCTCCCGCGGCCTGCGGACCTGCAGCTCGTAAGTCCTTCCCACGTCGCCGTAGAGAGTGCGGTTGCAGGCTGCGCCAGCCGCGCCGGTCCGCCCGACAAAACCAATGGGGGAAAAACCAGAAAATAGACCAGAAGTCAGGCGGGCGTACGTCGACCGCCGCGTGCGGGATGCACCTCCACTGCGCTAACGCTCGTCGCCGCGTCGCGCGCATGCACATTAACATTCCAAAGAATTCTCTCTCTCTCTCTCCACCTCCGTCCCTTCTTGGCGGCATTTCGAGTATTCCGCGCGAGCCAGATTCTTTTTTTCTCTCTCTCTCTCTCCTCTGCTGCGCGGGCCGCTGCTGGCGGCTGGCGAATGTTACTCTCGCGCGGTGGCGAGCGATGAATTTTTATTTGCCGTGACGCATTCCCGAGCTGAAATCATTCCCGAGCGCGCGTCGTGCAACGACAGCGCAAGATGGGTTCTTCGCGAGTCGGCGTGCGCGACTCTCTGCTCCAGGATCGATAGTGATTAAAAACTATAAAAAGCCGCCCGGCAGCGGAATATTCCTGGTACGCGCGCGCGCGCGCGCGAGCGAACGCTCAGCCGGTCCAATTGTCGGCGTAAAATATACGTTTATAATCGGCGTAATTTACAGGCCAACTGCGGTTAAATGCGCCCGTAAAAAGTATGAAATAACGGCAGGCGGATCGATGGCGAGAGAGAAAGAGAGAAAAGCATGTGTGCGCGCTCGAGCGGGTGAAACACGAGAAATGTCGGGGTCGCGCGCGAAGCTGTTAAACGCGCCGCTGTAGCGAAAGCGGTCGGCCGATCATAATAAGCTGTAGGCTAAATTAATTATCGATATAAGCTCGGGCCGAATGCAATCGGGTAAATACGGGGCAAAAGTGTGCCAGCGTTACAGGACGCCAGGCCCTGGAGAGCGCGAAATTTACGGGAGTCAGGGGCGAGGGGGTGGGCGTTGCGCGAGGGGGAGGGGGTCTAAAGTGGCGCGCTAATGCCCGGCGTCGTCGAGTAGCTCGCTCGCTCGCGCGATATCGAAAGCCAAATATAAAGTGCTCCAGCTAATTACGCGATAATACACGTGTGCGCCGTGGCAGTCGCTCGACTTTGTTCGATCGAGGCGGACCCGGGCGAACGAAGAAAAAAGCAGCAGCAGCAGCGGCAGCGGCAGCGGCCAAATAAAGTTTCGAGATAATTTCCTGCGGCGTTAAGGTAAGCGAGCAGCTCGGGCTTGATAGACAGTTACTGCTCAAAGTTTAACGGCACGGGGTAGCGCCCCGCCGGAGAGGGATGCACGCCAACTTTTCTATAATTCAAACCGCCTCGACTCTTGGTTCCATTACGGCTACTTGTTAAAGCTGCGCGGCTCGGCCGCCACTAATAAAAGGTCGCGACGAACTCCCGGCCGAGCGGACTCACGGCTCGCGGGCGCCGCACGTGCCGCCCGCGGGTCGCCGTCGGCCGCGGCCGCGGGCGCCCGAGTTGGCCCGCGGCGCGGCCGGCGGCACGTGGCGGCAAGCGCGACAAAGGCCGCGCGGGGACTGACTCACGCGTGCAGTAGACGGGCTCGTCGCTCTTGTCCTCGCAGTCGTTCTCGCCGTCGCAGAAGCGGTCCTGGGCGATGCAGCTGCGGCTGCTGGCGCACCTGTGCTCGCTGAGCTTGCAGCCCGCGCCGGGGGCGGCCGGGGGCACGAGACCGGAGGCGCGGCCCCCCAGCAGCGCCAGGAGCACCGCCAGGCCGCAGGCCCGCCGGGGCGCCGACATCTGGCCGGCTCGCTGTGGCGCGCGGCCCGCCGCCTCACATCGCCGGCCGCGCCGTGCGCTCGTCGCTCCGCGTAGCCGCTCAGCCGGCCGCGAGCCACTGGTGGCCCCGCGGCATCCGCATCGTCGCGCGGCGGACTGTGCTGCTGCTGCTGCTGCCGCTGCCGCTACCGCTGCCGCTACCGCTGCTGCTGCCGCTGCTGCTGCCGCTGCTGCTGCCGCTGCTGCTGCCGCAGCTGCTCTCGGCTCGGAACTGCGGCGCGTACAGGCCGGGCGAAGCGCCTCGGCCGGGGGTTCGAGCCGCCGCCGCCGCCGCCGCCGCCGCCGCCGCCACGCCAGCGTCTGGGGAGGCGAACGCACGCGCGCAGCTCGCCCCGCCGCCGCCGCCGCGCTGCCACCCTTTCCCAGGCAGCCAGCCAGAGCCCAGCCGCCGACCAGAGCCATCCCGCCAGCCAATTCTTCTTCCGCCGGCCCCCTCCCGCCCCGCCCGCCGCACCCGCGCGCTCGGCTTATGTTTTCAGATGCTGCGAGCTTTCCGATCGTTTTAACGAGTGCGCGAACCTCGCGCCGCTAAATGCCCGCCGGCTGCGATTATCACTAGCGCGTCTCCCGAGCGCGCCGCCGCTCCCGTCGAGCTCGATCGTCGGATCTTAGCTACTTCTTTGCGCACTCCCCGCGCCCCCTCGCGCCGCTGCCGCCCGTCCATCCGTCCGACACTCGAACCAGCGGCTGCGTTTGCCTTTCGACCATGAGCCTGCCTCTTTCTCTCCCCCCGTCCCCCTCATTATCTCCGCGTCATTTGCCACGCGAAAGCTGCTGCTGCATTTTTCATCCGACAGCTCGCCTCTAAAAATCCGATTTAGATTTCTCTCCTGGTGAGCGTAACTGTTGCAAGGTATAATGACTCGATAATTCACGCCAAACTCGCTCACTACAAAAAAAACACTTGACTCAGCGGTGGCGGCGGCGGCGGCGGGGCCCCAAAATTTATGTATGTATGGATGTATCGCTCGCTTTTGCTTACTGCGCCGAGAATTATTCCGACTTGCTCGCGATGCACGCCGCCGCGGCAAAAAATTGATGGCGAGGCGAAATGTTTTTTTTCCTTCTTTTGCTTACTAAAAATCGATACTTTGACGTTGCCAGTCGTTTCTTTTCTTCGGCGAGCACTATTGCGATAGGGCTCGCTCTCTCTCTCTCTCTCTCTCTCTCTCTCGCACTCTCTTCAGTCGAGCGCTGAGTGCTCGTTTCTCTTTTTTTCCTCGTCGATGGAGATGCGAATGGATGGCCAATTTGAGGCTGAGCGATGACGCCACGCGAGGAGCGCAGGCGGCAGTGGATTGAACGAGGCTGGCGAAATTAGTTGCGAAACAAGTTGCTCGCCCCCCCCCCCCCCTCCTCATCCCTCCTCGCACTATACTCCTGACAAATAAGCAGCACCGAGGAGCTTTAATTGAACTTTAACAAGTGCCCGTAAGCCCAACAATTTACTCGGTCTCCGATCGCAAAAAGCCGCGCGTTGCGGCAAGTCGTAAACTCGCGCCGGGGCTGTCTTGAAATTACGTGCAGTTCGCTCGCGCGATCGGGAATCCCGACACGCTCTCGACGGGCGAGGGCGAAGCTTTCCGGCGGGGGCGCAACAGGCAAAAAAAAAGCCGGCGTTTCGTTTGCGCGCGCGTTATGCCCTCTCTCTCTCTCTCCCTCTCTCCTTTTTATTTCTTTCTGTCGCGCGCGCGACAACGATGAAAGAGAGCTCGCGATACGATTGACCATTGAAGCCGGGGCGCGCGATGCACGTATACGTTTCTGAAAAATTGCAGACGGCGAGCGGGGGTCCCGCGAGCGTTTATCTCGTTGCTTTCACCTCGCGCCGGCGCGGCCCCGGTGTAAGCTCTTGCAAATTGTATAGAGGATTTATTCCTCTCGCCACTCGTTCCTCCAGGAATATGACAGATCGACGGATAAGCGCGGAGCTTTGTCCTCCGAAACTCGGCGAGAGCTCGCTCGCTTTGCGCTTCGTTTTCTCCGCTTTCGAAAGCGGCGCGCCGTGGGGCGGGCGGGGGCTCGCGCGCTGTTTTTGATATTCCTCGGCGGCGGAGAGCGCTTTCGCCCGCGACGCGTCGCCTCGTTAAAAGCCAGTCGCGGCTGTGAAAACACGGCCGCGCGAGCAAACAGACCCGGAAAATTCATCGTGCGCGCGCAATCATTGGTAGTCGGTAATCAGTGCCGGGGCTCATTAGTCATTCGGTTCGCGGGAGGGCGAAGGCCAGGGCGGAGGGGAGGGGCCGCGAGGGCGGTCCACTTATGAATGGAAATGCAATCGCCGAGGAGCATCGAGTATTCCGCTCGCGCTCCGGCCGGCGGGCGAGAAAAAGAAGGAAGGTGGCGGCGGCGGCAGCAGATCAAACGTTTGCAAAAGCGCAGCTGCGATAAAAAGTCAGCAGCCCGCCGCGGGGCCGGTCGGGGAGCAGCTGCAGCTGCAGCTGCATAATTGACGTCGAGCCCGGAGCGGTGGCAGCCTCCTCGGCGACGTCGGCGCGCGCGGACTGCGCAGTGCTGCGGCGTGGAGTGCCGGGCCGAACGGAGAAGCGCCTGCAGCGCAGGCAAGCCCGCGGCGCGCACGGCCATCTTTAAATGCCGCGCGGCACACGTCAACGCAGCGACGTCCGCCGAGGAGCGACTTTCTCCTGCCGCGTCAGAGTCGCGAGAGCGAGACGCCGCGCGTTGAGGTTATGTGCCGCTGGCGAGGAGCGAGCGTCCGCAGCTGGAGCCGCAGCTGATCAACGCGGGTGCACTGGTGCGTGGCAGCGTGGAGCGGAAGCCGAGGATGGGCTCGAGCGCGTACGCGACGATGCCGGCGCTGCTGCTGATGCTGGTGCTCGGCCTGGGCACGGCGGCGAGCGGCCAGCTGGGCAGCCAGCCCTGGTACGAGACCCTGCCGGCCGTCGCCATGGACTACAAGGTGCACATCGACCCGGGCAAGGAGGACTGCTACTTCCAGTACGTGAACCCCGGCGCCACGTTCTACGTGAGCTTCCAGGTGAGCGCCTCGATCGCCTCGCACGGCGGCGGCGGCGGCCGCCTTGGCCCGCTCTCCGACGCCCGAGCTCGGCCCCCTCGGTGCCTCGTTACACTTGACCCGATCTCTCTAGGGCTTCTCTCGCCCCCTTCGCCACCGGCAGTCCCGCCTTCTCGGCCTTTCGGCTCGGGCTCTCCGCCGCGAGATAGAGCGATCGCCCGAGCGGCCATATGGCGGAGAGCCTCGATCGCGCTCGCTCGAGCGCAATCTGATTCGAGCAAAAAATCACTTAGCGGCTGCTCTCGGGCTTTGTCTTTAAGGAGCTCGAAGAGCGCCACTCCAACGGGCTCGGAGACCCTACTTTTTCTCCCTCTCGCTCGCGCTGTCTCGGGAAAGAGTAAAAGTCGAGCGTGAACGTTGAAGGTGCTGCGAGGCGGCGACGGCAAGGCGGGCTTCGCAGTGAGAAATCCAGCCGGGGAGATCGTGCACCCGTATCAGTGGAAGGCCAACGCCGACTACCAGGACCAGTCGGTGCAGGGCGGCTACTACAGCGTCTGCGTGGACAATCAGTTCTCGCGATTCGCTGGCAAATTGGTCAATTTGTACATAACCGTTATTAGGTAATGTCGCCACTTCCGACGCGCGCTCGCCGCAGCGCGACTGCCAATCGAATCCCCTCGCTAATTGCCCGCTGCCGCTCGTTAATTTCGCAGGTACGACCAGTGGGAGAGGTTCGCCAAGGAATTGGAGACGATGAATCTGTCGGTGGAGAATGTGACGGTAAGCCAAACCCGCGACTCGTTCGCTCGCAAGCGCGCGACACACTCCGAGCGTCCTGTTGCAGAACACCCTGGTCAACGTGGAAAAGAACATCTACGAGGTGCTCCAGATCCAGCACTTGAGCAGGAGCCGGGAGGACAGGGATTACAATTTGCTCCTCGACAATAACTCGTACGTGCAGAACTGGTCGCTGCTGCAGGTGGTTGTCATCATCGCCACCACGATACTGCAGGTCTTCTTCGTGCGCCGACTGTTCAACGTCAAGTCGGGATACTCGCGCGCTCGGATCTAAGCCGCCGCGCCAACCTCCTGCCTTGACCCATTTCGATCGGCTCGCAGCAGAGTGCGATAAGGCTCGTTGATTGATCGTCGTCGAGAGGCTCTCGCGGCCCTCGCGGCCCTCGCGGCTGCCGGCGCGAGGGACTCCGGCCTGTCCCCCGCGATTTTACTTTCTTTAATACTTCATTCCAGATGTCTGTTTTCTTTCATTTTTTTGCTTTTTACGTTATATCACTCAACCGACTGTATTGTTTATGATGCATTTATCGCCAGAGACTCAGCCGCGATTGTACAGTATTTTTTCACGGACAACCATGCAGACTGCGCGCTCCACTTCTTCCGTTTGCAAAGTCGATCGATCGATCGGCGTTACTTATATCGTGGAGCAATTAAGGGTTTTTCCTAAACAGCGCGACTAATTATATTTATACAAAATGAAAGATTCTATCTATATATCGAATGGTTTACACTGTGTAAATGTATTTATATATATAAGAGGAGACAAAATAAATTTACATGAAAACTTTGTTACGATAAAAATGTAACGTTCTTTCGATCGCCTCGAATTCTCTGCAGCAATATTCAAACTGCAATATTGACACGAAGCCAGCGAGGACACGGTGAAAGTTTGCTGAGCAATAAAAACTGACGTTCGGCGACAGACGCGAGCAAGCATTACCAGCATTTATTGCCCAAATATGCTCTCTTAGCCCTCCGCTCGCGCGGATATTCTCCCATGGTGCGCGTACGCGTGAAACTATCGGGCTTTGCCTCCCCCCCTCTCTCCTTCTCTCTCTCTCGCTCCTTTCTCTGTTTATATTGTATCGAAAAATCTGCCCTCGTGTCGCGGCGCAATTATTTCGTTGGGACTCCACTCCCGACGCGCGAACTCCACCGGACGCGGACGCGGAAATCCGCTCGCGCAGTCATGTCGGAGCAAACTGAGCAATCGAGTAATGGATTCGCGAGCGTCGACTGATTTTCGCCTTTCGGTCGTGGCGATCGATTAGCTCGTCGACGAGCCAAACGGCGCAGCGCCCGTCGACCCCGCCGGACGGATAAATAATTGGCATTTTTCGCGGAGCAAGTCGGTCGTTCGAGGCAGCGGTTTCGCCCGGCGAAGCGAGAGGTCGACGGGATTAAGAACCGCGGCAAATTGGATCCGCGACGGCGACGAATAAATCCGAGATCGCGCCTCGACGCATCCATCAAATTGGAGCCGAGCGATCGTCCGACTCGGAGAGGAAAGACAGCGCGCGCGAGCTGCCAGGAGGTTTTCGGCGAGGAGGGCGGCGGCGGCGGCGGCGGCGGCGGCGGCGGCGGCGGTCAGAAGGGCGGGGGGAACCTATCGAACGGGCATCGCCCCCTATACCAATAGCGCGCTACATAGCACCCGGGCTCCCCAGTTTTCCAGGCGGCCTGACCAGGTTCCGCTCGCGCGTCAATTTTTGCGTAGCGCCGTCTCGACTATGTCGCGGCTATGCCGGAGGCTCGGGAGGCGATTGACGCGCGCGCCCCGGAGAAGTCGGACTGCTTCGAAGGACCTCCGCCTATCCGCGGCCAATGCAGTCGCTGCCTCCCGCCCTCCACGCGCACGCCCGAAGAGAGCTAATGGTCTGCCCGGCGGCCACTTGCGCAGCGTGCTCTATCTCTCTTCGATAGCTCTAATTGCCAGCTCGTGCTGCATCTCCGCGCTGCTGCCGCTGTTTTTCGACGAACCGCGTCAATGGACAACCCGCCCTTTCTTGCCCCTCGAGCTCTCTCGCTTATCGCGATTACGTTTCCGAGCGGGATTTGGAAATTCAGAGAGCGAGAGCGAGAGACCGAGAGAGAGAGAGAGAGAGAGAGAGAGAGAGAGAGAGAGAGAGAGAGAGAGAGAGAGAGCGAGAGCGCGCGCTCACATTGTTTAGGCGCACAACTGCGCGCCTTTGTTTCGCTGAAACCCGGCGTTCGCGCGTTAATTAAAAATGATGAAAGGCCAGCATCGAAAAGCCGCGTTTACGCGCGCGATTCTTCTCGCGCTTTCCATCGAGGATACAGTGGCTGCAGGCGATTCCACGATCGAGTGGGAGCTCGCGAGCGCCTCGTATTCCGCGTACTCGGGCGGGCGTATTTGCGGGAGGCACGGTCGGCAAGGTCAACAGTCGCGGGCATCGCACGGGAGCGACCAAACGAACCTATTTACATATGGACAAGGGGCCGGCAGCGAGGAGCACGGCCCGAGCGGGCGGCGCGGCTCAGAGCAGCGAGAGCGCCGGCTTGGCGCGGCGCTGCAGCTGGCTGGCGCCGAGGGCGAGCAGCCGGTGGCGCTGGCGCAGGTTGCGCGCGCGCGCGTGCTCCGAGGCCACCTCCTTGGTGAAGTTGCCGGGGAACCAGCCCTGACGCGCGTCCAGCAGCCTCTCGCCGAACAACCAGCCGTCGCTGGTCTTGCGCAGCACGTTGATGACGTCGCCTGCGGGCAGAGCGGGCCGGGGGGGCCTCGTTGAGTGCGGCGCGCGCGGCGTCCGGCGGCCGACCGCCCTGCACCCACCTGGCTGCAGGCCCACCTCGTCGGGCTGCCGGGGCGCGTACGAGTAGAGCGCCATGACCTGCGGGCAGTCCCACGACTCGTAGAGCGTCTCGCCGAGGCAGCTGGGCTTGGGCGGCGAGGCGGCGTCCAGCCAGCGCTCGCGCTCGGTCTCGCTGTCGCAGCTCAGCACCAGCTCCACCTGGCGACCCGCCTGGTTCTCCAGTAGCGTCAGCAGCATCGCGCGCCGCCCGGCGAACGGGCCGTCCTCGGGCGCGCGCTCCAGCGCCGCCAGGCTGCGCTTGCACGCCTCCACCACGGCGTAGCTCTCCTCGCCGCAGCTGCGGGCCAAACGGAGCGCCTGTAGTGCCGCGCCGCGGCCCGCCGGCCGGCCTACCACCTACCTGTTGGGCTTGAGCTTGGCCAGCAGCAGGTAGTCGGTGAGCAGCATCAGCATCAGCGGCGTCTTGTGGAACTTGCGCCCGAAGGTCAGCCGGTGCTCGGCGTCGTGCCGGCTCGACAGCTGCACCACCGTGCCGCTGCGGATCAGCTCGCGGCCGCGCAGCTCTACCGGCGCCAGCCCGTCCGGGTACTCCAGCCTCCTGCGCGCGGCCGGTCGGTCAGTCGGTGCGCGGCGGGTCGGTGCCCCCGGGGGCCCGACGCGAGTTACCTGGCCAGCGCCTCCAGCTGGTTGCGCCGCTCGGCGAGCCGCGCGCCCTCGTTGCAGCGACCCACCGTGCGGCCGAGCGTCGACAGCGCCCGCTCCCAGTCGGCGCGCTCGGCCTGGTCCGCCGACAGCTTGGACAGCACCGCGTCGGCGAGCAGCGGCAGCCTGCGACAACGGACGTGGCGCTCGTTCCCTCTCGGTCTGGCTCTGCCCACCCCCTTCCCTGCGGGCCGGGCGGCCGCTTACCTGGTGATCCTCTGCATGGGCAGCATGAGGAACGAGTGGAGCGAGAGGCTGTGGCAGGCCGGCCGCGCCTCGATCCTCGACAGCGCCTCCAGGTACCGGTGGCCCTTGCTCGCCCTGCAACATCCCGGAGTCAAGGCGTGGCCGGGGCGGCGACGGCGGCGTCGGCGGCGGCGGCGCGACCCACCTGAGCTCCTTCAGCGTGACGTCGATGTTCACTTGGCTCGAGCAGTAGGCCACGTAGGCGTCGGCGCTGCGCTCCGCGTGCCCGAGCAGCAGCCCGGCCAGGCGCCCGAGCATGGGGTCCTCGCGCCACTCGGCCTCCAGCTCGGCGAGGAAGCGCTCCGAGGCGGCCAGCACCTCGGGCACCGCGCCGAACAACCGGTCGCGCTCGCCGGCCGTCAGCAGGTCGCGCGCCAGCTCGCGGCTGCCCGCGAACTCGCCCTCCAGCACGCGCAGCGAGTTCAGGTAGGAGGCCTCCGAGGTCAGGATCTCGAACTTGGCCTCCTGCAGCCGGCGCTGCTCCGGCGTCAGGCCCTCTGCGGTCGGGCAAGCAGCACGGGTCAGAGGCGGCGCGCGCGCGCGCCCGGACGGGGTACTCACGCGAGAGCCCGCCGCCGATGACCCGCGGCGTCTGGCACCAGAGCGTGCGCTGGCCGGGCCTCGCCAGCTCGGCGGCCGTCCGCGCGGGCGCCGGCTCCTCCACCTGCTCGTAGCCGTCCGAGTCGGACTCGAAGGCCACCCTGGCGGCGTCCGCCGCGTAGAACTGGTAGAGCGGCTCGCGCGCCAGCGCGCTGCCCGACTGGCCGTCCGCCTTGAGCCGCTCGAGGTAGGCCGGCTCGTGTTGGCCCTCGCTGCCGCTGCCCGCGCTGCAGCTGCTGCCCTTCTCGCTGCTGGCGCCCGACGACAGGCCGCGCTCCAGGTAGAAGGTCGACAGCGCCTGGCCGGCCTGGCGCTTGCGGAACGGCCGGCCGAAGCCGAAGTAGTTGCGCGGGTCCTGCCGCGCGCCGTCCTCGGCGTCGGCGGACGCCCGGCGCCCGATGCGGCCCAGGCTGCCCTTGGTGATGCTCCAGGTGCGCCGCAGCATGCGCATGCGCCGCCCGAGGCTGTGGCTCAGACTCTGCTCCCGCGGCGGCGGCGGCACCGGTCGGCTGGGCGGCTGCTGCTGCTGCTGCTGCTGCTGCGGTATCGGCGAGCCGCCGACCGAGCCCACCTCCTTCTCCTCTTCGTGCTCGGAGTCGCTGCTGAAGTCGTCCGGCTCGTAGGTCTGCAGCGTCTCGTAGTTGCCGTCGTCCGACGAGTCTGCTTGCGCACAGAGAAAAAGAGAGAGAGAGACGGAGAGATGAGCGTCGCGGCGAGGGTCTGGACGGGGCGGTTCGGCGCTTCGGCTGGCCGTTCCCGCTCGCGCGCGACGAGGCCTTGGCGCGTCGCGGTACGCGGGCAGGAGTGGCGCAGGCACCTTCGGCAACGTAGAGCGAGGTCTCGTGCACCTGGGCCCCGTCGTCGACGAGCACCACTCGCAGCTGCAGCAAGCCCTTGCACTCGGTCGCCTCGTCCTCGTGGCCGTCGCTCTGCCGGGCGTTGGCCTGGTGCCGAGTCCGCGGCTCGGCCTCCTCCGATCCCAGCACGAGAATCGAGCCGCTACCAAGGCTCACCGCAACTACTCGGTTTTCATTAGTCGCCAAGAGCTCGCCGTTCGTTCGCTTCTGCCTGTCTTTCACTCGACTCGCGCTCTCTCCCACACACGGGCGCTCTTTCGGGCAGCAAGGTCGCGCCACGGTCTCGTCGGACCGCCATCTCTGTCTGTATGTCTTTCTCTCTCTCTCTCTTACCAAACGGGAAGACCGGCCAATCTCCGCGCCAGCCGGATCTTGTATAACGTTGGGCAACTACGGCGTATTATCTCGTCATTTTCGGCCGGCTCGGGCTTAATTTCCAATATTTACGAGCCGCTTCCACGATTGCGCGACAATTGAGCAACGCGCTGTATTTCGAAGCGCCTAGCCGGCTCGGTTCGCTTGCCACGACGGATCGGACGGACTGGTCGGAAATACAGTCGATCTCCGCGACGCTCAATCGCGAGAGAGCGAGAGAGAGCGAGGAGAGAGAGAGAGAGAGAGAGAGAGAGAGAGAGAGAGAGAGAGAGAGAGAGAGAGAGAGAGAGAGAGAGAGAGAACGGGACAGAGAAGACGTTACAGCAGCCGAGCCGCGGAGCTGCATATTCAGTATCGGAGTGCAGTGCGGTGACACGTAAGGAAAGAACGGTCACGTATGCCAGCTCGAGATCGCGCCAGATGTGCAGCGAATCAAACGCGCGCATACACATGCGCGCACACGCACATGCATAGTTGGAAGCAGGTGAGAGAGAGAGAGAGAGAGAGAGAGAGCGAGCGAAATTAGCGAGAAGAGCGTCGGCAAACCTTGAGTGTTGGGTCGCCGAGGCGGCGTCTTGAGGCACTGCCTCATCTCCCGAGCGCTCTCATGATCGTTTCCCGCACTTGCACGTAATATCTTGCGACGGATATTGGAATGGAGCCGCGCGCGCGCGAGTACGCGCTGCCGCCGCGTCCCGACCGTGACTGACTCGCGCGCGCTCTCTCTCTCTCTCTCTCTCTCTCTCTCTCTCTTTCTTTCTCCCGCGCGCGCCACGAGTCCTCGCGCTTTCACCGTCGCCGCGGACACGGCGAAACGCTACAGTCGGTGCACCCGGCGCGCGCGCGTATGCATCGCTTCGCGAGGAATGTCCCTCCCTGCTTCTCGCCTCGCCGGGGCATTACCGTTTCGCAACGCGCCCGTACGCGAGTCGACGCGCTTTTCCTCGATAGCGCTTGTGCCCCGGCGACGGCGGCGGCGGCGACCGTCTCGTCGCCACAAATCAGCCCGTCGCATCCGACTCCTCTACGCCCGAGTCTACAAGGACATCGGGCTTGTAACGGCGTGTAGCCCGCGTAAATTAGCCGGCGAGCGCTCATTGTGCGCGGCCAATCGATGTTCGGCGCGGAGCAGCCGCTTTAATTGCAGCCAGCCGCCGCGCGACAAGGACACGCTCGAGCCACGGCCTCTCCGGTATCCCGATACTCGCGTAACGCCGCCTCCGCGCGGTTTCGGCTGTGTTGCGCAACGCGGACGAGCTGCCGATGCTCCTCCGCGCTTTCGACGTATCGCGTTCGCCTCGGGGCGTCGCCGCCGCTTTCGGTCGGCCGATTCTCGAGCGACTCGGTGAATCACGTCGGAAGCGGAGGAAAGCGCGCCGCGCGATTCGCGCTCGGTGCGATGACGGCTCGCTGGCGCAGTTTCAGCGATCGGGCTTTGCGCGATGACGGCGGAGACGACGAGAGCCACAGCTCGAAAGTGCAATTAGACGCGTTAGTAACGGGGTCATGCCGGATTTTCACTCGTTAGCGCGCGCACGCAGAATATGTATTTTTCCCCTTCCTGGCCGGGAGAGGAAAAGAGAAAAATTGGCGGAGCCGCGCGACGATACGAAGGGGCACCAAACTCGAGGCGAGATCGCGCTTTCTTGCGCGGGCCAATTAACGCGCCGAGTGAACCGACAGCTGGATGGCCGTCGACGGAAGCGCACTCGGCGTTCTCTGGGGCATCGGCGTCGGGAGAGAGAGAAGGGCTTGGCCACGCCACGCGCGGTCCACGCGGTCGCGAGCGGTCAATGGCAGCCGGAGTCAAGGTCGCGGCGAGAGCGGCTCCCCGCCGGGGAAACCACTTTTCCCGCGTCGCGCGGCGACTCACCGCTGCCGGGGCTCGACGCTGGTCCGCGGCCGCGGCTGGCCGAGCGCGCCGAGCTCCTGCGCGAGGCCCTGCTCCTCTGACGGCGCAGCTTGCAGGACCATCTGCGCGCGCCGGCCGCCGGCTTCCTCCTGGCGCGCCTGGGGATCAGAACTCGGCGTTACACGGGCGCGCCGGGGGAGTGGGTGCTCGGCGAGACCTACGCCGGCTGGCTGGCCTGCTGCGCCCTCGGCTCCTCCAGGTCCTCCCACTCGGACTCCTTGTCGCAGGCCTGCAGCGAGCCCGAGTACAGGCTGTTGACGCGCTCGTGCGCCTCGTGCGCGGCGTCGGGCGCCGCCGCGCTCGCCGGGCCCACGTCGTCGTACACGTCGTCGTCGCTCTCTTGTTGCCCCTCGGCCGCCGGCGCCTCCCGCGGGACCTCGGCTCGCTCCTCCGGCGCCTCCTCTTTGTCCGGCCGGGCGGCGCTTTCGGGCTCGGCAAAGCAATGCGGCGGGCCGACGTCGTCGTACAGCCGGCAGTCCTCCTCCTGGTGCGGGTCCGGCGGGTCGCCCCGCTCCGTCAACGCGGGGGGACCCACGTCGTCGTACGCCTCGTCCGGCGGCTCGAAGCCGCGTGGCTCCTCGCTCGGCGAGCTGGCCTCGCGCTCCTGCGGCGAGAACGCCAACGAGAATTACTGGCTCGCTCGCGGGGGGGGCCTTGGCTCGGCGAGACACGATGCGCGGAGCGCGCGCGTGCTCGTCGTGCAAACAACGCTCGAGCGATAACCTCGCGACTCGCCGACGCGCGATCGCCAGATATCGAGTGCGGAAGGCTACGTCGCGTTTTCGCGTGTCCGTCGAGCGCCGCCGAAAGCCTATCGGACGCAGCAGCAATCTCGCTGGACTTGGAGTGCCGCGCGCGGATCGAAGGCGAAGGAAAAACCAAGGCGCAAGGTAGCAATAGGTCGGCGAGCGGAAACGGCGAGTCTGATTTACCGTGGACGCGCGGAGGAGAGGGGCGGCAGGGCCGACGTCGTCGTAGTAGTCGTCGTCGTCGTCGTCGTCGTCCGACTGGCGCAGCCGGGGACCGCCGTCGAGCAGCAGCGCGGAGGCGCCGAGGCGCGCCAGCTCGGCGTACTCGGGCCGGCTGAGCAGTCGCAGCCGGTCGCCCGACTCCACGTGCACGAAGTTGCTGGGCTGCGAGATGCTCACGTAGCGCAGCTCGTCCCGCGACAGGCTGCGCGGCCTCGCGGCCGCGTCCTGGCCGGCGAGGGACTTGAGCGACAGGCTTTTACCGGCGAGCTTGCGCGACTTGCGGTAGTAGCGCTGGCTCTGCATCGGCACGTAGTGCAGCACGTTCCGGGCGAAAGCGAAACGCGCGCTGCCGCCGCCGCCGCCGCCGCCGCCGTGATGGTCGCTCGCCTCCTGCTGCTGTTGCTTCTTTTGGCTCTTCTTCTGCTGCCGCTGCTTGCTGTCGGCCGCCAGGCCGGGGAACGTGTAGCTGGGCCTCGTCCACTCGTCGTGCCTCCGTGGGTCCGCCGCTGGCGGCGGGTGGTGCTGCTGCTGCAACGACCAAGGCAAACACCGAGTTTGAGTGACCGGCGGAGACGAGTCTTGCCGCGAACTGTTCTCAGGCGAGTCACGAACGACGGGGCAGAAGTGGCACGCGCTCGGCAATTAGCATGAGAGAGCAAGTCAGCGCGCCAAGCAGCAGTAGCAGCTCGGGAATGCGCAAGGAGCAGCGACCGTCAGCGCTCGTTTCTTTTCATCGGCGGATCCGCGGCTTCGACGTCGCGAATCGAATTGTGGAGCACGCGCTCGCAAGTAGCTCGCCCGCTGAATAACGGCAATGCAATGCGCTCTCGGCGAGAGCGAGAGCGAGAGACAGTCCGCGTACCGCCTGCGTCTGAATCAGCGACCTCGCTGCTCGGAATATCAACGGATCGAAAGGCAACCGCGGAAATGCGGATACGCCGCGGGACTCGTTCCGTGAGAAATTGAGACATTGGGAGCGCGACGTTTCCGGCCAACGATCGGACAAAGTGGAAGAGTCACTCTCTCTCTCGTCGTAGCGCGCCTGGCAATCGCATCAGTCGCAGTCGGCAGCGATCGGCGCTTTATTGTCGCGACGATTAGCGTTTATCAGATAACGGGGCCACTCGGGATTTCGGGATTTTTTTGCCCGGCGCGGCACGCCAGCCACGCGCTCGAGGGCGATCTCCGACGCCACGGACGAACCTCGGACTGGCGCAGCGGCCGCAAGGCCAGACTGTCGAGCGTGGCGTAGACGATCTTGCGGGCCGCCGCCGACGCGGAGACGCTCGGCGCGTTGCTCCGGGTCCCGGCGGCGGCGCTGCCGTACAGAAAGCTGCGGTTAGCTAAAGCGGCGGCGGCCCGCGGCGGCTGCTGCTGCTGCTGCTGCTGCTGCGGCTGCTGCTGCTGCGGCTGCTGCTGCTGCTGCTGCTCGGTCAGCATGTCAGCGGCTCTCGGCACCAATCACGACGTCTTCGGCTGATCGCGCCCACTGGCAGCACTCGCGCACTCGTCGCCGGCGCCGCGCATCGGCTCATGGCAGTTTGCCGTGACGACGCGCGCGCGCGTCCGCGTGATAAGTCCTATCGTCGCGCGCAGCCAGAACAGATCGCTGGTCACGCACGCACTAGCAGACTCGATAACAGATTGGCCCGAGCGGCGAGCCGCTCAGCCGAGAGAAAGAGAGAAAGAGAGCCGCGACCGAGGTGGGGGCTAGTCACGTCACTGGCGAACCAGCGTCGCGGCAGCGCGATCGAGCGAAAAAACGGGCGCGATCGCGGCGGCGGTGGGGACTGCTGCCTCCCGATCGCTGCCTTACCGCTCGACGCTTCGCGATCCGCGCGGCGGCCTTGTTAACCCGCTAGTGTTTACGGCACTCCGAGACCGACTCTGCGCTTCGTCGTTGCAGAGGTGTCGTCCACCACCGCCCAGTGCGCATCGTTGTCCCACCGTCAGACCTCCGCGCTTCGGCGCCGCATCCTTCTCCTCTCGCCGCGGCGGTCCCGAAAGGCCGGACAAGGGAAGAGGAGCCCTTCGCGCCGCTCGGCGATGAGTCACTCGCTCGGACCTGCTTTATACCTGCCGGACGCGGCGAGGAGAGAGAGAGAGAAAAAGGAAGGACGCAGTTTCGCGGCATTCCAGGCGATCCCCGTGGTAGCGATCTAGAGACGCTCCACGCACCTCTACGAGCGTCTGGTTTCGATCCCCAGCGGCATTCCAGCGCGACTCGGCCGACACTGGATTCGCTTGCGCTTTCCGAGGCGCGCACGGCGAAAGCCGCGACGGATCGGGCTTTCCCATGGACGCGTTCGCACGCGCGCGCAGTCGGATTTGTCCAAGCTCGCGGGAAGCAACGATAACCGATTTCCGCGCTCTCTTTTTTTCCTTGCTTTTCTCTTTCTTTGCCCGTCGCGTCTCACGCTCGCTTTCGGAATCGCGCGACGACGATTCCCTCATGAAAATGCAAGCGTCTCCGCGGCCCGTCGCGCGCGCACCATTGTTTCGCGACCTCGGTGCCCGGCCGAACTCGGCGGACGTGGAATATCCAGTAGTCAGCCAGTCGTCGGCGTGCTGCCCGGACCCCAGTAGTCAACCAGCCGTTCGCAGCAGTAGCAGCAGCATGTCGTCGCTCGACCAGGTACGGCACTCCTCCCTCGCGCCAACGCGCCCGACGTCGCCGTGCCTTATCGAAGGCAACGGGAACAATGAGAAAAAGAAGAAAAATAAAATCAAACGAAGCGGGAGTCGAGTCGACGCGCGGCTTATCTGGAAACAAGGCGCGTACCGAATGCAAGCGCGCCTACTACGTGCCAATTACCCGCGCGGGAGACGCGCCGTTGCATCCCAGTCGCGTGTCGCGCGCGTCCTTTTTCGTGTACGCTCGTATTGCCGCCGGCCGTGATTGCCGCGAGCGCCGGGCCTCTCGTCGCATCGGAAGCGGGGCGCGTTCGCCCGGTCGGCCGGGACCGCAAGCCCCGATACGAACGCATGCGTCCCCGTTTCAGAGACTCGAGGAGGCGGCCGAGGCCGTCAAAAGCCTCACGCGGCGCCCGACGGACCAGGAGCTGCTCGAACTCTACGCTCTCTACAAGCAGGCCAGCGTCGGCGACGTGAACACGAGTGAGTTTTGAGGCGCGCGCGCGCGCGCGCACGGAACCCGCGAGAAAACGCCAACTAACGAGATTGAATCCACAGGTAGGCCGGCGATGTTTGATCTGAAAGGCAAAGCCAAGTGGGACGCGTGGAACAGCAAGAAGGGCATGAGCAGAGACGAGGCGAAAGAGCTCTACATCGAGTACGTCAACACACTCCTGGACAAGTATAAGGAATAGACTGCCGAGAGAGAGAGAGAGAGAGAGAGAGAGAGAGAGAGAGAGAGAGACTGCAGCCCCGAGTATCTCTTGCATTCACGAGTGGCAGCAAACTTTCGCCGGCTGCGCACTTGCACAAGCTCTTTTCTGTATCAGCACAAAACTTTTCCTCTCCTCGCTCTACATTCGCTGTTGCTTTCGATGAATATAATTGTCAGCTCTGTTGACACAACCAGCCTGTACTGTTTGTTGCCTTTGTCGAAAATAAAAAAAAAATAAGGAAGAGAAGCCGAGAATGCGAGCAGGGGTCGGAGGTCGACTCGCGCTTAAAATCACGCGAGGCGAGCAATTTACGAGGGGCGGTGGGACGGAGGGGGATACGGGCGCACACGACACGAGTTTATCGAATTTCCCCCCTTCGTTTCGCGGAGCTCGGCGTTTCCCTGCCCCCATCCCCCCTTCCCTATCGTAGCCGCGCGGCGGCTCTGGCGTGGCTCCCGTGCACACACCACCACCACCGCCGCGAGCCAGCGTCTCTCGTGCAGTCGCAGCTCAGCTCGCCGGTTAACCAGCGTCCTCCTGCGCAAACACGCTGATCAGCACTTTTTCTTGGACGCTCTACCGACGCACGCTCCGCATCCCTCGATCATGTCGCTCGACGAGGTAAACTTCTCTTCCCTCTTGCGTTTATTTTCCTACCTTGCGAGTGCACATTGGCTGCGGGCTCCGTGTACGTGTGTGCGCGCGCGCGAGATCGATTCGGCCACGTGTACCATTCGTTCGCTGCCGTTGCTGCTACCTCGGAGCCTGTCCACCTAAGCGCACACGCCTATTCTCGGAGCGGCTGCTCGCGCACACACGTACGGATAGCGCAATAGCCGCGAGGTCACTCGCTTCGTTGATAAAGTCGACGCCGACTGTGCCAGCCTGCCGTCGATAATCGCCTCGCTTTCGTCTCTCATGCCCAGGAATTCAACAAGGCAGCGGAGGAGGTGAAGGAGCTCGCGTCATCACCCTCCGACGCCGACCTGCTGGAGCTGTACGCCCTCTATAAACAGGCTACCGTGGGTGACATCAACACAGGTAAGTCGCGCGAGCGCGGCCGTGCTCGACTCCCTTTATTACGATCGACTGTTGGTAGTGCGGCCAGGTATGCTGGACTTTAAGGGCAAGGCCAAGTGGGATGCGTGGAACGGCAAGAAGGGCATGGCTCAGAACGAGGCCAAGAAGCTCTATGTCGAGAAGGCCCAGTCGCTCATCGCCTCCATCGGCAAGAAGGCGTGAACGTTCGACGTCTGCACCCCACCCCCTCACCCCCTCCCATAGCATCTAGAGTCAAGTTGCACTCGAAGCAACGCGCACAATGTTCTCTCGATCGACCAGACACCATGGAATTGCTCTCGAGTTTTCAAGTTTCTATGTTTCTACTCCACTTTTACGGTCTTTACATGTTACTTGCCTATAGTTTCTAGCTCAAGTTTTTTCTTTGTTAATTACTTTCTAAACTGTACACTGCGAAACGTCATCGAACTTGTTGTATTTGCATAATAAACGTTATGAAAAATCCACCAAGTTCAATCATTTCTTGATGCATGCTGAAGGTCTGGGTTGTTCGGCAGAAAAATAAACATGCAGACAAATATTTAGTGAATGATAATAATATATTTAAGCTTAAGACTGTTTTCTTATCATATATACACATACTCAATTTATTTTAAAAGGGGAGATAGGCTCAGACGAAATAAAGAAAAGAAATGAAAAAAGAAATGAAAAAAAAAAATGTACCTGCTAGGGGATCTTGAACGTCTTACTTCTATTAGTTGGATTTCGCTACACGCTCGAGAACAAAACAAAGAAATTGTAACTATCTCTCGATCGATTACTTAGCACGTAGTTACATTATGCACATCCTCATTCGCTGTGTCATGTTCGACTTTCCGGTATACAACAGCTCAGGGACGCGAAACACCTGTGAACACAGGACGACAATCTAGTAATTGCAATAACGAAGAAGTAATTGAAAAAAAAAACAAACAAAAATGAAGAAGAGGATCGGCCTAAAGAATTAAGCATCATTTATACCTGTCAATGCTTCACTTTCACGGACTTCCATTCGAACCCGTCGGCTCTTGAGGTCGACCAATCGTACATATTGAATCACATAGTTCGTCCTCTAAGACGTGTATTTTGATAAACATAATAAAAGTTCACGCAACTACGAGCACACGATATAGTGACCGTCGTTTCAACTTAAACTCAAAATATGCGCGAATCAACGCGTGGAACATTTACACATTGATTCGCACTGATGCAGTCACTAAAGAAAAAAACTATTACATCATATTCATAATTGTTTATATAAGCTTGTCACGTCTCTCATTTGAATTTTCGGCTCGCATATTAATATCATTAAAACTTCTCATCCATTTCATCCCGCATTCAATCTTTCTCTCGCTTTTTCTTTTATCGTTTCAACGCTTTCTCGCAGTGAAAGTATTGCGTGAATAATAATTGTGTAAAGTGACCGCGTGTGTTTAAATATTAAACGAGGACTATAACAGCGTCCTTTTCAACCACTCATCGTCTGGGTGTACTATACTCTTGTCAGCCTCCCACAAACGATGGATTCTCCGATAAATACAATGCATTATTACGCGAAGAGTCAATTCTTACACCTATTTGCTACTCCCCTCAGAGGGACAGCGACAATTAATTCAATGAGACAAAAATTCGTTATAAAGCTTGATCGAGCCAAAAGAAAAAGAAAAGAAAGAAAAAGCGTAACGGTTTGTCGAAGAATAACACACTTTCCACCAAGAGACACTTTTAATATTATGTAGCTTTTTCATCAGTGTTTAAATAATATATATAAAACGTAAACCTAATTGTAACAGCTTTCTCAAGCTCTTTACATTCATCAATTTTTCAATTTTTTGCCTGGAAATTATTCAATTACCTTAAAGGAATATTTTTATCAGTTCGGTTAAGTCGTTATATTTTAAATAAATTAGCTCTAATGTTCCAGTTATTATTTAATACAATTTGTTATTACCAAAAATGTTCGCCGTCGCTATGAAAAATTCTTTCTTAACATTAAATTTATTTTCATCATCTCATTGTTTTCTACGCGTTGTAAACCTCTGCCATAATCTAGTAATAATTTTGCGAAACCATCTGTATGAAACAAAACTTCATTTATTCTCTGTAAAATCGATTCCAAATGAAAATCAAAAAGTAGCTCAACTCTAAAAGCCATCAAGGTTTAAGAAAACTTAACGAATCGACGGACTAAAATCAAACTCATTGTCTATTTGATTGTTGGGTGAAGAGCAAATCTGAAACTTTTCTTTCTTTTTTGATGTTCTTCGATAGCGATTATAAGAGACGCGCTTGAAGACGTGGAGTTCATTCGTAAAGTCGGTATGAGGTGACGAATGAGCCCATTAGAGCATTTACATGGCTTACTTTCTCTTAGTTTTATCGTGCTTGAGAGCTGAATGCGGTTGATGATGATGATGGTGGGTTTTTAATCTGCTATCTTTTGGATATTCGTTATGCATGGATTTCGTGCTCTGGCTACCCGCTGAATGATTATCGGCAACTTTGTCGATCACACGACGACTCGTGGATGCTTCGTCCAACCTGGCAAAACAACAAAAACATTTTTTTTTGTTTTTTGTGACGACGAAAAAAAATATAACAAATTTTTCCGCTTCGATCGCTGGGACTTTGATAATATTTGCTTACGCAGAGCTGGATGCACAATTAAAATCAATGAAAAAACTTATGTCACTTAGTATCACTATTTTCAAATTGACGAAAATGGCGAACCACAACTCAACTCGGGAACTTCGATTTTCAAAAAACCAATAAGTAAATGCGTATTAAATGAAATTTTACTGCAGTTAGTGAAATAGTCCCCGTGAAACAATCACACTTGCGGATCTATTTTTTGCACAGCCATTCGAGCAAATTAAACAATGGGTTACTTTATTGCTTTTGTGCTTGCAGGCAAAATAATTAAACGTATTATAACGGCTTCGCAAAAAAAGAAACAATGAGAAGCAGCTATGCATGGATCAGTCTGTCGCAGTTTGAAGTTATTCAGCGGCAAATCAACGCTGAAAGACGCTACTGCTTGTTATTCATTTTCCTAGTGTAATGATTAAACATTATTTGACGTAGAATGGATCGTTAATGCTGATACACCTGGGGAAAAGAACAGATGACAACAAAGTCGATCTCAATATAGAATGTTGTTGCTAATGGATGTGTCGATGAGAATTGATGTTAATTTTTTGAGAGCGTCGATCTCCAAGTGCGATGTCTGCCGGTTGTTGCTTGGTTTAGAAGATTTGGTATTTGTTTGGATAGATAGTGGAACTGACAGTTGTGAAGAGAGTTGTTTATCCTAAGCGACGAGTTAATAACGAGCAA